AGGCTCGTCTTTCATCTCACAACATGAAGGGATGTCTGAATCCCCTGTGGAGACCTTAGAGAAAGCCTTAGGTCCCTGCCTCATTTTGACGGAATGCCTCTCGTCCCGCTGACACCTCGAGAGGCACGCGGAGTTCATTGCTTCAAAAGGTGACGATGCCTGACTCCTCTTGAATACTGATAGGAATCCCAAAATCCCTGTCGCTACTGGAAAGGGTCCTTGGGTGCCCTGCCTCACCTCGAGAAGCGTCCCTTTTGCCCTGCCAAGCCTCGAAGAGATTCCTGAGGTGTTCCTCATTACTAGACAGGAGTCCTGACGTCACTGAAGAAACTCGTGTTTTGAAGGGCCATCCCCGCCGTAAGTCGAGAACATACCCCAGGTCCCCGCCTCAACTCGAGAAAAACCATGAGACTTCCCCCTAGAGGCGAGATGAGGCCCCATTCCCCTGCAGTGCATGCAGAGCTATCCCGTGATCCCATTCAAACAAGTCAGGAGCTTCGACTTGCTTAATGGATCTCGAGACAGTCCCCAAGAACACTGTCACCAGTCTAGACGGACCCTGAGGTCACCGCAGCACCGGAAAGCAGCTCCATGTGCCCCAAATCAACTCGAGATGAGGCCCGATTCCCCTGCATTGACTCCAGAGCCATTCCCCGTTCCCCATTCAACACGACCGGTGGCTCGACTTCCTTCAGGCAACTCCAGAGATGCCCCGAGAACACTGTCCCAAGTCTAGAGGAACACCAACTTCAGCACAGCAAATCGAGGAATGCTCTGTGTACCCCAAATTGTCTCGAGATGAGAGCTGATTCCCTGGCTTAGGCTCAAGACTTATGCCAAATTTCCAGAAGCACCTCAGGAGGAGGCTTCTCTCAGCAATAGGTATGTGGGTGGGACCCGAGTTTGCTGCCTCAAGGGGAATATACAGCGAGAAGCCCTAACATGAAAGGAGGCCGGATTTCCTTGCAGTGGCTTGAATACAGGCTCGTCTTTCATCTCACAACATGAAGGGATGTCTGAATCCCCTCTGGAGACCTTAGAGAAAGCCCTAGGTCCGTGCCTCATTTTGACGGAATGCCTCACATCCCGCTGACACCTCAAGAGGCACACGGAGTTCATTGCTTCAAAAGGTGACGATGCCTGACTCCTCTTGAATACTGATAGGAATCCCAAAATCCCTGTGGCTAGGGGAAAGGGTCCTTGGGTGCCCTGCCTCACCTCGAGAAGCGTCCCTTTTGCCCTACCAAGCCTCTTAGAGATTCCTGAGGTGTCCCTCGTTACTAGACAGGAGTCCTGACGTCACTGAAGAAACTCGTGTTTTGAAGGGCCATCCCCGCCGTAAGTCGAGAACATACCCCAGGTCCCCGCCGCAACTCGAGAAAAACCATGAGACTTCCCCCTAGAGGCGAGATGAGGCCCCATTCCCCTGCAGTGCATGCAGAGCTATTCCGTGATCCCATTCAAACAAGTCAGGAGCTTCGACTTGCTTAATGGATCTCGAGACAGTCCCCAAGAACACTGTCACCAGTCTAGACGGACCCTGAGGTCACCCCAGCAACGCAAAGCAGCTCCATGTGCCCCAAATCAACTCGAGATGAGGCCCGATTCCCATGCATTGACTCCAGAGCCATTCCCCGTTCCCCATTCAACACGACCGGTGGCTCGACTTCCTTCAGGCAACTCCAGAGATGCCCCGAGAACACTGTCCCAAGTCTAGAGGAACACCAACTTCAGCACAGCAACTCGAGGAATGCTCCGTGTACCCCAAATTGTCTCGAGATGAGAGCTGATTCCCTGGATTAGGCTCAAGACGTATGCCAACTTTCCAGAAGCACCTCAGGAGGAGGCTCCTCTCACCAATAGGTATGTGGAAGGGACCCCGAGTTTGCTGCCTCAAGGGGAATATACAGCGAGAAGCCCTAACTTGAAAGGAGGCCGCATTTCCTTGCAGTGGCTTGAATACAGGCTCGTCTTTCATCTCACAACATGAAGGGATGTCTGAATCCCCTGTGGAGACTTTAGAGAAAGCCCTAGGTCCTTGCCTCATTTTGACGGAATGCCTCACATCCCACTGACACCTCGAGAGACACGCGGAGTTCATTGCTTCAAAAGGTGACGATGCCTGACTCCTCTTGAATACTGATAGGAATCCCAAAATCCCTGTGGCTACTGGAAAGGGTCCTTGGGTACCCTGCCTCACCTCGAGAAGCGTCCCTTTTGCCCTGCCAAGCCTCGTAGAGATTCCTGAGGTGTCCCTCGTTACAAGACAGGAGTCCTGACGTCACTGAAGAAACTCGTGTTTTGAAGGGCCATCCCCGCCATTAGTCGAGAACATACCCCAGGTCCCCGCCGCAACTCGAGAAAAACCATGAGACTTCCCCCTAGAGGCGAGATGAGGCCCCATTCCCCTGCAGTGCATGCAGAGCTATTCCGTGATCCCATTCAAACAAGTCAGGAGCTTCGACTTGCTTAATGGATCTCGAGACAGTCCCCAAGAACACTGTCACCAGTCTAGACGGACCCTGAGGTCACCCCAGCAACGCAAAGCAGCTCCATGTGCCCCAAATCAACTCGAGATGAGGCCCGATTCCCCTGCATTGACTCCAGAGCCATTCCCCGTTCCCCAGTCAACACGACCGGTGGCTCGACTTCCTTCAGGCAACTCCAGAGATGCCCCGAGAACACTCTCCCAAGTCTAGAGGAACACCAACTTCAGCACTGCAACTCGAGGAATGCTCCGTGTAACCCAAATCGTCTCGAGATGAGAGCTGATTCCCTGGCTTAGGCTCAAGACGTATGCCAACTTTCCAGAAGCACCTCAGGAGGAGGCTTCTCTCAGCAATAGTTATGTGGGAGGGACCCCGAGTTTGCTGCCTCAAGGGGAATATACAGCGAGAAGCCCTAACTTGAAAGGAGGCCGGATTTCCTTGCAGTGGCTTGAATACAGGCTCGTCTTTCATCTCACAACATGAAGGGATGTCTGAATCCCCTGTGGAGACCTTAGAGAAAGCCTTAGGTCCCTGCCTCATTTTGACGGAATGCCTCTCGTCCCGCTGACACCTCGAGATGCACGCGGAGTTCATTGCTTCAAAAGGTGACGATGCCTGACTCCTGTTGAATACTGATAGGAATCCCAAAATCCCTGTGGCTACTGGAAAGGGTCCTTGGGTGCCCTGCCTCACCTCGAGAAGCGTCCCTTTTGCCCTGCCAAGCATCGAAGAGATTCCTGAGGTGTTCCTCATTACTAGACAGGAGTCCTGACGTCACTGAAGAAACTCGTGTTTTGAAGGGCCATCCCCGCCGTAAGTCGAGAACATACACCAGGTCCCCGCCTCAACTCGAGAAAAACCATGAGACTTCCCCCTAGAGGCGAGATGAGGCCCCATTCCCCTGCAGTGCATGCAGAGCTATCCCGTGATCCCATTCAAACAAGTCAGGAGCTTCGACTTGCTTAATGGATCTCGAGACAGTCCCCAAGAACACTGTCACCAGTCTAGACGGACCCTGAGGTCACCGCAGCAACGGAAAGCAGCTCCATGTGCCCCAAATCAACTCGAGATGAGGCCCGATTCCCCTGCATTGACTCCAGAGCCATTCCCCGTTCCCCATTCAACACGACCGGTGGCTCGACTTCCTTCAGGCAACTCCAGAGATGCCCCGAGAACACTGTCCCAAGTCTAGAGGAACACCAACTTCAGCACAGCAACTCGAGGAATGCTCTGTGTACCCCAAATCGTCTCGAGATGAGAGCTGATTCCCTGGCTTAGGCTCAAGACTTATGCCAACTTTCCAGAAGCACCTCAGGAGGAAGCTTCTCTCAGCAATAGGTATGTGGGTGGGACCCGAGTTTGCTGCCTCACGGGGAATATACAGCGAGAAGCCCTAACTTGAAAGGAGGCCGTATTTCCTTGCAGTGGCTTAAATACAGGTTCGTCTTTCATCTCACAACATGAAGGGATGTCTGAATCCCCTGTGGAGACCTTAGAGAAAGCCCTAGGTCCCTGCCTCATTTTGACGGAATGCCTCACATCCCGCTGACACCTCGAGATGCACGCGGAGTTCATTGCTTCAAAAGGTGACGATGCCTGACTCCTCTTGAATACTGATAGGAATCCCAAAATCGCTGTGGCTACTGGAAAGGCTCCTTGGGTACCCTGCCTCACCTCGAGAAGCGTCCCTTTTGCCCTGCCAAGCCTCGTAGAGATTCCTGAAGTGTCCCTCTTTACTAGACAGGAATCCTGATGTCACTGAAGAAACTCGTGTTTTGAAGAGCCATCCCCGCCCTAAGTCGAGAACATACCCCAGGTCCCCAACGCAACTCGAGAAAAACCATGAGACTTCCCCCTAGAGGCGAGATGAGGCCCCATTCCCCTGCAGTGCATGCAGAGCTATTCCGTGATCCCATTCAAACAAGTCAGGAGCTTCGACTTGCTTAATGGATCTCGAGACAGTCCCCAAGAACACTGTCACCAGTCTAGACGGACCCTGAGGTCACCCCAGCAACGCAAAGCAGCTCCATGTGCCCCAAATCAACTCGAGATGTGGCCCGATTCCCCTGCATTGACTCCAAAGCCATTCCCCGTTCCCCATTCAACACGACCGGTGGCTCGACTTCCTTCAGGCAACTCCAGAGATGCCCCGAGAACACTGTCCCAAGTCTAGAGGAACACCAACTTCAGCACAGCAAATCGAGGAATGCTCTGTGTACCCCAAATCGTCTCGAGATGAGAGCTGATTCCCTGGCTTAGGCTCAAGAATTATGCCAACTTTCCAGAAGCACCTCAGGAGGAGGCTTCTCTCAGCAATAGGTATGTGGGTGGGACCCGAGTTTGCTGCCTCAAGGGGAATATACAGCGAGAAGCCCTAACATGAAAGGAGGCCGGATTTCCTTGCAGTGGCTTGAATACAGGCTCGTCTTTCATCTCACAACATGAAGGGATGTCTGAATCCCCTGTGGAGACCTTAGAGAAAGCCCTAGGTCCCTGCCTCATTTTGACGGAATGCCTCACATCCCGCTGACACCTCAAGAGGCACACGGAGTTCATTGCTTCAAAAGGTGACGATGCCTGACTCCTCTTGAATACTGATAGGAATCCCAAAATCCCTGTGGCTAGGGGAAAGGGTCCTTGGGTGCCCTGCCTCACCTCGAGAAGCGTCCCTTTTGCCCTGCCAAGCCTCTTAGAGATTCCTGAGGTGTCCCTCGTTACTAGACAGGAGTCCTGACGTCACTGAAGAAACTCGTGTTTTGAAGGGCCATCCCCTCCGTAAGTCGAGAACATACCCCAGGTCCCCGCCGCAACTCGAGAAAAACCATGAGACTTCCCCCTAGAGGCGAGATGAGGCCCCATTCCCCTGCAGTGCATGCAGAGCTATTCCGTGATCCCATTCAAACAAGTCAGGAGCTTCGACTTGCTTAATGGATCTCGAGACAGTCCCCAAGAACACTGTCACCAGTCTAGACGGACCCTGAGGTCACCCCAGCAACGCAAAGCAGCTCCATGTGCCCCAAATCAACTCGAGATGAGGCCCGATTCCCATGCATTGACTCCAGAGCCATTCCCCGTTCCCCATTCAACACGACCGGTGGCTCGACTTCCTTCAGGCAACTCCAGAGATGCCCCGAGAACACTGTCCCAAGTCTAGAGGAACACCAACTTCAGCACAGCAACTCGAGGAATGCTCCGTGTACCCCAAATTGTCTCGAGATGAGAGCTGATTCCCTGGATTAGGCTCAAGACGTATGCCAACTTTCCAGAAGCACCTCAGGAGGAGGCTCCTCTCACCAATAGGTATGTGGAAGGGACCCCGAGTTTGCTGCCTCAAGGGGAATATACAGCGAGAAGCCCTAACTTGAAAGGAGGCCGCATTTCCTTGCAGTGGCTTGAATACAGGCTCGTCTTTCATCTCACAACATGAAGGGATGTCTGAATCCCCTGTGGAGACTTTAGAGAAAGCCCTAGGTCCTTGCCTCATTTTGACGGAATGCCTCACATCCCGCTGACACCTCGAGAGGCACGCGCAGTTCATTGCTTCAAAAGGTGACGATGCCTGACTCCTCTTGAATACTGATAGGAATCCCAAAATCGCTGTGGCTACTGGAAAGGCTCCTTGGGTACCCTGCCTCACCTCGAGAAGCGTCCCTTTTGCCCTGCAAAGCCTCGTAGAGATTCCTGAAGTGTCCCTCTTTACTAGACAGGAATCCTGATGTCACTGAAGAAACTCGTGTTTTGAAGGGCCATCCCCGCCGTAAGTCGAGAACATACCCCAGGTCCCCGCCGCAACTCCAGAAAAACCATGAGACTTCCCCCTAGAGGCGAGATGAGGCCCCATTCCCCTGCAGTGCATGCAGAGCTATTCCGTGATCCCATTCAAACAAGTCAGGAGCTTCGACTTGCTTAATGGATCTCGAGACAGTCCCCAAGAACACTGTCACCAGTCTAGACGGACCCTGAGGTCACCCCAGCAACGCAAAGCAGCTCCATGTGCCCAAAATCAACTCGAGATGAGGCCCGATTCCCCTGCATTGACTCCAGAGCCATTCCCCGTTCCCCATTCAACACGACCGGTGGCTCGACTTCCTTCAGGCAACTCCAGAGATGCCCCGAGAACACTGTCCCAAGTCTAGAGGAACACCAACTTCAGCACAGCAACTCGAGGAATGCTCCGTGTACCCCAAATTGTCTCGAGATGAGAGCTGATTCCCTGGATTAGGCTCAAGACGTATGCCAACTTTCCAGAAGCACCTCAGGAGGAGGCTCCTCTCACCAATAGGTATGTGGAAGGGACCCCGAGTTTGCTGCCTCAAGGGGAATATACAGCGAGAAGCCCTAACTTGAAAGGAGGCCGCATTTCCTTGCAGTGGCTTGAATACAGGCTCGTCTTTCATCTCACAACATGAAGGGATGTCTGAATCCCCTGTGGAGACCTTAGAGAAAGCCCTAGGTCCCTGCCTCATTTTGACGGAATGCCTCTCGTCCCGCTGACACCTCGAGAGGCACGCGGAGTTCATTGCTTCAAAAGGTGACGATGCCTGACTCCTCTTGAATACTGATAGGAATCCCAAAATCCCTGTGGCTACGGGAAAGGGTCCTTGGGTGCCCTGCCTCACCTCGAGAAGCGTCCCTTTTGCCCTGCCAAGCATCGAAGAGATTCCTGAGGTGTCCCTCGTTACTAGACAGGAGTCCTGACGTCACTGAAGAAACTCGTGGTTTGAAGGGCCATACCCGCCGTAAGTCGAGAACATATACCAGGTCCCCGCCTCAACTCGAGAAAAACCATGAGACTTCCCCCTAGAGGCGAGATGAGGCCCCATTCCCCTGCAGTGCATGCAGAGCTATCCCGTGATCCCATTCAAACAAGTCAGGAGCTTCGACTTGCTTAATGGATCTCGAGACCGTCCCCAAGAACACTGTCACCAGTCTAGACGGACCCTGAGGTCACCGCAGCAACGGAAAGCAGCTCCATGTGCTCCAAATCAACTCGAGATGAGGCCCGATTCCCCTGCATTGACTCCAGAGCCATTCCCCGTTCCCCATTCAACACGACCGGTGGCTCGACTTCCTTCAGGCAACTCCAGAGATGCCCCGAGAACACTGTCCCAAGTCTAGAGGAACACCAACTTCAGCACAGCAACTCGACGAATGTTTCGTGTAACCCAAATCGTCTCGAGATGGGAGCTGATTCCCTGGCCAAGGCTCAAGACGTATGCCAACTTTCCAGAAGCACCTCAGGAGGAGGCTTCTCTCAGCAATAAGTATGTGGGAGGGACCCCGAGTTTGTGCCTCAAGGGGAATATACAGCGAGAAGCCCTAACTTGAAAGGAGGCCGGATTTCCTTGCAGTGGCTTAAATACAGGTTCGTCTTTCATCTCACAACATGAAGGGATGTCTGAATCCCCTGTGGAGACCTTAGAGAAAGCCCTAGGGTCCTGCCTCATTTTGACGGAATGCCTCACATCCCGCTGACACCTCGAGAGGCACGCGGAGTTCATTGCTTCAAAAGGTGACGATGCCTGACTCCTCTTGAATACTGATAGGAATCCCAAAATCCCTGTGGCTAGGGGAAAGGGTCCTTGGGTGCCCTGCCTCACCTCGAGAAGCGTCCCTTTTGCCCTGCCAAGCCTCTTAGAGATTCCTGAGGTGTCCCTCTTTACTAGACAGGAGTCCTGACGTCACTGAAGAAACTCGTGTTTTGAAGGGCCATCCCCGCCGTAAGTCGAGAACATACCCCAGGTCCCTGCCGCAAATCGAGAAAAACCATGAGACTTCCCCCTAGAGGCGAGATGAGGCCCCATTCCCCTGCAGTGAATGCAGAGCTATTCCGTGATCCCATTCAAACAAGTCAGGAGCTTCGACTTGCTTAATGGATCTCGAGACAGTCCCCAAGAACACTGTCACCAGTCTAGACGGACCCTGAGGTCACCCCAGCAACGCAAAGCAGCTCCATGTGCCCAAAATCAACTCGAGATGAGGCCCGATTCCCCTGCATTGACTCCAGAGCCATTCCCCGTTCCCCATTCAACACGACCGGTGGCTCGACTTCCTTCAGGCAACTCCAGAGATGCCCCGAGAACACTGTCCCAAGTCTAGAGGAACACCAACTTCAGCACAGCAACTCGAGGAATGCACCGTGTACCCCAAATTGTCTCGAGATGAGAGCTGATTCCCTGGCTTAGGCTCAAGACGTATGCCAACTTTCCAGAAGCACCTCAGGAGGAGGCTTCTCTCAGCAATAGGTATGTGGAAGGGACCCCGAGTTTGCTGCCTCAAGGGGAATATACAGCGAGAAGCCCTAACTTGAAAGGAGGCCGCATTTCCTTGCAGTGGCTAGAATACAGGCTCGTCTTTCATCTCACAACATGAAGGGATGTCTGAATCCCCTGTGGAGACCTTAGAGAAAGCCCTAGGTCCCTGCCTCATTTTGACGGAATGCCTCACATCCCGCTGACACCTCGAGAGGCTCGCGGAGTTCATTGCTTCAAAAGGTGACGATGCCTGACTCCTCTTGAATACTGATAGGAATCCCAAAATCGCTGTGGCTACTGGAAAGGCTCCTTGGGTACCCTGCCTCACCTCGAGAAGCGTCCCTTTTGCCCTGCCAAGCCTCGTAGAGATTCCTGAAGTGTCCCTCTTTACTAGACAGGAGTCCTGATGTCACTGAAGAAACTCGTGTTTTGAAGGGCCATCCCCGCCCTAAGTCGAGAACATACCCCAGGTCCCCAACGCAACTCAATAAAAACCATGAGACTTCCCCCTAGAGGCGAGATGAGGCCCCATTCCCCTGCAGTGCATGCAGAGCTATTCGGTGATCCCATTCAAACAAGTCAGGAGCTTCGACTTGCTTAATGGATCTCGAGACAGTCCCCAAGAACACTGTCACCAGTCTAGACGGACCCTGAGGTCACCCCAGCAATGCAAAGCAGCTCCATGTGCCCCAAATCAACTCGAGATGAGGCCCGATTCCCCTGCATTCACTCCAGAGCCATTCCCCGTTCCCCATTCAACACGACCGGTGGCTCGACTTCCTTCAGGCAACTCCAGAGATGCCCCGAGAACACTGTCCCAAGTCTAGAGGAACACCAACTTCAGCACAGCAACTCGACGAATGTTTCGTGTAACCCAAATCGTCTCGAGATGGGAGCTGATTCCCTGGCCAAGGCTCAAGACGTATGCCAACTTTCCAGAAGCACCTCAGGAGGAGGCTTCTCTCAGCAATAAGTATGTGGGAGGGACCCCGAGTTTGTGCCTCAAGGGGAATATACAGCGAGAAGCCCTAACTTGAAAGGAGGCCGGATTTCCTTGCAGTGGCTTAAATACAGGTTCGTCTTTCATCTCACAACATGAAGGGATGTCTGAATCCCCTGTGGAGACCTTAGAGAAAGCCCTAGGGTCCTGCCTCATTTTGACGGAATGCCTCACATCCCGCTGACACCTCGAGAGGCACGCGGAGTTCATTGCTTCAAAAGGTGACGATGCCTGACTCCTCTTGAATACTGATAGGAATCCCAAAATCCCTGTGGCTAGGGGAAAGGGTCCTTGGGTGCCCTGCCTCACCTCGAGAAGCGTCCCTTTTGCCCTGCCAAGCCTCTTAGAGATTCCTGAGGTGTCCCTCTTTACTAGACAGGAGTCCTGACGTCACTGAAGAAACTCGTGTTTTGAAGGGCCATCCCCGCCGTAAGTCGAGAACATACCCCAGGTCCCTGCCGCAAATCGAGAAAAACCATGAGACTTCCCCCTAGAGGCGAGATGAGGCCCCATTCCCCTGCAGTGAATGCAGAGCTATTCCGTGATCCCATTCAAACAAGTCAGGAGCTTCGACTTGCTTAATGGATCTCGAGACAGTCCCCAAGAACACTGTCACCAGTCTAGACGGACCCTGAGGTCACCCCAGCAACGCAAAGCAGCTCCATGTGCCCAAAATCAACTCGAGATGAGGCCCGATTCCCCTGCATTGACTCCAGAGCCATTCCCCGTTCCCCATTCAACACGACCGGTGGCTCGACTTCCTTCAGGCAACTCCAGAGATGCCCCGAGAACACTGTCCCAAGTCTAGAGGAACACCAACTTCAGCACAGCAACTCGAGGAATGCACCGTGTACCCCAAATTGTCTCGAGATGAGAGCTGATTCCCTGGCTTAGGCTCAAGACGTATGCCAACTTTCCAGAAGCACCTCAGGAGGAGGCTTCTCTCAGCAATAGGTATGTGGAAGGGACCCCGAGTTTGCTGCCTCAAGGGGAATATACAGCGAGAAGCCCTAACTTGAAAGGAGGCCGCATTTCCTTGCAGTGGCTAGAATACAGGCTCGTCTTTCATCTCACAACATGAAGGGATGTCTGAATCCCCTGTGGAGACCTTAGAGAAAGCCCTAGGTCCCTGCCTCATTTTGACGGAATGCCTCACATCCCGCTGACACCTCGAGAGGCTCGCGGAGTTCATTGCTTCAAAAGGTGACGATGCCTGACTCCTCTTGAATACTGATAGGAATCCCAAAATCGCTGTGGCTACTGGAAAGGCTCCTTGGGTACCCTGCCTCACCTCGAGAAGCGTCCCTTTTGCCCTGCCAAGCCTCGTAGAGATTCCTGAAGTGTCCCTCTTTACTAGACAGGAGTCCTGATGTCACTGAAGAAACTCGTGTTTTGAAGGGCCATCCCCGCCCTAAGTCGAGAACATACCCCAGGTCCCCAACGCAACTCAATAAAAACCATGAGACTTCCCCCTAGAGGCGAGATGAGGCCCCATTCCCCTGCAGTGCATGCAGAGCTATTCGGTGATCCCATTCAAACAAGTCAGGAGCTTCGACTTGCTTAATGGATCTCGAGACAGTCCCCAAGAACACTGTCACCAGTCTAGACGGACCCTGAGGTCACCCCAGCAATGCAAAGCAGCTCCATGTGCCCCAAATCAACTCGAGATGAGGCCCGATTCCCCTGCATTCACTCCAGAGCCATTCCCCGTTCCCCATTCAACACGACCGGTGGCTCGACTTCCTTCAGGCAACTCCAGAGATGCCCCGAGAACACTGTCCCAAGTCTAGAGGAACACCAACTTCAGCACAGCAACTCGAGGAATGCTCCGTGTAACCCAAATCATCTCGAGATGAGAGCTGATTCCCTGGCTTAGGCTCAAGACGTATGCCAACTTTCCAGAAGCACCTCAGGAGGAGGCTTCTCTCAGCAATAGTTATGTGGGAGGGACCCCGAGTTTGCTGCCTCAAGGGGAATTTACAGCGAGAAGCCCTAACTTGAAAGGAGGCCGGATTTCCTTGCAGTGGCTTGAATACAGGCTCGTCTTTCATCTCACAACATGAAGGGATGTCTGAATCCCCTGTGGAGACCTTAGAGAAAGCCCTAGGTCCCTGCCTCATTTTGACGGAATGCCTCACATCTCGCTGACACCTCGAGAGGCACGCGGAGTTCATTGCTTCAAAAGGTGACGATGCCTGACTCCTCTTGAATACTGATAGGAATCCCGAAATCCCTGTGGCTACGGGAAAGGGTCCTTGGGTGCCCTGCCTCACCTCGAGAAGCGTCCCTTTTGCCTTGCCAAGCCTCGAAGAGATTCCTGAGGTGTCCCTCGTTGCTAGACAGGAGTCCTGACGTCACTGAAGAAACTCGTGTTTTGAAGGGCCATCCCCGCCGTAAGTCGAGAACATACCCCAGGTCCCCGCCGCAACTCGAGAAAAACCATGAGATTTCCCCCTTGAGGCGAGATGAGGCCCCATTCCCCTTCAGTGCATGCAGAGCCATTCCGTGATCCCATTCAAACAAGTCAGGAGCTTCGACTTGCTTAATGGATCTCGAGACAGTCCCCAAGAACACTGTCACCAGTCTAGACGGACCCTGAGGTCACCCCAGCAACGCAAAGCAGCTCCATGTGCCCCAAATCAACTCAAGATGAGGCCCGATTCCCCTGCATTGACTCCAGAGCCATTCCCCGTTCCCCATTCAACACGACCTGTGGCTCGACTTCCTTCAGGCAACTCCAGAGATGCCCCGAGAACACTGTCCCAAGTGTAGAGGAACAACAACTTCAGCAGAGCAACTCGAGGAATGCTCCGTGTACCCCCAATCGTCTCGAGATGAGAGCTGATTCCCTGGCTTAGGCTCAAGACGTATGCCAACTTTCCAGAAGCACCTCAGGAGGAGGCTTCTCTCAGCAATAGGTATGTGGAAGGGACCCCGAGTTTGCTGCCTCAAGGGGAATATACAGCGAGAAGCCCTAACTTGAAAGGAGGCGAGATTTCCTTGCAGTGGCTTGAATACAGGCTCGTCTTTCATCTCACAACATGAAGGGATGTCTGAATCCCCTGTGGAGACCTTAGAGAAGGCCCTAGGTCCCTGCCTCATTTTGACGGAATGCCTCACATCCCGCTGACACCTCGAGAGGCACGCGGAGTAAATTGCTTCAAAAGGTGACGATGCCTGACTCCTCTTGAATACTGATAGGAATCCCAAAATACCTGTGGCTACTGGAAAGGGTCCTTGGGTGCCCTGCCTCGCCTCGAAAAGCGTCCCTTTTGCCCTGCCAAGCCTTGAAGAGATTCCTGAGGTGTCCCTCGTTACTAGACAGGAGTCCTGAGGTCACTGAAGAAACTCGTGTTTTGAAGGGCCATCCCCGCCGTAAGTCGAGAACATACCCCAGGTCCCCGCCGCAACTCGAGAAAAACCATGAGACTTCCCCCTTGAGGCGAGATGAGGCCCCATTCCCCTGCAGTGCATGCAGAGCTATCCCATGATCCCATTCAAACAAGTCAGGAGCTTCGACTTGCTTAGTGGATCTCGAGACAGTCCCCAAGAGCCCTGTCACCAGTCTGGACGGACCCTGAGGTCACCCCAGCAACGCAAAGCAGCTCCATGTGCCCCAAATCAACTCGAGATGAGGCCTGATTCCCCTGCATTGACTCCAGAGCCATTCCCCGTTCCCCATTCAACACGACCGATGGCTCGACTTCCTTCAGGCAACTCCAGAGATGCCCCGAGAACACTGTCCCAAGTCTAGAGGAACACCAACTTCAGCACAGCAACTTGAGGAATGCTCCGTGTACCCCAAATCGTCTCGAGATGAGAGCTGATTCCCTGGCTTAGGCTCAAGACTTATGCCAACTTTCCAGAAGCACCTCAGTAGGAGGCTTCTCTCAGCAATAGGTATGTGGGAGGGACCCGAGTTTGCTGCCTCAAGGGGAATATACAGCGAGAAGCCCTAACTTGAAAGGAGGCCGGATTTCCTTGCAGTGGCTTGAATACAGGCTCGTCTTTCATCTCACAACATGAAGGGATGTCTGAATCCCCTGTGGAGACCTTAGAGAAAGCCTTAGGTCCCTGCCTCATTTTGACGGAATGCCTCTCGTCCCGCTGACACCTCGAGAGGCACGCGGAGTTCATTGCTTCAAAAGGTGACGATGCCTGACTCCTCTTGAATACTGATAGGAATCCCAAAATCCCTGTGGCTACTGGAAAGGGTCCTTGGGTGCCCTGCCTCACCTCGAGAAGCGTCCCTTTTGCCCTGCCAAGCCTCGAAGAGATTCCTGAGGTGTTCCTCATTACTAGACAGGAGTCCTGAGGTCACTGAAGAAACTCGTGTTTTGAAGGGCCATCCCCGCCGTAAGTCGAGAACATACCCCAGGTCCCCGCCGCAACTCGAGAAAAACCATGAGACTTCCCGCTAGAGGCGAGATGAGGCCCCATTCCCCTGCAGTGCATGCAGAGCTATCCCGTGATCCCATTCAAACAAGTCAGAAGCTTCAACTTGCTTAATGGATCTCGAGACCGTCCCCAAGAACACTGTCACCAGTCTAGACGGACCCTGAGGTCACCGCAGCAACGGAAAGCAGCTCCATGTGCCCCAAATCAACTCGAGATGAGGCCCGATTCCCCTGCATTGACTCCAGAGCCATTCCCCGTTCCCCATTCAACACGACCGGTGGCTCGACTTCCTTCAGGCAACTCCAGAGATGCCCCGAGAACACTGTCCCAAGTCTAGAGGAATACCAACTTCAGCACAGCAACTCGAGGAATGCTCTGTGTACCCCCAATCGTCTCGAGATGAGAGCTGATTCCCTGGCTTAGGCTCAAGACGTATGCCAACTTTCCAGAAGCACCTCAGGAGGAGGCTTCTCTCAGCAATAGGTATGTGGAAGGGACCCCGAGTTTGCTGCCTCAAGGGGAATATACAGCGAGAAGCCCTAACTTGAAAGGAGGCCGCATTTCCTTGCAGTGGCTTGAATACAGGCTCGTCTTTCATCTCACAACATGAAGGGATGTCTGAATCCCCTGCGGAGACCTTAGAGAAAGCCCTAGGTCCCTGCCTCATTTTGACGGAATGCCTCACGTCCCGCTGACACCTCGAGAGGCACGCGGAGTTCATTGCTTCAAAAGGTGACGATGCCTGACTCCTCTTGAATACTGATAGGAATCCCAAAATCCCTGTGGCTACTGGAAAGGGTCCTTGGGTACCCTGCCTCACCTCGAGAAGCGTCCCTTTTGCCCTGCCAAGCCTCGTAGAGATTCCTGAAGTGTCCCTCTTTACTAGACAGGAGTCCTGATGTCATTGAAGAAACTCGTGTTTTGAAGGGCCATCCCCGCCCTAAGTCGAGAACATACCCCAGGTCCCCAACGCAACTCGAGAAAAACCATGAGACTTCCCCCTAGAGGCGAGATGAGGCCCCATTCCCCTGCAGTGCATGCAGAGCTATTCTGTGATCCCATTCAAACAAGTCAGGAGCTTCGACTTGCTTAATGGATCTCGAGACAGTCCCCAAGAACACTGTCACCAGTCTAGACGGACCCTGAGGTCACCCCAGCAACGCAAAGCAGCTCCATGTGCCCCAAATCAACTCGAGATGAGGCCCGATTCCCCTGCATTGACTCCAGAGCCATTCCCCGTTCCCCATTCAACACGACCGGTGGCTCGACTTCCTTCAGGCAACTCCAGAGATGCCCCGAGAACACTGTCCCAAGTCTAGAGGAACACCAACTTCAGCACAGCAACTCGACGAATGTTTCGTGTAAACCAAATCGTCTCGAGATGGGAGCTGATTCCCTGGCCAAGGCTCAAGACGTATGCCAACTTTCCAGAAGCACCTCAGGAGGAGGCTTCTCTCAGCAATAAGTATGTGGGAGGGACCCCGAGTTTGTGCCTCAAGGGCAATATACAGCGAGAAGCCCTAACTTGAAAGGAGGCCGGATTTCCTTGCAGTGGCTTAAATACAGGTTCGTCTTTCATCTCACAACATGAAGGGATGTCTGAATCCCATGTGGAGACCTTAGAGAAAGCCCTAGGTCCCTGCCTCATTTTGACGGAATGCCTCACATCCCGCTGACACCTCGAGAGGCACCTGGAGTTCATTGCTTCAAAAGGTGACGATGCCTGACTCCTCTTGAATAGTGATAGGAATCCCAAAATCCCTGTGGCTAGGGGAAAGGGTCCTTGGGTGCCCTGCCTCACCTCGAGAAGCGTCCCTTTTGCCCTGCCAAGCCTCGAAGAGATTCCTGAGGTGTCCCTCGTTACTAGACACGAGTCCTGACGTCACTGAAGAAACTCGTGTTTTGAAGGACCATCCCCGCTGTAAGTCGAGAACATACCCCAGGTCCCCGCCGCAACTCGAGAAAAACCATGAGACTTCCCCCTAGAGGCGAGATGAGGCCCCATTCCCCTGCAGTGCATGCAGAGCTATTCCGTGATCCCATTCAAACAAGTCAGGAGCTTCGACTTGCTTAATGGATCTCGAGACAGTCCCCAAGAACACTGTCACCAGTCTAGACGGACCCTGAGGTCACCCCAGCAACGCAAAGCAGCTCCATGTGCCCCAAATCAACTCGAGATGAGGCCCGATTCCCCTGCATTGACTCCAGAGCCATTCCCCGTTCCCCATTCAACACGACCGGTGGCTCGACTTCCTTCAGGCAACTCCAGAGATGCCCCGAGAACACTGTCCCAAGTCTAGAGGAACACCAACTTCAGCACAGCAACTTGAGGAATGCTCCGTGTACCCCAAATTGTCTCGAGATGAGAGCTGATTCCCTAGCTTAGGCTCAAGACGTATGCCAACTTTCCAGAAGCACCTCAGTAGGAGGCTTCTCTCACCAATAGTTATGTGGGAGGGACCCCGAGTTTGCTCCCTCAAGGGGAATATACAGCGAGAAGCCCTAACTTGAAAGGAGGCCGGATTTCCTTGCAGTGGCTTGAATACAGGCTCGTCTTTCATCTCACAACATGAAGGGATGTCTGAATCCCCTGTGGAGATCTTAGAGAAAGCCCTAGGTCCCTGCCTCATTTTGACGGAATGCCTCACATCTCGCTGACACCTCGAGAGGCACGCGGAGTTCATTGCTTCAAAAGGTGACGATGCCTGACTCCTCTTGAATACTGATAGGAATCCCGAAATCCCTGTGGCTACGGGAAAGGGTCCTTGGGTGCCCTGCCTCACCTCGAGAAGCGTCCCTTTTGCCCTGCCAAGCCTCGAAGAGATTCCTGAGGTGTCCCTCGTTACTAGACAGGAGTCCTGACGTCACTGAAGAAACTCGTGTTTTGAAGGGCCATCCCCGCCGTAAGTCGAGAACATACCCCAGGTCCCCACCGCAACTCGAGAAAAACCATGAGATTTCCCCCTAGAGGCGAGATGAGGCCCCATTCCCCTTCAGTGCATGCAGAGCTATTCCGTGATCCCATTCAAACAAGTCAGGAGCTTCGACTTGCTTAATGGATCTCGAGACAGTCCCCAAGAACACTGTCACCAGTCTAGACGGACCCTGAGGTCACCCCAGCAACGCAAAGCAGCTCCATGTGCCCCAAATCAACTCGAGATGAGGCCCGATTCCCCTTCATTGACTCCAGAGACATTCTCTGTTCCCCATTCAACACGACCGGTGGCTCGACTTCCTTCAGGCAACTCCAGAGATGCCCCGAGAACACTGTCCCAAGTCTAGAGGAACACCAACTTCAGCACAGCAACTCGAGGAATGCTCCGTGTAACCCAAATCGTCTCGAGATGAGAGCTGATTCCCTGGCTTAGGCTCAAGACGTATGCCAACTTTCCAGAAGCACCTCAGGAGGAGGCTTCTCTCAGCAATAGGTATGTGGGTGGGACCCGAGTTTGCTGCCTCAAGGGGAATATACAGCGAGAAGCCCTAACTTGAAAGGAGGCCGGATTTCCTTGCAGTGGCTTGAATACAGGCTCGTCTTTCATCTCACAACATGAAGGGATGTCTGAATCCCCTGTGGAGACCTTAGAGAAAGCCCTAGGTCCCTGCCTCATTTTGACGGAATGCCTCACGTCCCGCTGACACCTCGAGAGGCACGCGGAGTTCATTGCTTCAAAAGGTGACGATGCCTGACTCCTCTTGAATACTGATAGGAATCCCGAAATCCCTGTGGCTACGGGAAAGGGTCCTTGGGTGCCCTGCCTCACCTCGAGAAGCGTCCCTTTTGCCTTGCCAAGCCTCGAAGAGATTCCTGAGGTGTCCCTCGTTGCTAGACAGGAGTCCTGACGTCACTGAAGAAACTCGTGTTTTGAAGGGCCATCCCCGCCATAAGTCGAGAACATACCCCAGGTCCCCGCCGCAACTCGAAAAAAACCATGAGATTTCCCCCTAGAGGCGAGATGAGGCCCCATTCCCCTTCAGTGCATGCAGAGCTATTCCGTGATCCCATTCAAACAAGTCAGGAGCTTCGACTTGCTTAATGGATCTCGAGACAGTCCCCAAGAACACTGTCACCAGTCTAGACGGACCCTGAGGTCACCCCAGCAACGCAAAGCAGCTCCATGTGCCCCAAATCAACTCAAGATGAGGCCCGATTCCCCTGCATTGACTCCAGAGCCATTCCCCGTTCCCCATTCAACACGACCGGTGGCTCGACTTCCTTCAGGCAACTCCAGAGATGCCCCGAGAACACTGTCCCAAGTGTAGAGGAACAACAACTTCAGCAGAGCAACCCGAGGAATGCTCCGTGTACCCCCAATCGTCTCGAGATGAGAGCTGATTCCCTGGCTTAGGCTCAAGACGTATGCCAACTTTCCAGAAGCACCTCAGGAGGAGGCTTCTCTCAGCAATAGGTATGTGGAAGGGACCCCGAGTTTGCTGCCTCAAGGGGAATATACAGCGAGAAGCCCTAACTTGAAAGGAGGCCGCATTTCCTTGCAGTGGCTTGAATACAGGCTCGTCTTTCATCTCACAACATGAAGGGATGTCTGAATCCCCTGCGGAGACCTTAGAGAAAGCCCTAGGTCCCTGCCTCATTTTGACGGAATGCCTCACGTCCCGCTGACACCTCGAGAGGCACGCGGAGTTCATTGCTTCAAAAGGTGACGATGCCTGACTCCTCTTGAATACTGATAGGAATCCCAAAATCCCTGTGGCTACTGGAAAGGGTCCTTGGGTACCCTGCCTCACCTCGAGAAGCGTCCCTTTTGCCCTGCCAAGCCTCGTAGAGATTCCTGAAGTGTCCCTCTTTACTAGACAGGAATCCTGATGTCACTGAAGAAACTCGTGTTTTGAAGGGCCATCCCCGCCCTAAGTCGAGAACATAGCCCAGGTCCCCAACGCAACTCGAGAAAAACCATGAGACTTCCCCCTAGAGGCGAGATGAGGCCCCATTCCCCTGCAGTGCATGCAGAGCTATTCTGTGATCCCATTCAACAAGTCAGGAGTTTCGACTTGCTTAATGGATCTCGAGACAGTCCCCAAGAACACTGTCACCAGTCTAGACGGACCCTGAGGTCACCCCAGCAACGCAAAGCAGCTCCATGTGCCCCAAATCAACTCGAGATGAGGCCCGATTCCCCTGCATTCACTCCAGAGCCATTCCCCGTTCCCCATTCAACACGACCGGTGGCTCGACTTCCTTCAGGCAACTCCAGAGATGCCCCGAGAACACTGTCCCAAGTCTAGAGGAACACCAACTTCAGCACAGCATCTCGACGAATGCTTCGTGTAACCCAAATCGTCTCGAGATGGGAGCTGATTCCCTGGCCAAGGCTCAAGACGTATGCCAACTTTCCAGAAGCACCTCAGGAGGAGGCTTCTCTCAGCAATAAGTATGTGGGAGGGACCCCGAGTTTGTGCCTCAAGGGGAATATACAGCGAGAAGCCCTAACATGAAAGGAGGCCGGATTTCCTTGCAGTGGCTTGAATACAGGCTCGTCTTTCATCTCACAACATGAAGGGATGTCTGAATCCCCTGTGGAGACCTTAGAGAAAGCCCTAGGTCCCTGCCTCATTTTGACGGAATACCTCACATCCCACTGACACCTCGAGAGGCACGCGGAGTTCATTGCTTCAAAAGGTGACGATGCCTGACTCCTCTTGAATACTGATAGGAATCCCGAAATCCCTGTGGCTACTGGAAAGGGTCCTTGGGTGCCCTGCCTCACCTCGAGAAGCGTCCCTTTTGCCCTGCCAAGCCTCGAAGAGATTCCTGAGGTGTTCCTCATTACTAGACAGGAGTCCTGACGTCACTGAAGAAAGTCGTGTTTTGAAGGGCCTTCCCCGCCGTAAGTCGGGAACATACCCCAGGTCCCCGCCTCAACTCGAGAAAAACCATGAGACTTCCCCCTAGAGGCGAGGTGAGGCCCCATTCCCCTGCAGTGCATGCAGAGCTATTCCGTGATCCCATTCAAACAAGTCAGGAGCTTCGACTTGCTTAATGGATCTCGAGACAGTCCCCAAGAACACTGTCACCAGTCTAGACGGACCCTGAGGTCACCCCAGCAACGCAAAGCAGCTCCATGTGCCCCAAATCAACTGGAGATGAGGCCCGATTCCCCTCCATTGACTCCAGAGCCATTCCCCGTTCCCCATTCAACACGACCGGTGGCTCGACTTCCTTCAGGCAACTCCAGAGATGCCCTGAGAACACTGTCCCAAGTCTAGAGGAACACCAACTTCAGCACAGCAACTCGAGGAATGCTCCGTGTACCCCAAATTGTCTCGAGGTGAGAGCTGATTCCCTGGATTAGGCTCAAGACGTATGCCAACTTTCCAGAAGCACCTCAGGAGGAGGCTCCTCTCACCAATAGGTATGTGGAAGGGACCCCGAGTTTGCTGCCTCAAGGGGAATATACAGCGAGAAGCCCTAACTTGAAAGGAGGCCGCATTTCCTTGCAGTGGCTTGAATACAGGTTCGTCTTTCATCTCACAACATGAAGGGATGTCTGAATCCCCTGTGGAGACCTTAGAGAAAGCCCTAGGTCCTTGCCTCATTTTGACGGAATGCCTCACATCCCACTGACACCTCGAGAGGCACGCGGAGTTCATTGCTTCAAAAGGTGACGATGCCTGACTCCTCTTGAATACTGATAGGAATCCCAAAATCCCTGTGGCTACTGGAAAGGGTCCTTGGGTACCCTGCCTCACCTCGAGAAGCGTCCCTTTTGCCCTGCCAAGCCTCGTAGAGATTCCTGAGGTGCCCCTCGTTACAAGACAGGAGTCCTGACGTCACTGAAGAAACTCGTGTTTTGAAGGGCCATCCCCGCCATAAGTCGAGAACATACCCCAGGTCCCCACCGCTACTCGAGAAAAACCATGAGACTTCCCCCTAGAGGCGAGATGAGGCCCCATTCCCCTGCAGTGCATGCAGAGCTATTCCGTTATCCCATTCAAACAAGTCAGGAGCTTCGACTTGCTTAATGGATCTCGAGACAGTCCCCAAGAACACTGTCACCAGTCTAGACGGACCCTGAGGTCACCCCAGCAACGCAAAGCAGCTCCATGTGCCCCAAATCAACTCGAGATGAGGCCCGATTCCCCTGCATTGACTCCAGAGCCATTCCCCGTTCCCCATTCAACACGACCGGTGGCTCGACTTCCTTCAGGCAACTCCAGAGATGCCCCGAGAACACTGTCCCAAGTCTAGAGGAACACCAACTTCAGCACAGCAACTCGAGGAATGCTCCGTGTACCCCAAATTGTCTCGAGATGAGAGCTGATTCCCTGGATTAGGCTCAAGACGTATGCCAACTTTCCAGAAGCACCTCAGGAGGAGGCTTCTCTCAGCAATAGGTATGTGGAAGGGACCCCGAGTTTGCTGCCTAATGGGAATATACAGCGAGAAGCCCTAACTTGAAAGGAGGCCGCATTTCCTTGCAGTGGCTTGAATACCGGCTCGTCTTTCATCTCACAACATGAAGGGATGTCTGAATCCCCTGTGGAGACCTTAGAGAAAGCCCTAGGTCCCTGCCTCATGTTGACGGAATGCCTCACATCCCGCTGACACCTCGAGAGGCACGCGGAGTTCATTGCTTCAAAAGGTGACGATGCCTGACTCCTCTTGAATACTGATAGGAATCCCAAAATCCCTGTGGGTACGGGAAAGGGTCCTTGGGTGCCCTGCCTCACCTCGAGAAGCGTCCCTTTTGCCCTGCCAAGCCTCGAAGAGATTCCTGAGGTGTCCCTCGTTACTAGACAGGAGTCCTGACGTCACTGAAGAAACTCGTGTTTTGAAGGGCCATCCCCGCCGTAAGTCGAGAACATACCCCAGGTCCCTGCCTCAACTCGAGAAAAACCATGAGACTTCCCCCTTGAGGCGAGATGAGGCCACATTCCCCTGCAGTGCATGCAGAGCTATTCCGTGATCCCATTCAAACAAGTCAGGAGCTTCGACTTGCTTAATGGATCTCGAGACAGTCCCTAAGAACACTGTCACCAGTCTAGACGGACCCTGAGGTCACCCCAGCAACGCAAAGCAGCTCCATGTGCCCCAAATCAACTCGAGATGAGGCCCGATTCCCCTGCATTGACTCCAGAGCCATTCCCCGTTCCCCATTCAACACGACCGGTGGCTCGACTTCCTTCAGGCAACTCCAGAGATGCCCCGAGAACACTGTCCCAAGTCTAGAGGAACACCAACTTCAGTACAGCAACTCGAGGAATGCTCCGTGTAACACAAATCGTCTCGAGATGAGAGCTGATTCCCTGGCTTAGGCTCAAGACTTATGCCAACTTTCCAGAAGCACCTCAGTAGGAGGCTTCTCTCACCAATAGTTATGTGGGAGGGACCCCGAGTTTGCTGCCTCAAGGGGAATTTACAGCGAGAAGCCCTAACTTGAAAGGAGGCCGGATTTCCTTGCAGTGGCTTGAATACAGGCTCGTCTTTCATCTCACAACATGAAGGGATGTCTGAATCCCCTGTGGAGACCTTAGAGAAAGCCCTAGGTCCCTGCCTCATTTTGACGGAATGCCTCACATCTCGCTGACACCTCGAGAGGCACGCGGAGTTCATTGCTTCAAAAGGTGACGATGCCTGACTCCTCTTGAATACTGATAGGAATCCCGAAATCCCTGTGGCTACGGGAAAGGGTCCTTAGGTGTCCTGCCTCACTTCGAGAAGCGTCCCTTTTGCCCTGCCAAGCCTCGAAGAGATTCCTGAGGTGTCCCTCGTTACTAGACAGGAGTCCTGACGTCACTGAAGAAACTCGTGTTTTGAAGGGCCATCCCCGCCGTAAGTCGAGAACATACCCCAGGTCCCCGCCGCAACTCGAGAAAAACCATGAGATTTCCCCCTAGAGGCGAGATGAGGCCCCATTCCCCTGCAGTGCATGCAGAGCTATTCCGTGATCCCATTCAAACAAGTCAGGAGCTTCGACTTGCTTAATGGATCTCGAGACAGTCCCCAAGAACACTGACACCAGTCTAGACGGACCCTGGGGTCACCCCAGCAACGCAAAGCAGCTCCATGTGCCCCAAATCAACTCGAGATGAGGCCCGATTCCCCTTCATTGACTCCAGAGACATTCCCTGTTCCCCATTCAACACGACCGGTGGCTCGACTTCCTTCAGGCAACTCCAGAGATGCCCCGAGAACACTGTCCCAAGTCTAGAGGAACACCAACTTCAGCACAGCAACTCGAGGAATGCTCCGTGTAACCCAAATCGTCTCGAGATGAGAGATGATTCCCTGGCTTAGGCTCAAGACGTATGCCAACTTTCCAGAAGCACCTCAGGAGGAGGCTTCTCTCAGCAATAGGTATGTGGGAGGGACCCCGAGTTTGCTGCCTCAAGGGAAATATACAGCGAGAAGCCCTAACTTGAAAGGAGGCCGGATTTCCTTGCAGTGGCTTGAATACAGGTTCGTCTTTCATCTCACCACATGAAGGGATGTCTGAATCCCCTGTGGAGACCTTAGAGAAAGCCCTAGGTCCCTGCCTCATGTTGACGGAATGCCTCACATCCCGCTGACACCTCGAGAGGCACGCGGAGTTCATTGCTTCAAAAGGTGACGATGCCTGACTCCTCTTGAATACTGATAGGAATCCCAAAATCCCTGTGGCTAGGGGAAAGGGTCCTTGGGTGCCCTGCCTCACCTCGAGAAGCGTCCCTTTTGCCCTGCCAAGCCTCTTAGAGATTCCTGAGGTGTCCCTCGTTACTAGACAGGAGTCCTGACGTCACTGAAGAAACTCGTGTTTTGAAGGGCCATCCCCGCCGTAAGTCGAGAACATACCCCAGGTCCCCGCCGCAACTCGAAAAAAACCATGAGATTTCCCCCTAGAGGCGAGATGAGGCCCCATTCCCCTTCAGTGCATGCAGAGCTATTCCGTGATCCCATTCAAACAAGTCAGGAGCTTCGACTTGCTTAATGGATCTCGAGACAGTCCCCAAGAACACTGTCACCAGTCTAGACGGACCCTGAGGTCACCCCAGCAACGCAAAGCAGCTCCATGTGCCCCAAATCAACTCGAGATGAGGCCCGATTCCCCTGCATTGACTCCAGAGCCATTCCCCGTTCCCCATTCAACACGACCGGTGGCTCGACTTCCTTCAGGCAACTCCAGAGATGCCCCGAGAACACTGTCCCAAGTCTAGAGGAACACCAACTTCAGCACAGCAACTCGAGGAATGCTCCGTGTACCCCAAATTGTCTCGAGATGAGAGCTGATTCCCTGGATTAGGCTCAAGACGTATGCCAACTTTCCAGAAGCACCTCAGGAGGAGGCTTCTCTCAGCAATAGGTATGTGGAAGGGACCCCGAGTTTGCTGCCTAAGGGGAATATACAGCGAGAAGCCCTAACTTGAAAGGAGGCCGCATTTCCTTGCAGTGGCTTGAATACCGGCTCGTCTTTCATCTCACAACATGAAGGGATGTCTGAATCCCCTGTGGAGACCTTAGAGAAAGCCCTAGGTCCCTGCCTCATGTTGACGGAATGCCTCACATCCCGCTGACACCTCGAGAGGCACGCGGAGTTCATTGCTTCAAAAGGTGACGATGCCTGACTCCTCTTGAATACTGATAGGAATCCCAAAATCCCTGTGGGTACGGGAAAGGGTCCTTGGGTGCCCTGCCTCACCTCGAGAAGCGTCCCTTTTGCCCTGCCAAGCCTCGAAGAGATTCCTGAGGTGTCCCTCGTTACTAGACAGGAGTCCTGACGTCACTGAAGAAACTCGTGTTTTGAAGGGCCATCCCCGCCGTAAGTCGAGAACATACCCCAGGTCCCTGCCTCAACTCGAGAAAAACCATGAGACTTCCCCCTTGAGGCGAGATGAGGCCACATTCCCCTGCAGTGCATGCAGAGCTATTCCGTGATCCCATTCAAACAAGTCAGGAGCTTCGACTTGCTTAATGGATCTCGAGACAGTCCCTAAGAACACTGTCACCAGTCTAGACGGACCCTGAGGTCACCCCAGCAACGCAAAGCAGCTCCATGTGCCCCAAATCAACTCGAGATGAGGCCCGATTCCCCTGCATTGACTCCAGAGCCATTCCCCGTTCCCCATTCAACACGACCGGTGGCTCGACTTCCTTCAGGCAACTCCAGAGATGCCCCGAGAACACTGTCCCAAGTCTAGAGGAACACCAACTTCAGTACAGCAACTCGAGGAATGCTCCGTGTAACCCAAATCGTCTCGAGATGAGAGCTGATTCCCTGGCTTAGGCTCAAGACTTATGCCAACTTTCCAGAAGCACCTCAGTAGGAGGCTTCTCTCACCAATAGTTATGTGGGAGGGACCCCGAGTTTGCTGCCTCAAGGGGAATTTACAGCGAGAAGCCCTAACTTGAAAGGAGGCCGGATTTCCTTGCAGTGGCTTGAATACAGGCTCGTCTTTCATCTCACAACATGAAGGGATGTCTGAATCCCCTGTGGAGACCTTAGAGAAAGCCCTAGGTCCCTGCCTCATTTTGACGGAAGGCCTCACATCTCGCTGACACCTCGAGAGGCACGCGGAGTTCATTGCTTCAAAAGGTGACGATGCCTGACTCCTCTTGAATACTGATAGGAATCCCGAAATCCCTGTGGCTACGGGAAAGGGTCCTTGGGTGTCCTGCCTCACTTCGAGAAGCGTCACTTTTGCCCTGCCAAGCCTCGAAGAGATTCCTGAGGTGTCCCTCGTTACTAGACAGGAGTCCTGACGTCACTGAAGAAACTCGTGTTTTGAAGGGCCATCCCCGCCGTAAGTCGAGAACATACCCCAGGTCCCCGCCGCAACTCGAGAAAAACCATGAGATTTCCCCCTAGAGGCGAGATGAGGCCCCATTCCCCTGCAGTGCATGCAGAGCTATTCCGTGATCCCATTCAAACAAGTCAGGAGCTTCGACTTGCTTAATGGATCTCGAGACAGTCCCCAAGAACACTGACACCAGTCTAGACGGACCCTGGGGTCACCCCAGCAACGCAAAGCAGCTCCATGTGCCCCAAATCAACTCGAGATGAGGCCCGATTCCCCTTCATTGACTCCAGAGACATTCCCTGTTCCCCATTCAACACGACCGGTGGCTCGACTTCCTTCAGGCAACTCCAGAGATGCCCCGAGAACACTGTCCCAAGTCTAGAGGAACACCAACTTCAGCACAGCAACTCGAGGAATGCTCCGTGTAACCCAAATCGTCTCGAGATGAGAGATGATTCCCTGGCTTAGGCTCAAGACGTATGCCAACTTTCCAGAAGCACCTCAGGAGGAGGCTTCTCTCAGCAATAGGTATGTGGGAGGGACCCCGAGTTTGCTGCCTCAAGGGAAATATACAGCGAGAAGCCCTAACTTGAAAGGAGGCCGGATTTCCTTGCAGTGGCTTGAATACAGGCTCGTCTTTCATCTCACAACATGAAGGGATGTCTGAATCCCCTGTGGAGACCTTAGAGAAAGCCCTAGGTCCCTGCCTCATGTTGACGGAATGCCTCACATCCCGCTGACACCTCGAGAGGCACGCGGAGTTCATTGCTTCAAAAGGTGACGATGCCTGACTCCTCTTGAATACTGATAGGAATCCCAAAATCCCTGTGGCTAGGGGAAAGGGTCCTTGGGTGCCCTGCCTCACCTCGAGAAGCGTCCCTTTTGCCCTGCCAAGCCTCTTAGAGATTCCTGAGGTGTCCCTCGTTACTAGACAGGAGTCCTGACGTCACTGAAGAAACTCGTGTTTTGAAGGGCCATCCCCGCCGTAAGTCGAGAACATACCCCAGGTCCCCGCCGCAACTCGAAAAAAACCATGAGATTTCCCCCTAGAGGCGAGATGAGGCCCCATTCCCCTTCAGTGCATGCAGAGCTATTCCGTGATCCCATTCAAACAAGTCAGGAGCTTCGACTTGCTTAATGGATCTCGAGACAGTCCCCAAGAACACTGTCACCAGTCTAGACGGACCCTGAGGTCACCCCAGCAACGCAAAGCAGCTCCATGTGCCCCAAATCAACTCGAGATGAGGCCCGATTCCCCTGCATTGACTCCAGAGCCATTCCCCGTTCCCCATTCAACACGACCGGTGGCTCGACTTCCTTCAGGCAACTCCAGAGATGCCCCGAGAACACTGTCCCAAGTCTAGAGGAACACCAATTTCAGCACAGCAACTCGAGGAATGCTCCGTGTACCCCAAATTGTCTCGAGATGAGAGCTGATTCCCTGGATTAGGCTCAAGACGTATGCGAACTTTCCAGAAGCACCTCAGGAGGAGGCTTCTCTCAGCAATAGGTATGTGGAAGGGACCCCGAGTTTGCTGCCTAAGGGGAATATACAGCGAGAAGCCCTAACTTGAAAGGAGGCCGCATTTCCTTGCAGTGGCTTGAATACCGGCTCGTCTTTCATCTCACAACATGAAGGGATGTCTGAATCCCCTGTGGAGACCTTAGAGAAAGCCCTAGGTCCCTGCCTCATGTTGACGGAATGCCTCACATCCCGCTGACACCTCGAGAGGCACGCGGAGTTCATTGCTTCAAAAGGTGACGATGCCTGACTCCTCTTGAATACTGATAGGAATCCCAAAATCCCTGTGGGTACGGGAAAGGGTCCTTGGGTGCCCTGCCTCACCTCGAGAAGCGTCCCTTTTGCCCTGCCAAGCCTCGAAGAGATTCCTGAGGTGTCCCTCGTTACTAGACAGGAGTCCTGACGTCACTGAAGAAACTCGTGTTTTGAAGGGCCATCCCCGCCGTAAGTCGAGAACATACCCCAGGTCCCTGCCTCAACTCGAGAAAAACCATGAGACTTCCCCCTTGAGGCGAGATGAGGCCACATTCCCCTGCAGTGCATGCAGAGCTATTCCGTGATCCCATTCAAACAAGTCAGGAGCTTCGACTTGCTTAATGGATCTCGAGACAGTCCCTAAGAACACTGTCACCAGTCTAGACGGACCCTGAGGTCACCCCAGCAACGCAAAGCAGCTCCATGTGCCCCAAATCAACTCGAGATGAGGCCCGATTCCCCTGCATTGACTCCAGAGCCATTCCCCGTTCCCCATTCAACACGACCGGTGGCTCGACTTCCTTCAGGCAACTCCAGAGATGCCCCGAGAACACTGTCCCAAGTCTAGAGGAACACCAACTTCAGTACAGCAACTCGAGGAATGCTCCGTGTAACCCAAATCGTCTCGAGATGAGAGCTGATTCCCTGGCTTAGGCTCAAGACTTATGCCAACTTTCCAGAAGCACCTCAGTAGGAGGCTTCTCTCACCAATAGTTATGTGGGAGGGACCCCGAGTTTGCTGCCTCAAGGGGAATTTACAGCGAGAAGCCCTAACTTGAAAGGAGGCCGGATTTCCTTGCAGTGGCTTGAATACAGGCTCGTCTTTCATCTCACAACATGAAGGGATGTCTGAATCCCCTGTGGAGACCTTAGAGAAAGCCCTAGGTCCCTGCCTCATTTTGACGGAATGCCTCACATCTCGCTGACACCTCGAGAGGCACGCGGAGTTCATTGCTTCAAAAGGTGACGATGCCTGACTCCTCTTGAATACTGATAGGAATCCCGAAATCCCTGTGGCTACGGGAAAGGGTCCTTGGGTGCCCTGCCTCACTTCGAGAAGCGTCCCTTTTGCCCTGCCAAGCCTCGAAGAGATTCCTGAGGTGTCCCTCGTTACTAGACAGGAGTCCTGACGTCACTGAAGAAACTCGTGTTTTGAAGGGCCATCCCCGCCGTAAGTCGAGAACATACCCCAGGTCCCCGCCGCAACTCGAGAAAAACCATGAGATTTCCCCCTAGAGGCGAGATGAGGCCCCATTCCCCTGCAGTGCATGCAGAGCTATTCCGTGATCCCATTCAAACAAGTCAGGAGCTTCGACTTGCTTAATGGATCTCGAGACAGTCCCCAAGAACACTGACACCAGTCTAGACGGACCCTGGGGTCACCCCAGCAACGCAAAGCAGCTCCATGTGCCCCAAATCAACTCGAGATGAGGCCCGATTCCCCTTCATTGACTCCAGAGACATTCCCTGTTCCCCATTCAACACGACCGGTGGCTCGACTTCCTTCAGGCAACTCCAGAGATGCCCCGAGAACACTGTCCCAAGTCTAGAGGAACACCAACTTCAGCACAGCAACTCGAGGAATGCTCCGTGTAACCCAAATCGTCTCGAGATGAGAGATGATTCCCTGGCTTAGGCTCAAGACGTATGCCAACTTTCCAGAAGCACCTCAGGAGGAGGCTTCTCTCAGCAATAGGTATGTGGGAGGGACCCCGAGTTTGCTGCCTCAAGGGAAATATACAGCGAGAAGCCCTAACTTGAAAGGAGGCCGGATTTCCTTGCAGTGGCTTGAATACAGGCTCGTCTTTCATCTCACAACATGAAGGGATGTCTGAATCCCCTGTGGAGACCTTAGAGAAAGCCCTAGGTCCCTGCCTCATGTTGACGGAATGCCTCACATCCCGCTTACACCTCGAGAGGCACGCGGAGTTCATTGCTTCAAAAGGTGACGATGCCTGACTCCTCTTGAATACTGATAGGAATCCCAAAATCCCTGTGGCTAGGGGAAAGGGTCCTTGGGTGCCCTGCCTCACCTCGAGAAGCGTCCCTTTTGCCCTGCCAAGCCTCTTAGAGATTCCTGAGGTGTCCCTCGTTACTAGACAGGAGTCCTGACGTCACTGAAGAAACTCGTGTTTTGAAGGGCCATCCCCGCCGTAAGTCGAGAACATACCCCAGGTCCCCGCCGCAACTCGAAAAAAACCATGAGATTTCCCCCTAGAGGCGAGATGAGGCCCCATTCCCCTTCAGTGCATGCAGAGCTATTCCGTGATCCCATTCAAACAAGTCAGGAGCTTCGACTTGCTTAATGGATCTCGACACAGTCCCCAAGAACACTGTCACCAGTCTAGACGGACCCTGAGGTCACCCCAGCAACGCAAAGCAGCTCCATGTGCCCCAAATCAACTCGAGATGAGGCCCGATTCCCCTGCATTGACTCCAGAGCCATTCCCCGTTCCCCATTCAACACGACCGGTGGCTCGACTTCCTTCAGGCAACTCCAGAGATGCCCCGAGAACACTGTCCCAAGTCTAGAGGAACACCAACTTCAGCACAGCAACTCGAGGAATGCTCCGTATACCCCAAATTGTCTCGAGATGAGAGCTGATTCCCTGGATTAGGCTCAAGACGTATGCCAACTTTCCAGAAGCACCTCAGGAGGAGGCTTCTCTCAGCAATAGGTATGTGGAAGGGACCCCGAGTTTGCTGCCTAAGGGGAATATACAGCGAGAAGCCCTAACTTGAAAGGAGGCCGCATTTCCTTGCAGTGGCTTGAATACCGGCTCGTCTTTCATCTCACAACATGAAGGGATGTCTGAATCCCCTGTGGAGACCTTAGAGAAAGCCCTAGGTCCCTGCCTCATGTTGACGGAATGCCTCACATCCCGCTGACACCTCGAGAGGCACGCGGAGTTCATTGCTTCAAAAGGTGACGATGCCTGACTCCTCTTGAATACTGATAGGAATCCCAAAATCCCTGTGGGTACGGGAAAGGGTCCTTGGGTGCCCTGCCTCACCTCGAGAAGCGTCCCTTTTGCCCTGCCAAGCCTCGAAGAGATTCTTGAGGTGTCCCTCGTTACTAGACAGGAGTCCTGACGTCACTGAAGAAACTCGTGTTTTGAAGGGCCATCCCCGCCGTAAGTCGAGAACATACCCCAGGTCCCCGCCGCAACTCGAGAAAAACCATGAGATTTCCCCCTAGAGGCGAGATGAGGCCCCATTCCCCTGCAGTGCATGCAGAGCTATTCCGTGATCCCATTCAAACAAGTCAGGAGCTTCGACTTGCTTAATGGATCTCGAGACAGTCCCCAAGAACACTGACACCAGTCTAGACGGACCCTGGGGTCACCCCAGCAACGCAAAGCAGCTCCATGTGCCCCAAATCAACTCGAGATGAGGCCCGATTCCCCTTCATTGACTCCAGAGACATTCCCTGTTCCCCATTCAACACGACCGGTGGCTCGACTTCCTTCAGGCAACTCCAGAGATGCCCCGAGAACACTGTCCCAAGTGTAGAGGAACAACAACTTCAGCAGAGCAACCCGAGGAATGCTCCGTGTACCCCCAATCGTCTCGAGATGAGAGCTGATTCCCTGGCTTAGGCTCAAGACGTATGCCAACTTTCCAGAAGCACCTCAGGAGGAGGCTTCTCTCAGCAATAGGTATGTGGAAGGGACCCCGAGTTTGCTGCCTCAAGGGGAATATACAGCGAGAAGCCCTAACTTGAAAGGAGGCCGCATTTCCTTGCAGTGGCTTGAATACAGGCTCGTCTTTCATCTCACAACATGAAGGGATGTCTGAATCCCCTGCGGAGACCTTAGAGAAAGCCCTAGGTCCCTGCCTCATTTTGACGGAATGCCTCACGTCCCGCTGACACCTCGAGAGGCACGCGGAGTTCATTGCTTCAAAAGGTGACGATGCCTGACTCCTCTTGAATACTGATAGGAATCCCAAAATCCCTGTGGCTACTGGAAAGGGTCCTTGGGTACCCTGCCTCACCTCGAGAAGCGTCCCTTTTGCCCTGCCAAGCCTCGTAGAGATTCCTGAAGTGTCCCTCTTTACTAGACAGGAATCCTGATGTCACTGAAGAAACTCGTGTTTTGAAGGGCCATCCCCGCCCTAAGTCGAGAACATAGCCCAGGTCCCCAACGCAACTCGAGAAAAACCATGAGACTTCCCCCTAGAGGCGAGATGAGGCCCCATTCCCCTGCAGTGCATGCAGAGCTATTCTGTGATCCCATTCAACAAGTCAGGAGTTTCGACTTGCTTAATGGATCTCGAGACAGTCCCCAAGAACACTGTCACCAGTCTAGACGGACCCTGAGGTCACCCCAGCAACGCAAAGCAGCTCCATGTGCCCCAAATCAACTCGAGATGAGGCCCGATTCCCCTGCATTCACTCCAGAGCCATTCCCCGTTCCCCATTCAACACGACCGGTGGCTCGACTTCCTTCAGGCAACTCCAGAGATGCCCCGAGAACACTGTCCCAAGTCTAGAGGAACACCAACTTCAGCACAGCATCTCGACGAATGCTTCGTGTAACCCAAATCGTCTCGAGATGGGAGCTGATTCCCTGGCCAAGGCTCAAGACGTATGCCAACTTTCCAGAAGCACCTCAGGAGGAGGCTTCTCTCAGCAATAATTATGTGGGAGGGACCCCGAGTTTGTGCCTCAAGGGGAATATACAGCGAGAAGCCCTAACATGAAAGGAGGCCGGATTTCCTTGCAGTGGCTTGAATACAGGCTCGTCTTTCATCTCACAACATGAAGGGATGTCTGAATCCCCTGTGGAGACCTTAGAGAAAGCCCTAGGTCCCTGCCTCATTTTGACGGAATACCTCACATCCCACTGACACCTCGAGAGGCACGCGGAGTTCATTGCTTCAAAAGGTGACGATGCCTGACTCCTCTTGAATACTGATAGGAATCCCAAAATCCCTGTGGCTACTGGAAAGGGTCCTTGGGTGCCCTGCCTCACCTCGAGAAGCGTCCCTTTTGCCCTGCCAAGCCTCGAAGAGATTCCTGAGGTGTTCCTCATTACTAGACAGGAGTCCTGACGTCACTGAAGAAAGTCGTGTTTTGAAGGGCCTTCCCCGCCGTAAGTCGGGAACATACCCCAGGTCCCCGCCTCAACTCGAGAAAAACCATGAGACTTCCCCCTAGAGGCGAGGTGAGGCCCCATTCCCCTGCAGTGCATGCAGAGCTATTCCGTGATCCCATTCAAACAAGTCAGGAGCTTCGACTTGCTTAATGGATCTCGAGACAGTCCCCAAGAACACTGTCACCAGTCTAGACGGACCCTGAGGTCACCCCAGCAACGCAAAGCAGCTCCATGTGCCCCAAATCAACTGGAGATGAGGCCCGATTCCCCTCCATTGACTCCAGAGCCATTCCCCGTTCCCCATTCAACACGACCGGTGGCTCGACTTCCTTCAGGCAACTCCAGAGATGCCCTGAGAACACTGTCCCAAGTCTAGAGGAACACCAACTTCAGCACAGCAACTCGAGGAATGCTCCGTGTACCCCAAATTGTCTCGAGGTGAGAGCTGATTCCCTGGATTAGGCTCAAGACGTATGCCAACTTTCCAGAAGCACCTCAGGAGGAGGCTCCTCTCACCAATAGGTATGTGGAAGGGACCCCGAGTTTGCTGCCTCAAGGGGAATATACAGCGAGAAGCCCTAACTTGAAAGGAGGCCGAATTTCCTTGCAGTGGCTTGAATACAGGTTCGTCTTTCATCTCACAACATGAAGGGATGTCTGAATCCCCTGTGGAGACCTTAGAGAAAGCCCTAGGTCCTTGCCTCATTTTGACGGAATGCCTCACATCCCACTGACACCTCGAGAGGCACGCGGAGTTCATTGCTTCAAAAGGTGACGATGCCTGACTCCTCTTGAATACTGATAGGAATCCCAAAATCCCTGTGGCTACTGGAAAGGGTCCTTGGGTACCCTGCCTCACCTCGAGAAGCGTCCCTTTTGCCCTGCCAAGCCTCGTAGAGATTCCTGAGGTGTCCCTCGTTACAAGACAGGAGTCCTGACGTCACTGAAGAAACTCGTGTTTTGAAGGGCCATCCCCGCCATAAGTCGAGAACATACCCCAGGTCCCCACCGCTACTCGAGAAAAACCATGAGACTTCCCCCTAGAGGCGAGATGAGGCCCCATTCCCCTGCAGTGCATGCAGAGCTATTCCGTTATCCCATTCAAACAAGTCAGGAGCTTCGACTTGCTTAATGGATCTCGAGACAGTCCCCAAGAACACTGTCACCAGTCTAGACGGACCCTGAGGTCACCCCAGCAACGCAAAGCAGCTCCATGTGCCCCAAATCAACTCGAGATGAGGCCCGATTCCCCTGCATTGACTCCAGAGCCATTCCCCGTTCCCCATTCAACACGACCGGTGGCTCGACTTCCTTCAGGCAACTCCAGAGATGCCCCGAGAACACTGTCCCAAGTCTAGAGGAACACCAACTTCAGCACAGCAACTCGAGGAATGCTCCGTGTACCCCAAATTGTCTCGAGATGAGAGCTGATTCCCTGGATTAGGCTCAAGACGTATGCCAACTTTCCAGAAGCACCTCAGGAGGAGGCTTCTCTCAGCAATAGGTATGTGGAAGGGACCCCGAGTTTGCTGCCTAAGGGGAATATACAGCGAGAAGCCCTAACTTGAAAGGAGGCCGCATTTCCTTGCAGTGGCTTGAATACCGGCTCGTCTTTCATCTCACAACATGAAGGGATGTCTGAATCCCCTGTGGAGACCTTAGAGAAAGCCCTAGGTCCCTGCCTCATGTTGACGGAATGCCTCACATCCCGCTGACACCTCGAGAGGCACGCGGAGTTCATTGCTTCAAAAGGTGACGATGCCTGACTCCTCTTGAATACTGATAGGAATCCCAAAATCCCTGTGGGTACGGGAAAGGGTCCTTGGGTGCCCTGCCTCACCTCGAGAAGCGTCCCTTTTGCCCTGCCAAGCCTCGAAGAGATTCCTGAGGTGTCCCTCGTTACTAGACAGGAGTCCTGACGTCACTGAAGAAACTCGTGTTTTGAAGGGCCATCCCCGCCGTAAGTCGAGAACATACCCCAGGTCCCTGCCTCAACTCGAGAAAAACCATGAGACTTCCCCCTTGAGGCGAGATGAGGCCACATTCCCCTGCAGTGCATGCAGAGCTATTCCGTGATCCCATTCAAACAAGTCAGGAGCTTCGACTTGCTTAATGGATCTCGAGACAGTCCCTAAGAACACTGTCACCAGTCTAGACGGACCCTGAGGTCACCCCAGCAACGCAAAGCAGCTCCATGTGCCCCAAATCAACTCGAGATGAGGCCCGATTCCCCTGCATTGACTCCAGAGCCATTCCCCGTTCCCCATTCAACACGACCGGTGGCTCGACTTCCTTCAGGCAACTCCAGAGATGCCCCGAGAACACTGTCCCAAGTCTAGAGGAACACCAACTTCAGTACAGCAACTCGAGGAATGCTCCGTGTAACCCAAATCGTCTCGAGATGAGAGCTGATTCCCTGGCTTAGGCTCAAGACTTATGCCAACTTTCCAGAAGCACCTCAGTAGGAGGCTTCTCTCACCAATAGTTATGTGGGAGGGACCCCGAGTTTGCTGCCTCAAGGGGAATTTACAGCGAGAAGCCCTAACTTGAAAGGAGGCCGGATTTCCTTGCAGTGGCTTGAATACAGGCTCGTCTTTCATCTCACAACATGAAGGGATGTCTGAATCCCCTGTGGAGACCTTAGAGAAAGCCCTAGGTCCCTGCCTCATTTTGACGGAAGGCCTCACATCTCGCTGACACCTCGAGAGGCACGCGGAGTTCATTGCTTCAAAAGGTGACGATGCCTGACTCCTCTTGAATACTGATAGGAATCCCGAAATCCCTGTGGCTACGGGAAAGGGTCCTTGGGTGTCCTGCCTCACTTCGAGAAGCGTCACTTTTGCCCTGCCAAGCCTCGAAGAGATTCCTGAGGTGTCCCTCGTTACTAGACAGGAGTCCTGACGTCACTGAAGAAACTCGTGTTTTGAAGGGCCATCCCCGCCGTAAGTCGAGAACATACCCCAGGTCCCCGCCGCAACTCGAGAAAAACCATGAGATTTCCCCCTAGAGGCGAGATGAGGCCCCATTCCCCTGCAGTGCATGCAGAGCTATTCCGTGATCCCATTCAAACAAGTCAGGAGCTTCGACTTGCTTAATGGATCTCGAGACAGTCCCCAAGAACACTGACACCAGTCTAGACGGACCCTGGGGTCACCCCAGCAACGCAAAGCAGCTCCATGTGCCCCAAATCAACTCGAGATGAGGCCCGATTCCCCTTCATTGACTCCAGAGACATTCCCTGTTCCCCATTCAACACGACCGGTGGCTCGACTTCCTTCAGGCAACTCCAGAGATGCCCCGAGAACACTGTCCCAAGTCTAGAGGAACACCAACTTCAGCACAGCAACTCGAGGAATGCTCCGTGTAACCCAAATCGTCTCGAGATGAGAGATGATTCCCTGGCTTAGGCTCAAGACGTATGCCAACTTTCCAGAAGCACCTCAGGAGGAGGCTTCTCTCAGCAATAGGTATGTGGGAGGGACCCCGAGTTTGCTGCCTCAAGGGAAATATACAGCGAGAAGCCCTAACTTGAAAGGAGGCCGGATTTCCTTGCAGTGGCTTGAATACAGGCTCGTCTTTCATCTCACAACATGAAGGGATGTCTGAATCCCCTGTGGAGACCTTAGAGAAAGCCCTAGGTCCCTGCCTCATGTTGACGGAATGCCTCACATCCCGCTGACACCTCGAGAGGCACGCGGAGTTCATTGCTTCAAAAGGTGACGATGCCTGACTCCTCTTGAATACTGATAGGAATCCCAAAATCCCTGTGGCTAGGGGAAAGGGTCCTTGGGTGCCCTGCCTCACCTCGAGAAGCGTCCCTTTTGCCCTGCCAAGCCTCTTAGAGATTCCTGAGGTGTCCCTCGTTACTAGACAGGAGTCCTGACGTCACTGAAGAAACTCGTGTTTTGAAGGGCCATCCCCGCCGTAAGTCGAGAACATACCCCAGGTCCCCGCCGCAACTCGAAAAAAACCATGAGATTTCCCCCTAGAGGCGAGATGAGGCCCCATTCCCCTTCAGTGCATGCAGAGCTATTCCGTGATCCCATTCAAACAAGTCAGGAGCTTCGACTTGCTTAATGGATCTCGAGACAGTCCCCAAGAACACTGTCACCAGTCTAGACGGACCCTGAGGTCACCCCAGCAACGCAAAGCAGCTCCATGTGCCCCAAATCAACTCGAGATGAGGCCCGATTCCCCTGCATTGACTCCAGAGCCATTCCCCGTTCCCCATTCAACACGACCGGTGGCTCGACTTCCTTCAGGCAACTCCAGAGATGCCCCGAGAACACTGTCCCAAGTCTAGAGGAACACCAATTTCAGCACAGCAACTCGAGGAATGCTCCGTGTACCCCAAATTGTCTCGAGATGAGAGCTGATTCCCTGGATTAGGCTCAAGACGTATGCGAACTTTCCAGAAGCACCTCAGGAGGAGGCTTCTCTCAGCAATAGGTATGTGGAAGGGACCCCGAGTTTGCTGCCTAAGGGGAATATACAGCGAGAAGCCCTAACTTGAAAGGAGGCCGCATTTCCTTGCAGTGGCTTGAATACCGGCTCGTCTTTCATCTCACAACATGAAGGGATGTCTGAATCCCCTGTGGAGACCTTAGAGAAAGCCCTAGGTCCCTGCCTCATGTTGACGGAATGCCTCACATCCCGCTGACACCTCGAGAGGCACGCGGAGTTCATTGCTTCAAAAGGTGACGATGCCTGACTCCTCTTGAATACTGATAGGAATCCCAAAATCCCTGTGGGTACGGGAAAGGGTCCTTGGGTGCCCTGCCTCACCTCGAGAAGCGTCCCTTTTGCCCTGCCAAGCCTCGAAGAGATTCCTGAGGTGTCCCTCGTTACTAGACAGGAGTCCTGACGTCACTGAAGAAACTCGTGTTTTGAAGGGCCATCCCCGCCGTAAGTCGAGAACATACCCCAGGTCCCTGCCTCAACTCGAGAAAAACCATGAGACTTCCCCCTTGAGGCGAGATGAGGCCACATTCCCCTGCAGTGCATGCAGAGCTATTCCGTGATCCCATTCAAACAAGTCAGGAGCTTCGACTTGCTTAATGGATCTCGAGACAGTCCCTAAGAACACTGTCACCAGTCTAGACGGACCCTGAGGTCACCCCAGCAACGCAAAGCAGCTCCATGTGCCCCAAATCAACTCGAGATGAGGCCCGATTCCCCTGCATTGACTCCAGAGCCATTCCCCGTTCCCCATTCAACACGACCGGTGGCTCGACTTCCTTCAGGCAACTCCAGAGATGCCCCGAGAACACTGTCCCAAGTCTAGAGGAACACCAACTTCAGTACAGCAACTCGAGGAATGCTCCGTGTAACCCAAATCGTCTCGAGATGAGAGCTGATTCCCTGGCTTAGGCTCAAGACTTATGCCAACTTTCCAGAAGCACCTCAGTAGGAGGCTTCTCTCACCAATAGTTATGTGGGAGGGACCCCGAGTTTGCTGCCTCAAGGGGAATTTACAGCGAGAAGCCCTAACTTGAAAGGAGGCCGGATTTCCTTGCAGTGGCTTGAATACAGGCTCGTCTTTCATCTCACAACATGAAGGGATGTCTGAATCCCCTGTGGAGACCTTAGAGAAAGCCCTAGGTCCCTGCCTCATTTTGACGGAATGCCTCACATCTCGCTGACACCTCGAGAGGCACGCGGAGTTCATTGCTTCAAAAGGTGACGATGCCTGACTCCTCTTGAATACTGATAGGAATCCCGAAATCCCTGTGGCTACGGGAAAGGGTCCTTGGGTGCCCTGCCTCACTTCGAGAAGCGTCCCTTTTGCCCTGCCAAGCCTCGAAGAGATTCCTGAGGTGTCCCTCGTTACTAGACAGGAGTCCTGACGTCACTGAAGAAACTCGTGTTTTGAAGGGCCATCCCCGCCGTAAGTCGAGAACATACCCCAGGTCCCCGCCGCAACTCGAGAAAAACCATGAGATTTCCCCCTAGAGGCGAGATGAGGCCCCATTCCCCTGCAGTGCATGCAGAGCTATTCCGTGATCCCATTCAAACAAGTCAGGAGCTTCGACTTGCTTAATGGATCTCGAGACAGTCCCCAAGAACACTGACACCAGTCTAGACGGACCCTGGGGTCACCCCAGCAACGCAAAGCAGCTCCATGTGCCCCAAATCAACTCGAGATGAGGCCCGATTCCCCTTCATTGACTCCAGAGACATTCCCTGTTCCCCATTCAACACGACCGGTGGCTCGACTTCCTTCAGGCAACTCCAGAGATGCCCCGAGAACACTGTCCCAAGTCTAGAGGAACACCAACTTCCGCACAGCAACTCGAGGAATGCTCCGTGTAACCCAAATCGTCTCGAGATGAGAGATGATTCCCTGGCTTAGGCTCAAGACGTATGCCAACTTTCCAGAAGCACCTCAGGAGGAGGCTTCTCTCAGCAATAGGTATGTGGGAGGGACCCCGAGTTTGCTGCCTCAAGGGAAATATACAGCGAGAAGCCCTAACTTGAAAGGAGGCCGGATTTCCTTGCAGTGGCTTGAATACAGGCTCGTCTTTCATCTCACAACATGAAGGGATGTCTGAATCCCCTGTGGAGACCTTAGAGAAAGCCCTAGGTCCCTGCCTCATGTTGACGGAATGCCTCACATCCCGCTTACACCTCGAGAGGCACGCGGAGTTCATTGCTTCAAAAGGTGACGATGCCTGACTCCTCTTGAATACTGATAGGAATCCCAAAATCCCTGTGGCTAGGGGAAAGGGTCCTTGGGTGCCCTGCCTCACCTCGAGAAGCGTCCCTTTTGCCCTGCCAAGCCTCTTAGAGATTCCTGAGGTGTCCCTCGTTACTAGACAGGAGTCCTGACGTCACTGAAGAAACTCGTGTTTTGAAGGGCCATCCCCGCCGTAAGTCGAGAACATACCCCAGGTCCCCGCCGCAACTCGAAAAAAACCATGAGATTTCCCCCTAGAGGCGAGATGAGGCCCCATTCCCCTTCAGTGCATGCAGAGCTATTCCGTGATCCCATTCAAACAAGTCAGGAGCTTCGACTTGCTTAATGGATCTCGACACAGTCCCCAAGAACACTGTCACCAGTCTAGACGGACCCTGAGGTCACCCCAGCAACGCAAAGCAGCTCCATGTGCCCCAAATCAACTCGAGATGAGGCCCGATTCCCCTGCATTGACTCCAGAGCCATTCCCCGTTCCCCATTCAACACGACCGGTGGCTCGACTTCCTTCAGGCAACTCCAGAGATGCCCCGAGAACACTGTCCCAAGTCTAGAGGAACACCAACTTCAGCACAGCAACTCGAGGAATGCTCCGTATACCCCAAATTGTCTCGAGATGAGAGCTGATTCCCTGGATTAGGCTCAAGACGTATGCCAACTTTCCAGAAGCACCTCAGGAGGAGGCTTCTCTCAGCAATAGGTATGTGGAAGGGACCCCGAGTTTGCTGCCTAAGGGGAATATACAGCGAGAAGCCCTAACTTGAAAGGAGGCCGCATTTCCTTGCAGTGGCTTGAATACCGGCTCGTCTTTCATCTCACAACATGAAGGGATGTCTGAATCCCCTGTGGAGACCTTAGAGAAAGCCCTAGGTCCCTGCCTCATGTTGACGGAATGCCTCACATCCCGCTGACACCTCGAGAGGCACGCGGAGTTCATTGCTTCAAAAGGTGACGATGCCTGACTCCTCTTGAATACTGATAGGAATCCCAAAATCCCTGTGGGTACGGGAAAGGGTCCTTGGGTGCCCTGCCTCACCTCGAGAAGCGTCCCTTTTGCCCTGCCAAGCCTCGAAGAGATTCTTGAGGTGTCCCTCGTTACTAGACAGGAGTCCTGACGTCACTGAAGAAACTCGTGTTTTGAAGGGCCATCCCCGCCGTAAGTCGAGAACATACCCCAGGTCCCCGCCGCAACTCGAGAAAAACCATGAGATTTCCCCCTAGAGGCGAGATGAGGCCCCATTCCCCTGCAGTGCATGCAGAGCTATTCCGTGATCCCATTCAAACAAGTCAGGAGCTTCGACTTGCTTAATGGATCTCGAGACAGTCCCCAAGAACACTGACACCAGTCTAGACGGACCCTGGGGTCACCCCAGCAACGCAAAGCAGCTCCATGTGCCCCAAATCAACTCGAGATGAGGCCCGATTCCCCTTCATTGACTCCAGAGACATTCCCTGTTCCCCATTCAACACGACCGGTGGCTCGACTTCCTTCAGGCAACTCCAGAGATGCCCCGAGAACACTGTCCCAAGTGTAGAGGAACAACAACTTCAGCAGAGCAACCCGAGGAATGCTCCGTGTACCCCCAATCGTCTCGAGATGAGAGCTGATTCCCTGGCTTAGGCTCAAGACGTATGCCAACTTTCCAGAAGCACCTCAGGAGGAGGCTTCTCTCAGCAATAGGTATGTGGAAGGGACCCCGAGTTTGCTGCCTCAAGGGGAATATACAGCGAGAAGCCCTAACTTGAAAGGAGGCCGCATTTCCTTGCAGTGGCTTGAATACAGGCTCGTCTTTCATCTCACAACATGAAGGGATGTCTGAATCCCCTGCGGAGACCTTAGAGAAAGCCCTAGGTCCCTGCCTCATTTTGACGGAATGCCTCACGTCCCGCTGACACCTCGAGAGGCACGCGGAGTTCATTGCTTCAAAAGGTGACGATGCCTGACTCCTCTTGAATACTGATAGGAATCCCAAAATCCCTGTGGCTACTGGAAAGGGTCCTTGGGTACCCTGCCTCACCTCGAGAAGCGTCCCTTTTGCCCTGCCAAGCCTCGTAGAGATTCCTGAAGTGTCCCTCTTTACTAGACAGGAATCCTGATGTCACTGAAGAAACTCGTGTTTTGAAGGGCCATCCCCGCCCTAAGTCGAGAACATAGCCCAGGTCCCCAACGCAACTCGAGAAAAACCATGAGACTTCCCCCTAGAGGCGAGATGAGGCCCCATTCCCCTGCAGTGCATGCAGAGCTATTCTGTGATCCCATTCAACAAGTCAGGAGTTTCGACTTGCTTAATGGATCTCGAGACAGTCCCCAAGAACACTGTCACCAGTCTAGACGGACCCTGAGGTCACCCCAGCAACGCAAAGCAGCTCCATGTGCCCCAAATCAACTCGAGATGAGGCCCGATTCCCCTGCATTCACTCCAGAGCCATTCCCCGTTCCCCATTCAACACGACCGGTGGCTCGACTTCCTTCAGGCAACTCCAGAGATGCCCCGAGAACACTGTCCCAAGTCTAGAGGAACACCAACTTCAGCACAGCATCTCGACGAATGCTTCGTGTAACCCAAATCGTCTCGAGATGGGAGCTGATTCCCTGGCCAAGGCTCAAGACGTATGCCAACTTTCCAGAAGCACCTCAGGAGGAGGCTTCTCTCAGCAATAATTATGTGGGAGGGACCCCGAGTTTGTGCCTCAAGGGGAATATACAGCGAGAAGCCCTAACATGAAAGGAGGCCGGATTTCCTTGCAGTGGCTTGAATACAGGCTCGTCTTTCATCTCACAACATGAAGGGATGTCTGAATCCCCTGTGGAGACCTTAGAGAAAGCCCTAGGTCCCTGCCTCATTTTGACGGAATACCTCACATCCCACTGACACCTCGAGAGGCACGCGGAGTTCATTGCTTCAAAAGGTGACGATGCCTGACTCCTCTTGAATACTGATAGGAATCCCAAAATCCCTGTGGCTACTGGAAAGGGTCCTTGGGTGCCCTGCCTCACCTCGAGAAGCGTCCCTTTTGCCCTGCCAAGCCTCGAAGAGATTCCTGAGGTGTTCCTCATTACTAGACAGGAGTCCTGACGTCACTGAAGAAAGTCGTGTTTTGAAGGGCCTTCCCCGCCGTAAGTCGGGAACATACCCCAGGTCCCCGCCTCAACTCGAGAAAAACCATGAGACTTCCCCCTAGAGGCGAGGTGAGGCCCCATTCCCCTGCAGTGCATGCAGAGCTATTCCGTGATCCCATTCAAACAAGTCAGGAGCTTCGACTTGCTTAATGGATCTCGAGACAGTCCCCAAGAACACTGTCACCAGTCTAGACGGACCCTGAGGTCACCCCAGCAACGCAAAGCAGCTCCATGTGCCCCAAATCAACTGGAGATGAGGCCCGATTCCCCTCCATTGACTCCAGAGCCATTCCCCGTTCCCCATTCAACACGACCGGTGGCTCGACTTCCTTCAGGCAACTCCAGAGATGCCCTGAGAACACTGTCCCAAGTCTAGAGGAACACCAACTTCAGCACAGCAACTCGAGGAATGCTCCGTGTACCCCAAATTGTCTCGAGGTGAGAGCTGATTCCCTGGATTAGGCTCAAGACGTATGCCAACTTTCCAGAAGCACCTCAGGAGGAGGCTCCTCTCACCAATAGGTATGTGGAAGGGACCCCGAGTTTGCTGCCTCAAGGGGAATATACAGCGAGAAGCCCTAACTTGAAAGGAGGCCGAATTTCCTTGCAGTGGCTTGAATACAGGTTCGTCTTTCATCTCACAACATGAAGGGATGTCTGAATCCCCTGTGGAGACCTTAGAGAAAGCCCTAGGTCCTTGCCTCATTTTGACGGAATGCCTCACATCCCACTGACACCTCGAGAGGCACGCGGAGTTCATTGCTTCAAAAGGTGACGATGCCTGACTCCTCTTGAATACTGATAGGAATCCCAAAATCCCTGTGGCTACTGGAAAGGGTCCTTGGGTACCCTGCCTCACCTCGAGAAGCGTCCCTTTTGCCCTGCCAAGCCTCGTAGAGATTCCTGAGGTGTCCCTCGTTACAAGACAGGAGTCCTGACGTCACTGAAGAAACTCGTGTTTTGAAGGGCCATCCCCGCCATAAGTCGAGAACATACCCCAGGTCCCCACCGCTACTCGAGAAAAACCATGAGACTTCCCCCTAGAGGCGAGATGAGGCCCCATTCCCCTGCAGTGCATGCAGAGCTATTCCGTTATCCCATTCAAACAAGTCAGGAGCTTCGACTTGCTTAATGGATCTCGAGACAGTCCCCAAGAACACTGTCACCAGTCTAGACGGACCCTGAGGTCACCCCAGCAACGCAAAGCAGCTCCATGTGCCCCAAATCAACTCGAGATGAGGCCCGATTCCCCTGCATTGACTCCAGAGCCATTCCCCGTTCCCCATTCAACACGACCGGTGGCTCGACTTCCTTCAGGCAACTCCAGAGATGCCCCGAGAACACTGTCCCAAGTCTAGAGGAACACCAACTTCAGCACAGCAACTCGAGGAATGCTCCGTGTACCCCAAATTGTCTCGAGATGAGAGCTGATTCCCTGGATTAGGCTCAAGACGTATGCCAACTTTCCAGAAGCACCTCAGGAGGAGGCTTCTCTCAGCAATAGGTATGTGGAAGGGACCCCGAGTTTGCTGCCTAAGGGGAATATACAGCGAGAAGCCCTAACTTGAAAGGAGGCCGCATTTCCTTGCAGTGGCTTGAATACCGGCTCGTCTTTCATCTCACAACATGAAGGGATGTCTGAATCCCCTGTGGAGACCTTAGAGAAAGCCCTAGGTCCCTGCCTCATGTTGACGGAATGCCTCACATCCCGCTGACACCTCGAGAGGCACGCGGAGTTCATTGCTTCAAAAGGTGACGATGCCTGACTCCTCTTGAATACTGATAGGAATCCCAAAATCCCTGTGGGTACGGGAAAGGGTCCTTGGGTGCCCTGCCTCACCTCGAGAAGCGTCCCTTTTGCCCTGCCAAGCCTCGAAGAGATTCCTGAGGTGTCCCTCGTTACTAGACAGGAGTCCTGACGTCACTGAAGAAACTCGTGTTTTGAAGGGCCATCCCCGCCGTAAGTCGAGAACATACCCCAGGTCCCTGCCTCAACTCGAGAAAAACCATGAGACTTCCCCCTTGAGGCGAGATGAGGCCACATTCCCCTGCAGTGCATGCAGAGCTATTCCGTGATCCCATTCAAACAAGTCAGGAGCTTCGACTTGCTTAATGGATCTCGAGACAGTCCCTAAGAACACTGTCACCAGTCTAGACGGACCCTGAGGTCACCCCAGCAACGCAAAGCAGCTCCATGTGCCCCAAATCAACTCGAGATGAGGCCCGATTCCCCTGCATTGACTCCAGAGCCATTCCCCGTTCCCCATTCAACACGACCGGTGGCTCGACTTCCTTCAGGCAACTCCAGAGATGCCCCGAGAACACTGTCCCAAGTCTAGAGGAACACCAACTTCAGTACAGCAACTCGAGGAATGCTCCGTGTAACCCAAATCGTCTCGAGATGAGAGCTGATTCCCTGGCTTAGGCTCAAGACTTATGCCAACTTTCCAGAAGCACCTCAGTAGGAGGCTTCTCTCACCAATAGTTATGTGGGAGGGACCCCGAGTTTGCTGCCTCAAGGGGAATTTACAGCGAGAAGCCCTAACTTGAAAGGAGGCCGGATTTCCTTGCAGTGGCTTGAATACAGGCTCGTCTTTCATCTCACAACATGAAGGGATGTCTGAATCCCCTGTGGAGACCTTAGAGAAAGCCCTAGGTCCCTGCCTCATTTTGACGGAATGCCTCACATCTCGCTGACACCTCGAGAGGCACGCGGAGTTCATTGCTTCAAAAGGTGACGATGCCTGACTCCTCTTGAATACTGATAGGAATCCCGAAATCCCTGTGGCTACGGGAAAGGGTCCTTGGGTGCCCTGCCTCACTTCGAGAAGCGTCCCTTTTGCCCTGCCAAGCCTCGAAGAGATTCCTGAGGTGTCCCACGTTACTAGACAGGAGTCCTGACGTCACTGAAGAAACTCGTGTTTTGAAGGGCCATCCCCGCCGTAAGTCGAGAACATACCCCAGGTCCCCGCCGCAACTCGAGAAAAACCATGAGATTTCCCCCTAGAGGCGAGATGAGGCCCCATTCCCCTGCAGTGCATGCAGAGCTATTCCGTGATCCCATTCAAACAAGTCAGGAGCTTCGACTTGCTTAATGGATCTCGAGACAGTCCCCAAGAACACTGACACCAGTCTAGACGGACCCTGGGGTCACCCCAGCAACGCAAAGCAGCTCCATGTGCCCCAAATCAACTCGAGATGAGGCCCGATTCCCCTTCATTGACTCCAGAGACATTCCCTGTTCCCCATTCAACACGACCGGTGGCTCGACTTCCTTCAGGCAACTCCAGAGATGCCCCGAGAACACTGTCCCAAGTCTAGAGGAACACCAACTTCAGCACAGCAACTCGAGGAATGCTCCGTGTAACCCAAATCGTCTCGAGATGAGAGATGATTCCCTGGCTTAGGCTCAAGACGTATGCCAACTTTCCAGAAGCACCTCAGGAGGAGGCTTCTCTCAGCAATAGGTATGTGGGAGGGACCCCGAGTTTGCTGCCTCAAGGGAAATATACAGCGAGAAGCCCTAACTTGAAAGGAGGCCGGATTTCCTTGCAGTGGCTTGAATACAGGCTCGTCTTTCATCTCACAACATGAAGGGATGTCTGAATCCCCTGTGGAGACCTTAGAGAAAGCCCTAGGTCCCTGCCTCATGTTGACGGAATGCCTCACATCCCGCTGACACCTCGAGAGGCACGCGGAGTTCATTGCTTCAAAAGGTGACGATGCCTGACTCCTCTTGAATACTGATAGGAATCCCAAAATCCCTGTGGCTAGGGGAAAGGGTCCTTGGGTGCCCTGCCTCACCTCGAGAAGCGTCCCTTTTGCCCTGCCAAGCCTCTTAGAGATTCCTGAGGTGTCCCTCGTTACTAGACAGGAGTCCTGACGTCACTGAAGAAACTCGTGTTTTGAAGGGCCATCCCCGCCGTAAGTCGAGAACATACCCCAGGTCCCCGCCGCAACTCGAAAAAAACCATGAGATTTCCCCCTAGAGGCGAGATGAGGCCCCATTCCCCTTCAGTGCATGCAGAGCTATTCCGTGATCCCATTCAAACAAGTCAGGAGCTTCGACTTGCTTAATGGATCTCGACACAGTCCCCAAGAACACTGTCACCAGTCTAGACGGACCCTGAGGTCACCCCAGCAACGCAAAGCAGCTCCATGTGCCCCAAATCAACTCGAGATGAGGCCCGATTCCCCTGCATTGACTCCAGAGCCATTCCCCGTTCCCCATTCAACACGACCGGTGGCTCGACTTCCTTCAGGCAACTCCAGAGATGCCCCGAGAACACTGTCCCAAGTCTAGAGGAACACCAACTTCAGCACAGCAACTCGAGGAATGCTCCGTGTACCCCAAATTGTCTCGAGATGAGAGCTGATTCCCTGGATTAGGCTCAAGACGTATGCCAACTTTCCAGAAGCACCTCAGGAGGAGGCTTCTCTCAGCAATAGGTATGTGGAAGGGACCCCGAGTTTGCTGCCTAAGGGGAATATACAGCGAGAAGCCCTAACTTGAAAGGAGGCCGCATTTCCTTGCAGTGGCTTGAATACCGGCTCGTCTTTCATCTCACAACATGAAGGGATGTCTGAATCCCCTGTGGAGACCTTAGAGAAAGCCCTAGGTCCCTGCCTCATGTTGACGGAATGCCTCACATCCCGCTGACACCTCGAGAGGCACGCGGAGTTCATTGCTTCAAAAGGTGACGATGCCTGACTCCTCTTGAATACTGATAGGAATCCCAAAATCCCTGTGGGTACGGGAAAGGGTCCTTGGGTGCCCTGCCTCACCTCGAGAAGCGTCCCTTTTGCCCTGCCAAGCCTCGAAGAGATTCCTGAGGTGTCCCTCGTTACTAGACAGGAGTCCTGACGTCACTGAAGAAACTCGTGTTTTGAAGGGCCATCCCCGCCGTAAGTCGAGAACATACCCCAGGTCCCTGCCTCAACTCGAGAAAAACCATGAGACTTCCCCCTTGAGGCGAGATGAGGCCACATTCCCCTGCAGTGCATGCAGAGCTATTCCGTGATCCCATTCAAACAAGTCAGGAGCTTCGACTTGCTTAATGGATCTCGAGACAGTCCCTAAGAACACTGTCACCAGTCTAGACGGACCCTGAGGTCACCCCAGCAACGCAAAGCAGCTCCATGTGCCCCAAATCAACTCGAGATGAGGCCCGATTCCCCTGCATTGACTCCAGAGCCATTCCCCGTTCCCCATTCAACACGACCGGTGGCTCGACTTCCTTCAGGCAACTCCAGAGATGCCCCGAGAACACTGTCCCAAGTCTAGAGGAACACCAACTTCAGTACAGCAACTCGAGGAATGCTCCGTGTAACCCAAATCGTCTCGAGATGAGAGCTGATTCCCTGGCTTAGGCTCAAGACTTATGCCAACTTTCCAGAAGCACCTCAGTAGGAGGCTTCTCTCACCAATAGTTATGTGGGAGGGACCCCGAGTTTGCTGCCTCAAGGGGAATTTACAGCGAGAAGCCCTAACTTGAAAGGAGGCCGGATTTCCTTGCAGTGGCTTGAATACAGGCTCGTCTTTCATCTCACAACATGAAGGGATGTCTGAATCCCCTGTGGAGACCTTAGAGAAAGCCCTAGGTCCCTGCCTCATTTTGACGGAATGCCTCACATCTCGCTGACACCTCGAGAGGCACGCGGAGTTCATTGCTTCAAAAGGTGACGATGCCTGACTCCTCTTGAATACTGATAGGAATCCCGAAATCCCTGTGGCTACGGGAAAGGGTCCTTGGGTGCCCTGCCTCACTTCGAGAAGCGTCCCTTTTGCCCGGCCAAGCCTCGAAGAGATTCCTGAGGTGTCCCTCGTTACTAGACAGGAGTCCTGACGTCACTGAAGAAACTCGTGTTTTGAAGGGCCATCCCCGCCGTAAGTCGAGAACATACCCCAGGTCCCCGCCGCAACTCGAGAAAAACCATGAGACTTCCCCCTAGAGGCGAGATGAGGCCCCATTCCCCTGCAGTGCATGCAGAGCTATTCCGTGATCCCATTCAAACAAGTCAGGAGCTTCGACTTGCTTAATGGATCTCGAGACAGTCCCCAAGAACACTGACACCAGTCTAGACGGACCCTGGGGTCACCCCAGCAACGCAAAGCAGCTCCATGTGCCCCAAATCAACTCGAGATGAGGCCCGATTCCCCTTCATTGACTCCAGAGACATTTCCTGTTCCCCATTCAACACGACCGGTGGCTCGACTTCCTTCAGGCAACTCCAGAGATGCCCCGAGAACACTGTCCCAAGTCTAGAGGAACACCAACTTCAGCACAGCAACTCGAGGAATGCTCCGTGTAACCCAAATCGTCTCGAGATGAGAGATGATTCCCTGGCTTAGGCTCAAGACGTATGCCAACTTTCCAGAAGCACCTCAGGAGGAGGCTTCTCTCAGCAATAGGTATGTGGGAGGGACCCCGAGTTTGCTGCCTCAAGGGAAATATACAGCGAGAAGCCCTAACTTGAAAGGAGGCCGGATTTCCTTGCAGTGGCTTGAATACAGGCTCGTCTTTCATCTCACAACATGAAGGGATGTCTGAATCCCCTGTGGAGACCTTAGAGAAAGCCCTAGGTCCCTGCCTCATGTTGACGGAATGCCTCACATCCCGCTGACACCTCGAGAGGCACGCGGAGTTCATTGCTTCAAAAGGTGACGATGCCTGACTCCTCTTGAATACTGATAGGAATCCCAAAATCCCTGTGGCTAGGGGAAAGGGTCCTTGGGTGCCCTGCCTCACCTCGAGAAGCGTCCCTTTTGCCCTGCCAAGCCTCTTAGAGATTCCTGAGGTGTCCCTCGTTACTAGACAGGAGTCCTGACGTCACTGAAGAAACTCGTGTTTTGAAGGGCCATCCCCGCCGTAAGTCGAGAACATACCCCAGGTCCCCGCCGCAACTCGAAAAAAACCATGAGATTTCCCCCTAGAGGCGAGATGAGGCCCCATTCCCCTTCAGTGCATGCAGAGCTATTCCGTGATCCCATTCAAACAAGTCAGGAGCTTCGACTTGCTTAATGGATCTCGAGACAGTCCCCAAGAACACTGTCACCAGTCTAGACGGACCCTGAGGTCACCCCAGCAACGCAAAGCAGCTCCATGTGCCCCAAATCAACTCGAGATGAGGCCCGATTCCCCTGCATTGACTCCAGAGCCATTCCCCGTTCCCCATTCAACACGACCGGTGGCTCGACTTCCTTCAGGCAACTCCAGAGATGCCCCGAGAACACTGTCCCAAGTCTAGAGGAACACCAACTTCAGCACAGCAACTCGAGGAATGCTCCGTGTACCCCAAATTGTCTCGAGATGAGAGCTGATTCCCTGGATTAGGCTCAAGACGTATGCCAACTTTCCAGAAGCACCTCAGGAGGAGGCTTCTCTCAGCAATAGGTATGTGGAAGGGACCCCGAGTTTGCTGCCTAAGGGGAATATACAGCGAGAAGCCCTAACTTGAAAGGAGGCCGCATTTCCTTGCAGTGGCTTGAATACCGGCTCGTCTTTCATCTCACAACATGAAGGGATGTCTGAATCCCCTGTGGAGACCTTAGAGAAAGCCCTAGGTCCCTGCCTCATGTTGACGGAATGCCTCACATCCCGCTGACACCTCGAGAGGCACGCGGAGTTCATTGCTTCAAAAGGTGACGATGCCTGACTCCTCTTGAATACTGATAGGAATCCCAAAATCCCTGTGGGTACGGGAAAGGGTCCTTGGGTGCCCTGCCTCACCTCGAGAAGCGTCCCTTTTGCCCTGCCAAGCCTCGAAGAGATTCCTGAGGTGTCCCTCGTTACTAGACAGGAGTCCTGACGTCACTGAAGAAACTCGTGTTTTGAAGGGCCATCCCCGCCGTAAGTCGAGAACATACCCCAGGTCCCCGCCGCAACTCGAGAAAAACCATGAGATTTCCCCCTAGAGGCGAGATGAGGCCCCATTCCCCTGCAGTGCATGCAGAGCTATTCCGTGATCCCATTCAAACAAGTCAGGAGCTTCGACTTGCTTAATGGATCTCGAGACAGTCCCCAAGAACACTGACACCAGTCTAGACGGACCCTGGGGTCACCCCAGCAACGCAAAGCAGCTCCATGTGCCCCAAATCAACTCGAGATGAGGCCCGATTCCCCTTCATTGACTCCAGAGACATTCCCTGTTCCCCATTCAACACGACCGGTGGCTCGACTTCCTTCAGGCAACTCCAGAGATGCCCCGAGAACACTGTCCCAAGTCTAGAGGAACACCAACTTCAGCACAGCAACTCGAGGAATGCTCCGTGTAACCCAAATCGTCTCGAGATGAGAGATGATTCCCTGGCTTAGGCTCAAGACGTATGCCAACTTTCCAGAAGCACCTCAGGAGGAGGCTTCTCTCAGCAATAGGTATGTGGGAGGGACCCCGAGTTTGCTGCCTCAAGGGAAATATACAGCGAGAAGCCCTAACTTGAAAGGAGGCCGGATTTCCTTGCAGTGGCTTGAATACAGGCTCGTCTTTCATCTCACAACATGAAGGGATGTCTGAATCCCCTGTGGAGACCTTAGAGAAAGCCCTAGGTCCCTGCCTCATGTTGACGGAATACCTCACATCCCGCTGACACCTCGAGAGGCACGCGGAGTTCATTGCTTCAAAAGGTGACGATGCCTGACTCCTCTTGAATACTGATAGGAATCCCAAAACCCCTGTGGCTAGGGGAAAGGGTCCTTGGGTGCCCTGCCTCACCTCGAGAAGCGTCCCTTTTGCCCTGCCAAGCCTCTTAGAGATTCCTGAGGTGTCCCTCGTTACTAGACAGGAGTCCTGACGTCACTGAAGAAACTCGTGTTTTGAAGGGCCATCCCCGCCGTAAGTCGAGAACATACCCCAGGTCCCTGCCGCAACTCGAGAAAAACCATGAGACTTCCCCCTAGAGGCGAGATGAGGCCCCATTCCCCTGCAGTGCATGCAGAGCTATTCCGTGATCCCATTCAAACAAGTCAGGAGCTTCGACTTGCTTAATGGATCTCGAGACAGTCCCCAAGAACACTGTCACCAGTCTAGACGGACCCTGAGGTCACTCCAGCAACGCAAAGCAGCTCCATGTGCCCCAAATCAACTCGAGATGAGGCCCGATTCCCCTGCATTCACTCCAGAGCCATTCCCCGTTCCCCATTCAACACGACCGGTGGCTCGACTTCCTTCAGGCAACTCCAGAGATGCCCCGAGAACACTGTCCCAAGTCTAGAGGAACACCAACTTCAGCACAGCAACTCGAGGAATGCTCCGTGTACACCAAATTGTCTCGAGATGAGAGCTGATTCCCTGGATTAGGCTCAAGACGTATGCCAACTTTCCAGAAGCACCTCAGGAGGAGGCTTCTCTCAGCAATAGGTATGTGGAAGGGACCCCGAGTTTGCTGCCTCCAGGGGAATATACAGCGAGAAGCCCTAACATGAAAGGAGGCCGCATTTCCTTGCAGTGGCTTGAATACAGGCTCGTCTTTCATCTCACAACATGAAGGGATGTCTGAATCCCCTGTGGAGACCTTAGAGAAAGCCCTAGGTCCCTGCCTCATTTTGACGGAATGCCTCACATCCCGCTGACACCTCGAGAGGCACGCGGAGTTCATTGCTTCAAAAGGTGACGATGCCTGACTCCTCTTGAATACTGATAGGAATCCCAAAATCGCTGTGGCTACTGGAAAGGCTCCTTGGGTACCCTGCCTCACCTCGAGAAGCGTCCCTTTTGCCCTGCCAAGCCTCGTAGAGATTCCTGAAGTGTCCCTCTTTACTAGACAGGAGTCCTGATGTCACTGAAGAAAATCGTGTTTTGAAGGGCCATCCCCGCCCTAAGTCGAGAACATACCCCAGGTCTCCGCCGCAACTCGAGAAAAACCATGAGACTTCCCCCTAGAGGCGAGATGAGGCCCCATTCCCCTGCAGTGCATGCAGAGCTATTCTGTGATCCCATTCAACAAGTCAGGAGTTTCGACTTGCTTAATGGATCTCGAGACAGTCCCCAAGAACACTGTCACCAGTCTAGACGGACCCTGAGGTCACCCCAGCAACGCAAAGCAGCTCCATGTGCCCCAAATCAACTCGAGATGAGGCCCGATTCCCCTGCATTGACTCCAGAGCCATTCCCCGTTCCCCATTCAACACGACCGGTGGCTCGACTTCCTTCAGGCAACTCCAGAGATGCCCCGAGAACACTGTCCCAAGTCTAGAGGAACACCAACTTCAGCACAGCAACTCGAGGAATGCTCCGTGTACCCCAAATTGTCTCGAGATGAGAGCTGATTCCCTGGATTAGGCTCAAGACGTATGCCAACTTTCCAGAAGCACCTCAGGAGGAGGCTTCTCTCAGCAATAGGTATGTGGAAGGGACCCCGAGTTTGCTGCCTCCAGGGGAATATACAGCGAGAAGCCCTAACTTGAAAGGAGGCCGCATTTCCTTGCAGTGGCTTGAATACAGGCTCGTCTTTCATCTCACAACATGAAGGGATGTCTGAATCCCCTGTGGAGACCTTAGAGAAAGCCATAGGTCCCTGCCTCATTTTGACGGAATGCCTCACATCCCGCTGACACCTCGAGAGGCACGCGGAGTTCATTGCTTCAAAAGGTGACGATGCCTGACTCCTCTTGAATACTGATAGGAATCCCAAAATCGCTGTGGCTACTGGAAAGGCTCCTAGGGTACCCTGCCTCACCTCGAGAAGCGTCCCTTTTGCCCTGCCAAGCCTCGTAGAGATTCCTGAAGTGTCCCTCTTTACTAGACAGGAGTCCTGATGTCACTGAAGAAAATCGTGTTTTGAAGGGCCATCCCCGCCCTAAGTCGAGAACATACCCCAGGTCTCCGCCGCAACTCGAGAAAAACCATGAGACTTCCCCCTAGAGGCGAGATGAGGCCCCATTCCCCTGCAGTGCATGCAGAGCTATTCTGTGATCCCATTCAACAAGTCAGGAGTTTCGACTTGCTTAATGGATCTCGAGACAGTCCCCAAGAACACTGTCACCAGTCTAGACGGACCCTGAGGTCACCCCAGCAACACAAAGCAGCTCCATGTGCCCCAAATCAACTCGAGATGAGGCCCGATTCCCCTGCATTGACTCCAGAGCCATTCCCCGTTCCCCATTCAACACGACCGGTGGCTCGACTTCCTTCAGGCAACTCCAGAGATGCCCCGAGAACACTGTCCCAAGTCTAGAGGAACACCAACTTCAGCACAGCAACTCGACGAATGCTTCGTGTAACCCAAATCGTCTCGAGATGGGAGCTGATTCCCTGGCCAAGGCTCAAGACGTATGCCAACTTTCCAGAAGCACCTGAGGAGGAGGCTTCTCTCAGCAATAAGTATGTGGGAGGGACCCCGAGTTTGTGCCTCAAGGGGAATATACAGCGAGAAGCCCTAACTTGAAAGGAGGCCGGATTTCCTTGCAGTTGCTTAAATACAGGTTCGTCTTTCATCTCACAACATGAAGGGATGTCTGAATCCCCTGTGGAGACCTTAGAGAAAGCCCTAGGTCCCTGCCTCATTTTGACGGAATGCCTCACATCCCGCTGACACCTCGAGAGGCACGCGGAGTTCATTGCTTCAAAAGGTGACGATGCCTGACTCCTCTTGAATACTGATAGGAATCCCAAAATCCCTGTGGCTAGGGGAAAGGGTCCTTGGGTGCCCTGCCTCACCTCGAGAAGCATCCCTTTTGCCCTGCCAAGCCTCTTAGAGATTCCTGAGGTGTCCCTCGTTACTAGACAGGAGTCCTGACGTCACTGAAGAAACTCGTGTTTTGAAGGGCCATCCCCGCCGTAAGTCGAGAACATACCCCAGGTCCCTGCCGCAACTCGAGAAAAACCATGAGACTTCCCCCTAGAGGCGAGATGAGGCCCCATTCCCCTGCAGTGCATGCAGAGCTATTCCGTGATCCCATTCAAACAAGTCAGGAGCTTCGACTTGCTTAATGGATCTCGAGACAGTCCCCAAGAACACTGTCACCACTCTAGACGGACCCTGAGGTCACCCCAGCAACGCAAAGCAGCTCCATGTGCCCCAAATCAACTCGAGATGAGGCCCGATTCCCCTGCATTCACTCCAGAGCCATTCCCCGTTCCCCATTCAACACGACCGGTGGCTCGACTTCCTTCAGGCAACTCCAGAGATGCCCCGAGAACACTGTCCCAAGTCTAGAGGAACACCAACTTCAGCACAGCAACTCGAGGAATGGTCCGGTTACCCCAAATTGTCTCGAGGTGAGAGCTGATTCCCTGGATTAGGCTCAAGACGTATGCCAACTTTCCAGAAGCACCTCAGGAGGAGGCTCCTCTCACCAATAGGTATGTGGAAGGGACCCCGAGTTTGCTGCCTCAAGGGGAATATACAGCGAGAAGCCCTAACTTGAAAGGAGGCCGCATTTCCTTGCAGTGGCTTGAATACAGGCTCGTCTTTCATCTCACAACATGAAGGGATGTCTGAATCCCCTGTGGAGACCTTAGAGAAAGCCCTAGGTCCCTGCCTCATTTTGACGGAATGCCTCACATCCCGCTGACACCTCGAGAGGCACGCGGAGTTCATTGCTTCAAAAGGTGACGATGCCTGACTCCTCTTGAATACTGATAGGAATCCCAAAATCGCTGTGGCTACTGGAAAGGCTCCTTGGGTACGCTGCCTCACCTCGAGAAGCGTCCCTTTTGCCCTGCCAAGCCTCGTAGAGATTCCTGAAGTGTCCCTCTTTACTAGACAGGAGTCCTGATGTCACTGAAGAAAATCGTGTTTTGAAGGGCCATCCCCGCCCTAAGTCGAGAACATACCCCAGGTCTCCGCCGCAACTCGAGAAAAACCATGAGACTTCCCCCTAGAGGCGAGATGAGGCCCCATTCCCCTGCAGTGCATGCAGAGCTATTCTGTGATCCCATTCAACAAGTCAGGAGTTTCGACTTGCTTAATGGATCTCGAGACAGTCCCCAAGAACACTGTCACCAGTCTAGACGGACCCTGAGGTCACCCCAGCAACGCAAAGCAGCTCCATGTGCCCCAAATCAACTCGAGATGAGGCCCGATTCCCCTGCATTGACTCCAGAGCCATTCCCCGTTCCCCATTCAACACGACCGGTGGCTCGACTTCCTTCAGGCAACTCCAGAGATGCCCCGAGAACACTGTCCCAAGTCTAGAGGAACACCAACTTCAGCACAGCAACTCGACGAATGCTTCGTGTAACCCAAATCGTCTCGAGATGGGAGCTGATTCCCTGGATTAGGCTCAAGACGTATGCCAACTTTCCAGAAGCACCTGAGGAGGAGGCTTCTCTCAGCAATAAGTATGTGGGAGGGACCCCGAGTTTGTGCCTCAAGGGGAATATACAGCGAGAAGCCCTAACTTGAAAGGAGGCCGGATTTCCTTGCAGTTGCTTAAATACAGGTTCGACTTTCATCTCACAACATGAAGGGATGTCTGAATCCCCTGTGGAGACCTTAGAGAAAGCCCTAGGTCCCTGCCTCATGTTGACGGAATGCCTCACATCCCGCTGACACCTCGAGAGGCACGCGGAGTTCATTGCTTCAAAAGGTGACGATGCCTGACTCCTCTTGAATACTGATAGGAATCCCAAAATCCCTGTGGCTAGGGGAAAGGGTCCTTGGGTGCCCTGCCTCACCTCGAGAAGCGTCCCTTTTGCCCTGCCAAGCCTCTTAGAGATTCCTGAGGTGTCCCTCGTTACTAGACAGGAGTCCTGACGTCACTGAAGAAACTCGTGTTTTGAAGGGCCATCCCCGCCGTAAGTCGAGAACATACCCCAGGTCCCTGCCGCAACTCGAGAAAAACCATGAGACTTCCCCCTAGAGGCGAGATGAGGCCCCATTCCCCTGCAGTGCATGCAGAGCTATTCCGTGATCCCATTCAAACAAGTCAGGAGCTTCGACTTGCTTAATGGATCTCGAGACAGTCCCCAAGAACACTGTCACCAGTCTAGACGGACCCTGAGGTCACCCCAGCAACGCAAAGCAGCTCCATGTGCCCCAAATCAACTCGAGATGAGGCCCGATTCCCCTGCATTGACTCCAGAGCCATTCCCCGTTCCCCATTCAACACGACCGGTGGCTCGACTTCCTTCAGGCAACTCCAGAGATGCCCCGAGAACACTGTCCCAAGTCTAGAGGAACACCAACTTCAGCACAGCAACTCGAGGAATGGTCCGGTTACCCCAAATTGTCTCGAGGTGAGAGCTGATTCCCTGGATTAGGCTCAAGACGTATGCCAACTTTCCAGAAGCACCTCAGGAGGAGGCTCCTCTCACCAATAGGTATGTGGAAGGGAACCCGAGTCTGCTGCCTCAAGGGGAATATACAGCGAGAAGCCCTAACTTGAAAGGAGGCCGCATTTCCTTGCAGTGGCTTGAATACAGGTTCGTCTTTCATCTCACAACATGAAGGGATGTCTGAATCCCCTGTGGAGACCTTAGAGAAAGCCCTAGGTCCTTGCCTCATTTTGACGGAATGCCTCACATCCCACTGACACCTCGAGAGGCACGCGGAGTTCATTGCTTCAAAAGGTGATGATGCCTGACTCCTCTTGAATACTGATAGGAATCCCAAAATCACTGTGGCTACTGGAAAGGGTCCTTGGGTACCCTGCCTCACCTCGAGAAGCGTCCCTTTTGCCCTGCCAAGCCTCGTAGAGATTCCTGAGGTGTCCCTCGTTACAAGACTGGAGTCCTGACGTCACTGAAGAAACTCGTGTTTTGAAGGGCCATCCCCGCCATAAGTCGAGAACATACCCCAGGTCCCCACCGCAACTCGAGAAAAACCATGAGACTTCCCCCTAGAGGCGAGATGAGGCCCCATTCCCCTGCAGTGCATGCAGAGCTATTCCGTGATCCCATTCAAACAAGTCAGGAGCTTCGACTTGCTTAATGGATCTCGAGACAGTCCCCAAGAACACTGTCACCAGTCTAGACGGACCCTGAGGTCACCCCAGCAACGCAAAGCAGCTCCATGTGCCCCAAATCAACTCGAGATGAGGCCCGATTCCCCTGCATTGACTCCAGAGCCATTCCCCGTTCCCCATTCAGCACGACCGGTGGCTCGACTTCCTTCAGGCAACTCCAGAGATGCCCCGAGAACACTGTCCCAAGTCTAGAGGAACACCAACTTCAGCACAGCAACTCGAGGAATGCTCCGTGTACCCCAAATTGTCTCGAGATGAGAGCTGATTCCCTGGATTAGGCTCAAGACGTATGCCAACTTTCCAGAAGCACCTCAGGAAGAGGCTTCTCTCAGCAATAGGTATGTGGAAGGGACCCCGAGTTTGCTGCCTAAGGGGAATATACAGCGAGAAGCCCTAACTTGAAAGGAGGCCGCATTTCCTTGCAGTGGCTTGAATACAGGTTCGACTTTCATCTCACAACATGAAGGGATGTCTGAATCCCCTGTGGAGACCTTAGAGAAAGCCCTAGGTCCTTGCCTCATTTTGACGGAATGCCTCACATCCCACTGACACCTCGAGAGGCACGCGGAGTTCATTGCTTCAAAAGGTGACGATGCCTGACTCCTCTTGAATACTGATGGGAATCCCAAAATCCCTGTGGCTACTGGAAAGGGTCCTTGGGTACCCTGCCTCACCTCGAGAAGCGTCCCTTTTGCCCTGCCAAGCCTCGTAGAGATTCCTGAGGTGTCCCTCGTTACAAGACTGGAGTCCTGACGTCACTGAAGAAACTCGTGTTTTGAAGGGCCATCCCCGCCATAAGTCGAGAACATACCCCAGGTCCCCACCGCAACTCGAGAAAAACCATGAGACTTCCCCCTAGAGGCGAGATGAGGCCCCATTCCCCTGCAGTGCATGCAGAGCTATTCCGTGATCCCATTCAAACAAGTCAGGAGCTTCGACTTGCTTAATGGATCTCGAGACAGTCCCCAAGAACACTGTCACCAGTCTAGACGGACCCTGAGGTCACCCCAGCAACGCAAAGCAGCTCCATGTGCCCCAAATCAACTCGAGATGAGGCCCGATTCCCCTGCATTGACTCCAGAGCCATTCCCCGTTCCCCATTCAGCACGACCGGTGGCTCGACTTCCTTCAGGCAACTCCAGAGATGCCCCGAGAACACTGTCCCAAGTCTAGAGGAACACCAACTTCAGCACAGCAACTCGAGGAATGCTCCGTGTACCCCAAATTGTCTCGAGATGAGAGCTGATTCCCTGGATTAGGCTCAAGACGTATGCCAACTTTCCAGAAGCACCTCAGGAAGAGGCTTCTCTCAGCAATAGGTATGTGGAAGGGACCCCGAGTTTGCTGCCTAAGGGGAATATACAGCGAGAAGCCCTAACTTGAAAGGAGGCCGCATTTCCTTGCAGTGGCTTGAATACCGGCTCGTCTTTCATCTCACAACATGAAGGGATGTCTGAATCCCCTGTGGAGACCTTAGAGAAAGCCCTAGGTCCCTGCCTCATGTTGACGGAATGCCTCACATCCCGCTGACACCTCGAGAGGCACGCGGAGTTCATTGCTTCAAAAGGTGACGATGCCTGACTCCTCTTGAATACTGATAGGAATCCCAAAATCCCTGTGGGTACGGGAAAGGGTCCTTGGTGCCCTGCCTCACCTCGAGAAGCGTCCCTTTTGCCCTGCCAAGCCTCGAAGAGATTCCTGAGGTGTCCCTCGTTACTAGACAGGAGTCCTGACGTCAGTGAAGAAACTCGTGTTTTGAAGGGCCATCCCCGCCGTAAGTCGAGAACATACCCCAGGTCCCCGCCTCAACTCGAGAAAAACCATGAGACTTCCCCCTTGAGGCGAGATGAGGCCACATTCCCCTGCAGTGCATGCAGAGCTATTCCGTGATCCCATTCAAACAAGTCAGGAGCTTCGACTTGCTTAATGGATCTCGAGACAGTCCCTAAGAACACTGTCACCAGTCTAGACGGACCCTGAGGTCACCCCAGCAACGCAAAGCAGCTCCATGTGCCCCAAATCAACTCGAGATGAGGCCCGATTCCCCTGCATTCACTCCAGAGCCATTCCCCGTTCCCCATTCAACACGACCGGTGGCTCGACTTCCTTCAGGCAACTCCAGAGATGCCCCGAGAACACTATCCCAAGTCTAGAGGAACACCAACTTCAGCACAGCAACTCGAGGAATGCTCCGTGTAACCCAAATCGTCTCGAGATGAGAGCTGATTCCCTGGCTTAGGCTCAAGACGTATGCCAACTTTCCAGAAGCACTTCAGTAGGAGGCTTCTCTCACCAATAGTTATGTGGGAGGGACCCCGAGTTTGCTGCCTCAAGGGGAATTTACAGCGAGAAGCCCTAACTTGAAAGGAGGCCGGATTTCCTTGCAGTTCCTTGAATACAGGCTCGTCTTTCATCTCACAACATGAAGGGATGTCTGAATCCCCTGTGGAGACCTTAGAGAAAGCCCTAGGTCCCTGCCTCATTTTGACGGAATGCCTCACATCTCGCTGACACCTCGAGAGGCACGCGGAGTTCATTGCTTCAAAAGATGACGATGCCTGACTCCTCTTGAATACTGATAGGAATCCCGAAATCCCTGTGGCTACGGGAAAGGGTCCTTGGGTGCCCTGCCTCACCTCGAGAAGCGTCCCTTTTGCCCTGCCAAGCCTCGAAGAGATTCCTGAGGTGTCCCTCGTTACTAGACAGGAGTCCTGACGTCACTGAAGAAACTCGTGTTTTGAAGGGCCATCCCCGCCGTAAGTCGAGAACATACCCCAGGTCCCCGCCGCAACTCGAGAAAAACCATGAGATTTCCCCCTAGAGGCGAGATGAGGCCCCATTCCCCTGCAGTGCATGCAGAGCTATTCCGTGATCCCATTCAAACAAGTCAGGAGCTTCGACTTGCTTAATGGATCTCGAGACAGTCCCCAAGAACACTGTCACCAGTCTAGACGGACCCTGAGGTCACCCCAGCAACGCAAAGCAGCTCCATGTGCCCCAAATCAACTCGAGATGAGGCCCGATTCCCCTTCATTGACTCCAGAGACATTCCCTGTTCCCCATTCAACACGACCGGTGGCTCGACTTCCTTCAGGCAACTCCAGAGATGCCCCGAGAACACTGTCCCAAGTCTAGAGGAACACCAACTTCAGCACAGCAACTCGAGGAACGCTCCGTGTAACCCAAATCGTCTCGAGATGAGAGATGATTCCCTGGCTTAGGCTCAAGACGTATGCCAACTTTCCAGAAGCACCTCAGGAGGAGGCTTCTCTCAGCAATAGGTATGTGGGAGGGACCCCGAGTTTGCTGCCTCAAGGGAAATATACAGCGAGAAGCCCTAACTTGAAAGGAGGCCGGATTTCCTTGCAGTGGCTTGAATACAGGCTCGTCTTTCATCTCACAACATGAAGGGATGTCTGAATCCCCTGTGGAGACCTTAGAGAAAGCCCTAGGTCCCTGCCTCATTTTGACGGAATGCCTCACATCCCGCTGACACCTCGAGGGGCACGCGGAGTTCATTGCTTCAAAAGGTGACGATGCCTGACTCCTCTTGAATACTGATAGGAATCCCAAAATCCCTGTGGCTAGGGGAAAGGGTCCTTGGGTGCCCTGCCTCACCTCGAGAAGCGTCCCTTTTGCCCTGCCAAGCCTCTTAGAGATTCCTGAGGTGTCCCTCGTTACTAGACAGGAGTCCTGACGTCACTGAAGAAACTCGTGTTTTGAAGGGCCATCCCCGCGGTAAGTCGAGAACATACCCCAGGTCCCTGCCGCAACTCGAGAAAAACCATGAGACTTCCCCCTAGAGACGAGATGAGGCCCCATTCCCCTGCAGTGCATGCAGAGCTATTCCGTGATCCCATTCAAACAAGTCAGGAGCTTCGACTTGCTTAATGGATCTCGAGACAGTCCCCAAGAACACTGTCACCAGTCTAGACGGACCCTGAGGTCACCCCAGCAACGCAAAGCAGCTCCATGTGCCTCAAATCAACTCGAGATGAGGCCCGATTCCCCTGCATTCACTCCAGAGCCATTCCCCGTTCCCCATTCAACACGACCGGTGGCTCGACTTCCTTCAGGCAACTCCAGAGATGCCCCGAGAACACTGTCCCAAGTCTATAGGAACACCAACTTCAGCACAGCAACTCGAGGAATGCTCCGTGTACCCCAAATTGTCTCGAGATGAGAGCTGATTCCCTGGATTAGGCTCAAGACGTATGCCAACTTTCCAGAAGCACCTCAGGAGGAGGCTTCTCTCAGCAATAGGTATGTGGAAGGGACCCCGAGTTTGCTGCCTCAAGGGGAATATACAGCGAGAAGCCCTAACTTGAAAGGAGGACGCATTTCCTTGCAGTGGCTTGAATACAGGCTCGTCTTTCATCTCACAACATGAAGGGATGTCTGAATCCCCTGTGGAGACATTAGAGAAAGCCCTAGGTCCCTGCCTCATTTTGACGGAATGCCTCACATCCCGCTGACACCTCGAGAGGCACGCGGAGTTCATTGCTTCAAAAGGTGACGATGCCTGACTCCTCTTGAATACTGATAGGAATCCCAAAATCGCTGTGGCAACTGGAAAGGCTCCTTGGGTACCCTGCCTCACCTCGAGAAGCGTCCCTTTTGCCCTGCCAAGCCTCGTAGAGATTCCTGAAGTGTCCCTCTTTACTAGACAGAAGTCCTGATGTCACTGAAGAAAATCGTGTTTTGAAGGGCCATCCCCGCCCTAAGTCGAGAACATACCCCAGGTCCCCGCCGCAACTCGAGAAAAACCATGAGACTTCCCCCTAGAGGCGAGATGAGGCCCCATTCCCCTGCAGTGCATGCAGAGCTATTCCGTGATCCCATTCAAACAAGTCAGGAGCTTCGACTTGCTTAATGGATCTCGAGACAGTCCCCAAGAACACTGTCACCAGTCTAGACGGACCCTGAGGTCACCCCAGCAACGAAAAGCAGCTCCATGTGCCCCAAATCAACTCGAGATGAGGCCCGATTCCCCTGCATTGACTCCAGAGCCATTCCCCGTTCCCCATTCAACACGACCGGTGGCTCGACTTCCTTCAGGCAACTCCAGAGATGCCCCGAGAACACTGTCCCAAGTCTAGAGGAACACCAACTTCAGCACAGCAACTCGACGAATGGTCCGGTTACCCCAAATTGTCTCGAGGTGAGAGCTGATTCCCTGGATTAGGCTCAAGACGTATGCCAACTTTCCAGAAGCACCTCAGGAGGAGGCTCCTCTCACCAATAGGTATGTGGAAGGGACCCCGAGTCTGCTGCCTCAAGGGGAATATACAGCGAGAAGCCCTAACTTGAAAGGAGGCCGCATTTCCTTGCAGTGGCTTGAATACAGGTTCGTCTTTCATCTCACAACATGAAGGGATGTCTGAATCCCCTGTGGAGACCTTAGAGAAAGCCCTAGGTCCTTGCCTCATTTTGACGGAATGCCTCACATCCCACTGACACCTCGAGAGGCACGCGGAGTTCATTGCTTCAAAAGGTGACGATGCCTGACTCCTCTTGAATACTGATAGGAATCCCAAAATCACTGTGGCTACTGGAAAGGGTCCTTGGGTACCCTGCCTCACCTCGAGAAGCGTCCCTTTTGCCCTGCCAAGCCTCGTAGAGATTCCTGAGGTGTCCCTCGTTACAAGACTGGAGTCCTGACGTCACTGAAGAAACTCGTGTTTTGAAGGGCCATCCCCGCCATAAGTCGAGAACATACCCCAGGTCCCCACCGCAACTCGAGAAAAACCATGAGACTTCCCCCTAGAGGCGAGATGAGGCCCCATTCCCCTGCAGTGCATGCAGAGCTATTCCGTGATCCCATTCAAACAAGTCAGGAGCTTCGACTTGCTTAATGGATCTCGAGACAGTCCCCAAGAACACTGTCACCAGTCTAGACGGACCCTGAGGTCACCCCAGCAACGCAAAGCAGCTCCATGTGCCCCAAATCAACTCGAGATGAGGCCCGATTCCCCTGCATTGACTCCAGAGCCATTCCCCGTTCCCCATTCAGCACGACCGGTGGCTCGACTTCCTTCAGGCAACTCCAGAGATGCCCCGAGAACACTGTCCCAAGTCTAGAGGAACACCAACTTCAGCACAGCAACTCGAGGAATGCTCCGTGTACCCCAAATTGTCTCGAGATGAGAGCTGATTCCCTGGATTAGGCTCAAGACGTATGCCAACTTTCCAGAAGCACCTCAGGAAGAGGCTTCTCTCAGCAATAGGTATGTGGAAGGGACCCCGAGTTTGCTGCCTAAGGGGAATATACAGCGAGAAGCCCTAACTTGAAAGGAGGCCGCATTTCCTTGCAGTGGCTTGAATACAGGTTCGACTTTCATCTCACAACATGAAGGGATGTCTGAATCCCCTGTGGAGACCTTAGAGAAAGCCCTAGGTCCTTGCCTCATTTTGACGGAATGCCTCACATCCCACTGACACCTCGAGAGGCACGCGGAGTTCATTGCTTCAAAAGGTGACGATGCCTGACTCCTCTTGAATACTGATGGGAATCCCAAAATCCCTGTGGCTACTGGAAAGGGTCCTTGGGTACCCTGCCTCACCTCGAGAAGCGTCCCTTTTGCCCTGCCAAGCCTCGTAGAGATTCCTGAGGTGTCCCTCGTTACAAGACTGGAGTCCTGACGTCACTGAAGAAACTCGTGTTTTGAAGGGCCATCCCCGCCATAAGTCGAGAACATACCCCAGGTCCCCACCGCAACTCGAGAAAAACCATGAGACTTCCCCCTAGAGGCGAGATGAGGCCCCATTCCCCTGCAGTGCATGCAGAGCTATTCCGTGATCCCATTCAAACAAGTCAGGAGCTTCGACTTGCTTAATGGATCTCGAGACAGTCCCCAAGAACACTGTCACCAGTCTAGACGGACCCTGAGGTCACCCCAGCAACGCAAAGCAGCTCCATGTGCCCCAAATCAACTCGAGATGAGGCCCGATTCCCCTGCATTGACTCCAGAGCCATTCCCCGTTCCCCATTCAGCACGACCGGTGGCTCGACTTCCTTCAGGCAACTCCAGAGATGCCCCGAGAACACTGTCCCAAGTCTAGAGGAACACCAACTTCAGCACAGCAACTCGAGGAATGCTCCGTGTACCCCAAATTGTCTCGAGATGAGAGCTGATTCCCTGGATTAGGCTCAAGACGTATGCCAACTTTCCAGAAGCACCTCAGGAAGAGGCTTCTCTCAGCAATAGGTATGTGGAAGGGACCCCGAGTTTGCTGCCTAAGGGGAATATACAGCGAGAAGCCCTAACTTGAAAGGAGGCCGCATTTCCTTGCAGTGGCTTGAATACCGGCTCGTCTTTCATCTCACAACATGAAGGGATGTCTGAATCCCCTGTGGAGACCTTAGAGAAAGCCCTAGGTCCCTGCCTCATGTTGACGGAATGCCTCACATCCCGCTGACACCTCGAGAGGCACGCGGAGTTCATTGCTTCAAAAGGTGACGATGCCTGACTCCTCTTGAATACTGATAGGAATCCCAAAATCCCTGTGGGTACGGGAAAGGGTCCTTGGTGCCCTGCCTCACCTCGAGAAGCGTCCCTTTTGCCCTGCCAAGCCTCGAAGAGATTCCTGAGGTGTCCCTCGTTACTAGACAGGAGTCCTGACGTCAGTGAAGAAACTCGTGTTTTGAAGGGCCATCCCCGCCGTAGGTCGAGAACATACCCCAGGTCCCCGCCTCAACTCGAGAAAAACCATGAGACTTCCCCCTTGAGGCGAGATGAGGCCACATTCCCCTGCAGTGCATGCAGAGCTATTCCGTGATCCCATTCAAACAAGTCAGGAGCTTCGACTTGCTTAATGGATCTCGAGACAGTCCCTAAGAACACTGTCACCAGTCTAGACGGACCCTGAGGTCACCCCAGCAACGCAAAGCAGCTCCATGTGCCCCAAATCAACTCGAGATGAGGCCCGATTCCCCTGCATTCACTCCAGAGCCATTCCCCGTTCCCCATTCAACACGACCGGTGGCTCGACTTCCTTCAGGCAACTCCAGAGATGCCCCGAGAACACTATCCCAAGTCTAGAGGAACACCAACTTCAGCACAGCAACTCGAGGAATGCTCCGTGTAACCCAAATCGTCTCGAGATGAGAGCTGATTCCCTGGCTTAGGCTCAAGACGTATGCCAACTTTCCAGAAGCACTTCAGTAGGAGGCTTCTCTCACCAATAGTTATGTGGGAGGGACCCCGAGTTTGCTGCCTCAAGGGGAATTTACAGCGAGAAGCCCTAACTTGAAAGGAGGCCGGATTTCCTTGCAGTTCCTTGAATACAGGCTCGTCTTTCATCTCACAACATGAAGGGATGTCTGAATCCCCTGTGGAGACCTTAGAGAAAGCCCTAGGTCCCTGCCTCATTTTGACGGAATGCCTCACATCTCGCTGACACCTCGAGAGGCACGCGGAGTTCATTGCTTCAAAAGATGACGATGCCTGACTCCTCTTGAATACTGATAGGAATCCCGAAATCCCTGTGGCTACGGGAAAGGGTCCTTGGGTGCCCTGCCTCACCTCGAGAAGCGTCCCTTTTGCCCTGCCAAGCCTCGAAGAGATTCCTGAGGTGTCCCTCGTTACTAGACAGGAGTCCTGACGTCACTGAAGAAACTCGTGTTTTGAAGGGCCATCCCCGCCGTAAGTCGAGAACATACCCCAGGTCCCCGCCGCAACTCGAGAAAAACCATGAGATTTCCCCCTAGAGGCGAGATGAGGCCCCATTCCCCTGCAGTGCATGCAGAGCTATTCCGTGATCCCATTCAAACAAGTCAGGAGCTTCGACTTGCTTAATGGATCTCGAGACAGTCCCCAAGAACACTGTCACCAGTCTAGACGGACCCTGAGGTCACCCCAGCAACGCAAAGCAGCTCCATGTGCCCCAAATCAACTCGAGATGAGGCCCGATTCCCCTTCATTGACTCCAGAGACATTCCCTGTTCCCCATTCAACACGACCGGTGGCTCGACTTCCTTCAGGCAACTCCAGAGATGCCCCGAGAACACTGTCCCAAGTCTAGAGGAACACCAACTTCAGCACAGCAACTCGAGGAACGCTCCGTGTAACCCAAATCGTCTCGAGATGAGAGATGATTCCCTGGCTTAGGCTCAAGACGTATGCCAACTTTCCAGAAGCACCTCAGGAGGAGGCTTCTCTCAGCAATAGGTATGTGGGAGGGACCCCGAGTTTGCTGCCTCAAGGGAAATATACAGCGAGAAGCCCTAACTTGAAAGGAGGCCGGATTTCCTTGCAGTGGCTTGAATACAGGCTCGTCTTTCATCTCACAACATGAAGGGATGTCTGAATTCCCTGTGGAGACCTTAGAGAAAGCCCTAGGTCCCTGCCTCATTTTGACGGAATGCCTCACATCCCGCTGACACCTCGAGGGGCACGCGGAGTTCATTGCTTCAAAAGGTGACGATGCCTGACTCCTCTTGAATACTGATAGGAATCCCAAAATCCCTGTGGCTAGGGGAAAGGGTCCTTGGGTGCCCTGCCTCACCTCGAGAAGCGTCCCTTTTGCCCTGCCAAGCCTCTTAGAGATTCCTGAGGTGTCCCTCGTTACTAGACAGGAGTCCTGACGTCACTGAAGAAACTCGTGTTTTGAAGGGCCATCCCCGCCGTAAGTCGAGAACATACCCCAGGTCCCTGCCGCAACTCGAGAAAAACCATGAGACTTCCCCCTAGAGACGAGATGAGGCCCCATTCCCCTGCAGTGCATGCAGAGCTATTCCGTGATCCCATTCAAACAAGTCAGGAGCTTCGACTTGCTTAATGGATCTCGAGACAGTCCCCAAGAACACTGTCACCAGTCTAGACGGACCCTGAGGTCACCCCAGCAACGCAAAGCAGCTCCATGTGCCTCAAATCTACTCGAGATGAGGCCCGATTCCCCTGCATTCACTCCAGAGCCATTCCCCGTTCCCCATTCAACAAGACCGGTGGCTCGACTTCCTTCAGGCAACTCCAGAGATGCCCCGAGAACACTGTCCCAAGTCTATAGGAACACCAACTTCAGCACAGCAACTCGAGGAATGCTCCGTGTACCCCAAATTGTCTCGAGATGAGAGCTGATTCCCTGGATTAGGCTCAAGACGTATGCCAACTTTCCAGAAGCACCTCAGGAGGAGGCTTCTCTCAGCAATAGGTATGTGGAAGGGACCCCGAGTTTGCTGCCTCAAGGGGAATATACAGCGAGAAGCCCTAACTTGAAAGGAGGACGCATTTCCTTGCAGTGGCTTGAATACAGGCTCGTCTTTCATCTCACAACATGAAGGGATGTCTGAATCCCCTGTGGAGACCTTAGAGAAAGCCCTAGGTCCCTGCCTCATTTTGACGGAATGCCTCACATCCCGCTGACACCTCGAGAGGCACGCGGAGTTCATTGCTTCAAAAGGTGACGATGCCTGACTCCTCTTGAATACTGATAGGAATCCCAAAATCGCTGTGGCTACTGGAAAGGCTCCTTGGGTACCCTGCCTCACCTCGAGAAGCGTCCCTTTTGCCCTGCCAAGCCTCGTAGAGATTCCTGAAGTGTCCCTCTTTACTAGACAGAAGTCCTGATGTCACTGAAGAAAATCGTGTTTTGAAGGGCCATCCCCGCCCTAAGTCGAGAACATACCCCAGGTCCCCGCCGCAACTCGAGAAAAACCATGAGACTTCCCCCTAGAGGCGAGATGAGGCCCCATTCCCCTGCAGTGCATGCAGAGCTATTCCGTGATCCCATTCAAACAAGTCAGGAGCTTCGACTTGCTTAATGGATCTCGAGACAGTCCCCAAGAACACTGTCACCAGTCTAGACGGACCCTGAGGTCACCCCAGCAACGAAAAGCAGCTCCATGTGCCCCAAATCAACTCGAGATGAGGCCCGATTCCCCTGCATTGACTCCAGAGCCATTCCCCGTTCCCCATTCAACACGACCGGTGGCTCGACTTCCTTCAGGCAACTCCAGAGATGCCCCGAGAACACTGTCCCAAGTCTAGAGGAACACCAACTTCAGCACAGCAACTCGACGAATGCTTCGTGTAACCCAAATCGTCTCGAGATGGGAGCTGATTCCCTGGCCAAGGCTCAAGACGTATGCCAACTTTCCAGAAGCACCTGAGGAGGAGGCTTCTCTCAGCAATAAGTATGTGGGAGGGACCCCGAGTTTGTGCCTCAAGGGGAATATACAGCGAGAAGCCCTAACTTGAAAGGAGGCCGGATTTCCTTGCAGTTGCTTAAATACAGGTTCGTCTTTCATCTCACAACATGAAGGGATGTCTGAATCCCCTGTGGAGACCTTAGAGAAAGCCCTAGGTCCCTGCCTCATTTTGACGGAATGCCTCACATCCCGCTGACACCTCGAGAGGCACGCGGAGTTCATTGCTTCAAAAGGTGACGATGCCTGACTCCTCTTGAATACTGATAGGAATCCCAAAATCCCTGTGGCTAGGGGAAAGGGTCCTTGGGTGCCCTGCCTCACCTCGAGAAGCGTCCCTTTTGCCCTGCCAAGCCTCTTAGAGATTCCTGAGGTGTCCCTCGTTACTAGACAGGAGTCCTGACGTCACTGAAGAAACTCGTGTTTTGAAGGGCCATCCCCGCCGTAAGTCGAGAACATACCCCAGGTCCCTGCCGCAACTCGAGAAAAACCATGAGACTTCCCCCTAGAGGCGAGATGAGGCCCCATTCCCCTGCAGTGCATGCAGAGCTATTCCGTGACCCCATTCAAACAAGTCAGGAGCTTCGACTTGCTTAATGGATCTCGAGACAGTCCCCAAAAACACTGTCACCAGTCTAGACGGACCCTGAGGTCACCCCAGCAACGCAAAGCAGCTCCATGTGCCCCAAATCAACTCGAGATGAGGCCCGATTCCCCTGCATTCACTCCAGAGCCATTCCCCGTTCCCCATTCAACACGACCGGTGGCTCGACTTCCTTCAGGCAACTCCAGAGATGCCCCGAGAACACTGTCCCAAGTCTAGAGGAACACCAACTTCAGCACAGCAACTCGAGGAATGCTCCGTGTACCCCAAATTGTCTCGAGATGAGAGCTGATTCCCTGGATTAGGCTCAAGACGTATGCCAACTTTCCAGAAGCACCTCAGGAGGAGGCTCCTCTCACCAATAGGTATGTGGAAGGGACCCCGAGTTTGCTGCCTCAAGGGGAATATACAGCGAGAAGCCCTAACTTGAAAGGAGGCCGCATTTCCTTGCAGTGGCTTGAATACAGGCTCGTCTTTCATCTCACAACATGAAGGGATGTCTGAATCCCCTGTGGAGACCTTAGAGAAAGCCCTAGGTCCCTGCCTCATTTTGACGGAATGCCTCACATCCCGCTGACACCTCGAGAGGCACGCGGAGTTCATTGCTTCAAAAGGTGACGATGCCTGACTCCTCTTGAATACTGATAGGAATCCCAAAATCGCTGTGGCTACTGGAAAGGCTCCTTGGGTACCCTGCCTCACCTCGAGAAGCGTCCCTTTTGCCCTGCCAAGCCTCGTAGAGATTCCTGAAGTGTCCCTCTTTACTAGACAGGAGTCCTGATGTCACTGAAGAAAATCGTGTTTTGAAGGGCCATCCCCGCCCTAAGTCGAGAACATACCCCAGGTCTCCGCCGCAACTCGAGAAAAACCATGAGACTTCCCCCTAGAGGCAAGATGAGGCCCCATTCCCCTGCAGTGCATGCAGAGCTATTCTGTGATCCCATTCAACAAGTCAGGAGTTTCGACTTGCTTAATGGATCTCGAGACAGTCCCCAAGAACACTGTCACCAGTCTAGACGGACCCTGAGGTCACCCCAGCAACGCAAAGCAGCTCCATGTGCCCCAAATCAACTCGAGATGAGGCCCGATTCCCCTGCATTGACTCCAGAGCCATTCCCCGTTCCCCATTCAACACGACCGGTGGCTCGACTTCCTTCAGGCAACTCCAGAGATGCCCCGAGAACACTGTCCCAAGTCTAGAGGAACACCAACTTCAGCACAGCAACTCGACGAATGCTTCGTGTAACCCAAATCGTCTCGAGATGGGAGCTGATTCCCTGGCCAAGGCTCAAGACGTATGCCAACTTTCCAGAAGCACCTGAGGAGGAGGCTTCTCTCAGCAATAAGTATGTGGGAGGGACCCCGAGTTTGTGCCTCAAGGGGAATATACAGCGAGAAGCCCTAACTTGAAAGGAGGCCGGATTTCCTTGCAGTTGCTTAAATACAGGTTCGTCTTTCATCTCACAACATGAAGGGATGTCTGAATCCCCTGTGGAGACCTTAGAGAAAGCCCTAGGTCCCTGCCTCATTTTGACGGAATGCCTCACATCCCGCTGACACCTCGAGAGGCACGCGGAGTTCATTGCTTCAAAAGGTGACGATGCCTGACTCCTCTTGAATACTGATAGGAATCCCAAAATCCCTGTGGCTAGGGGAAAGGGTCCTTGGGTGCCCTGCCTCACCTCGAGAAGCGTCCCTTTTGCCCTGCCAAGCCTCTTAGAGATTCCTGAGGTGTCCCTCGTTACTAGACAGGAGTCCTGACGTCACTGAAGAAACTCGTGTTTTGAAGGGCCATCCCCGCCGTAAGTCGAGAACATACCCCAGGTCCCTGCCGCAACTCGAGAAAAACCATGAGACTTCCCCCTAGAGGCGAGATGAGGCCCCATTCCCCTGCAGTGCATGCAGAGCTATTCCGTGATCCCATTCAAACAAGTCAGGAGCTTCGACTTGCTTAATGGATCTCGAGACAGTCCCCAAGAACACTGTCACCAGTCTAGACGGACCCTGAGGTCACCCCAGCAACGCAAAGCAGCTCCATGTGCCCCAAATCAACTCGAGATGAGGCCCGATTCCCCTGCATTGACTCCAGAGCCATTCCCCGTTCCCCATTCAACACGACCGGTGGCTCGACTTCCTTCAGGCAACTCCAGAGATGCCCCGAGAACACTGTCCCAAGTCTAGAGGAACACCAACTTCAGCACAGCAACTCGAGGAATGCTCCGTGTAACCCAAATCGTCTCGAGATGAGAGCTGATTCCCTGGCTTAGGCTCAAGACTTATGCCAACTTTCCAGAAGCACCTCAGTAGGAGGCTTCTCTCACCAATAGTTATGTGGGAGGGACCCCGAGTTTGCTGCCTCAAGGGGAATTTACAGCGAGAAGCCCTAACTTGAAAGGAGGCCGGATTTCCTTGCAGTGGCTTGAATACAGGCTCGTCTTTAATCTCACAACATGAAGGGATGTCTGAATCCCCTGTGGAGACCTTAGAGAAAGCCCTAGGTCCCTGCCTCATTTTGACGGAATGCCTCACATCTCGCTGACACCTCGAGAGGCACGCGGAGTTCATTGCTTCAAAAGGTGACGATGCCTGACTCCTCTTGAATACTGATAGGAATCCCGAAATCCCTGTGGCTACGGGAAAGGGTCCTTGGGTGCCCTGCCTCACCTCGAGAAGCGTCCCTTTTGCCCTGCCAAGCCTCGAAGAGATTCCTGAGGTGTCCCTCGTTACTAGACAGGAGTCCTGACGTCACTGAAGAAACTCGTGTTTTGAAGGGCCATCCCCGCCGTAAGTCGAGAACATACCCCAGGTCCCCGCCGCAACTCGAGAAAAACCATGAGATTTCCCCCTAGAGGCGAGATGAGGCCCCATTCCCCTGCAGTGCATGCAGAGCTATTCCGTGATCCCATTCAAACAAGTCAGGAGCTTCGACTTGCTTAATGGATCTCGAGACAGTCCCCAAGAACACTGTCACCAGTCTAGACGGACCCTGAGGTCACCCCAGCAACGCAAAGCAGCTCCATGTGCCCCAAATCAACTCGAGATGAGGCCCGATTCCCCTTCATTGACTCCAGAGACATTCCCTGTTCCCCATTCAACACGACCGGTGGCTCGACTTCCTTCAGGCAACTCCAGAGATGCCCCGAGAACACTGTCCCAAGTCTAGAGGAACACCAACTTCAGCACAGCAACTCGACGAATGCTTCGTGTAACCCAAATCGTCTCGAGATGGGAGCTGATTCCCTGGCCAAGGCTCAAGACGTATGCCAACTTTCCAGAAGCACCTGAGGAGGAGGCTTCTCTCAGCAATAAGTATGTGGGAGGGACCCCGAGTTTGTGCCTCAAGGGGAATATACAGCGAGAAGCCCTAACTTGAAAGGAGGCCGGATTTCCTTGCAGTTGCTTAAATACAGGTTCGTCTTTCATCTCACAACATGAAGGGATGTCTGAATCCCCTGTGGAGACCTTAGAGAAAGCCCTAGGTCCCTGCCTCATTTTGACGGAATGCCTCACATCCCGCTGACACCTCGAGAGGCACGCGGAGTTCATTGCTTCAAAAGGTGACGATGCCTGACTCCTCTTGAATACTGATAGGAATCCCAAAATCCCTGTGGCTAGGGGAAAGGGTCCTTGGGTGCCCTGCCTCACCTCGAGAAGCGTCCCTTTTGCCCTGCCAAGCCTCTTAGAGATTCCTGAGGTGTCCCTCGTTACTAGACAGGAGTCCTGACGTCACTGAAGAAACTCGTGTTTTGAAGGGCCATCCCCGCCGTAAGTCGAGAACATACCCCAGGTCCCTGCCGCAATTCGAGAAAAACCATGAGACTTCCCCCTAGAGGCGAGATGAGGCCCCATTCCCCTGCAGTGCATGCAGAGCTATTCCGTGATCCCATTCAAACAAGTCAGGAGCTTCGACTTGCTTAATGGATCTCGAGACAGTCCCCAAGAACACTGTCACCAGTCTAGACGGACCCTGAGGTCACCCCAGCAACGCAAAGCAGTTCCATGTGCCCCAAATCAACTCGAGATGAGGCCCGATTCCCCTGCATTGACTCCAGAGCCATTCCCCGTTCCCCATTCAACACGACCGGTGGCTCGACTTCCTTCAGGCAACTCCAGAGATGCCCCGAGAACACTGTCCCAAGTCTAGAGGAACACCAACTTCAGCACAGCAACTCGAGGAATGCTCCGTGTAACGCAAATCGTCTCGAGATGAGAGCTGATTCCCTGGCTTAGGCTCAAGACTTATGCCAACTTTCCAGAAGCACCTCAGTAGGAGGCTTCTCTCACCAATAGTTATGTGGGAGGGACCCCGAGTTTGCTGCCTCAAGGGGAATTTACAGCGAGAAGCCCTAACTTGAAAGGAGGCCGGATTTCCTTGCAGTGGCTTGAATACAGGCTCGTCTTTAATCTCACAACATGAAGGGATGTCTGAATCCCCTGTGGAGACCTTAGAGAAAGCCCTAGGTCCCTGCCTCATTTTGACGGAATGCCTCACATCTCGCTGACACCTCGAGAGGCACGCGGAGTTCATTGCTTCAAAAGGTGACGATGCCTGACTCCTCTTGAATACTGATAGGAATCCCGAAATCCCTGTGGCTACGGGAAAGGGTCCTTGGGTGCCCTGCCTCACCTCGAGAAGCGTCCCTTTTGCCCTGCCAAGCCTCGAAGAGATTCCTGAGGTGTCCCTCGTTACTAGACAGGAGTCCTGACGTCACTGAAGAAACTCGTGTTTTGAAGGGCCATCCCCGCCGTAAGTCGAGAACATACCCCAGGTCCCCGCCGCAACTCAAGAAAAACCATGAGATTTCCCCCTAGAGGCGAGATGAGGCCCCATTCCCCTGCAGTGCATGCAGAGCTATTCCGTGATCCCATTCAAACAAGTCAGGAGCTTCGACTTGCTTAATGGATCTCGAGACAGTCCCCAAGAACACTGTCACCAGTCTAGACGGACCCTGAGGTCACCCCAGCAACGCAAAGCAGCTCCATGTGCCCCAAATCAACTCGAGATGAGGCCCGATTCCCCTTCATTGACTCCAGAGACATTCCCTGTTCCCCATTCAACACGACCGGTGGCTCGACTTCCTTCAGGCAACTCCAGAGATGCCCCGAGAACACTGTCCCAAGTCTAGAGGAACACCAACTTCAGCACAGCAACTCGAGGAATGCTCCGTGTAACCCAAATCGTCTCGAGATGAGAGATGATTCCCTGGCTTAGGCTCAAGACGTATGCCAACTTTCCAGAAGCACCTCAGGAGGAGGCTTCTCTCAGCAATAGGTATGTGGGAGGGACCCCGAGTTTGCTGCCTCAAGGGAAATATACAGCGAGAAGCCCTAACTTGAAAGGAGGCCGGATTTCCTTGCAGTGGCTTGAATACAGGCTCGTCTTTCATCTCACAACATGAAGGGATGTCTGAATCCCCTGTGGAGACCTTAGAGAAAGCCCTAGGTCCCTGCCTCATTTTGACGGAATGCCTCACATCCCGCTGACACCTCGAGAGGCACGCGGAGTTCATTGCTTCAAAAGGTGACGATGCCTGACTCCTCTTGAATACTGATAGGAATCCCAAAATCCCTGTGGCTAGGGGAAAGGGTCCTTGGGTGCCCTGCCTCACCTCGAGAAGCGTCCCTTTTGCCCTGCCAAGCCTCTTAGAGATTCCTGAGGTGTCCCTCGTTACTAGACAGGAGTCCTGACGTCACTGAAGAAACTCGTGTTTTGAAGGGCCATCCCCGCCGTAAGTCGAGAACATAACCCAGGTCCCTGCCGCAACTCGCGAAAAACCATGAGACTTCCCCCTAGAGGCGAGATGAGGCCCCATTCCCCTGCAGTGCATGCAGAGCTATTCCGTGATCCCATTCAAACAAGTCAGGAGCTTCGACTTGCTTAATGGATCTCGAGAGAGTCCCCAAGAACACTGTCACCAGTCTAGACGGACCCTGAGGTCACCCCAGCAACGCAAAGCAGCTCCATGTGCCCCAAATCAACTCGAGATGAGGCCCGATTCCCCTGCATTGACTCCAGAGCCATTCCCCGTTCCCCATTCAACACGACCGGTGGCTCGACTTCCTTCAGGCAACTCCAGAGATGCCCCGAGAACACTGTCCCAAGTCTAGAGGAACACCAACTTCAGCACAGCAACTCGAGGAATGCTCCGTGTACCCCAAATTGTCTCGAGATGAGAGCTGATTCCCTGGATTAGGCTCAAGACGTATGCCAACTTTCCAGAAGCACCTCAGGAGGAGGCTTCTCTCAGCAATAGGTATGTGGAAGGGACCCCGAGTTTGCTGCCTCAAGGGGAATATACAGCGAGAAGCCCTAACTTGAAAGGAGGCCGCATTTCCTTGCAGTGGCTTCAATACAGGCTCGTCTTTCATCTCACAACATGAAGGGATGTCTGAATCCCCTGTGGAGACCTTAGAGAAAGCCCTAGGTCCCTGCCTCATTTTGACGGAATGCCTCACATCCCGCTGACACCTCGAGAGGCACGCGGAGTTCATTGCTTCAAAAGGTGACGATGCCTGACTCCTCTTGAATACTGATAGGAATCCCAAAATCGCTGTGGCTACTGGAAAGGCTCCTTGGGTACCCTGCCTCACCTCGAGAAGCGTCCCTTTTGCCCTGCCAAGCCTCGTAGAGATTCCTGAAGTGTCCCTCTTTACTAGACAGGAGTCCTGATGTCACTGAAGAAAATCGTGTTTTGAAGGGCCATCCCCGCCCTAAGTCGAGAACATACCCCAGGTCTCCGCCGCAACTCGAGAAAAACCATGAGACTTCCCCCTAGAGGCGAGATGAGGCCCCATTCCCCTGCAGTGCATGCAGAGCTATTCTGTGATCCCATTCAACAAGTCAGGAGTTTCGACTTGCTTAATGGATCTCGAGACAGTCCCCAAGAACACTGTCACCAGTCTAGACGGACCCTGAGGTCACCCCAGCAACGCAAAGCAGCTCCATGTGCCCCATATCAACTCGAGATGAGGCCCGATTCCCCTGCATTGACTCCAGAGCCATTCCCCGTTCCCCATTCAACACGACCGGTGGCTCGACTTCCTTCAGGCAACTCCAGAGATGCCCCTAGAACACTGTCCCAAGTCTAGAGGAACACCAACTTCAGCACAGCAACTCGACGAATGCTTCGTGTAACCCAAATCGTCTCGAGATGGGAGCTGATTCCCTGGCCAAGGCTCAAGACGTATGCCAACTTTCCAGAAGCACCTGAGGAGGAGGCTTCTCTCAGCAATAAGTATGTGGGAGGGACCCCGAGTTTGTGCCTCAAGGGGAATATACAGCGAGAAGCCCTAACTTGAAAGGAGGCCGGATTTCCTTGCAGTTGCTTAAATACAGGTTCGTCTTTCATCTCACAACATGAAGGGATGTCTGAATCCCCTGTGGAGACCTTAGAGAAAGCCCTAGGTCCCTGCCTCATTTTGACGGAATGCCTCACATCCCGCTGACACCTCGAGAGGCACGCGGAGTTCATTGCTTCAAAAGGTGACGATGCCTGACTCCTCTTGAATACTGATAGGAATCCCAAAATCCCTGTGGCTACGGGAAAGGGTCCTTGGGTGCCCTGCCTCACCTCGAGAAGCGTCCCTTTTGCCCTGCCAAGCCTCTTAGAGATTCCTGAGGTGTCCCTCGTTACTAGACAGGAGTCCTGATGTCACTGAAGAAACTCGTGTTTTGAAGGGCCATCCCCGCCGTAAGTCGAGAACATACCCCAGGTCCCTGCCGCAACTAGAGAAAAACCATGAGACTTCCCCCTAGAGGCGAGATGAGGCCCCATTCCCCTGCAGTGCATGCAGAGCTATTCCGTGATCCCATTCAAACAAGTCAGGAGCTTCGACTTGCTTAATGGATCTCGAGACAGTCCCCAAGAACACTGTCACCAGTCTAGACGGACCCTGAGGTCACCCCAGCAACGCAAAGCAGCTCCATGTGCCCCAAATCAACTCGAGATGAGGCCCGATTCCCCTGCATTGACTCCAGAGCCATTCCCCGTTCCCCATTCAACACGACCGGTGGCTCGACTTCCTTCAGGCAACTCCAGAGATGCCCCGAGAACACTGTCCCAAGTCTAGAGGAACACCAACTTCAGCACAGCAACTCGAGGAATGCTCCGTGTACCCCAAATTGTCTCAAGATGAGAGCTGATTCCCTGGATTAGGCTCAAGACGTATGCCAACTTTCCAGAAGCACCTCAGGAAGAGGCTTCTCTCAGCAATAGGTATGTGGAAGGGACCCCGAGTTTGCTGCCTAAGGGGAATATACAGCGAGAAGCCCTAACTTGAAAGGAGGCCACATTTCCTTGCAGTGGCTTGAATACCGGCTCGTCTTTCATCTCACAACATGAAGGGATGTCTGAATCCCCTGTGGAGACCTTAGAGAAAGCCCTAGGTCCCTGCCTCATGTTGACGGAATGCCTCACATCTCGCTGACACCTCGAGAGGCACGCGGAGTTCATTGCTTCAAAAGGTGACGATGCCTGACTCCTCTTGAATACTGATAGGAATCCCAAAATCCCTGTGGGTACGGGAAAGGGTCCTTGGGTGCCCTGCCTCACCTCGAGAAGCGTCCCTTTTGCCCTGCCAAGCCTCGAAGAGATTCCTGAGGTGTCCCTCGTTACTAGACAGGAGTCCTGACGTCACTGAAGAAACTCGTGTTTTGCAGGGCCATCCCCGCCGTAAGTCGAGAACATACCCCAGGTCCCCGCCTCAACTCGAGAAAAACCATGAGACTTCCCCCTTGAGGCGAGATGAGGCCACATTCCCCTGCAGTGCATGCAGAGCTATTCCGTGATCCCATTCAAACAAGTCAGGAGCTTCGACTTGCTTAATGGATCTCGAGACAGTCCCTAAGAACACTGTCACCAGTCTAGACGGACCCTGAGGTCACCCCAGCAACGCAAAGCAGCTCCATGTGCCCCAAATCAACTCGAGATGAGGCCCGATTCCCCTGCATTCACTCCAGAGCCATTCCCCGTTCCCCATTCAACACGACCGGTGGCTCGACTTCCTTCAGGCAACTCCAGAGATGCCCCGAGAACACTGTCCCAAGTCTAGAGGAACACCAACTTCAGCACAGCAACTCGAGGAATGCTCCGTGTAACCCAAATCGTCTCGAGATGAGAGCTGATTCCCTGGCTTAGGCTCAAGACGTATGCCAACTTTCCAGAAGCACCTCAGGAGGAGGCTTCTCTCACCAATAGTTATGTGGGAGGGACCCCGAGTTTGCTGCCTCAAGGGGAATTTACAGCGAGAAGCCCTAACTTGAAAGGAGGCCGGATTTCCTTGCAGTTCCTTGAATACAGGCTCGTCTTTCATCTCACAACATGAAGGGATGTCTGAATCCCCTGTGGAGACTTAGAGAAAGCCCTAGGTCCCTGCCTCATTTTGACGGAATGCCTCACATCCCGCTGACACCTCGAGAGGCACGCGCAGTTCATTGCTTCAAAAGGTGACGATGCCTGACTCCTCTTGAATACTGATAGGAATCCCAAAATCGCTGTGGCTACTGGAAAGGCTCCTTGGGTACCCTGCCTCACCTCGAGAAGCGTCCCTTTTGCCCTGCCAAGCCTTGTAGAGATTCCTGAAGTGTCCCTCTTTACTAGACAGGAATCCTGATGTCACTGAAGAAACTCGTGTTTTGAAGGGCCATCCCCGCCCTAAGTCGAGAACATACCCCAGGTCCCCAACGCAACTCGAGAAAAACCATGAGACTTCCCCCTAGAGGCGAGATGAGGCCCCATTCCCCTGCAGTGCATGCAGAGCTATCCCGTGATCCCATTCAAACAAGTCAGGAGCTTCGACTTGCTTAATGGATCTCGAGACAGTCCCCAAGAACACTGTCACCAGTCTAGACGGACCCTGAGGTCACCGCAGCAACGGAAAGCAGCTCCATGTGCCCCAAATCAACTCGAGATGAGGCCCGATTCCCCTGCATTGACTCCAGAGCCATTCCCCGTTCCCCATTCAACACGACCGGTGGCTCGACTTCCTTCAGGCAACTCCAGAGATGCCCCGAGAACACTGTCCCAAGTCTAGAGGAACACCAACTTCAGCACAGCAACTCGAGGAATGCTCCGTGTACACCAAATTGTCTCGAGATGAGAGCTGATTCCCTGGATTAGGCTCAAGACGTATGCCAACTTTCCAGAAGCACCTCAGGAGGAGGCTTCTCTCAGCAATAGGTATGTGGAAGGGACCCCGAGTTTGCTGCCTCAAGGGGAATATACAGCGAGAAGCCCTAACTTGAAAGGAGGCCGCATTTCCTTGCAGTGGCTTGAATACAGGCTCGTCTTTCATCTCACAACATGAAGGGATGTCTGAATCCCCTGTGGAGACCTTAGAGAAAGCCCTAGGTCCCTGCCTCATTTTGACGGAATGCCTCACATCCCGCTGACACCTCGAGAGGCACGCGCAGTTCATTGCTTCAAAAGGTGACGATGCCTGACTCCTCTTGAATACTGATAGGAATCCCAAAATCGCTGTGGCTACTGGAAAGGCTCCTTGGGTACCCTGCCTCACCTCGAGAAGCGTCCCTTTTGCCCTGCCAAGCCTCGTAGAGATTCCTGAAGTGTCCCTCTTTACTAGACAGGAATCCTGATGTCACTGAAGAAACTCGTGTTTTGAAGGGCCATCCCCGCCCTAAGTCGAGAACATACCCCAGGTCCCCGCCGCAACTCCAGAAAAACCATGAGACTTCCCCCTAGAGGCGAGATGAGGCCCCATTCCCCTGCAGTGCATGCAGAGCTATTCCGTGATCCCATTCAAACAAGTCAGGAGCTTCGACTTGCTTAATGGATCTCGAGACAGTCCCCAAGAACACTGTCACCAGTCTAGACGGACCCTGAGGTCACCCCAGCAACGCAAAGCAGCTCCATGTGCCCAAAATCAACTCGAGATGAGGCCCGATTCCCCTGCATTGACTCCAGAGCCATTCCCCGTTCCCCATTCAACACGACCGGTGGCTCGACTTCCTTCAGGCAACTCCAGAGATGCCCCGAGAACACTGTCCCAAGTCTAGAGGAACACCAACTTCAGCACAGCAACTCGAGGAATGCTCCGTGTACCCCAAATTGTCTCGAGATGAGAGCTGATTCCCTGGATTAGGCTCAAGACGTATGCCAACTTTCCAGAAGCACCTCAGGAAGAGGCTCCTCTCACCAATAGGTATGTGGAAGGGACCCCGAGTTTGCTGCCTCAAGGGGAATATACAGCGAGAAGCCCTAACTTGAAAGGAGGCCGCATTTCCTTGCAGTGGCTTGAATACAGGCTCGTCTTTCATCTCACAACAAGAAGGGATGACTGAATCCCCTGTGGAGACCTTAGAGAAAGCCCTAGGTCCTTGCCTCATTTTGACGGAATGCCTCACATCCCACTGACACCTCGAGAGGCACGCGGAGTTCATTGCTTCAAAAGGTGACGATGCCTGACTCCTCTTGAATACTGATAGGAATCCCAAAATCCCTGTGGCTACTGGAAAGGGTCCTTGGGTACCCTGCCTCACCTCGAGAAGCGTCCCTTTTGCCCTGCCAAGCCTCGTAGAGATTCCTGAGGTGTCCCTCGTTACAAGACAGGAGTCCTGACGTCACTGAAGAAACTCGTGTTTTGAAGGGCCATCCCCGCCATAAGTCGAGAACATACCCCAGGTCCCCACCGCAACTCGAGAAAAACAATGAGACTTCCCCCTAGAGGCGAGATGAGGCCCCATTCCCGTGCAGTGCATGCAGAGCTATTCCGTGATCCCATTCAAACAAGTCAGGAGCTTCGACTTGCTTAATGGATCTCGAGACAGTCCCCAAGAACACTGTCACCAGTCTAGACGGACCCTGAGGTCACCCCAGCAACGCAAAGCAGCTCCATGTGCCCCAAATCAACTCCAGATGAGGCCCGATTCCCCTGCATTGACTCCAGAGCCATTCCCCGTTCCCCATTCAACACGACCGGTGGCTCGACTTCCTTCAGGCAACTCCAGAGATGCCCTGAGAACACTGTCCCAAGTCTAGAGGAACACCAACTTCAGCACAGCAACTCGAGGAATGCTCCGTGTACCCCAAATTGTCTCGAGATGAGAGCTGATTCCCTGGATTAGGCTCAAGACGTATGCCAACTTTCCAGAAGCACCTCAGGAGGAGGCTTCTCTCAGCAATAGGTATGTGGAAGGGACCCCGAGTTTGCTGCCTAAGGGGAATATACAGCGAGAAGCCCTAACTTGAAAGGAGGCCGCATTTCCTTGCAGTGGCTTGAATACCGGCTCGTCTTTCATCTCACAACATGAAGGGATGACTGAATCCCCTGTGGAGACCCTAGAGAAAGCCCTAGGTCCCTGCCTCATTTTGACGGAATGCCTCACATCTCGCTGACACCTCGAGAGGCACGTGGAGTTCATTGCTACAAAAGGTGACGATGCCTGACTCCTCTTGAATACTGATAGGAATCCCGAAATACCTGTGGCTACGGGAAAGGGTCCATGGGTGCCCTGCCTCACCTCGAGAAGCGTTCCTTTTGCAATGCCAAGCCTCGAAGAGATTCCTGAGGTGTCCCTCGTTACTAGACAGGAGTCCTGACGTCACTGAAGAAACTCGTGTTTTGAAGGGCCATCCCCGCCGTAAGTCGAGAACATACCCCAGGTCCCCGCCGCAACTCGAGAAAAACCATGAGATTTCCCCCTAGAGGCGAGATGAGGCCCCATTCCCCTTCAGTGCATGCAGAGCTATTCCGTGATCCCATTCAAACAAGTCAGGAGCTTCGACTTGCTTAATGGATCTCGAGACAGTCCCCAAGAACACTGTCACCAGTCTAGACGGACCCTGAGGTCACCCCAGCAAAGCAAAGCAGCTCCATGTGCCCCAAATCAACTCGAGATGAGGCCCGATTCCCCTTCATTGACTCCAGAGACATTCCCTGTTCCCCATTCAACACGACCGGTGGCTCGACTTCCTTCAGGCAACTCCAGAGATGCCCCGAGAACACTGTCCCAAGTCTAGAGGAACACCAACTTCAGCACAGCAACTCGAGGAATGCTCCGTGTACCCCAAATTGTCTCAAGATGAGAGCTGATTCCCTGGATTAGGCTCAAGACGTATGCCAACTTTCCAGAAGCACCTCAGGAAGAGGCTTCTCTCAGCAATAGGTATGTGGAAGGGACCCCGAGTTTGCTGCCTAAGGGGAATATACAGCGAGAAGCCCTAACTTGAAAGGAGGCCGCATTTCCTTGCAGTGGCTTGAATACCGGCTCGTCTTTCATCTCACAACATGAAGGGATGTCTGAATCCCCTGTGGAGACCTTAGAGAAAGCCCTAGGTCCCTGCCTCATGTTGACGGAATGCCTCACATCCCGCTGACACCTCGAGAGGCACGCGGAGTTCATTGCTTCAAAAGGTGACGATGCCTGACTCCTCTTGAATACTGATAGGAATCCCAAAATCCCTGTGGGTACGGGAAAGGGTCCTTGGGTGCCCTGCCTCACCTCGAGAAGCGTCCCTTTTGCCCTGCCAAGCCTCGAAGAGATTCCTGAGGTGTCCCTCGTTACTAGACAGGAGTCCTGACGTCACTGAAGAAACTCGTGTTTTGCAGGGCCATCCCCGCCGTAAGTCGAGAACATACCCCAGGTCCCCGCCTCAACTCGAGAAAAACCATGAGACTTCCCCCTTGAGGCGAGATGAGGCCACATTCCCCTGCAGTGCATGCAGAGCTATTCCGTGATCCCATTCAAACAAGTCAGGAGCTTCGACTTGCTTAATGGATCTCGAGACAGTCCCTAAGAACACTGTCACCAGTCTAGACGGACCCTGAGGTCACCCCAGCAACGCAAAGCAGCTCCATGTGCCCCAAATCAACTCGAGATGAGGCCCGATTCCCCTGCATTCACTCCAGAGCCATTCCCCGTTCCCCATTCAACACGACCGGTGGCTCGACTTCCTTCAGGCAACTCCAGAGATGCCCCGAGAACACTGTCCCAAGTCTAGAGGAACACCAACTTCAGCACAGCAACTCGAGGAATGCTCCGTGTAACCCAAATCGTCTCGAGATGAGAGCTGATTCCCTGGCTTAGGCTCAAGACGTATGCCAACTTTCCAGAAGCACCTCAGGAGGAGGCTTCTCTCACCAATAGTTATGTGGGAGGGACCCCGAGTTTGCTGCCTCAAGGGGAATTTACAGCGAGAAGCCCTAACTTGAAAGGATACCGGATTTCCTTGCAGTTCCTTGAATACAGGCTCGTCTTTCATCTCACAACATGAAGGGATGTCTGAATCCCCTGTGGAGACCTTAGAGAAAGCCCTAGGTCCCTGCCTCATTTTGACGGAATGCCTCACATCCCGCTGACACCTCGAGAGGCACGCGCAGTTCATTGCTTCAAAAGGTGACGATGCCTGACTCCTCTTGAATACTGATAGGAATCCCAAAATCGCTGTGGCTACTGGAAAGGCTCCTTGGGTACCCTGCCTCACCTCGAGAAGCGTCCCTTTTGCCCTGCCAAGCCTTGTAGAGATTCCTGAAGTGTCCCTCTTTACTAGACAGGAATCCTGATGTCACTGAAGAAACTCGTGTTTTGAAGGGCCATCCCCGCCCTAAGTCGAGAACATACCCCAGGTCCCCAACGCAACTCGAGAAAAACCATGAGACTTCCCCCTAGAGGCGAGATGAGGCCCCATTCCCCTGCAGTGCATGCAGAGCTATCCCCTGATCCCATTCAAACAAGTCAGGAGCTTCGACTTGCTTAATGGATCTCGAGACAGTCCCCAAGAACACTGTCACCAGTCTAGACGGACCCTGAGGTCACCGCAGCAACGGAAAGCAGCTCCATGTGCCCCAAATCAACTCGAGATGAGGCCCGATTCCCCTGCATTGACTCCAGAGCCATTCCCCGTTCCCCATTCAACACGACCGGTGGCTCGACTTCCTTCAGGCAACTCCAGAGATGCCCCGAGAACACTGTCCCAAGTCTAGAGGAACACCAACATCAGCACAGCAACTCGAGGAATGCTCCGTGTACACCAAATTGTCTCGAGATGAGAGCTGATTCCCTGGATTAGGCTCAAGACGTATGCCAACTTTCCAGAAGCACCTCAGGAGGAGGCTTCTCTCAGCAATAGGTATGTGGAAGGGACCCCGAGTTTGCTGCCTCAAGGGGAATATACAGCGAGAAGCCCTAACTTGAAAGGAGGCCGCATTTCCTTGCAGTGGCTTGAATACAGGCTCGTCTTTCATCTCACAACATGAAGGGATGTCTGAATCCCCTGTGGAGACCTTAGAGAAAGCCCTAGGTCCCTGCCTCATTTTGACGGAATGCCTCACATCCCGCTGACACCTCGAGAGGCACGCGCAGTTCATTGCTTCAAAAGGTGACGATGCCTGACTCCTCTTGAATACTGATAGGAATCCCAAAATCGCTGTGGCTACTGGAAAGGCTCCTTGGGTACCCTGCCTCACCTCGAGAAGCGTCCCTTTTGCCCTGCCAAGCCTCGTAGAGATTCCTGAAGTGTCCCTCTTTACTAGACAGGAATCCTGATGTCACTGAGGAAACTCGTGTTTTGAAGGGCCATCCCCGCCCTAAGTCGAGAACATACCCCAGGTCCCCGCCGCAACTCCAGAAAAACCATGAGACTTCCCCCTAGAGGCGAGATGAGGCCCCATTCCCCTGCAGTGCATGCAGAGCTATTCCGTGATCCCATTCAAACAAGTCAGGAGCTTCGACTTGCTTAATGGATCTCGAGACAGTCCCCAAGAACACTGTCACCAGTCTAGACGGACCCTGAGGTCACCCCAGCAACGCAAAGCAGCTCCATGTGCCCAAAATCAACTCGAGATGAGGCCCGATTCCCCTGCATTGACTCCAGAGCCATTCCCCGTTCCCCATTCAACACGACCGGTGGCTCGACTTCCTTCAGGCAACTCCAGAGATGCCCCGAGAACACTGTCCCAAGTCTAGAGGAACACCAACTTCAGCACAGCAACTCGAGGAATGCTCCGTGTACCCCAAATTGTCTCGAGATGAGAGCTGATTCCCTGGATTAGGCTCAAGACGTATGCCAACTTTCCAGAAGCACCTCAGGAAGAGGCTCCTCTCACCAATAGGTATGTGGAAGGGACCCCGAGTTTGCTGCCTCAAGGGGAATATACAGCGAGAAGCCCTAACTTGAAAGGAGGCCGCATTTCCTTGCAGTGGCTTGAATACAGGCTCGTCTTTCATCTCACAACATGAAGGGATGACTGAATCCCCTGTGGAGACCTTAGAGAAAGCCCTAGGTCCTTGCCTCATTTTGACGGAATGCCTCACATCCCACTGACACCTCGAGAGGCACGCGGAGTTCATTGCTTCAAAAGGTGACGATGCCTGACTCCTCTTGAATACTGATAGGAATCCCAAAATCCCTGTGGCTACTGGAAAGGGTCCTTGGGTACCCTGCCTCACCTCGAGAAGCGTCCCTTTTGCCCTGCCAAGCCTCGTAGAGATTCCTGAGGTGTCCCTCGTTACAAGACAGGAGTCCTGACGTCACTGAAGAAACTCGTGTTTTGAAGGGCCATCCCCGCCATAAGTCGAGAACATACCCCAGGTCCCCACCGCAACTCGAGAAAAACAATGAGACTTCCCCCTAGAGGCGAGATGAGGCCCCATTCCCGTGCAGTGCATGCAGAGCTATTCCGTGATCCCATTCAAACAAGTCAGGAGCTTCGACTTGCTTAATGGATCTCGAGACAGTCCCCAAGAACACTGTCACCAGTCTAGACGGACCCTGAGGTCACCCCAGCAACGCAAAGCAGCTCCATGTGCCCCAAATCAACTCCAGATGAGGCCCGATTCCCCTGCATTGACTCCAGAGCCATTCCCCGTTCCCCATTCAACACGACCGGTGGCTCGACTTCCTTCAGGCAACTCCAGAGATGCCCTGAGAACACTGTCCCAAGTCTAGAGGAACACCAACTTCAGCACAGCAACTCGAGGAATGCTCCGTGTACCCCAAATTGTCTCGAGATGAGAGCTGATTCCCTGGATTAGGCTCAAGACGTATGCCAACTTTCCAGAAGCACCTCAGGAGGAGGCTTCTCTCAGCAATAGGTATGTGGAAGGGACCCCGAGTTTGCTGCCTAAGGGGAATATACAGCGAGAAGCCCTAACTTGAAAGGAGGCCGCATTTCCTTGCAGTGGCTTGAATACCGGCTCGTCTTTCATCTCACAACATGAAGGGATGACTGAATCCCCTGTGGAGACCCTAGAGAAAGCCCTAGGTCCCTGCCTCATTTTGACGGAATGCCTCACATCTCGCTGACACCTCGAGAGGCACGCGGAGTTCATTGCTACAAAAGGTGACGATGCCTGACTCCTCTTGAATACTGATAGGAATCCCGAAATACCTGTGGCTACGGGAAAGGGTCCATGGGTGCCCTGCCTCACCTCGAGAAGCGTTCCTTTTGCCCTGCCAAGCCTCGAAGAGATTCCTGAGGTGTCCCTCGTTACTAGACAGGAGTCCTGACGTCACTGAAGAAACTCGTGTTTTGAAGGGCCATCCCCGCCGTAAGTCGAGAACATACCCCAGGTCCCCGCCGCAACTCGAGAAAAACCATGAGATTTCCCCCTAGAGGCGAGATGAGGCCCCATTCCCCTTCAGTGCATGCAGAGCTATTCCGTGATCCCATTCAAACAAGTCAGGAGCTTCGACTTGCTTAATGGATCTCGAGACAGTCCCCAAGAACACTGTCACCAGTCTAGACGGACCCTGAGGTCACCCCAGCAACGCAAAGCAGCTCCATGTGCCCCAAATCAACTCGAGATGAGGCCCGATTCCCCTTCATTGACTCCAGAGACATTCCCTGTTCCCCATTCAACACGACCGGTGGCTCGACTTCCTTCAGGCAACTCCAGAGATGCCCCGAGAACACTGTCCCAAGTCTAGAGGAACACCAACTTCAGCACAGCAACTCGAGGAATGCTCCGTGTAACCCAAATCGTCTCGAGATGAGAGCTGATTCCCTGGCTTAGGCTCAAGACGTATGCCAACTTTCCAGAAGCACCTCAGGAGGAGGCTTCTCTCAGCAAAAGGTATGTGGGAGGGACCCCGAGTTTGCTGCCTCAAGGGGAATATACAGCGAGAAGCCCTAACTTGAAAGGAGGCCGGATTTCCTTGCAGTGGCTTGAATACAGGCTCGTCTTTCATCTCACAACATGAAGGGATGTCTGAATCCCCTGTGGAGACCTTAGAGAAAGCCTTAGGTCCCTGCCTCATTTTGACGGAATGCCTCTCGTCCCGCTGACACCTCGAGATGCACGCGGAGTTCATTGCTTCAAAAGGTGACGATGCCTGACTCCTCTTGAATACTGATAGGAATCCCAAAATCCCTGTGGCTACTGGAAAGGGTCCTTGGGTGCCCTGCCTCACCTCGAGAAGCGTCCCTTTTGCCCTGCCAAGCATCGAAGAGATTCCTGAGGTGTTCCTCATTACTAGACAGGAGTCCTGACGTCACTGAAGAAACTCGTGTTTTGAAGGGCCATCCCCGCCCTAAGTCGAGAACATACACCAGGTCCCCGCCTCAACTCGAGAAAAAACATGAGACTTCCCCCTAGAGGCGAGATGAGGCCCCATTCCCCTGCAGTGCATGCAGAGCTATCCCGTGATCCCATTCAAACAAGTCAGGAGCTTCGACTTGCTTAATGGATCTCGAGACAGTCCCCAAGAACACTGTCACCAGTCTAGACGGACCCTGAGGTCACCCCAGCAACGCAAAGCAGCTCCATGTGCCCCAAATCAACTCGAGATGAGGCCCGATTCCCCTGCATTGCCTCCAGAGCCATTCCCCGTTCCCCATTCAACACGACCGGTGGCTCGACTTCCTTCAGGCAACTCCAGAGATGCCCCGAGAACACTGTCCCAAGTCTAGAGGAACACCAACTTCAGCACAGCAACTCAAGGAATGCTCCGTGTACCCCAAATTGTCTCGAGATGAGAGCTGATTCCCTGGATTAGGCTCAAGACGTATGCCAACTTTCCAGAAGCACCTCAGGAGGAGGCTTCTCTCAGCAATAGGTATGTGGAAGGGACCCCGAGTTTGCTGCCTCAAGGGGAATATACAGCGAGAAGCCCTAACTTGAAAGGAGGCCGCATTTCCTTGCAGTGGCTTGAATACAGGCTCGTCTTTCATCTCACAACATGAAGGGATGTCTGAATCCCCTGTGGAGACCTTAGAGAAAGCCCTAGGTCCCTGCCTCATTTTGACGGAATGCCTCACATCCCGCTGACACCTCGAGAGGCACGCGGAGTTCATTGCTTCAAAAGGTGACGATGCCTGACTCCTCTTGAATACTGATAGGAATCCCAAAATCGCTGTGGCTACTGGAAAGGCTCCTTGGGTACCCTGCCTCACCTCGAGAAGCGTCCCTTTTGCCCTGCCAAGCCTCGTAGAGATTCCTGAAGTGTCCCTCTTTACTAGACAGGAGTCCTGATGTCACTGAAGAAAATCGTGTTTTGAAGGGCCATCCCCGCCCTAAGTCGAGAACATACCCCAGGTCCCCAACGCAACTCGAGAAAAACCATGAGACTTCCCCCTAGAGGCGAGATGAGGCCCCATTCCCCTGCAGTGCATGCAGAGCTATTCTGTGATCCCATTCAACAAGTCAGGAGTTTCGACTTGCTTAATGGATCTCGAGACAGTCCCCAAGAACACTGTCACCAGTCTAGACGGACCCTGAGGTCACCCCAGCAACGCAAAGCAGCTCCATGTGCCCCAAATCAACTCGAGATGAGGCCCGATTCCCCTGCATTGACTCCAGAGCCATTCCCCGTTCCCCATTCAACACGACCGGTGGCTCGACTTCCTTCAGGCAACTCCAGAGATGCCCCGAGAACACTGTCCCAAGTCTAGAGGAACACCAACTTCAGCACAGCAACTTGAGGAATGCTCCGTGTACCCCAAATCGTCTCGAGATGAGAGCTGATTCCCTGGCTTAGGCTCAAGACGTATGCCAACTTTCCAGAAGCACTTCAGGAGGAGGCTTCTCTCAGCAATAGTTATGTGGGAGGGACCCTGAGTTTGCTGTCTCAAGGGGAATATACAGCGTGAAGCCCTAACTTGAAAGGAGGCCGGATTTCCTTGCAGTGGCTTGAATACAGGCTCGTCTTTCATCTCACAACATGAAGGGATGTCTGAATCCCCTGTGGAGACCTTAGAGAAAGCCCTAGGTCCCTGCCTCATTTTGACGGAATGCCTCACGTCCCGCTGACACCTCGAGAGGCACGCGGAGTTCATTGCTTCAAAAGGTGACGATGCCTGACTCCTCTTGAATACTGATAGGAATCCCAAAATCCCTGTGGCTACGGGAAAGGGTCCTTGGGTGCCCTGCCTCACCTCGAGAAGCGTCCCTTTTGCCCTGCCAAGCCTCGAAGAGATTCCTGAGGTGTCCCTCGTTACTAGACACGAGTCCTGACGTCACTGAAGAAACTCGTGTTTTGAAGGGCCATCCCCGCACTAAGTCGAGAACATACCCCAAGTCCACACCGCAACTCGAGAAAAACCATGAGACTTCCCCCTAGAGGCGAGATGAGGCCCCATTCCCCTGCAGTGCATGCAGAGCTATTCCGTGATCCCATTCAAACAAGTCAGGAGCTTCGACTTGCTTAATGGATCTCGAGACAGTCCCCAAGAACACTGTCACCAGTCTAGACGGACCCTGAGGTCACCCCAGCAACGCAAAGCAGCTCCATGTGCCCCAAATCAACTCGAGATGAGGCCCGATTCCCCTGCATTGACTCCAGAGCCATTCCCCGTTCCCCATTCAACATGACCGGTGGCTCGACTTCCTTCAGGCAACTCCAGAGATGCCCCGAGAACACTGTCCCAAGTCTAGAGGAACACCAACTTCAGCACAGCAACTCGAGGAATGCACCGTGTACCCCAAATTGTCTCGAGATGAGAGCTGATTCCCTCGCTTAGGCTCAAGACGTATGCCAACTTTCCAGAAGCACCTCAGGAGGAGGCTTCTCTCAGCAATAGGTATGTGGAAGGGACCCCGAGTTTGCTGCCTCAAGGGGAATATACAGCGAGAAGCCCTAACTTGAAAGGAGGCCGCATTTCCTTGCAGTGGCTTGAATACAGGCTCGTCTTTCATCTCACAACATGAAGGGATGTCTGAATCCCCTGTGGAGACCTTAGAGAAAGCCCTAGGTCCCTGCCTCATTTTGACGGAATGCCTCACATCCCGCTGACACCTCGAGAGGCACGCGGAGTTCATTGCTTCAAAAGGTGACGATGCCTGACTCCTCTTGAATACTGATAGGAATCCCAAAATCGCTGTGGCTACTGGAAAGGCTCCTTGGGTACCCTGCCTCACCTCGAGAAGCGTCCCTTTTGCCCTGCCAAGCCTCGTAGAGATTCCTGAAGTGTCCCTCTTTACTAGACAGGAGTCCTGATGTCACTGAAGAAACTCGTGTTTTGAAGGGCCATCCCCGCCCTAAGTCGAGAACATACCCCAGGTCCCCAACGCAACTCGAGAAAAACCATGAGACTTCCCCCTAGAGGCGAGATGAGGCCCCATTCCCCTGCAGTGCATGCAGAGCTATTCTGTGATCCCATTCAACAAGTCAGGAGTTTCGACTTGCTTAATGGATCTCGAGACAGTCCCCAAGAACACTGTCACCAGTCTAGACGGACCCTGAGGTCACCCCAGCAACGCAAAGCAGCTCCATGTGCCCCAAATCAACTCGAGATGAGGCCCGATTCCCCTGCATTGACTCCAGAGCCATTCCCCGTTCCCCATTCAACACGACCGGTGGCTCGACTTCCTTCAGGCAACTCCAGAGATGCCCCGAGAACACTGTCCCAAGTCTAGAGGAACACCAACTTCAGCACAGCAACTCGAGGAATGCACCGTGTACCCCAAATTGTCTCGAGATGAGAGCTGATTCCCTCGCTTAGGCTCAAGACGTATGCCAACTTTCCAGAAGCACCTCAGGAGGAGGCTTCTCTCAGCAATAGGTATGTGGAAGGGACCCCGAGTTTGCTGCCTCAAGGGGAATATACAGCGAGAAGCCCTAACTTGAAAGGAGGCCGCATTTCCTTGCAGTGGCTTGAATACAGGCTCGTCTTTCATCTCACAACATGAAGGGATGTCTGAATCCCCTGTGGAGACCTTAGAGAAAGCCCTAGGTCCCTGCCTCATTTTGACGGAATGCCTCACATCCCGCTGACACCTCGAGAGGCTCGCGGAGTTCATTGCTTCAAAAGGTGACGATGCCTGACTCCTCTTGAATACTGATAGGAATCCCAAAATCGCTGTGGCTACTGGAAAGGCTCCTTGGGTACCCTGCCTCACCTCGAGAAGCGTCCCTTTTGCCCTGCCAAGCCTCGTAGAGATTCCTGAAGTGTCCCTCTTTACTAGACAGGAGTCCTGATGTCACTGAAGAAACTCGTGTTTTGAAGGGCCATCCCCGCCCTAAGTCGAGAACATACCCCAGGTCCCCAACGCAACTCAATAAAAACCATGAGACTTCCCCCTAGAGGCGAGATGAGGCCCCATTCCCCTGCAGTGCATGCAGAGCTATTCGGTGATCCCATTCAAACAAGTCAGGAGCTTCGACTTGCTTAATGGATCTCGAGACAGTCCCCAAGAACACTGTCACCAGTCTAGACGGACCCTGAGGTCACCCCAGCAACGCAAAGCAGCTCCATGTGCCCCAAATCAACTCGAGATGAGGCCCGATTCCCCTGCATTGACTCCAGAGCCATTCCCCGTTCCCCATTCAACACGACCGGTGGCTCGACTTCCTTCAGGCAACTCCAGAGATGCCCCGAGAACACTGTCCCAAGTCTAGAGGAACACCAACTTCAGCACAGCAACTCGAGGAATGCTCCGTGTAACCCAAATCATCTCGAGATGAGAGCTGATTCCCTGGCTTAGGCTCAAGACGTATGCCAACTTTCCAGAAGCACCTCAGGAGGAGGCTTCTCTCAGCAATAGTTATGTGGGAGGGACCCCGAGTTTGCTGCCTCAAGGGGAATTTACAGCGAGAAGCCCTAACTTGAAAGGAGGCCGGATTTCCTTGCAGTGGCTTGAATACAGGCTCGTCTTTCATCTCACAACATGAAGGGATGTCTGAATCCCCTGTGGAGACCTTAGAGAAAGCCCTAGGTCCCTGCCTCATTTTGACGGAATGCCTCACATCTCGCTGACACCTCGAGAGGCACGCGGAGTTCATTGCTTCAAAAGGTGACGATGCCTGACTCCTCTTGAATACTGATAGGAATCCCGAAATCCCTGTGGCTACGGGAAAGGGTCCTTGGGTGCCCTGCCTCACCTCGAGAAGCGTCCCTTTTGCCTTGCCAAGCCTCGAAGAGATTCCTGAGGTGTCCCTCGTTGCTAGACAGGAGTCCTGACGTCACTGAAGAAACTCGTGTTTTGAAGGGCCATCCCCGCCGTAAGTCGAGAACATACCCCAGGTCCCCGCCGCAACTCGAGAAAAACCATGAGATTTCCCCCTAGAGGCGAGATGAGGCCCCATTCCCCTTCAGTGCATGCAGAGCCATTCCGTGATCCCATTCAAACAAGTCAGGAGCTTCGACTTGCTTAATGGATCTCGAGACAGTCCCCAAGAACACTGTCACCAGTCTAGACGGACCCTGAGGTCACCCCAGCAACGCAAAGCAGCTCCATGGGCCCCAAATCAACTCAAGATGAGGCCCGATTCCCCTGCATTGACTCCAGAGCCATTCCCCGTTCCGCATTCAACACGACCGGTGGCTCGACTTCCTTCAGGCAACTCCAGAGATGCCCCGAGAACACTGTCCCAAGTGTAGAGGAACAACAACTTCAGCAGAGCAACTCGAGGAATGCTCCGTGTACCCCCAATCGTCTCGAGATGAGAGCTGATTCCCTGGCTTAGGCTCAAGACGTATGCCAACTTTCCAGAAGCACCTCAGGAGGAGGCTTCTCTCAGCAATAGGTATGTGGAAGGGACCCCGAGTTTGCTGCCTCAAGGGGAATATACAGCGAGAAGCCCTAACTTGAAAGGAGGCGGGATTTCCTTGCAGTGGCTTGAATACAGGCTCGTCTTTCATCTCACAACATGAAGGGATGTCTGAATCCCCTGTGGAGACCTTAGAGAAGGCCCTAGGTCCCTGCCTCATTTTGACGGAATGCCTCACATCCCGCTGACACCTCGAGAGGCACGCGGAGTAAATTGCTTCAAAAGGTGACGATGCCTGACTCCTCTTGAATACTGATAGGAATCCCAAAATAACTGTGGCTACTGGAAAGGGTCCTTGGGTGCCCTGCCTCGCCTCGAAAAGCGTCCCTTTTGCCCTGCCAAGCCTTGAAGAGATTCCTGAGGTGTCCCTCGTTACTAGACAGGAGTCCTGACGTCACTGAAGAAACTCGTGTTTTGAAGGGCCATCCCCGCCGTAAGTCGAGAACATACCCCAGGTCCCCACCGCAACTCGAGAAAAACCATGAGATTTCCCCCTTGAGGCGAGATGAGGCCACATTCCCCTGCAGTGCATGCAGAGCTATCCCATGATCCCATTCAAACAAGTCAGGAGCTTCGACTTGCTTAGTGGATCTCGAGACAGTCCCCAAGAACCCTGTCACCAGTCTGGACGGACCCTGAGGTCACCCCAGCAACGCAAAGCAGCTCCATGTGCCCCAAATCAACTCGAGATGAGGCCCGATTCCCCTGCATTGACTCCAGAGCCATTCCCCGTTCCCCATTCAACACGACCGATGGCTCGACTTCCTTCAGGCAACTCCAGAGATGCCCCGAGAACACTGTCCCAAGTCTAGAGGAACACCAACTTCAGCACAGCAACTTGATGAATGCTCCGTGTACCCCAAATCGTCTCGAGATGAGAGCTGATTCCCTGGCTTAGGCTCAAGACTTATGCCAACTTTCCAGAAGCACCTCAGTAGGAGGCTTCTCTCAGCAATAGGTATGTGGGAGGCACCCGAGTTTGCTGCCTCAAGGGGAATATACAGCGAGAAGCCCTAACTTGAAAGGAGGCCGGATTTCCTTGCAGTGGCTTGAATACAGGCTCGTCTTTCATCTCACAACATGAAGGGATGTCTGAATCCCCTGTGGAGACCTTAGAGAAAGCCTTAGGTCCCTGCCTCATTTTGACAGAATGCCTCTCGTCCCGCTGACACCTCCAGAGGCACGCGGAGTTCATTGCTTCAAAAGGTGACGATGCCTGACTCCTCTTGAATACTGATAGGAATCCCAAAATCCCTGTGGCTAGGGGAAAGGGTCCTTGGGTGCCCTGCCTCACCTCGAGAAGCGTCCCTTTTGCCTTGCCAAGCCTCGAAGAGATTCCTGAGGTGTTCCTCATTACTAGACAGGAGTCCTGACGTCACTGAAGAAACTCGTGTTTTGAAGGGCCATCCCCGCCATAATTCGAGAACATACCCCAGGTCCCCGCCGCAACTCGAAAAAAACCATGAGATTTCCCCCTAGAGGCGAGATGAGGCCCCATTCCCCTTCAGTGCATGCAGAGCTATTCCGTGATCCCATTCAAACAAGTCAGGAGCTTCGACTTGCTTAATGGATCTCGAGACAGTCCCCAAGAACACTGTCACCAGTCTAGACGGACCCTGAGGTCAACCCAGCAACGCAAAGCAGCTCCATGTGCCCCAAATCAACTCAAGATGAGGCCCGATTCCCCTGCATTGACTCCAGAGCCATTCCCCGTTCCCCATTCAACACGACCGGTGGCTCGACTTCCTTCAGGCAACTCCAGAGATGCCCCGAGAACACTGTCCCAAGTCTAGAGGAACACCAACTTCAGCACAGCAACTCGAGGAATGCTCCGTGTAACCCAAATCGTCTCGAGATGAGAGCTGATTCCCTGGCTTAGGCTCAAGACGTATGCCAACTTTCCAGAAGCACCTCAGGAGGAGGCTTCTCTCAGCAATAGTTATGTGGGAGGGACCCCGAGTTTGCTGCCTCAAGGGGAATATACAGCGAGAAGCCCTAACTTGAAAGGAGGCCGGATTTCCTTGCAGTGGCTTGAATACAGGCTCGTCTTTCATCTCACAACATGAAGGGATGTCTGAATCCCCTGTGGAGACCTTAGAGAAAGCCCTAGGTCCCTGCCTCATTTTGACGGAATGCCTCACATCCCGCTGACACCTCGAGAGGCACGCGGAGTTCATTGCTTCAAAAGGTGACGATGCCTGACTCCTCTTGAATACTGATAGGAATCCCAAAATCCCTGTGGCTACGGGAAAGGGTCCTTGGGTGCCCTGCCTCACCTCGAGAAGCTTCCCTTTTGCCCTGCCAAGCCTCGAAGAGATTCCTGAGGTGTCCCTCGTTACTAGACACGAGTCCTGACGTCACTGAAGAAACTCGTGTTTTGAAGGACCATCCCCGCAGTAAGTCGAGAACATACCCCAGGTCCCCGCCGCAACTCGAGAAAAACCATGAGACTTCCCCCTAGAGGCGAGATGAGGCCCCATTCCCCTGCAGTGCATGCAGAGCTATTCCGTGATCCCATTCAAACAAGTCAGGAGCTTCGACTTGCTTAATGGATCTCGAGACAGTCCCCAAGAACACTGTCACCAGTCTAGACGGACCCTGAGGTCACCCCAGCAACGCAAAGCAGCTCCATGTGCCCCAAATCAACTCGAGATGAGGCCCGATTCCCCTGCATTCACTCCAGAGCCATTCCCCGTTCCCCATTCAACACGACCGGTGGCTCGACTTCCTTCAGGCAACTCCAGAGATGCCCCGAGAACACTGTCCCAAGTCTAGAGGAACACCAACTTCAGCACAGCAACTCGAGGAATGCTCCGTGTACCCCAAATTGTCTCGAGATGAGAGCTGATTCCCTAGCTTAGGCTCAAGACGTATGCCAACTTTCCAGAAGCACCTCAGTAGGAGGCTTCTCTCACCAATAGTTATGTGGGAGGGACCCCGAGTTTGCTGCCTCAAGGGGAATTTACAGCGAGAAGCCCTAACTTGAAAGGAGGCCGGATTTCCTTGCAGTGGCTTGAATACAGGCTCGTCTTTCATCTCACAACATGAAGGGATGTCTGAATCCCCTGTGGAGATCTTAGAGAAAGCCCTAGGTCCCTGCCTCATTTTGACGGAATGCCTCACATCTCGCTGACACCTCGAGAGGCACGCGGAGTTCATTGCTTCAAAAGGTGACGATGCCTGACTCCTCTTGAATACTGATAGGAATCCCGAAATCCCTGTGGCTACGGGAAAGGGTCCTTGGGTGCCCTGCCTCACCTCGAGAAGCGTCCCTTTTGCCCTGCCAAGCCTCGAAGAGATTCCTGAGGTGTCCCTCGTTACTAGACAGGAGTCCTGACGTCACTGAAGAAACTCGTGTTTTGAAGGGCCATCCCCGCCGTAAGTCGAGAACATACCCCAGGTCCCCGCCGCAACTCGAGAAAAACCATGAGATTTCCCCCTAGAGGCGAGATGAGGCCCCATTCCCCTTCAGTGCATGCAGAGCTATTCCGTGATCCCATTCAAACAAGTCAGGAGCTTCGACTTGCTTAATGGATCTCGAGACAGTCCCCAAGAACACTGTCACCAGTCTAGACGGACCCTGAGGTCACCCCAGCAACGCAAAGCAGCTCCATGTGCCCCAAATCAACTCGAGATGAGGCCCGATTCCCCTTCATTGACTCCAGAGACATTCTCTGTTCCCCATTCAACACGACCGGTGGCTCGACTTCCTTCAGGCAACTCCAGAGATGCCCCGAGAACACTGTCCCAAGTCTAGAGGAACACCAACTTCAGCACAGCAACTCGAGGAATGCTCCGTGTAACCCAAATCGTCTCGAGATGAGAGCTGATTCCCTGGCTTAGGCTCAAGACGTATGCCAACTTTCCAGAAGCACCTCAGGAGGAGGCTTCTCTCAGCAATAGTTATGTGGGAGGGACCCCGAGTTTGCTGCCTCAAGGGGAATATACAGCGAGAAGCCCTAACTTGAAAGGAGGCCGGATTTCCTTGCAGTGGCTTAAATACAGGTTCGTCTTTCATCTCACAACATGAAGGGATGTCTGAATCCCCTGTGGAGACCTTAGAGAAAGCCCTAGGTCCCTGCCTCATTTTGACGGAATGCCTCACATCCCGCTGACACCTCGAGAGGCACGCGGAGTTCATTGCTTCAAAAGGTGACGATGCCTGACTCCTCTTGAATACTGATAGGAATCCCAAAATCGCTGTGGCTACTGGAAAGGCTCCTTGGGTACCCTGCCTCACCTCGAGAAGCGTCCCTTTTGCCCTGCCAAGCCTCGTAGAGATTCCTGAAGTGTCCCTCTTTACTAGACAGGAATCCTGATGTCACTGAAGAAACTCGTGTTTTGAAGGGCCATCCCCGCCCTAAGTCGAGAACATAGCCCAGGTCCCCAACGCAACTCGAGAAAAACCATGAGACTTCCCCCTAGAGGCGAGATGAGGCCCCATTCCCCTGCAGTGCATGCAGAGCTATTCTGTGATCCCATTCAACAAGACAGGAGTTTCGACTTGCTTAATGGATCTCGAGACAGTCCCCAAGAACACTGTCACCAGTCTAGACGGACCCTGAGGTCACCCCAGCAACGCAAAGCAGCTCCATGTGCCCCAAATCAACTCGAGATGAGGCCCGATTCCCCTGCATTCACTCCAGAGCCATTCCCCGTTCCCCATTCAACACGACCGGTGGCTCGACTTCCTTCAGGCAACTCCAGAGATGCCCCGAGAACACTGTCCCAAGTCTAGAGGAACACCAACTTCAGCACAGCATCTCGACGAATGCTTCGTGTAACCCAAATCGTCTCGAGATGGGAGCTGATTCCCTGGCCAAGGCTCAAGACGTATGCCAACTTTCCAGAAGCACCTCAGGAGGAGGCTTCTCTCAGCAATAAGTATGTGGGAGGGACCCCGAGTTTGTGCCTCAAGGGGAATATACAGCGAGAAGCCCTAACATGAAAGGAGGCCGGATTTCCTTGCAGTGGCTTGAATACAGGCTCGTCTTTCATCTCACAACATGAAGGGATGTCTGAATCCCCTGTGGAGACCTTAGAGAAAGCCCTAGGTCCCTGCCTCATTTTGACGGAATACCTCACATCCCACTGACACCTCGAGAGGCACGCGGAGTTCATTGCTTCAAAAGGTGACGATGCCTGACTCCTCTTGAATACTGATAGGAATCCCAAAATCCCTGTGGCTACGGGAAAGGGTCCTTGGGTGCCCTGCCTCACCTCGAGAAGCGTCCCTTTTGCCCTGCCAAGCCTCGAAGAGATTCCTGAGGTGTTCCTCATTACTAGACAGGAGTCCTGACGTCACTGAAGAAAGTCGTGTTTTGAAGGGCCTTCCCCGCCGTAAGTCGGGAACATACCCCAGGTCCCCGCCTCAACTCGAGAAAAACCATGAGACTTCCCCCTAGAGGCGAGGTGAGGCCCCATTCCCCTGCAGTGCATGCAGAGCTATTCCGTGATCCCATTCAAACAAGTCAGGAGCTTCGACTTGCTTAATGGATCTCGAGACAGTCCCCAAGAACACTGTCACCAGTCTAGACGGACCCTGAGGTCACCCCAGCAACGCAAAGCAGCTCCATGTGCCCCAAATCAACTCGAGATGAGGCCCGATTCCCCTGCATTGACTCCAGAGCCATTCCCCGTTCCCCATTCAACACGACCGGTGGCTCGACTTCCTTCAGGCAACTCCAGAGATGCCCCGAGAACACTGTCCCAAGTCTAGAGGAACACCAACTTCAGCACAGCAACTCGAGGAATGCTCCGTGTACCCCAAATTGTCTCGAGATGAGAGCTGATTCCCTGGATTAGGCTCAAGACGTATGCCAACTTTCCAGAAGCACCTCAGGAGGAGGCTTCTCTCAGCAATAGGTATGTGGAAGGGACCCCGAGTTTGCTGCCTAAGGGGAATATACAGCGAGAAGCCCTAAGTTGAAAGGAGGCCGCATTTCCTTGCAGTGGCTTGAATACCGGCTCGTCTTTCATCTCACAACATGAAGGGATGTCTGAATCCCCTGTGGAGACCTTAGAGAAAGCCCTAGGTCCCTGCCTCATGTTGACGGAATGCCTCACATCCCGCTGACACCTCGAGAGGCACGCGGAGTTCATTGCTTCAAAAGGTGACGATGCCTGACTCCTCTTGAATACTGATAGGAATCCCAAAATCCCTGTGGGTACGGGAAAGGGTCCTTGGGTGCCCTGCCTCACCTCGAGAAGCGTCCCTTTTGCCCTGCCAAGCCTCTTAGAGATTCCTGAGGTGTCCCTCGTTACTAGACAGGAGTCCTGACGTCACTGAAGAAACTCGTGTTTTGAAGGGCCATCCCCGCCGTAAGTCGAGAACATACCCCAGGTCCCCGCCGCAACTCGAGAAAAACCATGAGACTTCCCCCTAGAGGCGAGATGAGGCCCCATTCCCCTGCAGTGCATGCAGAGCTATTCCGTGATCCCATTCAAACAAGTCAGGAGCTTCGACTTGCTTAATGGATCTCGAGACAGTCCCCAAGAACACTGTCACCAGTCTAGACGGACCCTGAGGTCACCCCAGCAACGCAAAGCAGCTCCATGTGCCCCAAATCAACTCGAGATGAGGCCCGATTCCCCTTCATTGACTCCAGAGACATTCTCTGTTCCCCATTCAACACGACCGGTGGCTCGACTTCCTTCAGGCAACTCCAGAGATGCCCCGAGAACACTGTCCCAAGTCTAGAGGAACACCAACTTCAGCACAGCAACTCGAGGAATGCTCCGTGTAACCCAAATCGTCTCGAGATGAGAGCTGATTCCCTGGCTTAGGCTCAAGACTTATGCCAACTTTCCAGAAGCACCTCAGTAGGAGGCTTCTCTCACCAATAGTTATGTGGGAGGGACCCCGAGTTTGCTGCCTCAAGGGGAATTTACAGCGAGAAGCCCTAACTTGAAAGGAGGCCGGATTTCCTTGCAGTGGCTTGAATACAGGCTCGTCTTTCATCTCACAACATGAAGGGATGTCTGAATCCCCTGTGGAGACCTTAGAGAAAGCCCTAGGTCCCTGCCTCATTTTGACGGAATGCGTCACATCTCGCTGACACCTCGAGATGCACGCGGAGTTCATTGCTTCAAAAGGTGACGATGCCTGACTCCTCTTGAATACTGATAGGAATCCCGAAATCCCTGTGGCTACGGGAAAGGGTCCTTGGGTGCCCTGCCTCACCTCGAGAAGCGTCCCTTTTGCCCTGCCAAGCCTCGAAGAGATTCCTGAGGTGTCCCTCGTTACTAGACAGGAGTCCTGACGTCACTGAAGAAACTCGTGTTTTGAAGGGCCATCCCCGCCGTAAGTCGAGAACATACCCCAGGTCCCCGCCGCAACTCGAGAAAAACCATGAGATTTCCCCCTAGAGGCGAGATGAAGCCCCATTCCCCTGCAGTGCATGCAGAGCTATTCCGTGATCCCATTCAAACAAGTCAGGAGCTTCGACTTGCTTAATGGATCTCGAGACAGTCCCCAAGAACACTGACACCAGTCTAGACGGAGCCTGGGGTCACCCCAGCAACGCAAAGCAGCTCCATGTGCCCCAAATCAACTCGAGATGAGGCCCGATTCCCCTGCATTGACTCCAGAGCCATTCCACGTTCCCCATTCAACACGACCGGTGGCTCGACTTCCTTCAGGCAACTCCAGAGATGCCCCGAGAACACTGTCCCAAGTATTAGAGGAACACCAACTTCAGCACAGCAACTCGAGGAATGCTCCGTGTACCCCAAATTGTCTCGAGATGAGAGCTGATTCCCTGGATTAGGCTCAAGACGTATGCCAACTTTCCAGAAGCACCTCAGGAGGAGGCTTCTCTCAGCAATAGGTATGTGGAAGGGACCCCGAGTTTGCTGCCTAAGGGGAATATACAGCGAGAAGCCCTAACTTGAAAGGAGGCCGCATTTCCTTGCAGTGGCTTGAATACCGGCTCGTCCTTCATCTCACAACATGAAGGGATGTCTGAATCCCCTGTGGAGACCTTAGAGAAAGCCCTAGGTCCCTGCCTCATGTTGACGGAATGCCTCACATCCCGCTGACACCTCGAGAGGCACGCGGAGTTCATTGCTTCAAAAGGTGACGATGCCTGACTCCTCTTGAATACTGATAGGAATCCCAAAATCCCTGTGGGTACGGGAAAGGGTCCTTGGGTGCCCTGCCTCACCTCGAGAAGCGTCCCTTTTGCCCTGCCAAGCCTCGAAGAGATTCCTGAGGTGTCCCTCGTTACTAGACAGGAGTCCTGACGTCACTGAAGAAACTCGTGTTTTGAAGGGCCATCCCCGCCGTAAGTCGAGAACATACCCCAGGTCCCCGCCTCAACTCGAGAAAAACCATGAGACTTCCCCCTTGAGGCGAGATGAGGCCACATTCCCCTGCAGTGCATGCAGAGCTATTCCGTGATCCCATTCAAACAAGTCAGGAGCTTCGACTTGCTTAATGGATCTCGAGACAGTCCCTAAGAACACTGTCACCAGTCTAGACGGACCCTGAGGTCACCCCAGCAACGCAAAGCAGCTCCATGTGCCCCAAATCAACTCGAGATGAGGCCCGATTCCCCTGCATTCACTCCAGAGCCATTCCCCGTTCCCCATTCAACACGACCGGTGGCTCGACTTCCTTCAGGCAACTCCAGAGATGCCCCGAGAACACTGTCCCAAGTCTAGAGGAACACCAACTTCAGCACAGCAACTCGAGGAATGCTCCGTGTAACCCAAATCGTCTCGAGATGAGAGCTGATTCCCTGGCTTAGGCTCAAGACTTATGCCAACTTTCCAGAAGCACCTCAGTAGGAGGCTTCTCTCACCAATAGTTATGTGGGAGGGACCCCGAGTTTGCTGCCTCAAGGGGAATTTACAGCGAGAAGCCCTAACTTGAAAGGAGGCCGGATTTCCTTGCAGTGGCTTGAATACAGGCTCGTCTTTCATCTCACAACATGAAGGGATGTCTGAATCCCCTGTGGAGACCTTAGAGAAAGCCCTAGGTCCCTGCCTCATTTTGACGGAATGCCTCACATCTCGCTGACACCTCGAGAGGCACGCGGAGTTCATTGCTTCAAAAGGTGACGATGCCTGACTCCTCTTGAATACTGATAGGAATCCCGAAATCCCTGTGGCTACGGGAAAGGGTCCTTGGGTGCCCTGCCTCACCTCGAGAAGCGTCCCTTTTGCCCTGCCAAGCCTCGAAGAGATTCCTGAGGTGTCCCTCGTTACTAGACAGGAGTCCTGACGTCACTGAAGAAACTCGTGTTTTGAAGGGCCATCCCCGCCGTAAGTCGAGAACATACCCCAGGTCCCCGCCGCAACTCGAGAAAAACCATGAGACTTCCCCCTAGAGGCGAGATGAGGCCCCATTCCCCTGCAGTGCATGCAGAGCTATTCCGTGATCCCATTCAAACAAGTCAGGAGCTTCGACTTGCTTAATGGATCTCGAGACAGTCCCCAAGAACACTGACACCAGTCTAGACGGACCCTGGGGTCACCCCAGCAACGCAAAGCAGCTCCATGTGCCCCAAATCAACTCGAGATGAGGCCCGATTCCCCTTCATTGACTCCAGAGACATTCCCTGTTCCCCATTCAACACGACCGGTGGCTCGACTTCCTTCAGGCAACTCCAGAGATGCCCCGAGAACACTGTCCCAAGTCTAGAGGAACAACAACTTCAGCACAGCAACTCGAGGAATGCTCCGTGTACCCCAAATTGTCTCGAGATGAGAGCTGATTCCCTGGCTTAGGCTCAAGACGTATGCCAACTTTTCAGAAGCACCTCAGGAGGAGGCTTCTCTCAGCAATAGTTATGTGGGAGGGACCCCGAGTTTGCTGCCTCAAGGGGAATATACAGCGAGAAGCCCTAACTTGAAAGGAGGCCGGATTTCCTTGCAGTGGCTTGAATACAGGCTCGTCTTTCATCTCACAACATGAAGGGATGTCTGAATCCCCTGTGGAGACCTTAGAGAAAGCCCTAGGTCCCTGCCTCATTTTGACGGAATGCCTCACGTCCCGCTGACACCTCGAGAGGCACGCGGAGTTCATTGCTTCAAAAGGTGACGATGCCTGACTCCTCTTGAATACTGATAGGAATCCCAAAATCCCTGTGGCTACGGGAAAGGGTCCTTGGGTGCCCTGCCTCACCTCGAGAAGCTTCCCTTTTGCCCTGCCAAGCCTCGAAGAGATTCCTGAGGTGTCCCTCGTTACTAGACACGAGTCCTGACGTCACTGAAGAAACTCGTGTTTTGAAGGACCATCCCCGCAGTAAGTCGAGAACATACCCCAGGTCCCCGCCGCAACTCGAGAAAAACCATGAGACTTCCCCCTAGAGGCGAGATGAGGCCCCATTCCCCTGCAGTGCATGCAGAGCTATTCCGTGATCCCATTCAAACAAGTCAGGAGCTTCGACTTGCTTAATGGATCTCGAGACAGTCCCCAAGAACACTGTCACCAGTCTAGACGGACCCTGAGGTCACCCCAGCAACGCAAAGCAGCTCCATGTGCCCCAAATCAACTCGAGATGAGGCCCGATTCCCCTGCATTGACTCCAGAGCCATTCCCCGTTCCCCATTCAACACGACCGGTGGCTCGACTTCCTTCAGGCAACTCCAGAGATGCCCCGAGAACACTGTCCCAAGTCTAGAGGAACACCAACTTCAGCACAGCAACTCGAGGAATGCTCCGTGTACCCCAAATTGTCTCGAGATGAGAGCTGATTCCCTAGCTTAGGCTCAAGACGTATGCCAACTTTCCAGAAGCACCTCAGTAGGAGGCTTCTCTCACCAATAGTTATGTGGGAGGGACCCCGAGTTTGCTGCCTCAAGGGGAATTTACAGCGAGAAGCCCTAACTTGAAAGGAGGCCGGATTTCCTTGCAGTGGCTTGAATACAGGCTCGTCTTTCATCTCACAACATGAAGGGATGTCTGAATCCCCTGTGGAGATCTTAGAGAAAGCCCTAGGTCCCTGCCTCATTTTGACGGAATGCCTCACATCTCGCTGACACCTCGAGAGGCACGCGGAGTTCATTGCTTCAAAAGGTGACGATGCCTGACTCCTCTTGAATACTGATAGGAATCCCGAAATCCCTGTGGCTACGGGAAAGGGTCCTTGGGTGCCCTGCCTCACCTCGAGAAGCGTCCCTTTTGCCCTGCCAAGCCTCGAAGAGATTCCTGAGGTGTCCCTCGTTACTAGACAGGAGTCCTGACGTCACTGAAGAAACTCGTGTTTTGAAGGGCCATCCCCGCCGTAAGTCGAGAACATACCCCAGGTCCCCGCCGCAACTCGAGAAAAACCATGAGATTTCCCCCTAGAGGCGAGATGAGGCCCCATTCCCCTTCAGTGCATGCAGAGCTATTCCGTGATCCCATTCAAACAAGTCAGGAGCTTCGACTTGCTTAATGGATCTCGAGACAGTCCCCAAGAACACTGTCACCAGTCTAGACGGACCCTGAGGTCACCCCAGCAACGCAAAGCAGCTCCATGTGCCCCAAATCAACTCGAGATGAGGCCCGATTCCCCTTCATTGACTCCAGAGACATTCTCTGTTCCCCATTCAACACGACCGGTGGCTCGACTTCCTTCAGGCAACTCCAGAGATGCCCCGAGAACACTGTCCCAAGTCTAGAGGAACACCAACTTCAGCACAGCAACTCGAGGAATGCTCCGTGTAACCCAAATCGTCTCGAGATGAGAGCTGATTCCCTGGCTTAGGCTCAAGACGTATGCCAACTTTCCAGAAGCACCTCAGGAGGAGGCTTCTCTCAGCAATAGTTATGTGGGAGGGACCCCGAGTTTGCTGCCTCAAGGGGAATATACAGCGAGAAGCCCTAACTTGAAAGGAGGCCGGATTTCCTTGCAGTGGCTTAAATACAGGTTCGTCTTTCATCTCACAACATGAAGGGATGTCTGAATCCCCTGTGGAGACCTTAGAGAAAGCCCTAGGTCCCTGCCTCATTTTGACGGAATGCCTCACATCCCGCTGACACCTCGAGAGGCACGCGGAGTTCATTGCTTCAAAAGGTGACGATGCCTGACTCCTCTTGAATACTGATAGGAATCCCAAAATCGCTGTGGCTACTGGAAAGGCTCCTTGGGTACCCTGCCTCACCTCGAGAAGCGTCCCTTTTGCCCTGCCAAGCCTCGTAGAGATTCCTGAAGTGTCCCTCTTTACTAGACAGGAATCCTGATGTCACTGAAGAAACTCGTGTTTTGAAGGGCCATCCCCGCCCTAAGTCGAGAACATAGCCCAGGTCCCCAACGCAACTCGAGAAAAACCATGAGACTTCCCCCTAGAGGCGAGATGAGGCCCCATTCCCCTGCAGTGCATGCAGAGCTATTCTGTGATCCCATTCAACAAGACAGGAGTTTCGACTTGCTTAATGGATCTCGAGACAGTCCCCAAGAACACTGTCACCAGTCTAGACGGACCCTGAGGTCACCCCAGCAACGCAAAGCAGCTCCATGTGCCCCAAATCAACTCGAGATGAGGCCCGATTCCCCTGCATTCACTCCAGAGCCATTCCCCGTTCCCCATTCAACACGACCGGTGGCTCGACTTCCTTCAGGCAACTCCAGAGATGCCCCGAGAACACTGTCCCAAGTCTAGAGGAACACCAACTTCAGCACAGCATCTCGACGAATGCTTCGTGTAACCCAAATCGTCTCGAGATGGGAGCTGATTCCCTGGCCAAGGCTCAAGACGTATGCCAACTTTCCAGAAGCACCTCAGGAGGAGGCTTCTCTCAGCAATAAGTATGTGGGAGGGACCCCGAGTTTGTGCCTCAAGGGGAATATACAGCGAGAAGCCCTAACATGAAAGGAGGCCGGATTTCCTTGCAGTGGCTTGAATACAGGCTCGTCTTTCATCTCACAACATGAAGGGATGTCTGAATCCCCTGTGGAGACCTTAGAGAAAGCCCTAGGTCCCTGCCTCATTTTGACGGAATACCTCACATCCCACTGACACCTCGAGAGGCACGCGGAGTTCATTGCTTCAAAAGGTGACGATGCCTGACTCCTCTTGAATACTGATAGGAATCCCAAAATCCCTGTGGCTACGGGAAAGGGTCCTTGGGTGCCCTGCCTCACCTCGAGAAGCGTCCCTTTTGCCCTGCCAAGCCTCGAAGAGATTCCTGAGGTGTTCCTCATTACTAGACAGGAGTCCTGACGTCACTGAAGAAAGTCGTGTTTTGAAGGGCCTTCCCCGCCGTAAGTCGGGAACATACCCCAGGTCCCCGCCTCAACTCGAGAAAAACCATGAGACTTCCCCCTAGAGGCGAGGTGAGGCCCCATTCCCCTGCAGTGCATGCAGAGCTATTCCGTGATCCCATTCAAACAAGTCAGGAGCTTCGACTTGCTTAATGGATCTCGAGACAGTCCCCAAGAACACTGTCACCAGTCTAGACGGACCCTGAGGTCACCCCAGCAACGCAAAGCAGCTCCATGTGCCCCAAATCAACTCGAGATGAGGCCCGATTCCCCTGCATTGACTCCAGAGCCATTCCCCGTTCCCCATTCAACACGACCGGTGGCTCGACTTCCTTCAGGCAACTCCAGAGATGCCCCGAGAACACTGTCCCAAGTCTAGAGGAACACCAACTTCAGCACAGCAACTCGAGGAATGCTCCGTGTACCCCAAATTGTCTCGAGATGAGAGCTGATTCCCTGGATTAGGCTCAAGACGTATGCCAACTTTCCAGAAGCACCTCAGGAGGAGGCTTCTCTCAGCAATAGGTATGTGGAAGGGACCCCGAGTTTGCTGCCTAAGGGGAATATACAGCGAGAAGCCCTAAGTTGAAAGGAGGCCGCATTTCCTTGCAGTGGCTTGAATACCGGCTCGTCTTTCATCTCACAACATGAAGGGATGTCTGAATCCCCTGTGGAGACCTTAGAGAAAGCCCTAGGTCCCTGCCTCATGTTGACGGAATGCCTCACATCCCGCTGACACCTCGAGAGGCACGCGGAGTTCATTGCTTCAAAAGGTGACGATGCCTGACTCCTCTTGAATACTGATAGGAATCCCAAAATCCCTGTGGGTACGGGAAAGGGTCCTTGGGTGCCCTGCCTCACCTCGAGAAGCGTCCCTTTTGCCCTGCCAAGCCTCTTAGAGATTCCTGAGGTGTCCCTCGTTACTAGACAGGAGTCCTGACGTCACTGAAGAAACTCGTGTTTTGAAGGGCCATCCCCGCCGTAAGTCGAGAACATACCCCAGGTCCCCGCCGCAACTCGAGAAAAACCATGAGACTTCCCCCTAGAGGCGAGATGAGGCCCCATTCCCCTGCAGTGCATGCAGAGCTATTCCGTGATCCCATTCAAACAAGTCAGGAGCTTCGACTTGCTTAATGGATCTCGAGACAGTCCCCAAGAACACTGTCACCAGTCTAGACGGACCCTGAGGTCACCCCAGCAACGCAAAGCAGCTCCATGTGCCCCAAATCAACTCGAGATGAGGCCCGATTCCCCTTCATTGACTCCAGAGACATTCTCTGTTCCCCATTCAACACGACCGGTGGCTCGACTTCCTTCAGGCAACTCCAGAGATGCCCCGAGAACACTGTCCCAAGTCTAGAGGAACACCAACTTCAGCACAGCAACTCGAGGAATGCTCCGTGTAACCCAAATCGTCTCGAGATGAGAGCTGATTCCCTGGCTTAGGCTCAAGACTTATGCCAACTTTCCAGAAGCACCTCAGTAGGAGGCTTCTCTCACCAATAGTTATGTGGGAGGGACCCCGAGTTTGCTGCCTCAAGGGGAATTTACAGCGAGAAGCCCTAACTTGAAAGGAGGCCGGATTTCCTTGCAGTGGCTTGAATACAGGCACGTCTTTCATCTCACAACATGAAGGGATGTCTGAATCCCCTGTGGAGACCTTAGAGAAAGCCCTAGGTCCCTGCCTCATTTTGACGGAATGCGTCACATCTCGCTGACACCTCGAGATGCACGCGGAGTTCATTGCTTCAAAAGGTGACGATGCCTGACTCCTCTTGAATACTGATAGGAATCCCGAAATCCCTGTGGCTACGGGAAAGGGTCCTTGGGTGCCCTGCCTCACCTCGAGAAGCGTCCCTTTTGCCCTGCCAAGCCTCGAAGAGATTCCTGAGGTGTCCCTCGTTACTAGACAGGAGTCCTGACGTCACTGAAGAAACTCGTGTTTTGAAGGGCCATCCCCGCCGTAAGTCGAGAACATACCCCAGGTCCCCGCCGCAACTCGAGAAAAACCATGAGATTTCCCCCTAGAGGCGAGATGAGGCCCCATTCCCCTGCAGTGCATGCAGAGCTATTCCGTGATCCCATTCAAACAAGTCAGGAGCTTCGACTTGCTTAATGGATCTCGAGACAGTCCCCAAGAACACTGACACCAGTCTAGACGGAGCCTGGGGTCACCCCAGCAACGCAAAGCAGCTCCATGTGCCCCAAATCAACTCGAGATGAGGCCCGATTCCCCTGCATTGACTCCAGAGCCATTCCACGTTCCCCATTCAACACGACCGGTGGCTCGACTTCCTTCAGGCAACTCCAGAGATGCCCCGAGAACACTGTCCCAAGTATTAGAGGAACACCAACTTCAGCACAGCAACTCGAGGAATGCTCCGTGTACCCCAAATTGTCTCGAGATGAGAGCTGATTCCCTGGATTAGGCTCAAGACGTATGCCAACTTTCCAGAAGCACCTCAGGAGGAGGCTTCTCTCAGCAATAGGTATGTGGAAGGGACCCCGAGTTTGCTGCCTAAGGGGAATATACAGCGAGAAGCCCTAACTTGAAAGGAGGCCGCATTTCCTTGCAGTGGCTTGAATACCGGCTCGTCCTTCATCTCACAACATGAAGGGATGTCTGAATCCCCTGTGGAGACCTTAGAGAAAGCCCTAGGTCCCTGCCTCATGTTGACGGAATGCCTCACATCCCGCTGACACCTCGAGAGGCACGCGGAGTTCATTGCTTCAAAAGGTGACGATGCCTGACTCCTCTTGAATACTGATAGGAATCCCAAAATCCCTGTGGGTACGGGAAAGGGTCCTTGGGTGCCCTGCCTCACCTCGAGAAGCGTCCCTTTTGCCCTGCCAAGCCTCGAAGAGATTCCTGAGGTGTCCCTCGTTACTAGACAGGAGTCCTGACGTCACTGAAGAAACTCGTGTTTTGAAGGGCCATCCCCGCCGTAAGTCGAGAACATACCCCAGGTCCCCGCCTCAACTCGAGAAAAACCATGAGACTTCCCCCTTGAGGCGAGATGAGGCCACATTCCCCTGCAGTGCATGCAGAGCTATTCCGTGATCCCATTCAAACAAGTCAGGAGCTTCGACTTGCTTAATGGATCTCGAGACAGTCCCTAAGAACACTGTCACCAGTCTAGACGGACCCTGAGGTCACCCCAGCAACGCAAAGCAGCTCCATGTGCCCCAAATCAACTCGAGATGAGGCCCGATTCCCCTGCATTCACTCCAGAGCCATTCCCCGTTCCCCATTCAACACGACCGGTGGCTCGACTTCCTTCAGGCAACTCCAGAGATGCCCCGAGAACACTGTCCCAAGTCTAGAGGAACACCAACTTCAGCACAGCAACTCGAGGAATGCTCCGTGTAACCCAAATCGTCTCGAGATGAGAGCTGATTCCCTGGCTTAGGCTCAAGACTTATGCCAACTTTCCAGAAGCACCTCAGTAGGAGGCTTCTCTCACCAATAGTTATGTGGGAGGGACCCCGAGTTTGCTGCCTCAAGGGGAATTTACAGCGAGAAGCCCTAACTTGAAAGGAGGCCGGATTTCCTTGCAGTGGCTTGAATACAGGCTCGTCTTTCATCTCACAACATGAAGGGATGTCTGAATCCCCTGTGGAGACCTTAGAGAAAGCCCTAGGTCCCTGCCTCATTTTGACGGAATGCCTCACATCTCGCTGACACCTCGAGAGGCACGCGGAGTTCATTGCTTCAAAAGGTGACGATGCCTGACTCCTCTTGAATACTGATAGGAATCCCGAAATCCCTGTGGCTACGGGAAAGGGTCCTTCGGTGCCCTGCCTCACCTCGAGAAGCGTCCCTTTTGCCCTGCCAAGCCTCGAAGAGATTCCTGAGGTGTCCCTCGTTACTAGACAGGAGTCCTGACGTCACTGAAGAAACTCGTGTTTTGAAGGGCCATCCCCGCCGTAAGTCGAGAACATACCCCAGGTCCCCGCCGCAACTCGAGAAAAACCATGAGACTTCCCCCTAGAGGCGAGATGAGGCCCCATTCCCCTGCAGTGCATGCAGAGCTATTCCGTGATCCCATTCAAACAAGTCAGGAGCTTCGACTTGCTTAATGGATCTCGAGACAGTCCCCAAGAACACTGACACCAGTCTAGACGGACCCTGGGGTCACCCCAGCAACGCAAAGCAGCTCCATGTGCCCCAAATCAACTCGAGATGAGGCCCGATTCCCCTTCATTGACTCCAGAGACATTCCCTGTTCCCCATTCAACACGACCGGTGGCTCGACTTCCTTCAGGCAACTCCAGAGATGCCCCGAGAACACTGTCCCAAGTCTAGAGGAACAACAACTTCAGCACAGCAACTCGAGGAATGCTCCGTGTACCCCAAATTGTCTCGAGATGAGAGCTGATTCCCTGGCTTAGGCTCAAGACGTATGCCAACTTTTCAGAAGCACCTCAGGAGGAGGCTTCTCTCAGCAATAGTTATGTGGGAGGGACCCCGAGTTTGCTGCCTCAAGGGGAATATACAGCGAGAAGCCCTAACTTGAAAGGAGGCCGGATTTCCTTGCAGTGGCTTGAATACAGGCTCGTCTTTCATCTCACAACATGAAGGGATGTCTGAATCCCCTGTGGAGACCTTAGAGAAAGCCCTAGGTCCCTGCCTCATTTTGACGGAATGCCTCACGTCCCGCTGACACCTCGAGAGGCACGCGGAGTTCATTGCTTCAAAAGGTGACGATGCCTGACTCCTCTTGAATACTGATAGGAATCCCAAAATCCCTGTGGCTACGGGAAAGGGTCCTTGGGTGCCCTGCCTCACCTCGAGAAGCTTCCCTTTTGCCCTGCCAAGCCTCGAAGAGATTCCTGAGGTGTCCCTCGTTACTAGACACGAGTCCTGACGTCACTGAAGAAACTCGTGTTTTGAAGGACCATCCCCGCAGTAAGTCGAGAACATACCCCAGGTCCCCGCCGCAACTCGAGAAAAACCATGAGACTTCCCCCTAGAGGCGAGATGAGGCCCCATTCCCCTCCAGTGCATGCAGAGCTATTCCGTGATCCCATTCAAACAAGTCAGGAGCTTCGACTTGCTTAATGGATCTCGAGACAGTCCCCAAGAACACTGTCACCAGTCTAGACGGACCCTGAGGTCACCCCAGCAACGCAAAGCAGCTCCATGTGCCCCAAATCAACTCGAGATGAGGCCCGATTCCCCTGCATTGACTCCAGAGCCATTCCCCGTTCCCCATTCAACACGACCGGTGGCTCGACTTCCTTCAGGCAACTCCAGAGATGCCCCGAGAACACTGTCCCAAGTCTAGAGGAACACCAACTTCAGCACAGCAACTCGAGGAATGCTCCGTGTACCCCAAATTGTCTCGAGATGAGAGCTGATTCCCTAGCTTAGGCTCAAGACGTATGCCAACTTTCCAGAAGCACCTCAGTAGGAGGCTTCTCTCACCAATAGTTATGTGGGAGGGACCCCGAGTTTGCTGCCTCAAGGGGAATTTACAGCGAGAAGCCCTAACTTGAAAGGAGGCCGGATTTCCTTGCAGTGGCTTGAATACAGGCTCGTCTTTCATCTCACAACATGAAGGGATGTCTGAATCCCCTGTGGAGATCTTAGAGAAAGCCCTAGGTCCCTGCCTCATTTTGACGGAATGCCTCACATCTCGCTGACACCTCGAGAGGCACGCGGCGTTCATTGCTTCAAAAGGTGACGATGCCTGACTCCTCTTGAATACTGATAGGAATCCCGAAATCCCTGTGGCTACGGGAAAGGGTCCTTGGGTGCCCTGCCTCACCTCGAGAAGCGTCCCTTTTGCCCTGCCAAGCCTCGAAGAGATTCCTGAGGTGTCCCTCGTTACTAGACAGGAGTCCTGACGTCACTGAAGAAACTCGTGTTTTGAAGGGCCATCCCCGCCGTAAGTCGAGAACATACCCCAGGTCCCCGCCGCAACTCGAGAAAAACCATGAGATTTCCCCCTAGAGGCGAGATGAGGCCCCATTCCCCTTCAGTGCATGCAGAGCTATTCCGTGATCCCATTCAAACAAGTCAGGAGCTTCGACTTGCTTAATGGATCTCGAGACAGTCCCCAAGAACACTGTCACCAGTCTAGACGGACCCTGAGGTCACCCCAGCAACGCAAAGCAGCTCCATGTGCCCCAAATCAACTCGAGATGAGGCCCGATTCCCCTTCATTGACTCCAGAGACATTCTCTGTTCCCCATTCAACACGACCGGTGGCTCGACTTCCTTCAGGCAACTCCAGAGATGCCCCGAGAACACTGTCCCAAGTCTAGAGGAACACCAACTTCAGCACAGCAACTCGAGGAATGCTCCGTGTAACCCAAATCGTCTCGAGATGAGAGCTGATTCCCTGGCTTAGGCTCAAGACTTATGCCAACTTTCCAGAAGCACCTCAGTAGGAGGCTTCTCTCACCAATAGTTATGTGGGAGGGACCCCGAGTTTGCTGCCTCAAGGGGAATTTACAGCGAGAAGCCCTAACTTGAAAGGAGGCCGGATTTCCTTGCAGTGGCTTGAATACAGGCTCGTCTTTCATCTCACAACATGAAGGGATGTCTGAATCCCCTGTGGAGACCTTAGAGAAAGCCCTAGGTCCCTGCCTCATTTTGACGGAATGCGTCACATCTCGCTGACACCTCGAGAGGCACGCGGAGTTCATTGCTTCAAAAGGTGACGATGCCTGACTCCTCTTGAATACTGATAGGAATCCCGAAATCCCTGTGGCTACGGGAAAGGGTCCTTGGGTGCCCTGCCTCACCTCGAGAAGCGTCCCTTTTGCCCTGCCAAGCCTCGAAGAGATTCCTGAGGTGTCCCTCGTTACTAGACAGGAGTCCTGACGTCACTGAAGAAACTCGTGTTTTGAAGGGCCATCCCCGCCGTAAGTCGAGAACATACCCCAGGTCCCCGCCGCAACTCGAGAAAAACCATGAGATTTCCCCCTAGAGGCGAGATGAGGCCCCATTCCCCTGCAGTGCATGCAGAGCTATTCCGTGATCCCATTCAAACAAGTCAGGAGCTTCGACTTGCTTAATGGATCTCGAGACAGTCCCCAAGAACACTGACACCAGTCTAGACGGAGCCTGGGGTCACCCCAGCAACGCAAAGCAGCTCCATGTGCCCCAAATCAACTCGAGATGAGGCCCGATTCCCCTGCATTGACTCCAGAGCCATTCCACGTTCCCCATTCAACACGACCGGTGGCTCGACTTCCTTCAGGCAACTCCAGAGATGCCCCGAGAACACTGTCCCAAGTATTAGAGGAACACCAACTTCAGCACAGCAACTCGAGGAATGCTCCGTGTACCCCAAATTGTCTCGAGATGAGAGCTGATTCCCTGGATTAGGCTCAAGACGTATGCCAACTTTCCAGAAGCACCTCAGGAGGAGGCTTCTCTCAGCAATAGGTATGTGGAAGGGACCCCGAGTTTGCTGCCTAAGGGGAATATACAGCGAGAAGCCCTAACTTGAAAGGAGGCCGCATTTCCTTGCAGTGGCTTGAATACCGGCTCGTCTTTCATCTCACAACATGAAGGGATGTCTGAATCCCCTGTGGAGACCTTAGAGAAAGCCCTAGGTCCCTGCCTCATGTTGACGGAATGCCTCACATCCCGCTGACACCTCGAGAGGCACGCGGAGTTCATTGCTTCAAAAGGTGACGATGCCTGACTCCTCTTGAATACTGATAGGAATCCCAAAATCCCTGTGGGTACGGGAAAGGGTCCTTGGGTGCCCTGCCTCACCTCGAGAAGCGTCCCTTTTGCCCTGCCAAGCCTCGAAGAGATTCCTGAGGTGTCCCTCGTTACTAGACAGGAGTCCTGACGTCACTGAAGAAACTCGTGTTTTGAAGGGCCATCCCCGCCGTAAGTCGAGAACATACCCCAGGTCCCCGCCTCAACTCGAGAAAAACCATGAGACTTCCCCCTTGAGGCGAGATGAGGCCACATTCCCCTGCAGTGCATGCAGAGCTATTCCGTGATCCCATTCAAACAAGTCAGGAGCTTCGACTTGCTTAATGGATCTCGAGACAGTCCCTAAGAACACTGTCACCAGTCTAGACGGACCCTGAGGTCACCCCAGCAACGCAAAGCAGCTCCATGTGCCCCAAATCAACTCGAGATGAGGCCCGATTCCCCTGCATTCACTCCAGAGCCATTCCCCGTTCCCCATTCAACACGACCGGTGGCTCGACTTCCTTCAGGCAACTCCAGAGATGCCCCGAGAACACTGTCCCAAGTCTAGAGGAACACCAACTTCAGCACAGCAACTCGAGGAATGCTCCGTGTACCCCAAATTGTCTCGAGATGAGAGCTGATTCCCTGGATTAGGCTCAAGACGTATGCCAACTTTCCAGAAGCACCTCAGGAGGAGGCTTCTCTCAGCAATAGGTATGTGGAAGGGACCCCGAGTTTGCTGCCTCCAGGGGAATATACAGCGAGAAGCCCTAACTTGAAAGGAGGCCGCATTTCCTTGCAGTGGCTTGAATACAGGCTCGTCTTTCATCTCACAACATGAAGGGATGTCTGAATCCCCTGTGGAGACCTTAGAGAAAGCCCTAGGTCCCTGCCTCATTTTGACGGAATGCCTCACATCCCGCTGACACCTCGAGAGGCACGCGGAGTTCATTGCTTCAAAAGGTGACGATGCCTGACTCCTCTTGAATACTGATAGGAATCCCAAAATCGCTGTGGCTACTGGAAAGGCTCCTTGGGTACCCTGCCTCACCTCGAGAAGCGTCCCTTTTGCCCTGCCAAGCCTCGTAGAGATTCCTGAAGTGTCCCTCTTTACTAGACAGGAGTCCTGATGTCACTGAAGAAAATCGTGTTTTGAAGGGCCATCCCCGCCCTAAGTCGAGAACATACCCCAGGTCTCCGCCGCAACTCGAGAAAAACCATGAGACTTCCCCCTAGAGGCGAGATGAGGCCCCATTCCCCTGCAGTGCATGCAGAGCTATTCTGTGATCCCATTCAACAAGTCAGGAGTTTCGACTTGCTTAATGGATCTCGAGACAGTCCCCAAGAACACTGTCACCAGTCTAGACGGACCCTGAGGTCACCCCAGCAACGCAAAGCAGCTCCATGTGCCCCAAATCAACTCGAGATGAGGCCCGATTCCCCTGCATTGACTCCAGAGCCATTCCCCGTTCCCCATTCAACACGACCGGTGGCTCGACTTCCTTCAGGCAACTCCAGAGATGCCCCGAGAACACTGTCCCAAGTCTAGAGGAACACCAACTTCAGCACAGCAACTCGAGGAATGCTCCGTGTACCCCAAATTGTCTCGAGATGAGAGCTGATTCCCTAGCTTAGGCTCAAGACGTATGCCAACTTTCCAGAAGCACCTCAGTAGGAGGCTTCTCTCACCAATAGTTATGTGGGAGGGACCCCGAGTTTGCTGCCTCAAGGGGAATTTACAGCGAGAAGCCCTAACTTGAAAGGAGGCCGGATTTCCTTGCAGTGGCTTGAATACAGGCTCGTCTTTCATCTCACAACATGAAGGGATGTCTGAATCCCCTGTGGAGATCTTAGAGAAAGCCCTAGGTCCCTGCCTCATTTTGACGGAATGCCTCACATCTCGCTGACACCTCGAGAGGCACGCGGCGTTCATTGCTTCAAAAGGTGACGATGCCTGACTCCTCTTGAATACTGATAGGAATCCCGAAATCCCTGTGGCTACGGGAAAGGGTCCTTGGGTGCCCTGCCTCACCTCGAGAAGCGTCCCTTTTGCCCTGCCAAGCCTCGAAGAGATTCCTGAGGTGTCCCTCGTTACTAGACAGGAGTCCTGACGTCACTGAAGAAACTCGTGTTTTGAAGGGCCATCCCCGCCGTAAGTCGAGAACATACCCCAGGTCCCCGCCGCAACTCGAGAAAAACCATGAGATTTCCCCCTAGAGGCGAGATGAGGCCCCATTCCCCTTCAGTGCATGCAGAGCTATTCCGTGATCCCATTCAAACAAGTCAGGAGCTTCGACTTGCTTAATGGATCTCGAGACAGTCCCCAAGAACACTGTCACCAGTCTAGACGGACCCTGAGGTCACCCCAGCAACGCAAAGCAGCTCCATGTGCCCCAAATCAACTCGAGATGAGGCCCGATTCCCCTTCATTGACTCCAGAGACATTCTCTGTTCCCCATTCAACACGACCGGTGGCTCGACTTCCTTCAGGCAACTCCAGAGATGCCCCGAGAACACTGTCCCAAGTCTAGAGGAACACCAACTTCAGCACAGCAACTCGAGGAATGCTCCGTGTAACCCAAATCGTCTCGAGATGAGAGCTGATTCCCTGGCTTAGGCTCAAGACGTATGCCAACTTTCCAGAAGCACCTCAGGAGGAGGCTTCTCTCAGCAATAGTTATGTGGGAGGGACCCCGAGTTTGCTGCCTCAAGGGGAATATACAGCGAGAAGCCCTAACTTGAAAGGAGGCCGGATTTCCTTGCAGTGGCTTAAATACAGGTTCGTCTTTCATCTCACAACATGAAGGGATGTCTGAATCCCCTGTGGAGACCTTAGAGAAAGCCCTAGGTCCCTGCCTCATTTTGACGGAATGCCTCACATCCCGCTGACACCTCGAGAGGCACGCGGAGTTCATTGCTTCAAAAGGTGACGATGCCTGACTCCTCTTGAATACTGATAGGAATCCCAAAATCGCTGTGGCTACTGGAAAGGCTCCTTGGGTACCCTGCCTCACCTCGAGAAGCGTCCCTTTTGCCCTGCCAAGCCTCGTAGAGATTCCTGAAGTGTCCCTCTTTACTAGACAGGAATCCTGATGTCACTGAAGAAACTCGTGTTTTGAAGGGCCATCCCCGCCCTAAGTCGAGAACATAGCCCAGGTCCCCAACGCAACTCGAGAAAAACCATGAGACTTCCCCCTAGAGGCGAGATGAGGCCCCATTCCCCTGCAGTGCATGCAGAGCTATTCTGTGATCCCATTCAACAAGACAGGAGTTTCGACTTGCTTAATGGATCTCGAGACAGTCCCCAAGAACACTGTCACCAGTCTAGACGGACCCTGAGGTCACCCCAGCAACGCAAAGCAGCTCCATGTGCCCCAAATCAACTCGAGATGAGGCCCGATTCCCCTGCATTCACTCCAGAGCCATTCCCCGTTCCCCATTCAACACGACCGGTGGCTCGACTTCCTTCAGGCAACTCCAGAGATGCCCCGAGAACACTGTCCCAAGTCTAGAGGAACACCAACTTCAGCACAGCATCTCGACGAATGCTTCGTGTAACCCAAATCGTCTCGAGATGGGAGCTGATTCCCTGGCCAAGGCTCAAGACGTATGCCAACTTTCCAGAAGCACCTCAGGAGGAGGCTTCTCTCAGCAATAAGTATGTGGGAGGGACCCCGAGTTTGTGCCTCAAGGGGAATATACAGCGAGAAGCCCTAACATGAAAGGAGGCCGGATTTCCTTGCAGTGGCTTGAATACAGGCTCGTCTTTCATCTCACAACATGAAGGGATGTCTGAATCCCCTGTGGAGACCTTAGAGAAAGCCCTAGGTCCCTGCCTCATTTTGACGGAATACCTCACATCCCACTGACACCTCGAGAGGCACGCGGAGTTCATTGCTTCAAAAGGTGACGATGCCTGACTCCTCTTGAATACTGATAGGAATCCCAAAATCCCTGTGGCTACGGGAAAGGGTCCTTGGGTGCCCTGCCTCACCTCGAGAAGCGTCCCTTTTGCCCTGCCAAGCCTCGAAGAGATTCCTGAGGTGTTCCTCATTACTAGACAGGAGTCCTGACGTCACTGAAGAAAGTCGTGTTTTGAAGGGCCTTCCCCGCCGTAAGTCGGGAACATACCCCAGGTCCCCGCCTCAACTCGAGAAAAACCATGAGACTTCCCCCTAGAGGCGAGGTGAGGCCCCATTCCCCTGCAGTGCATGCAGAGCTATTCCGTGATCCCATTCAAACAAGTCAGGAGCTTCGACTTGCTTAATGGATCTCGAGACAGTCCCCAAGAACACTGTCACCAGTCTAGACGGACCCTGAGGTCACCCCAGCAACGCAAAGCAGCTCCATGTGCCCCAAATCAACTCGAGATGAGGCCCGATTCCCCTGCATTGACTCCAGAGCCATTCCCCGTTCCCCATTCAACACGACCGGTGGCTCGACTTCCTTCAGGCAACTCCAGAGATGCCCCGAGAACACTGTCCCAAGTCTAGAGGAACACCAACTTCAGCACAGCAACTCGAGGAATGCTCCGTGTACCCCAAATTGTCTCGAGATGAGAGCTGATTCCCTGGATTAGGCTCAAGACGTATGCCAACTTTCCAGAAGCACCTCAGGAGGAGGCTTCTCTCAGCAATAGGTATGTGGAAGGGACCCCGAGTTTGCTGCCTAAGGGGAATATACAGCGAGAAGCCCTAACTTGAAAGGAGGCCGCATTTCCTTGCAGTGGCTTGAATACCGGCTCGTCTTTCATCTCACAACATGAAGGGATGTCTGAATCCCCTGTGGAGACCTTAGAGAAAGCCCTAGGTCCCTGCCTCATGTTGACGGAATGCCTCACATCCCGCTGACACCTCGAGAGGCACGCGGAGTTCATTGCTTCAAAAGGTGACGATGCCTGACTCCTCTTGAATACTGATAGGAATCCCAAAATCCCTGTGGGTACGGGAAAGGGTCCTTGGGTGCCCTGCCTCACCTCGAGAAGCGTCCCTTTTGCCCTGCCAAGCCTCTTAGAGATTCCTGAGGTGTCCCTCGTTACTAGACAGGAGTCCTGACGTCACTGAAGAAACTCGTGTTTTGAAGGGCCATCCCCGCCGTAAGTCGAGAACATACCCCAGGTCCCCGCCGCAACTCGAGAAAAACCATGAGACTTCCCCCTAGAGGCGAGATGAGGCCCCATTCCCCTGCAGTGCATGCAGAGCTATTCCGTGATCCCATTCAAACAAGTCAGGAGCTTCGACTTGCTTAATGGATCTCGAGACAGTCCCCAAGAACACTGTCACCAGTCTAGACGGACCCTGAGGTCACCCCAGCAACGCAAAGCAGCTCCATGTGCCCCAAATCAACTCGAGATGAGGCCCGATTCCCCTTCATTGACTCCAGAGACATTCTCTGTTCCCCATTCAACACGACCGGTGGCTCGACTTCCTTCAGGCAACTCCAGAGATGCCCCGAGAACACTGTCCCAAGTCTAGAGGAACACCAACTTCAGCACAGCAACTCGAGGAATGCTCCGTGTAACCCAAATCGTCTCGAGATGAGAGCTGATTCCCTGGCTTAGGCTCAAGACTTATGCCAACTTTCCAGAAGCACCTCAGTAGGAGGCTTCTCTCACCAATAGTTATGTGGGAGGGACCCCGAGTTTGCTGCCTCAAGGGGAATTTACAGCGAGAAGCCCTAACTTGAAAGGAGGCCGGATTTCCTTGCAGTGGCTTGAATACAGGCTCGTCTTTCATCTCACAACATGAAGGGATGTCTGAATCCCCTGTGGAGACCTTAGAGAAAGCCCTAGGTCCCTGCCTCATTTTGACGGAATGCGTCACATCTCGCTGACACCTCGAGATGCACGCGGAGTTCATTGCTTCAAAAGGTGACGATGCCTGACTCCTCTTGAATACTGATAGGAATCCCGAAATCCCTGTGGCTACGGGAAAGGGTCCTTGGGTGCCCTGCCTCACCTCGAGAAGCGTCCCTTTTGCCCTGCCAAGCCTCGAAGAGATTCCTGAGGTGTCCCTCGTTACTAGACAGGAGTCCTGACGTCACTGAAGAAACTCGTGTTTTGAAGGGCCATCCCCGCCGTAAGTCGAGAACATACCCCAGGTCCCCGCCGCAACTCGAGAAAAACCATGAGATTTCCCCCTAGAGGCGAGATGAGGCCCCATTCCCCTGCAGTGCATGCAGAGCTATTCCGTGATCCCATTCAAACAAGTCAGGAGCTTCGACTTGCTTAATGGATCTCGAGACAGTCCCCAAGAACACTGACACCAGTCTAGACGGAGCCTGGGGTCACCCCAGCAACGCAAAGCAGCTCCATGTGCCCCAAATCAACTCGAGATGAGGCCCGATTCCCCTGCATTGACTCCAGAGCCATTCCACGTTCCCCATTCAACACGACCGGTGGCTCGACTTCCTTCAGGCAACTCCAGAGATGCCCCGAGAACACTGTCCCAAGTATTAGAGGAACACCAACTTCAGCACAGCAACTCGAGGAATGCTCCGTGTACCCCAAATTGTCTCGAGATGAGAGCTGATTCCCTGGATTAGGCTCAAGACGTATGCCAACTTTCCAGAAGCACCTCAGGAGGAGGCTTCTCTCAGCAATAGGTATGTGGAAGGGACCCCGAGTTTGCTGCCTAAGGGGAATATACAGCGAGAAGCCCTAACTTGAAAGGAGGCCGCATTTCCTTGCAGTGGCTTGAATACCGGCTCGTCCTTCATCTCACAACATGAAGGGATGTCTGAATCCCCTGTGGAGACCTTAGAGAAAGCCCTAGGTCCCTGCCTCATGTTGACGGAATGCCTCACATCCCGCTGACACCTCGAGAGGCACGCGGAGTTCATTGCTTCAAAAGGTGACGATGCCTGACTCCTCTTGAATACTGATAGGAATCCCAAAATCCCTGTGGGTACGGGAAAGGGTCCTTGGGTGCCCTGCCTCACCTCGAGAAGCGTCCCTTTTGCCCTGCCAAGCCTCGAAGAGATTCCTGAGGTGTCCCTCGTTACTAGACAGGAGTCCTGACGTCACTGAAGAAACTCGTGTTTTGAAGGGCCATCCCCGCCGTAAGTCGAGAACATACCCCAGGTCCCCGCCTCAACTCGAGAAAAACCATGAGACTTCCCCCTTGAGGCGAGATGAGGCCACATTCCCCTGCAGTGCATGCAGAGCTATTCCGTGATCCCATTCAAACAAGTCAGGAGCTTCGACTTGCTTAATGGATCTCGAGACAGTCCCTAAGAACACTGTCACCAGTCTAGACGGACCCTGAGGTCACCCCAGCAACGCAAAGCAGCTCCATGTGCCCCAAATCAACTCGAGATGAGGCCCGATTCCCCTGCATTCACTCCAGAGCCATTCCCCGTTCCCCATTCAACACGACCGGTGGCTCGACTTCCTTCAGGCAACTCCAGAGATGCCCCGAGAACACTGTCCCAAGTCTAGAGGAACACCAACTTCAGCACAGCAACTCGAGGAATGCTCCGTGTAACCCAAATCGTCTCGAGATGAGAGCTGATTCCCTGGCTTAGGCTCAAGACTTATGCCAACTTTCCAGAAGCACCTCAGTAGGAGGCTTCTCTCACCAATAGTTATGTGGGAGGGACCCCGAGTTTGCTGCCTCAAGGGGAATTTACAGCGAGAAGCCCTAACTTGAAAGGAGGCCGGATTTCCTTGCAGTGGCTTGAATACAGGCTCGTCTTTCATCTCACAACATGAAGGGATGTCTGAATCCCCTGTGGAGACCTTAGAGAAAGCCCTAGGTCCCTGCCTCATTTTGACGGAATGCCTCACATCTCGCTGACACCTCGAGAGGCACGCGGAGTTCATTGCTTCAAAAGGTGACGATGCCTGACTCCTCTTGAATACTGATAGGAATCCCGAAATCCCTGTGGCTACGGGAAAGGGTCCTTCGGTGCCCTGCCTCACCTCGAGAAGCGTCCCTTTTGCCCTGCCAAGCCTCGAAGAGATTCCTGAGGTGTCCCTCGTTACTAGACAGGAGTCCTGACGTCACTGAAGAAACTCGTGTTTTGAAGGGCCATCCCCGCCGTAAGTCGAGAACATACCCCAGGTCCCCGCCGCAACTCGAGAAAAACCATGAGACTTCCCCCTAGAGGCGAGATGAGGCCCCATTCCCCTGCAGTGCATGCAGAGCTATTCCGTGATCCCATTCAAACAAGTCAGGAGCTTCGACTTGCTTAATGGATCTCGAGACAGTCCCCAAGAACACTGACACCAGTCTAGACGGACCCTGAGGTCACCCCAGCAACGCAAAGCAGCTCCATGTGCCCCAAATCAACTCGAGATGAGGCCCGATTCCCCTTCATTGACTCCAGAGACATTCCCTGTTCCCCATTCAACACGACCGGTGGCTCGACTTCCTTCAGGCAACTCCAGAGATGCCCCGAGAACACTGTCCCAAGTCTAGAGGAACAACAACTTCAGCACAGCAACTCGAGGAATGCTCCGTGTACCCCAAATTGTCTCGAGATGAGAGCTGATTCCCTGGCTTAGGCTCAAGACGTATGCCAACTTTTCAGAAGCACCTCAGGAGGAGGCTTCTCTCAGCAATAGTTATGTGGGAGGGACCCCGAGTTTGCTGCCTCAAGGGGAATATACAGCGAGAAGCCCTAACTTGAAAGGAGGCCGGATTTCCTTGCAGTGACTTGAATACAGGCTCGTCTTTCATCTCACAACATGAAGGGATGTCTGAATCCCCTGTGGAGACCTTAGAGAAAGCCCTAGGTCCCTGCCTCATTTTGACGGAATGCCTCACGTCCCGCTGACACCTCGAGAGGCACGCGGAGTTCATTGCTTCAAAAGGTGACGATGCCTGACTCCTCTTGAATACTGATAGGAATCCCAAAATCCCTGTGGCTACGGGAAAGGGTCCTTGGGTGCCCTGCCTCACCTCGAGAAGCTTCCCTTTTGCCCTGCCAAGCCTCGAAGAGATTCCTGAGGTGTCCCTCGTTACTAGACACGAGTCCTGACGTCACTGAAGAAACTCGTGTTTTGAAGGACCATCCCCGCAGTAAGTCGAGAACATACCCCAGGTCCCCGCCGCAACTCGAGAAAAACCATGAGACTTCCCCCTAGAGGCGAGATGAGGCCCCATTCCCCTGCAGTGCATGCAGAGCTATTCCGTGATCCCATTCAAACAAGTCAGGAGCTTCGACTTGCTTAATGGATCTCGAGACAGTCCCCAAGAACACTGTCACCAGTCTAGACGGACCCTGAGGTCACCCCAGCAACGCAAAGCAGCTCCATGTGCCCCAAATCAACTCGAGATGAGGCCCGATTCCCCTGCATTGACTCCAGAGCCATTCCCCGTTCCCCATTCAACACGACCGGTGGCTCGACTTCCTTCAGGCAACTCCAGAGATGCCCCGAGAACACTGTCCCAAGTCTAGAGGAACACCAACTTCAGCACAGCAACTCGAGGAATGCTCCGTGTACCCCAAATTGTCTCGAGATGAGAGCTGATTCCCTAGCTTAGGCTCAAGACGTATGCCAACTTTCCAGAAGCACCTCAGTAGGAGGCTTCTCTCACCAATAGTTATGTGGGAGGGACCCCGAGTTTGCTGCCTCAAGGGGAATTTACAGCGAGAAGCCCTAACTTGAAAGGAGGCCGGATTTCCTTGCAGTGGCTTGAATACAGGCTCGTCTTTCATCTCACAACATGAAGGGATGTCTGAATCCCCTGTGGAGATCTTAGAGAAAGACCTAGGTCCCTGCCTCATTTTGACGGAATGCCTCACATCTCGCTGACACCTCGAGAGGCACGCGGCGTTCATTGCTTCAAAAGGTGACGATGCCTGACTCCTCTTGAATACTGATAGGAATCCCGAAATCCCTGTGGCTACGGGAAAGGGTCCTTGGGTGCCCTGCCTCACCTCGAGAAGCGTCCCTTTTGCCCTGCCAAGCCTCGAAGAGATTCCTGAGGTGTCCCTCGTTACTAGACAGGAGTCCTGACGTCACTGAAGAAACTCGTGTTTTGAAGGGCCATCCCCGCCGTAAGTCGAGAACATACCCCAGGTCCCCGCCGCAACTCGAGAAAAACCATGAGATTTCCCCCTAGAGGCGAGATGAGGCCCCATTCCCCTTCAGTGCATGCAGAGCTATTCCGTGATCCCATTCAAACAAGTCAGGAGCTTCGACTTGCTTAATGGATCTCGAGACAGTCCCCAAGAACACTGTCACCAGTCTAGACGGACCCTGAGGTCACCCCAGCAACGCAAAGCAGCTCCATGTGCCCCAAATCAACTCGAGATGAGGCCCGATTCCCCTTCATTGACTCCAGAGACATTCTCTGTTCCCCATTCAACACGACCGGTGGCTCGACTTCCTTCAGGCAACTCCAGAGATGCCCCGAGAACACTGTCCCAAGTCTAGAGGAACACCAACTTCAGCACAGCAACTCGAGGAATGCTCCGTGTAACCCAAATCGTCTCGAGATGAGAGCTGATTCCCTGGCTTAGGCTCAAGACTTATGCCAACTTTCCAGAAGCACCTCAGTAGGAGGCTTCTCTCACCAATAGTTATGTGGGAGGGACCCCGAGTTTGCTGCCTCAAGGGGAATTTACAGCGAGAAGCCCTAACTTGAAAGGAGGCCGGATTTCCTTGCAGTGGCTTGAATACAGGCTCGTCTTTCATCTCACAACATGAAGGGATGTCTGAATCCCCTGTGGAGACCTTAGAGAAAGCCCTAGGTCCCTGCCTCATTTTGACGGAATGCGTCACATCTCGCTGACACCTCGAGAGGCACGCGGAGTTCATTGCTTCAAAAGGTGACGATGCCTGACTCCTCTTGAATACTGATAGGAATCCCGAAATCCCTGTGGCTACGGGAAAGGGTCCTTGGGTGCCCTGCCTCACCTCGAGAAGCGTCCCTTTTGCCCTGCCAAGCCTCGAAGAGATTCCTGAGGTGTCCCTCGTTACTAGACAGGAGTCCTGACGTCACTGAAGAAACTCGTGTTTTGAAGGGCCATCCCCGCCGTAAGTCGAGAACATACCCCAGGTCCCCGCCGCAACTCGAGAAAAACCATGAGATTTCCCCCTAGAGGCGAGATGAGGCCCCATTCCCCTGCAGTGCATGCAGAGCTATTCCGTGATCCCATTCAAACAAGTCAGGAGCTTCGACTTGCTTAATGGATCTCGAGACAGTCCCCAAGAACACTGACACCAGTCTAGACGGAGCCTGGGGTCACCCAAGCAACGCAAAGCAGCTCCATGTGCCCCAAATCAACTCGAGATGAGGCCCGATTCCCCTGCATTGACTCCAGAGCCATTCCACGTTCCCCATTCAACACGACCGGTGGCTCGACTTCCTTCAGGCAACTCCAGAGATGCCCCGAGAACACTGTCCCAAGTATTAGAGGAACACCAACTTCAGCACAGCAACTCGAGGAATGCTCCGTGTACCCCAAATTGTCTCGAGATGAGAGCTGATTCCCTGGATTAGGCTCAAGACGTATGCCAACTTTCCAGAAGCACCTCAGGAGGAGGCTTCTCTCAGCAATAGGTATGTGGAAGGGACCCCGAGTTTGCTGCCTAAGGGGAATATACAGCGAGAAGCCCTAACTTGAAAGGAGGCCGCATTTCCTTGCAGTGGCTTGAATACCGGCTCGTCTTTCATCTCACAACATGAAGGGATGTCTGAATCCCCTGTGGAGACCTTAGAGAAAGCCCTAGGTCCCTGCCTCATGTTGACGGAATGCCTCACATCCCGCTGACACCTCGAGAGGCACGCGGAGTTCATTGCTTCAAAAGGTGACGATGCCTGACTCCTCTTGAATACTGATAGGAATCCCAAAATCCCTGTGGGTACGGGAAAGGGTCCTTGGGTGCCCTGCCTCACCTCGAGAAGCGTCCCTTTTGCCCTGCCAAGCCTCGAAGAGATTCCTGAGGTGTCCCTCGTTACTAGACAGGAGTCCTGACGTCACTGAAGAAACTCGTGTTTTGAAGGGCCATCCCCGCCGTAAGTCGAGAACATACCCCAGGTCCCCGCCTCAACTCGAGAAAAACCATGAGACTTCCCCCTTGAGGCGAGATGAGGCCACATTCCCCTGCAGTGCATGCAGAGCTATTCCGTGATCCCATTCAAACAAGTCAGGAGCTTCGACTTGCTTAATGGATCTCGAGACAGTCCCTAAGAACACTGTCACCAGTCTAGACGGACCCTGAGGTCACCCCAGCAACGCAAAGCAGCTCCATGTGCCCCAAATCAACTCGAGATGAGGCCCGATTCCCCTGCATTCACTCCAGAGCCATTCCCCGTTCCCCATTCAACACGACCGGTGGCTCGACTTCCTTCAGGCAACTCCAGAGATGCCCCGAGAACACTGTCCCAAGTCTAGAGGAACACCAACTTCAGCACAGCAACTCGAGGAATGCTCCGTGTACCCCAAATTGTCTCGAGATGAGAGCTGATTCCCTGGATTAGGCTCAAGACGTATGCCAACTTTCCAGAAGCACCTCAGGAGGAGGCTTCTCTCAGCAATAGGTATGTGGAAGGGACCCCGAGTTTGCTGCCTCCAGGGGAATATACAGCGAGAAGCCCTAACTTGAAAGGAGGCCGCATTTCCTTGCAGTGGCTTGAATACAGGCTCGTCTTTCATCTCACAACATGAAGGGATGTCTGAATCCCCTGTGGAGACCTTAGAGAAAGCCCTAGGTCCCTGCCTCATTTTGACGGAATGCCTCACATCCCGCTGACACCTCGAGAGGCACGCGGAGTTCATTGCTTCAAAAGGTGACGATGCCTGACTCCTCTTGAATACTGATAGGAATCCCAAAATCGCTGTGGCTACTGGAAAGGCTCCTTGGGTACCCTGCCTCACCTCGAGAAGCGTCCCTTTTGCCCTGCCAAGCCTCGTAGAGATTCCTGAAGTGTCCCTCTTTACTAGACAGGAGTCCTGATGTCACTGAAGAAAATCGTGTTTTGAAGGGCCATCCCCGCCCTAAGTCGAGAACATACCCCAGGTCTCCGCCGCAACTCGAGAAAAACCATGAGACTTCCCCCTAGAGGCGAGATGAGGCCCCATTCCCCTGCAGTGCATGCAGAGCTATTCTGTGATCCCATTCAACAAGTCAGGAGTTTCGACTTGCTTAATGGATCTCGAGACAGTCCCCAAGAACACTGTCACCAGTCTAGACGGACCCTGAGGTCACCCCAGCAACGCAAAGCAGCTCCATGTGCCCCAAATCAACTCGAGATGAGGCCCGATTCCCCTGCATTGACTCCAGAGCCATTCCCCGTTCCCCATTCAACACGACCGGTGGCTCGACTTCCTTCAGGCAACTCCAGAGATGCCCCGAGAACACTGTCCCAAGTCTAGAGGAACACCAACTTCAGCACAGCAACTCGAGGAATGCTCCGTGTACCCCAAATTGTCTCGAGATGAGAGCTGATTCCCTAGCTTAGGCTCAAGACGTATGCCAACTTTCCAGAAGCACCTCAGTAGGAGGCTTCTCTCACCAATAGTTATGTGGGAGGGACCCCGAGTTTGCTGCCTCAAGGGGAATTTACAGCGAGAAGCCCTAACTTGAAAGGATGCCGGATTTCCTTGCAGTGGCTTGAATACAGGCTCGTCTTTCATCTCACAACATGAAGGGATGTCTGAATCCCCTGTGGAGATCTTAGAGAAAGCCCTAGGTCCCTGCCTCATTTTGACGGAATGCCTCACATCTCGCTGACACCTCGAGAGGCACGCGGCGTTCATTGCTTCAAAAGGTGACGATGCCTGACTCCTCTTGAATACTGATAGGAATCCCGAAATCCCTGTGGCTACGGGAAAGGGTCCTTGGGTGCCCTGCCTCACCTCGAGAAGCGTCCCTTTTGCCCTGCCAAGCCTCGAAGAGATTCCTGAGGTGTCCCTCGTTACTAGACAGGAGTCCTGACGTCACTGAAGAAACTCGTGTTTTGAAGGGCCATCCCCGCCGTAAGTCGAGAACATACCCCAGGTCCCCGCCGCAACTCGAGAAAAACCATGAGATTTCCCCCTAGAGGCGAGATGAGGCCCCATTCCCCTTCAGTGCATGCAGAGCTATTCCGTGATCCCATTCAAACAAGTCAGGAGCTTCGACTTGCTTAATGGATCTCGAGACAGTCCCCAAGAACACTGTCACCAGTCTAGACGGACCCTGAGGTCACCCCAGCAACGCAAAGCAGCTCCATGTGCCCCAAATCAACTCGAGATGAGGCCCGATTCCCCTTCATTGACTCCAGAGACATTCTCTGTTCCCCATTCAACACGACCGGTGGCTCGACTTCCTTCAGGCAACTCCAGAGATGCCCCGAGAACACTGTCCCAAGTCTAGAGGAACACCAACTTCAGCACAGCAACTCGAGGAATGCTCCGTGTAACCCAAATCGTCTCGAGATGAGAGCTGATTCCCTAGCTTAGGCTCAAGACTTATGCCAACTTTCCAGAAGCACCTCAGTAGGACGCTTCTCTCACCAATAGTTATGTGGGAGGGACCCCGAGTTTGCTGCCTCAAGGGGAATTTACAGCGAGAAGCCCTAACTTGAAAGGAGGCCGGATTTCCTTGCAGTGGCTTGAATACAGGCTCGTCTTTCATCTCACAACATGAAGGGATGTCTGAATCCCCTGTGGAGACCTTAGAGAAAGCCCTAGGTCCCTGCCTCATTTTGACGGAATGCGTCACATCTCGCTGACACCTCGAGAGGCACGCGGAGTTCATTGCTTCAAAAGGTGACGATGCCTGACTCCTCTTGAATACTGATAGGAATCCCGAAATCCCTGTGGCTACGGGAAAGGGTCCTTGGGTGCCCTGCCTCACCTCGAGAAGCGTCCCTTTTGCCCTGCCAAGCCTCGAAGAGATTCCTGATGTGTCCCTCGTTACTAGACAGGAGTCCTGACGTCACTGAAGAAACTCGTGTTTTGAAGGGCCATCCCCGCCGTAAGTCGAGAACATACCCCAGGTCCCCGCCGCAACTCGAGTAAAACCATGAGATTTCCCCCTAGAGGCGAGATGAGGCCCCATTCCCCTGCAGTGCATGCAGAGCTATTCCGTGATCCCATTCAAACAAGTCAGGAGCTTCGACTTGCTTAATGGATCTCGAGACAGTCCCCAAGAACACTGACACCAGTCTAGACGGAGCCTGGGGTCACCCCAGCAACGCAAAGCAGCTCCATGTGCCCCAAATCAACTCGAGATGAGGCCCGATTCCCCTGCATTGACTCCAGAGCCATTCCACGTTCCCCATTCAACACGACCGGTGGCTCGACTTCCTTCAGGCAACTCCAGAGATGCCCCGAGAACACTGTCCCAAGTATTAGAGGAACACCAACTTCAGCACAGCAACTCGAGGAATGCTCCGTGTACCCCAAATTGTCTCGAGATGAGAGCTGATTCCCTGGATTAGGCTCAAGACGTATGCCAACTTTCCAGAAGCACCTCAGGAGGAGGCTTCTCTCAGCAATAGGTATGTGGAAGGGACCCCGAGTTTGCTGCCTAAGGGGAATATACAGCGAGAAGCCCTAACTTGAAAGGAGGCCGCATTTCCTTGCAGTGGCTTGAATACCGGCTCGTCTTTCATCTCACAACATGAAGGGATGTCTGAATCCCCTGTGGAGACCTTAGAGAAAGCCCTAGGTCCCTGCCTCATGTTGACGGAATGCCTCACATCCCGCTGACACCTCGAGAGGCACGCGGAGTTCATTGCTTCAAAAGGTGACGATGCCTGACTCCTCTTGAATACTGATAGGAATCCCAAAATCCCTGTGGGTACGGGAAAGGGTCCTTGGGTGCCCTGCCTCACCTCGAGAAGCGTCCCTTTTGCCCTGCCAAGCCTCGAAGAGATTCCTGAGGTGTCCCTCGTTACTAGACAGGAGTCCTGACGTCACTGAAGAAACTCGTGTTTTGAAGGGCCATCCCCGCCGTAAGTCGAGAACATACCCCAGGTCCCCGCCTCAACTCGAGAAAAACCATGAGACTTCCCCCTTGAGGCGAGATGAGGCCACATTCCCCTGCAGTGCATGCAGAGCTATTCCGTGATCCCATTCAAACAAGTCAGGAGCTTCGACTTGCTTAATGGATCTCGAGACAGTCCCTAAGAACACTGTCACCAGTCTAGACGGACCCTGAGGTCACCCCAGCAACGCAAAGCAGCTCCATGTGCCCCAAATCAACTCGAGATGAGGCCCGATTCCCCTGCATTCACTCCAGAGCCATTCCCCGTTCCCCATTCAACACGACCGGTGGCTCGACTTCCGTCAGGCAACTCCAGAGATGCCCCGAGAACACTGTCCCAAGTCTAGAGGAACACCAACTTCAGCACAGCAACTCGAGGAATGCTCCGTGTACCCCAAATTGTCTCGAGATGAGAGCTGATTCCCTGGATTAGGCTCAAGACGTATGCCAACTTTCCAGAAGCACCTCAGGAGGAGGCTTCTCTCAGCAATAGGTATGTGGAAGGGACCCCGAGTTTGCTGCCTCCAGGGGAATATACAGCGAGAAGCCCTAACTTGAAAGGAGGCCGCATTTCCTTGCAGTGGCTTGAATACAGGCTCGTCTTTCATCTCACAACATGAAGGGATGTCTGAATCCCCTGTGGAGACCTTAGAGAAAGCCCTAGGTCCCTGCCTCATTTTGACGGAATGCCTCACATCCCGCTGACACCTCGAGAGGCACGCGGAGTTCATTGCTTCAAAAGGTGACGATGCCTGACTCCTCTTGAATACTGATAGGAATCCCAAAATCGCTGTGGCTACTGGAAAGGCTCCTTGGGTACCCTGCCTCACCTCGAGAAGCGTCCCTTTTGCCCTGCCAAGCCTCGAAGAGATTCCTGAAGTGTCCCTCTTTACTAGACAGGAGTCCTGATGTCACTGAAGAAAATCGTGTTTTGAAGGGCCATCCCCGCCCTAAGTCGAGAACATACCCCAGGTCTCCGCCGCAACTCGAGAAAAACCATGAGACTTCCCCCTAGAGGCGAGATGAGGCCCCATTCCCCTGCAGTGCATGCAGAGCTATTCTGTGATCCCATTCAACAAGTCAGGAGTTTCGACTTGCTTAATGGATCTCGAGACAGTCCCCAAGAACACTGTCACCAGTCTAGACGGACCCTGAGGTCACCCCAGCAACGCAAAGCAGCTCCATGTGCCCCAAATCAACTCGAGATGAGGCCCGATTCCCCTGCATTGACTCCAGAGCCATTCCCCGTTCCCCATTCAACACGACCGGTGGCTCGACTTCCTTCAGGCAACTCCAGAGATGCCCCGAGAACACTGTCCCAAGTCTAGAGGAACACCAACTTCAGCACAGCAACTCGAGGAATGCTCCGTGTACCCCAAATTGTCTCGAGATGAGAGCTGATTCCCTGGATTAGGCTCAAGACGTATGCCAACTTTCCAGAAGCACCTCAGGAGGAGGCTTCTCTCAGCAATAGGTATGTGGAAGGGACCCCGAGTTTGCTGCCTCAAGGGGAATATACAGCGAGAAGCCCTAACTTGAAAGGAGGCCGCATTTCCTTGCAGTGGCTTGAATACAGGCTCGTCTTTCATCTCACAACATGAAGGGATGTCTGAATCCCCTGTGGAGACCTTAGAGAAAGCCCTAGGTCCCTGCCTCATTTTGACGGAATGCCTCACATCCCGCTGACACCTCGAGAGGCACGCGGAGTTCATTGCTTCAAAAGGTGACGATGCCTGACTCCTCTTGAATACTGATAGGAATCCCAAAATCGCTGTGGCTACTGGAAAGGCTCCTTGGGTACCCTGCCTCACCTCGAGAAGCGTCCCTTTTGCCCTGCCAAGCCTCGTAGAGATTCCTGAAGTGTCCCTCTTTACTAGACAGGAGTCCTGATGTCACTGAAGAAAATCGTGTTTTGAAGGGCCATCCCCGCCCTAAGTCGAGAACATACCCCAGGTCTCCGCCGCAACTCGAGAAAAACCATGAGACTTCCCCCTAGAGGCGAGATGAGGCCCCATTCCCCTGCAGTGCATGCAGAGCTATTCTGTGATCCCATTCAACAAGTCAGGAGTTTCGACTTGCTTAATGGATCTCGAGACAGTCCCCAAGAACACTGTCACCAGTCTAGACGGACCCTGAGGTCACCCCAGCAACGCAAAGCAGCTCCATGTGCCCCAAATCAACTCGAGATGAGGCCCGATTCCCCTGCATTGACTCCAGAGCCATTCCCCGTTCCCCATTCAACACGACCGGTGGCTCGACTTCCTTCAGGCAACTCCAGAGATGCCCCGAGAACACTGTCCCAAGTCTAGAGGAACACCAACTTCAGCACAGCAACTCGACGAATGCTTCGTGTAACCCAAATCGTCTCGAGATGGGAGCTGATTCCCTGGCCAAGGCTCAAGACGTATGCCAACTTTCCAGAAGCACCTGAGGAGGAGGCTTCTCTCAGCAATAAGTATGTGGGAGGGACCCCGAGTTTGTGCCTCAAGGGGAATATACAGCGAGAAGCCCTAACTTGAAAGGAGGCCGGATTTCCTTGCAGTTGCTTAAATACAGGTTCGTCTTTCATCTCACAACATGAAGGGATGTCTGAATCCCCTGTGGAGACCTTAGAGAAAGCCCTAGGTCCCTGCCTCATTTTGACGGAATGCCTCACATCCCGCTGACACCTCGAGAGGCACGCGGAGTTCATTGCTTCAAAAGGTGACGATGCCTGACTCCTCTTGAATACTGATAGGAATCCCAAAATCCCTGTGGCTAGGGGAAAGGGTCCTTGGGTGCCCTGCCTCACCTCGAGAAGCGTCCCTTTTGCCCTGCCAAGCCTCTTAGAGATTCCTGAGGTGTCCCTCGTTACTAGACAGGAGTCCTGACGTCACTGAAGAAACTCGTGTTTTGAAGGGCCATCCCCGCCGTAAGTCGAGAACATACCCCAGGTCCCTGCCGCAACTCGAGAAAAACCATGAGACTTCCCCCTAGAGGCGAGATGAGGCCCCATTCCCCTGCAGTGCATGCAGAGCTATTCCGTGATCCCATTCAAACAAGTCAGGAGCTTCGACTTGCTTAATGGATCTCGAGACAGTCCCCAAGAACACTGTCACCAGTCTAGACGGACCCTGAGGTCACCCCAGCAACGCAAAGCAGCTCCATGTGCCCCAAATCAACTCGAGATGAGGCCCGATTCCCCTGCATTCACTCCAGAGCCATTCCCCGTTCCCCATTCAACACGACCGGTGGCTCGACTTCCTTCAGGCAACTCCAGAGATGCCCCGAGAACACTGTCCCAAGTCTAGAGGAACACCAACTTCAGCACAGCAACTCGAGGAATGCTCCGTGTACCCCAAATTGTCTCGAGATGAGAGCTGATTCCCTGGATTAGGCTCAAGACGTATGCCAACTTTCCAGAAGCACCTCAGGAGGAGGTTTCTCTCAGCAATAGGTATGTGGAAGGGACCCCGAGTTTGCTGCCTCAAGGGGAATATACAGCGAGAAGCCCTAACTTGAAAGGAGGCCGCATTTCCTTGCAGTGGCTTGAATACAGGCTCGTCTTTCATCTCACAACATGAAGGGATGTCTGAATCCCCTGTGGAGACCTTAGAGAAAGCCCTAGGTCCCTGCCTCATTTTGACGGAATGCCTCACATCCCGCTGACACCTCGAGAGGCACGCGGAGTTCATTGCTTCAAAAGGTGACGATGCCTGACTCCTCTTGAATACTGATAGGAATCCCAAAATCACTGTGGCTACTGGAAAGGCTCCTTGGGTACCCTGCCTCACCTCGAGAAGCGTCCCTTTTGCCCTGCCAAGCCTCGTAGAGATTCCTGAAGTGTCCCTCTTTACTAGACAGGAGTCCTGATGTCACTGAAGAAAATCGTGTTTTGAAGGGCCATCCCCGCCCTAAGTCGAGAACATACCCCAGGTCTCCGCCGCAACTCGAGAAAAACCATGAGACTTCCCCCTAGAGGCGAGATGAGGCCCCATTCCCCTGCAGTGCATGCAGAGCTATTCTGTGATCCCATTCAACAAGTCAGGAGTTTCGACTTGCTTAATGGATCTCGAGACAGTCCCCAAGAACACTGTCACCAGTCTAGACGGACCCTGAGGTCACCCCAGCAACGCAAAGCAGCTCCATGTGCCCCAAATCAACTCGAGATGAGGCCCGATTCCCCTGCATTGACTCCAGAGCCATTCCCCGTTCCCCATTCAACACGACCGGTGGCTCGACTTCCTTCAGGCAACTCCAGAGATGCCCCGAGAACACTGTCCCAAGTCTAGAGGAACACCAACTTCAGCACAGCAACTCGAGGAATGCTCCGTGTACCCCAAATCGTCTCGAGATGAGAGATGATTCCCTGGCTTAGGCTCAAGACGTATGCCAACTTTCCAGGAGCACCTCAGGAGGAGGCTTCTCTCAGCAATAGGTATGTGGGAGGGACCCCGAGATTGCTGCCTCAAGGGAAATATACAGCGAGAAGCCCTAACTTGAAAGGAGGCCGGATTTCCTTGCAGTGGCTTGAATACAGGCTCGTCTTTCATCTCACAACATGAAGGGATGTCTGAATCCCCTGTGGAGACCTTAGAGAAAGCCCTAGGTCCCTGCCTCATTTTGACGGAATGCCTCACATCCCGCTGACACCTCGAGGGGCACGCGGAGTTCATTGCTTCAAAAGGTGAGGATGCCTGACTCCTCTTGAATACTGATAGGAATCCCAAAATCCCTGTGGGTACGGGAAAGGGTCCTTGGTGCCCTGCCTCACCTCGAGAAGCGTCCCTTTTGCCCTGCCAAGCCTCGAAGAGATTCCTGAGGTGTCCCTCGTTACTAGACAGGAGTCCTGACGTCACTGAAGAAACTCGTGTTTTGAAGGGCCATCCCCGCCGTAAGTCGAGAACATACCCCAGGTCCCCGCCTCAACTCGAGAAAAACCATGAGACTTCCCCCTTGAGGCGAGATGAGGCCACATTCCCCTGCAGTGCATGCAGAGCTATTCCGTGATCCCATTCAAACAAGTCAGGAGCTTCGACTTGCTTAATGGATCTCGAGACAGTCCCTAAGAACACTGTCACCAGTCTAGACGGACCCTGAGGTCACCCCAGCAACGCAAAGCAGCTCCATGTGCCCCAAATCAACTCGAGATGAGGCCCGATTCCCCTGCATTCACTCCAGAGCCATTCCCCGTTCCCCATTCAACACGACCGGTGGCTCGACTTCCTTCAGGCAACTCCAGAGATGCCCCGAGAACACTGTCCCAAGTCTAGAGGAACACCAACTTCAGCACAGCAACTCGAGGAATGCTCCGTGTAACCCAAATCGTCTCGAGATGAGAGCTGATTCCCTGGCTTAGGCTCAAGACGTATGCCAACTTTCCAGAAGCACTTCAGTAGGAGGCTTCTCTCACCAATAGTTATGTGGGAGGGACCCCGAGTTTGCTGCCTCAAGGGGAATTTACAGCGAGAAGCCCTAACTTGAAAGGAGGCCGGATTTCCTTGCAGTTCCTTGAATACAGGCTCGTCTTTCATCTCACAACATGAAGGGATGTCTGAATCCCCTGTGGAGACCTTAGAGAAAGCCCTAGGTCCCTGCCTCATTTTGACGGAATGGCTCACATCCCACTGACACCTCGAGAGGCACGCGGAGTTCATTGCTTCAAAAGGTGACGATGCCTGACTCCTCTTGAATACTGATAGGAATCCCGAAATCCCTGTGGCTACGGGAAAGGGTCCTTGGGTGCCCTGCCTCACCTCGAGAAGCGTCCCTTTTGCCCTGCCAAGCCTCGAAGAGATTCCTGAGGTGTCCCTCGTTACTAGACAGGAGTCCTGACGTCACTGAAGAAACTCGTGTTTTGAAGGGCCATCCCCGCCGTAAGTCGAGAACATACCCCAGGTCCCTGCCGCCACTCGAGAAAAACCATGAGACTTCCCCCTAGAGGCGAGATGAGGCCCCATTCCCCTGCAGTGCATGCAGAGCTATTCCGTGATCCCATTCAAACAAGTCAGGAGCTTCGACTTGCTTAATGGATCTCGAGACAGTCCCCAAGAACACTGTCACCAGTCTAGACGGACCCTGAGGTCACCCCAGCAACGCAAAGCAGCTCCATGTGCCCCAAATCAACTCGAGATGAGGCCCGATTCCCCTGCATTCACTCCAGAGCCATTCCCCGTTCCCCATTCAACACGACCGGTGGCTCGACTTCCTTCAGGCAACTCCAGAGATGCCCCGAGAACACTGTCCCAAGTCTAGAGGAACACCAACTTCAGCACAGCAACTCGACGAATGCTTCGTGTAACCCAAATCGTCTCGAGATGGGAGCTGATTCCCTGGCCAAGGCTCAAGTCGTATGCCAACATTCCAGAAGCACCTGAGGAGGAGGCTTCTCTCAGCAATAAGTATGTGGGAGGGACCCCGAGTTTGTGCCTCAAGGGGAATATACAGCGAGAAGCCCTAACTTGAAAGGAGGCCGGATTTCCTTGCAGTTGCTTAAATACAGGTTCGTCTTTCATCTCACAACATGAAGGGATGTCTGAATCCCCTGTGGAGGCCTTAGAGAAAGCCCTAGGTCCCTGCCTCATTTTGACGGAATGCCTCACATCCCGCTGACACCTCGAAAGGCACGCGGAGTTCATTGCTTCAAAAGGTGACGATGCCTGACTCCTCTTGAATACTGATAGGAATCCCAAAATCCCTGTGGCTAGGGGAAAGGGTCCTTGGGTGCCCTGCCTCACCTCGAGAAGCGTCCCTTTTGCCCTGCCAAGCCTCTTAGAGATTCCTGAGGTGTCCCTCGTTACTAGACAGGAGTCCTGACGTCACTGAAGAAACTCGTGTTTTGAAGGGCCATCCCCGCCGTAAGTCGAGAACATACCCCAGGTCCCTGCCGCAACTCGAGAAAAACCATGAGACTTCCCCCTAGAGGCGAGATGAGGCCCCATTCCCCTGCAGTGCATGCAGAGCTATTCCGTGATCCCATTCAAACAAGTCAGGAGCTTCGACTTGCTTAATGGATCTCGAGACAGTCCCCAAGAACACTGTCACCAGTCTAGACGGACCCTGAGGTCACCCCAGCAACGCAAAGCAGCTCCATGTGCCCCAAATCAACTCGAGATGAGGCCCGATTCCCCTGCATTGACTCCAGAGCCATTCCCCGTTCCCCATTCAACACGACCGGTGGCTCGACTTCCTTCAGGCAACTCCAGAGATGCCCCGAGAACACTGTCCCAAGTCTAGAGGAACACCAACTTCAGCACAGCAACTCGAGGAATGGTCCGGTTACCCCAAATTGTTTCGAGGTGAGAGCTGATTCCCTGGATTAGGCTCAAGACGTATGCCAACTTTCCAGAAGCACCTCAGGAGGAGGCTCCTCTCACCAATAGGTATGTGGAAGGGACCCCGAGTTTGCTGCCTCAAGGGGAATATACAGCGAGAAGCCCTAACTTGAAAGGAGGCCGCATTTCCTTGCAGTGGCTTGAATACAGGCTCGTCTTTCATCTCACAACATGAAGGGATGTCTGAATCCCCTGTGGAGACCTTAGAGAAAGCCCTAGGTACCTGCCTCATTTTGACGGAATGCCTCACATCCCGCTGACACCTCGAGGGGCACGCGGAGTTCATTGCTTCAAAAGGTGACGATGCCTGACTCCTCTTGAATACTGATAGGAATCCCAAAATCCCTGTGGCTAGGGGAAAGGGTCATTGGGTGCCCCGCCTCACCTCGAGAAGCGTCCCTTTTGCCCTGCCAAGCCTCTTAGAGATTCCTGAGGTGTCCCTCGTTACTAGACAGGAGTCCTGACGTCACTGAAGAAACTCGTGTTTTGAAGGGCCATCCCCGCCGTAAGTCGAGAACATACCCCAGGTCCCTGCCGCAACTCGAGAAAAACCATGAGACTTCCCCCTAGAGGCGAGATGAGGCCCCATTCCCCTGCAGTGCATGCAGAGCTATTCCGTGATCCCATTCAAACAAGTCAGGAGCTTCGACTTGCTTAATGGATCTCGAGACAGTCCCCAAGAACACTGTCACCAGTCTAGACGGACCCTGAGGTCACCCCAGCAACGCAAAGCAGCTCCATGTGCCCCAAATCAACTCGAGATGAGGCCCGATTCCCCTGCATTCACTCCAGAGCCATTCCCCGTTCCCCATTCAACACGACCGGTGGCTCGACTTCCTTCAGGCAACTCCAGAGATGCCCCGAGAACACTGTCCCAAGTCTAGAGGAACACCAACTTCAGCACAGCAACTCGACGAATGCTTCGTGTAACCCAAATCGTCTCGAGATGGGAGCTGATTCCCTGGCCAAGGCTCAAGTCGTATGCCAACATTCCAGAAGCACCTGAGGAGGAGGCTTCTCTCAGCAATAAGTATGTGGGAGGGACCCCGAGTTTGTGCCTCAAGGGGAATATACAGCGAGAAGCCCTAACTTGAAAGGAGGCCGGATTTCCTTGCAGTTGCTTAAATACAGGTTCGTCTTTCATCTCACAACATGAAGGGATGTCTGAATCCCCTGTGGAGGCCTTAGAGAAAGCCCTAGGTCCCTGCCTCATTTTGACGGAATGCCTCACATCCCGCTGACACCTCGAAAGGCACGCGGAGTTCATTGCTTCAAAAGGTGACGATGCCTGACTCCTCTTGAATACTGATAGGAATCCCAAAATCCCTGTGGCTAGGGGAAAGGGTCCTTGGGTGCCCTGCCTCACCTCGAGAAGCGTCCCTTTTGCCCTGCCAAGCCTCTTAGAGATTCCTGAGGTGTCCCTCGTTACTAGACAGGAGTCCTGACGTCACTGAAGAAACTCGTGTTTTGAAGGGCCATCCCCGCCGTAAGTCGAGAACATACCCCAGGTCCCTGCCGCAACTCGAGAAAAACCATGAGACTTCCCCCTAGAGGCGAGATGAGGCCCCATTCCCCTGCAGTGCATGCAGAGCTATTCCGTGATCCCATTCAAACAAGTCAGGAGCTTCGACTTGCTTAATGGATCTCGAGACAGTCCCCAAGAACACTGTCACCAGTCTAGACGGACCCTGAGGTCACCCCAGCAACGCAAAGCAGCTCCATGTGCCCCAAATCAACTCGAGATGAGGCCCGATTCCCCTGCATTGACTCCAGAGCCATTCCCCGTTCCCCATTCAACACGACCGGTGGCTCGACTTCCTTCAGGCAACTCCAGAGATGCCCCGAGAACACTGTCCCAAGTCTAGAGGAACACCAACTTCAGCACAGCAACTCGAGGAATGGTCCGGTTACCCCAAATTGTCTCGAGGTGAGAGCTGATTCCCTGGATTAGGCTCAAGACGTATGCCAACTTTCCAGAAGCACCTCAGGAGGAGGCTCCTCTCACCAATAGGTATGTGGAAGGGACCCCGAGTTTGCTGCCTCAAGGGGAATATACAGCGAGAAGCCCTAACTTGAAAGGAGGCCGCATTTCCTTGCAGTGGCTTGAATACAGGTTCGTCTTTCATCTCACAACATGAAGGGATGTCTGAATCCCCTGTGGAGACCTTAGAGAAAGCCCTAGGTCCTTGCCTCATTTTGACGGAATGCCTCACATCCCACTGACACCTCGAGAGGCACGCGGAGTTCATTGCTTCAAAAGGTGACGATGCCTGACTCCTCTTGAATACTGATAGGAATCCCAAAATCCCTGTGGCTACTGGAAAGGGTCCTTGGGTACCCTGCCTCACCTCGAGAAGCGTCCCTTTTGCCCTGCCAAGCCTCGTAGAGATTCCTGAGGTGTCCCTCGTTACAAGACTGGAGTCTTGACGTCACTGAAGAAACTCGTGTTTTGAAGGGCCATCCCCGCCATAAGTCGAGAACATACCCCAGGTCCCCACCGCAACTCGAGAAAAACCATGAGACGTCCCCCTAGAGGCGAGATGAGGCCCCATTCCCCTGCAGTGCATGCAGAGCTATTCCGTGATCCCATTCAAACAAGTCAGGAGCTTCGACTTGCTTAATGGATCTCGAGACAGTCCCCAAGAACACTGTCACCAGTCTAGACGGACCCTGAGGTCACCCCAGCAACGCAAAGCAGCTCCATGTGCCCCAAATCAACTCGAGATGAGGCCCGATTCCCCTGCATTGACTCCAGAGCCATTCCCCGTTCCCCATTCAACACGACCGGTGGCTCGACTTCCTTCAGGCAACTCCAGAGATGCCCCGAGAACACTGTCCCAAGTCTAGAGGAACACCAACTTCAGCACAGCAACGCGAGGAATGCTCCGTGTACCCCAAATTGTCTCGAGATGAGAGCTGATTCCCTGGATTAGGCTCAAGACGTATGCCAACTTTCCAGAAGCACCTCAGGAAGAGGCTTCTCTCAGCAATAGGTATGTGGAAGGGACCCCGAGTTTGCTGCCTAAGGGGAATATACAGCGAGAAGCCCTAACTTGAAAGGAGGCCGCATTTCCTTGCAGTGGCTTGAATACCGGCTCGTCTTTCATCTCACAACATGAAGGGATGTCTGAATCCCCTGTGGAGACCTTAGAGAAAGCCCTAGGTCCCTGCCTCATGTTGACGGAATGCCTCACATCCCGCTGACACCTCGAGAGGCACGCGGAGTTCATTGCTTCAAAAGGTGACGATGCCTGACTCCTCTTGAATACTGATAGGAATCCCAAAATCCCTGTGGGTACGGGAAAGAGTCCTTGGTGCCCTGCCTCACCTCGAGAAGCGTCCCTTTTGCCCTGCCAAGCCTCGAAGAGATTCCTGAGGTGTCCCTCGTTACTAGACAGGAGTCCTGACGTCACTGAAGAAACTCGTGTTTTGAAGGGCCATCCCCGCCGTAAGTCGAGAACATACCCCAGGTCCCCGCCTCAACTCGAGAAAAACCATGAGACTTCCCCCTTGAGGCGAGATGAGGCCACATTCCCCTGCAGTGCATGCAGAGCTATTCCGTGATCCCATTCAAACAAGTCAGGAGCTTCGACTTGCTTAATGGATCTCGAGACAGTCCCTAAGAACACTGTCACCAGTCTAGACGGACCCTGAGGTCACCCCAGCAACGCAAAGCAGCTCCATGTGCCCCAAATCAACTCGAGATGAGGCCCGATTCCCCTGCATTCACTCCAGAGCCATTCCCCGTTCCCCATTCAACACGACCGGTGGCTCGACTTCCTTCAGGCAACTCCAGAGATGCCCCGAGAACACTGTCCCAAGTCTAGAGGAACACCAACTTCAGCACAGCAACTCGAGGAATGCTCCGTGTAACCCAAATCGTCTCGAGATGAGAGCTGATTCCCTGGCTTAGGCTCAAGACGTATGCCAACTTTCCAGAAGCACTTCAGTAGGAGGCTTCTCTCACCAATAGTTATGTGGGAGGGACCCCGAGTTTGCTGCCTCAAGGGGAATTTACAGCGAGAAGCCCTAACTTGAAAGGATGCCGGATTTCCTTGCAGTGGCTTGAATACAGGCTCGTCTTTCATCTCACAACATGAAGGGATGTCTGAATCCCCTGTGGAGACCTTAGAGAAAGCCCTAGGTCCCTGCCTCATTTTGACGGAATGCCTCACATCTCGCTGACACCTCGAGAGGCACGCGGAGTTCATTGCTTCAAAAGGTGACGATGCCTGACTCCTCTTGAATACTGATAGGAATCCCGAAATCCCTGTGGCTACGGGAAAGGGTCCTTGGGTGCCCTGCCTCACCTCGAGAAGCGTCCCTTTTGCCCTGCCAAGCCTCGAAGAGATTCCTGAGGTGTCCCTCGTTACTAGACAGGAGTCCTGACGTCACTGAAGAAACTCGTGTTTTGAAGGGCCATCCCCGCCGTAAGTCGAGAACATACCCCAGGTCCCCGCCGCAACTCGAGAAAAACCATGAGATTTCCCCCTAGAGGCGAGATGAGGCCCCATTCCCCTGCAGTGCATGCAGAGCTATTCCGTGATCCCATTCAAACAAGTCAGGAGCTTCGACTTGCTTAATGGATCTCGAGACAGTCCCCAAGAACACTGTCACCAGTCTAGACGGACCCTGAGGTCACCCCAGCAACGCAAAGCAGCTCCATGTGCCCCAAATCAACTCGAGATGAGGCCCGATTCCCCTTCATTGACTCCAGAGACATTCCCTGTTCCCCATTCAACACGACCGGTGGCTCGACTTCCTTCAGGCAACTCCAGAGATGCCCCGAGAACACTGTCCCAAGTCTAGAGGAACACCAACTTCAGCACAGCAACTCGAGGAATGCTCCGTGTAACCCAAATCGTCTCGAGATGAGAGATGATTCCCTGGCTTAGGCTCAAGACGTATGCCAACTTTCCAGAAGCACCTCAGGAGGAGGCTTCTCTCAGCAATAGTTATGTGGGAGGGACACCGAGTTTGCTGCCTCAAGGGAAATATACAGCGAGAAGCCCTAACTTGAAAGGAGGCCGGATTTCCTTGCAGTGGCTTGAATACAGGCTCGTCTTTCATCTCACAACATGAAGGGATGTCTGAATCCCCTGTGGAGACCTTAGAGAAAGCCCTAGGTCCCTGCCTCATTTTGACGGAATGCCTCACATCCCGCTGACACCTCGAGAGGCACGCGGAGTTCATTGCTTCAAAAGGTGACGATGCCTGACTCCTCTTGAATACTGATAGGAATCCCAAAATCGCTGTGGCTACTGGAAAGGCTCCTTGGGTACCCTGCCTCACCTCGAGAAGCGTCCCTTTTGCCCTGCCAAGCCTCGTAGAGATTCCTGAAGTGTCCCTCTTTACTAGACAGGAGTCCTGATGTCACTGAAGAAAATCGTGTTTTGAAGGGCCATCCCCGCCCTAAGTCGAGAACATACCCCAGGTCCCCGCCGCAACTCGAGAAAAACCATGAGACTTCCCCCTAGAGGCGAGATGAGGCCCCATTCCCCTGCAGTGCATGCAGAGCTATTCCGTGATCCCATTCAAACAAGTCAGGAGCTTCGACTTGCTTAATGGATCTCGAGACAGTCCCCAAGAACACTGTCACCAGTCTAGACGGACCCTGAGGTCACCCCAGCAACGCAAAGCAGCTCCATGTGCCCCAAATCAACTCGAGATGAGGCCCGATTCCCCTGCATTGACTCCAGAGCCATTCCCCGTTCCCCATTCAACACGACCGGTGGCTCGACTTCCTTCAGGCAACTCCAGAGATGCCCCGAGAACACTGTCCCAAGTCTAGAGGAACACCAACTTCAGCACAGCAACTCGACGAATGCTCCGTGTAACCCAAATCGTCTCGAGATGGGAGCTGATTCCCTGGCCAAGGCTCAAGACGTATGCCAACTTTCCAGAAGCACCTCAGGAGGAGGCTTCTCTCAGCAATAAGTATGTGGGAGGGACCCCGAGTTTGTGCCTCAAGGGGAATATACAGTGAGAAGCCCTAACTTGAAAGGAGGCCGGATTTCCTTGCAGTTGCTTAAATACAGGTTCGTCTTTCATCTCACAACATGAAGGGATGTCTGAATCCCCTGTGGAGACCTTAGAGAAAGCCCTAGGTCCCTGCCTCATTTTGACGGAATGCCTCACATCCCGCTGACACCTCGAGAGGCACGCGGAGTTCATTGCTTCAAAAGGTGACGATGCCTGACTCCTCTTGAATACTGATAGGAATCCCAAAATCCCTGTGGCTAGGGGAAAGGGTCCTTGGGTGCCCTGCCTCACCTCGAGAAGCGTCCCTTTTGCCCTGCCAAGCCTCTTAGAGATTCCTGAGGTGTCCCTCGTTACTAGACAGGAGTCCTTACGTCACTGAAGAAACTCGTGTTTTGAAGGGCCATCCCCGCCGTAAGTCGAGAACATAGCCCAGGTCCCTGCCGCAACTCGAGAAAAACCATGAGACTTCCCCCTAGAGGCGAGATGAGGCCCCATTCCCCTGCAGTGCATGCAGAGCTATTCTGTGATCCCATTCAACAAGTCAGGAGTTTCGACTTGCTTAATGGATCTCGAGACAGTCCCCAAGAACACTGTCACCAGTCTAGACGGACCCTGAGGTCACCCCAGCAACGCAAAGCAGCTCCATGTGCCCCAAATCAACTCGAGATGAGGCCCGATTCCCCTGCATTGATTCCAGAGCCATTCCCCGTTCCCCATTCAACACGACCGGTGGATCGACTTCCTTCAGGCAACTCCAGAGATGCCCCGAGAACACTGTCCCAAGTCTAGAGGAACACCAACGTCAGCACAGCAACTCGAGGAATGCTCCGTGTACCCCAAATTGTCTCGAGATGAGAGCTGATTCCCTGGATTAGGCTCAAGACGTATGCCAACTTTCCAGAAGCACCTCAGGAGGAGGCTTCTCTCAGCAATAGGTATGTGGAAGGGACCCCGAGTTTGCTGCCTCAAGGGGAATATACAGCGAGAAGCCCTAACTTGAAAGGAGGCAGCATTTCCTTGCAGTGGCTTGAATACAGGCTCGTCTTTCATCTCACAACATGAAGGGATGTCTGAATCCCCTGTGGAGACCTTAGAGAAAGCCCTAGGTCCCTGCCTCATTTTGACGGAATGCCTCACATCCCACTGACACCTCGAGAGGCACGCAGAGTTCATTGCTTCAAAAGGTGACGATGCCTGACTCCTCTTGAATACTGATAGGAATCCCAAAATCCCTGTGGCTAGGGGAAAGGGTCCTTGGGTGCCCTGCCTCACCTCGAGAAGCGTCCCTTTTGCCCTGCCAAGCCTCTTAGAGATTCCTGAGGTGTCCCTCGTTACTAGACAGGAGTCCTGACGTCACTGAAGAAACTCGTGTTTTGAAGGGCCATCCCCGCCGTAAGTCGAGAACATACCCCAGGTCCCTGCCGCAACTCGAGAAAAACCATGAGACTTCACCCTAGAGGCGAGATGAGGCCCCATTCCCCTGCAGTGCATGCAGAGCTATTCCGTGATCCCATTCAAACAAGTCAGGAGCTTCGACTTGCTTAATGGATCTCGAGACAGTCCCCAAGAACACTGTCACCAGTCTAGACGGACCCTGAGGTCACCCCAGCAACGCAAAGCAGCTCCATGTGCCCCAAATCAACTCGAGATGAGGCCCGATTCCCCTGCATTCACTCCAGAGCCATTCCCCGTTCCCCATTCAACACGACCGGTGGCTCGACTTCCTTCAGGCAACTCCAGAGATGCCCCGAGAACACTGTCCCAAGTCTAGAGGAACACCAACTTCAGCACAGCAACTCGACGAATGCTTCGTGTAACCCAAATCGTCTCGAGATGGGATCTGATTCCCTGGCCAAGGCTCAAGTCGTATGCCAACATTCCAGAAGCACCTGAGGAGGAGGCTTCTCTCAGCAATAAGTATGTGGGAGGGACCCCGAGTTTGTGCCTCAAGGGGAATATACAGCGAGAAGCCCTAACTTGAAAGGAGGCCGGATTTCCTTGCAGTTGCTTAAATACAGGTTCGTCTTTCATCTCACAACATGAAGGGATGTCTGAATCCCCTGTGGAGGCCTTAGAGAAAGCCCTAGGTCCCTGCCTCATTTTGACGGAATGCCTCACATCCCGCTGACACCTCGAAAGGCACGCGGAGTTCATTGCTTCAAAAGGTGACGATGCCTGACTCCTCTTGAATACTGATAGGAATCCCAAAATCCCTGTGGCTAGGGGAAAGGGTCCTTGGGTGCCCTGCCTCACCTCGAGAAGCGTCCCTTTTGCCCTGCCAAGCCTCTTAGAGATTCCTGAGGTGTCCCTCGTTACTAGACAGGAGTCCTGACGTCACTGAAGAAACTCGTGTTTTGAAGGGCCATCCCCGCCGTAAGTCGAGAACATACCCCAGGTCCCCACCGCAACTCGAGAAAAACCATGAGACGTCCCCCTAGAGGCGAGATGAGGCCCCATTCCCCTGCAGTGCATGCAGAGCTATTCCGTGATCCCATTCAAACAAGTCAGGAGCTTCGACTTGCTTAATGGATCTCGAGACAGTCCCCAAGAACACTGTCACCAGTCTAGACGGACCCTGAGGTCACCCCAGCAACGCAAAGCAGCTCCATGTGCCCCAAATCAACTCGAGATGAGGCCCGATTCCCCTGCATTGATTCCAGAGCCATTCCCCGTTCCCCATTCAACACGACCGGTGGCTCGACTTCCTTCAGGCAACTCCAGAGATGCCCCGAGAACACTGTCCCAAGTCTAGAGGAACACCAACTTCAGCACAGCAACGCGAGGAATGCTCCGTGTACCCCAAATTGTCTCGAGATGAGAGCTGATTCCCTGGATTAGGCTCAAGACGTATGCCAACTTTCCAGAAGCACCTCAGGAAGAGGCTTCTCTCAGCAATAGGTATGTGGAAGGGACCCCGAGTTTGCTGCCTAAGGGGAATATACAGCGAGAAGCCCTAACTTGAAAGGAGGCCGCATTTCCTTGCAGTGGCTTGAATACCGGCTCGTCTTTCATCTCACAACATGAAGGGATGTCTGAATCCCCTGTGGAGACCTTAGAGAAAGCCCTAGGTCCCTGCCTCATGTTGACGGAATGCCTCACATCCCGCTGACACCTCGAGAGGCACGCGGAGTTCATTGCTTCAAAAGGTGACGATGCCTGACTCCTCTTGAATACTGATAGGAATCCCAAAATCCCTGTGGGTACGGGAAAGGGTCCTTGGGTACCCTGCCTCACCTCGAGAAGCGTCCCTTTTGCCCTGCCAAGCCTCGAAGAGATTCCTGAGGTGTCCCTCGTTACTAGACAGGAGTCCTGACGTCACTGAAGAAACTCGTGTTTTGAAGGGCCATCCCCGCCGTAAGTCGAGAACATACCCCAGGTCCCCGCCTCAACTCGAGAAAAACCATGAGACTTCCCCCTTGAGGCGAGATGAGGCCACATTCCCCTGCAGTGCATGCAGAGCTATTCCGTGATCCCATTCAAACAAGTCAGGAGCTTCGACTTGCTTAATGGATCTCGAGACAGTCCCTAAGAACACTGTCACCAGTCTAGACGGACCCTGAGGTCACCCCAGCAACGCAAAGCAGCTCCATGTGCCCCAAATCAACTCGAGATGAGGCCCGATTCCCCTGCATTCACTCCAGAGCCATTCCCCGTTCCCCATTCAACACGACCGGTGGCTCGACTTCCTTCAGGCAACTCCAGAGATGCCCCGAGAACACTGTCCCAAGTCTAGAGGAACACCAACTTCAGCACAGCAACTCGAGGAATGCTCCGTGTAACCCAAATCGTCTCGAGATGAGAGCTGATTCCCTGGCTTAGGCTCAAGACGTATGCCAACTTTCCAGAAGCACTTCAGTAGGAGGCTTCTCTCACCAATAGTTATGTGGGAGGGACCCCGAGTTTGCTGCCTCAAGGGGAATTTACAGCGAGAAGCCCTAACTTGAAAGGATGCCGGATTTCCTTGCAGTTCCTTGAATACAGGCTCGTCTTTCATCTCACAACATGAAGGGATGTCTGAATCCCCTGTGGAGACCTTAGAGAAAGCCCTAGGTCCCTGCCTCATTTTGACGGAATGCCTCACATCTCGCTGACACCTCGAGAGGCACGCGGAGTTCATTGCTTCAAAAGGTGACGATGCCTGACTCCTCTTGAATACTGATAGGAATCCCGAAATCCCTGTGGCTACGGGAAAGGGTCCTTGGGTGCCCTGCCTCACCTCGAGAAGCGTCCCTTTTGCCCTGCCAAGCCTCGAAGAGATTCCTGAGGTGTCCCTCGTTACTAGACAGGAGTCCTGACGTCACTGAAGAAACTCGTGTTTTGAAGGGCCATCCCCGCCGTAAGTCGAGAACATACCCCAGGTCCCCGCCGCAACTCGAGAAAAACCATGAGATTTCCCCCTAGAGGCGAGATGAGGCCCCATTCCCCTGCAGTGCATGCAGAGCTATTCCGTGATCCCATTCAAACAAGTCAGGAGCTTCGACTTGCTTAATGGATCTCGAGACAGTCCCCAAGAACACTGTCACCAGTCTAGACGGACCCTGAGGTCACCCCAGCAACGCAAAGCAGCTCCATGTGCCCCAAATCAACTCGAGATGAGGCCCGATTCCCCTTCATTGACTCCAGAGACATTCCCTGTTCCCCATTCAACACGACCGGTGGCTCGACTTCCTTCAGGCAACTCCAGAGATGCCCCGAGAACACTGTCCCAAGTCTAGAGGAACACCAACTTCAGCACAGCAACTCGAGGAATGCTCCGTGTAACCCAAATCGTCTCGAGATGAGAGATGATTCCCTGGCTTAGGCTCAAGACGTATGCCAACTTTCCAGAAGCACCTCAGGAGGAGGCTTCTCTCAGCAATAGGTATGTGGGAGGGACACCGAGTTTGCTGCCTCAAGGGAAATATACAGCGAGAAGCCCTAACTTGAAAGGAGGCCGGATTTCCTTGCAGTGGCTTGAATACAGGCTCGTCTTTCATCTCACAACATGAAGGGATGTCTGAATCCCCTGTGGAGACCTTAGAGAAAGCCCTAGGTCCCTGCCTCATTTTGACGGAATGCCTCACATCCCGCTGACACCTCGAGAGGCACGCGGAGTTCATTGCTTCAAAAGGTGACGATGCCTGACTCCTCTTGAATACTGATAGGAATCCCAAAATCGCTGTGGCTACTGGAAAGGCTCCTTGGGTGCCCTGCCTCACCTCGAGAAGCGTCCCTTTTGCCCTGCCAAGACTCGTAGAGATTCCTGAAGTGTCCCTCTTTACTAGACAGGAGTCCTGATGTCACTGAAGAAAATCGTGTTTTGAAGGGCCATCCCCGCCCTAAGTCGAGAACATACCCCAGGTCCCCGCCGCAACTCGAGAAAAACCATGAGACTTCCCCCTAGAGGCGAGATGAGGCCCCATTCCCCTGCAGTGCATGCAGAGCTATTCCGTGATCCCATTCAAACAAGTCAGGAGCTTCGACTTGCTTAATGGATCTCGAGACAGTCCCCAAGAACACTGTCACCAGTCTAGACGGACCCTGAGGTCACCCAAGCAACGCAAAGCAGCTCCATGTGCCCCAAATCAACTCGAGATGAGGCCCGATTCCCCTGCATTGACTCCAGAGCCATTCCCCGTTCCCCATTCAACACGACCGGTGGCTCGACTTCCTTCAGGCAACTCCAGAGATGCCCCGAGAACACTGTCCCAAGTCTAGAGGAACACCAACTTCAGCACAGCAACTCGACGAATGCTTCGTGTAACCCAAATCGTCTCGAGATGGGAGCTGATTCCCTGGCCAAGGCTCAAGACGTATGCCAACTTTCCAGAAGCACCTCAGGAGGAGGCTTCTCTCAGCAATAAGTATGTGGGAGGGACCCCGAGTTTGTGCCTCAAGGGGAATATACAGCGAGAAGCCCTAACTTGAAAGGAGGCCGGATTTCCTTGCAGTTGCTTAAATACAGGTTCGTCTTTCATCTCACAACATGAAGGGATGTCTGAATCCCCTGTGGAGACCTTAGAGAAAGCCCTAGGTCCCTGCCTCATTTTGACGGAATGCCTCACATCCGGCTGACACCTCGAGAGGCACGCGGAGTTCATTGCTTCAAAAGGTGACGATGCCTGACTCCTCTTGAATACTGATAGGAATCCCAAAATCCCTGTGGCTAGGGGAAAGGGTCCTTGGGTGCCCTGCCTCACCTCGAGAAGCGTCCCTTTTGCCCTGCCAAGCCTCTTAGAGATTCCTGAGGTGTCCCTCGTTACTAGACAGGAGTCCTGACGTCACTGAAGAAACTCGTGTTTTGAAGGGCCATCCCCGCCGTAAGTCGAGAACATAGCCCAGGTCCCTGCCACAACTCGAGAAAAACCATGAGACTTCCCCCTAGAGGCGAGATGAGGCCCCATTCCCCTGCAGTGCATGCAGAGCTATTCTGTGATCCCATTCAACAAGTCAGGAGTTTCGACTTGCTTAATGGATCTCGAGACAGTCCCCAAGAACACTGTCACCAGTCTAGACGGACCCTGAGGTCACCCCAGCAACGCAAAGCAGCTCCATGTGCCCCAAATCAACTCGAGATGAGGCCCGATTCCCCTGCATTGATTCCAGAGCCATTCCCCGTTCCCCATTCAACACGACCGGTGGATCGACTTCCTTCAGGCAACTCCAGAGATGCCCCGAGAACACTGTCCCAAGTCTAGAGGAACACCAACGTCAGCACAGCAACTCGAGGAATGCTCCGTGTACCCCAAATTGTCTCGAGATGAGAGCTGATTCCCTGGATTAGGCTCAAGACGTATGCCAACTTTCCAGAAGCACCTCAGGAGGAGGCTTCTCTCAGCAATAGGTATGTGGAAGGGACCCCGAGTTTGCTGCCTCAAGGGGAATATACAGCGAGAAGCCCTAACTTGAAAGGAGGCAGCATTTCCTTGCAGTGGCTTGAATACAGGCTCGTCTTTCATCTCACAACATGAAGGGATGTCTGAATCCCCTGTGGAGACCTTAGAGAAAGCCCTAGGTCCCTGCCTCATTTTGACGGAATGCCTCACATCCCACTGACACCTCGAGAGGCACGCAGAGTTCATTGCTTCAAAAGGTGACGATGCCTGACTCCTCTTGAATACTGATAGGAATCCCAAAATCGCTGTGGCTACTGGAAAGGGTCCTTGGGTACCCTGCCTCACCTCGAGAAGCGTCCCTTTTGCCCTGCCAAGCCTCGTAGAGATTCCTGAGGTCTCCCTCGTTACAAGACAGGAGTCCTGACGTCACTGAAGAAACTCGTGTTTTGAAGGGCCATCCCCGCCGTAAGTCGAGAACATACCCCAGGTCCCCGCCGCCACTCGAGAAAAACAATGAGACTCCCCCCTAGAGGCGAGATGGGGCCCCATTCCCCTGCAGTGCATGCAGAGCTATTCCGTGATCCCATTCAAACAAGTCAGGAGCTTCGACTTGCTTAATGGATCTCGAGACAGTCCCCAAGAACACTGTCACCAGTCTAGACGGACCCTGAGGTCACCCAGCAACGCAAAGCAGCTCCATGTGCCCCAAATCAACTCCAGATGAGGCCCGATTCCCCTGCATTGACTCCAGAGCCATTCCCCGTTCCCCATTCAACACGACCGGTGGCTCGACTTCCTTCAGGCAACTCCAGAGATGCCCCGAGAACACTGTCCCAAGTCTAGAGGAACACCAACTTCAGCACAGCAACTTGAGGAATGCTCCGTGTACCCCAAATCGTCTCGAGATGAGAGCTGATTCCCTGGCTTAGGCTCAAGACGTATGCCAACTTTCCAGAAGCACCTCAGGAGGAGGCTTCTCTCAGCAATAGTTATGTGGGAGGGACCCTGAGTTTGCTGCCTCAAGGGGAATATACAGCGAGAAGCCCTAACTTGAAAGGAGGCCGGATTTCCTTGCAGTGGCTTGAATACAGGCTCGTCTTTCATCTCACAACATGAAGGGATGTCTGAATCCCCTGTGGAGACCTTAGAGAAAGGCCTAGGTCCCTGCCTCATTTTGACGGAATGCCTCACGTCCCGCTGACACCTCGAGAGGCACGCGGAGTTCATTGCTTCAAAAGGTGACGATGCCTGACTCCTCTTGAATACTGATAGGAATCCCAAAATCGCTGTGGCTACTGGAAAGGCTCCTTGGGTGCCCTGCCTCACCTCGAGAAGCGTCCCTTTTGCCCTGCCAAGCCTCGTAGAGATTCCTGAAGTGTCCCTCTTTACTAGACAGGAGTCCTGATGTCACTGAAGAAAATCGTGTTTTGAAGGGCCATCCCCGCCCTAAGTCGAGAACATACCCCAGGTCCCCGCCGCAACTCGAGAAAAACCATGAGACTTCCCCCTAGAGGCGAGATGAGGCCCCATTCCCCTGCAGTGCATGCAGAGCTATTCCGTGATCCCATTCAAACAAGTCAGGAGCTTCGACTTGCTTAATGGATCTCGAGACAGTCCCCAAGAACACTGTCACCAGTCTAGACGGACCCTGAGGTCACCCCAGCAACGCAAAGCAGCTCCATGTGCCCCAAATCAACTCGAGATGAGGCCCGATTCCCCTGCATTGACTCCAGAGCCATTCCCCGTTCCCCATTCAACACGACCGGTGGCTCGACTTCCTTCAGGCAACTCCAGAGATGCCCCGAGAACACTGTCCCAAGTCTAGAGGAACACCAACTTCAGCACAGCAACTCGACGAATGCTTCGTGTAACCCAAATCGTCTCGAGATGGGAGCTGATTCCCTGGCCAAGGCTCAAGACGTATGCCAACTTTCCAGAAGCACCTCAGGAGGAGGCTTCTCTCAGCAATAAGTATGTGGGAGGGACCCCGAGTTTGTGCCTCAAGGGGAATATACAGCGAGAAGCCCTAACTTGAAAGGAGGCCGGATTTCCTTGCAGTTGCTTAAATACAGGTTCGTCTTTCATCTCACAACATGAAGGGATGTCTGAATCCCCTGTGGAGACCTTAGAGAAAGCCCTAGGTCCCTGCCTCATTTTGACGGAATGCTTCACATCCCGCTGACACCTCGAGAGGCACGCGGAGTTCATTGCTTCAAAAGGTGACGATGCCTGACTCCTCTTGAATACTGATAGGAATCCCAAAATCCCTGTGGCTAGGGGAAAGGGTCCTTGGGTGCCCTGCCTCACCTCGAGAAGCGTCCCTTTTGCCCTGCCAAGCCTCTTAGAGATTCCTGAGGTGTCCCTCGTTACTAGACAGGAGTCCTGACGTCACTGAAGAAACTCGTGTTTTGAAGGGCCATCCCCGCCGTAAGTCGAGAACATACCCCAGGTCCCTGCCGCAACTCGAGAAAAACCATGAGACTTCCCCCTAGAGGCGAGATGAGGCCCCATTCCCCTGCAGTGCATGCAGAGCTATTCCGTGATCCCATTCAAACAAGTCAGGAGCTTCGACTTGCTTAATGGATCTCGAGACAGTCCCCAAGAACACTGTCACCAGTCTAGACGGACCCTGAGGTCACCCCAGCAACGCAAAGCAGCTCCATGTGCCCCAAATCAACTGGAGATGAGGCCCGATTCCCCTGCATTGATTCCAGAGCCATTCCCCGTTCCCCATTCAACACGACCGGTGGATCGACTTCCTTCAGGCAACTCCAGAGATGCCCCGAGAACACTGTCCCAAGTCTAGAGGAACACCAACGTCAGCACAGCAACTCGAGGAATGCTCCGTGTACCCCAAATTGTCTCGAGATGAGAGCTGATTCCCTAGATTAGGCTCAAGACGTATGCCAACTTTCCAGAAGCACCTCAGGAGGAGGCTTCTCTCAGCAATAGGTATGTGGAAGGGACCCCGAGTTTGCTGACTCAAGGGGAATATACAGCGAGAAGCCCTAACTTGAAAGGAGGCAGCATTTCCTTGCAGTGGCTTGAATACAGGCTCGTCTTTCATCTCACAACATGAAGGGATGTCTGAATCCCCTGTGGAGACCTTAGAGAAAGCCCTAGGTCCCTGCCTCATTTTGACGGAATGCCTCACATCCCACTGACACCTCGAGAGGCACGCAGAGTTCATTGCTTCAAAAGGTGACGATGCCTGACTCCTCTTGAATACTGATAGGAATCCCAAAATCGCTGTGGCTACTGGAAAGGGTCCTTGGGTACCCTGCCTCACCTCGAGAAGCGTCCCTTTTGCCCTGCCAAGCCTCGTAGAGATTCCTGAGGTCTCCCTCGTTACAAGACAGGAGTCCTGACGTCACTGAAGAAACTCGTGTTTTGAAGGGCCATCCCCGCCGTAAGTCGAGAACATACCCCAGGTCCCCGCCGCCACTCGAGAAAAACAATGAGACTCCCCCCTAGAGGCGAGATGGGGCCCCATTCCCCTGCAGTGCATGCAGAGCTATTCCGTGATCCCATTCAAACAAGTCAGGAGCTTCGACTTGCTTAATGGATCTCGAGACAGTCCCCAAGAACACTGTCACCAGTCTAGACGGACCCTGAGGTCACCCCAGCAACGCAAAGCAGCTCCATGTGCCCCAAATCAACTCGAGATGAGGCCCGATTCCCCTGCATTGACTCCAGAGCCATTCCCCGTTCCCCATTCAACACGACCGGTGGCTCGACTTCCTTCAGGCAACTCCAGAGATGCCCCGAGAACACTGTCCCAAGTCTAGAGGAACACCAACTTCAGCACAGCAACTCGACGAATGCTTCGTGTAACCCAAATCGTCTCGAGATGGGAGCTGATTCCCTGGCCAAGGCTCAAGACGTATGCCAACTTTCCAGAAGCACCTCAGGAGGAGGCTTCTCTCAGCAATAAGTATTTGGGAGGGACCCCGAGTTTGTGCCTCAAGGGGAATATACAGCGAGAAGCCCTAACTTGAAAGGAGGCCGGATTTCCTTGCAGTTGCTTAAATACAGGTTCGTCTTTCATCTCACAACATGAAGGGATGTCTGAATCCCCTGTGGAGACCTTAGAGAAAGCCCTAGGTCCCTGCCTCATTTTGACGGAATGCCTCACATCCCGCTGACACCTCGAGAGGCACGCGGAGTTCATTGCTTCAAAAGGTGACGATGCCTGACTCCTCTTGAATACTGATAGGAATCCCAAAATCCCTGTGGCTAGGGGAAAGGGTCCTTGGGTGCCCTGCCTCACCTCGAGAAGCGTCCCTTTTGCCCTGCCAAGCCTCTTAGAGATTCCTGAGGTGTCCCTCGTTACTAGACAGGAGTCCTGACGTCACTGAAGAAACTCGTGTTTTGAAGGGCCATCCCCGCCGTAAGTCGAGAACATACCCCAGGTCCCTGCCGCAACTCGAGAAAAACCATGAGACTTCCCCCTAGAGGCGAGATGAGGCCCCATTCCCCTGCAGTGCATGCAGAGCTATTCCGTGATCCCATTCAAACAAGTCAGGAGCTTCGACTTGCTTAATGGATCTCGAGACAGTCCCCAAGAACACTGTCACCAGTCTAGACGGACCCTGAGGTCACCCCAGCAACGCAAAGCAGCTCCATGTGCCCCAAATCAACTGGAGATGAGGCCCGATTCCCCTGCATTGATTCCAGAGCCATTCCCCGTTCCCCATTCAACACGACCGGTGGATCGACTTCCTTCAGGCAACTCCAGAGATGCCCCGAGAACACTGTCCCAAGTCTAGAGGAACACCAACGTCAGCACAGCAACTCGAGGAATGCTCCGTGTACCCCAAATTGTCTCGAGATGAGAGCTGATTCCCTAGATTAGGCTCAAGACGTATGCCAACTTTCCAGAAGCACCTCAGGAGGAGGCTTCTCTCAGCAATAGGTATGTGGAAGGGACCCCGAGTTTGCTGCCTCAAGGGGAATATACAGCGAGAAGCCCTAACTTGAAAGGAGGCAGCATTTCCTTGCAGTGGCTTGAATACAGGCTCGTCTTTCATCTCACAACATGAAGGGATGTCTGAATCCCCTGTGGAGACCTTAGAGAAAGCCCTAGGTCCCTGCCTCATTTTGACGGAATGCCTCACATCCCACTGACACCTCGAGAGGCACGCAGAGTTCATTGCTTCAAAAGGTGACGATGCCTGACTCCTCTTGAATACTGATAGGAATCCCAAAATCGCTGTGGCTACTGGAAAGGGTCCTTGGGTACCCTGCCTCACCTCGAGAAGCGTCCCTTTTGCCCTGCCAAGCCTCGTAGAGATTCCTGAGGTCTCCCTCGTTACAAGACAGGAGTCCTGACGTCACTGAAGAAACTCGTGTTTTGAAGGGCCATCCCCGCCGTAAGTCGAGAACATACCCCAGGTCCCCGCCGCCACTCGAGAAAAACAATGAGACTCCCCCCTAGAGGCGAGATGGGGCCCCATTCCCCTGCAGTGCATGCAGAGCTATTCCGTGATCCCATTCAAACAAGTCAGGAGCTTCGACTTGCTTAATGGATCTCGAGACAGTCCCCAAGAACACTGTCACCAGTCTAGACGGACCCTGAGGTCACCCCAGCAACGCAAAGCAGCTCCATGTGCCCCAAATCAACTCGAGATGAGGCCCGATTCCCCTGCATTGACTCCAGAGCCATTCCCCGTTCCCCATTCAACACGACCGGTGGCTCGACTTCCTTCAGGCAACTCCAGAGATGCCCCGAGAACACTGTCCCAAGTCTAGAGGAACACCAACTTCAGCACAGCAACTCGACGAATGCTTCGTGTAACCCAAATCGTCTCGAGATGGGAGCTGATTCCCTGGCCAAGGCTCAAGACGTATGCCAACTTTCCAGAAGCACCTCAGGAGGAGGCTTCTCTCAGCAATAATTATGTGGGAGGGACCCCGAGTTTGTGCCTCAAGGGGAATATACAGCGAGAAGCCCTAACTTGAAAGGAGGCCGGATTTCCTTGCAGTTGCTTAAATACAGGTTCGTCTTTCATCTCACAACATGAAGGGATGTCTGAATCCCCTGTGGAGACCTTAGAGAAAGCCCTAGGTCCCTGCCTCATTTTGACGGAATGCCTCACATCCCGCTGACACCTCGAGAGGCACGCGGAGTTCATTGCTTCAAAAGGTGACGATGCCTGACTCCTCTTGAATACTGATAGGAATCCCAAAATCCCTGTGGCTAGGGGAAAGGGTCCTTGGGTGCCCTGCCTCACCTCGAGAAGCGTCCCTTTTGCCCTGCCAAGCCTCTTAGAGATTCCTGAGGTGTCCCTCGTTACTAGACAGGAGTCCTGACGTCACTGAAGAAACTCGTGTTTTGAAGGGCCATCCCCGCCGTAAGTCGAGAACATACCCCAGGTCCCTGCCGCAACTCGAGAAAAACCATGAGACTTCCCCCTAGAGGCGAGATGAGGCCCCATTCCCCTGCAGTGCATGCAGAGCTATTCCGTGATCCCATTCAAACAAGTCAGGAGCTTCGACTTGCTTAATGGATCTCGAGACAGTCCCAAAGAACACTCTCACCAGTCTAGACGGACCCTGAGGTCACCCCAGCAACGCAAAGCAGCTCCATGTGCCCCAAATCAACTCGAGATGAGGCCCGATTCCCCTGCATTGATTCCAGAGCCATTCCCCGTTCCCCATTCAACACGACCGGTGGATCGACTTCCTTCAGGCAACTCCAGAGATGTACCGAGAACACTGTCCCAAGTCTAGAGGAACACCAACGTCAGCACAGCAACTCGAGGAATGCTCTGTGTACCCCAAATTGTCTCGAGATGAGAGCTGATTCCCTGGATTAGGCTCAAGACGTATGCCAACTTTCCAGAAGCACCTCAGGAGGAGGCTTCTCTCAGCAATAGGTATGTGGAAGGGACCCCGAGTTTGTTGCCTCAAGGGGAATATACAGCGAGAAGCCCTAACTTGAAAGGAGGCAGCATTTCCTTGCAGTGGCTTGAATACAGGCTCGTCTTTCATCTCACAACATGAAGGGATGTCTGAATCCCCTGTGGAGACCTTAGAGAAGGCCCTAGGTCCCTGCCTCATTTTGACGGAATGCCTCACATCCCACTGACACCTCGAGAGGCACGCAGAGTTCATTGCTTCAAAAGGTGACGATGCCTGACTCCTCTTGAATACTGATAGGAATCCCAAAATCGCTGTGGCTACTGGAAAGGGTCCTTGGGTACCCTGCCTCACCTCGAGAAGCGTCCCTTTTGCCCTGCCAAGCCTCGAAGAGATTGCTGAGCTTTCCCTCAGTACTAGACAGGAGTCCTGACGTCACTGAAGAAACTCGTGTTTTGAAGGGCCATCCCCGCCGTAAGTCGAGAACATACCCCAGGTCCCCGCCGCAACTCGAGAAAAACCATGAGACTTCCCCCTAGAGGCGAGATGAGGCCCCATTCCCCTGCAGTGCATGCAGAGCTATTCCGTGATCCCATTCAAACAAGTCAGGAGCTTCGACTTGCTTAATGGATCTCGAGACAGTCCCCAAGAACACTGTCACCAGTCTAGACGGACCCTGAGGTCACCCAGCAATGCAAAGCAGCTCCATGTGCCCCAAATCAACTCGAGATGAGGCCAGATTCCCCTGCATTGACCCCAGAGCCATTCCCTGTTCCCCATTCAACACGACCGGTGGCTCGACTTCCTTCAGGCAACTCCAGAGATGCCCAGAGAACACTGTCCCAAGTCTAGAGGACCACCAACTTCAGCACAGCAACTCGAGGAATGCTCTGTGTACCCCAAATCGTCTCGAGATGAGAGCTGATTCCCTGGCTTAGGCTCAAGACGTATGCCAACTTTCCAGAAGCACCTCAGGAGGAGGCTTCTCTCAGCAATAGGTATGTGGGAGGGACCCCGAGTTTGCTGACTCAAGGGGAATATACAGCGAGAAGCCCTAACTTGAAAGGAGGCCGGATTTCCTTGCAGTGGCTTGAATACAGGCTAGTCTTTCATCTCACAACATGAAGGGATGTCTGAATCCCCTGTGGAGACCTTAGAGGAAGCCCTAGGTCCCTGCCTCATTTTGACGGAATCCTCACATCCCGCTGACACCTCGAGAGGCACGCGGAATTCATTGCTGCAAAAGGTGACGATGCCTGACTCCTCTTGAATACTTATAGGAATCCCAAAATCCCTGTGGCTACTGGAAATGGTCCTTGGTTGCCCTGGCTCACCTCGAGAAGCGTCCCTTTTGCCCTGCCAAGCCTCGAAGAGATTTCTGAGGTGTCCCTCGTTAATAGACAGGAGTCCTGACGTCACTGAAGAAACTCGTGTTTTGAAGGGCCATCCCCGCCGTAAGTCGAGAACATACCCCAGGTCCCCACCGCAACTCGAGAAAAACCTTGAGACTTCCCCCTAGAGGCGAGATGAGGCCCCATTCCCCTGCAGTGCATGCAGAGCTATTCCGTGATCCCATTCAAACAAGTCAGGGGCTTCGACTTGCTTAATGGATCTCGAGACAGTCCCCAAGAACACTGTCACCGGTCTAGACGGACCCTGAGGTCACCCAGCAATGCAAAGCAGCTCCATGTGCCCCAAATCAACTCGAGATGAGGCCGGATTCCCCTGCATTGACTCCAGAGCCATTCCCTGTTCCCCATTCAACACGACCGGTGGCTCGACTTCCTTCAGGCAACTCCAGAGATGCCCCGAGAACACTGTCCCAAGTCTAAAGGACCACCAACTTCAGCACAGCAACTCGAGGAATGCTCTGTGTACCCCAAATCGTCTCGAGATGAGAGCTGATTCCCTGGCTTAGGCTCAAGACGTATGCCAACTTTCCAGAAGCACCTCAGGAGGAGGCTTCTCTCAGGAATAGGTATGTGGGAGGGACCCCGAGTTTGCTGCCTCAAGGGGAATATACAGCGAGAAGCCCTAACTTGAAAGGAGTCCGGATTTCCTTACAGTAGCTTGAATACAGGCTCCTCTTTCATCTCACAACATGAAGGGATGTCTGAATCCCCTGTGGAGACCTTAGAGGAAGCCCTAGGTCCCTGCCTCATTTTGACGGAATCCTCACATCTCGCTGACACCTCGAGAGGCACGCGGAGTTCATTGCTTCAAAAGGTGACGATGCCTGACTCCTCTTGAATACTTATAGAAATCCCAAAATCCCTGTGGCTACTGGAAAGGGTCCTTGGGTGACCTGGCTCACCTCGAGAAGCGTCCCTTTTGCCCTGCCAAGTCTCGAAGAGATTTCTGAGGTGTCCCTCGTTACTAGACAGGAGTCCTGACGTCACTGAAGAAACTCGTGTTTTGAAGGGCCATCCCCGCCGTAAGTCGAGAACATACCCCAGGTCCCCACCGCAACTCGAGAAAAACCATGAGACTTCCCCCTAGAGGCGAGATGAGGCCCCATTCCCCTGCAGTGCATGCAGAGCTATTCCGTGATCCCCTTCAAACAAGTCAGGAGCTTCGACCTGCCTAATGGATCTCGAGACAGTCCCCAAGAACACTATCACCAGTCTAGACGGACCCTGAGGTCACCCAGCAATGCAAAGCAGCTCCATGTGCCCCAAATCAACTCGAGATGAGGCCGGATTCCCCTGCATTGACTCCAGAGCCATTCCCTGTTCCCCATTCAACACGACCGGTGGCTCGACTTCTTTCAGGCAACTCCAGAGATGCCCCTGGAACACTGTCCCAAGTCTAGAGGAACACCAACTTCAGCACAGCAACTCGAGGAATGCTCCGTGTACCCCAAATCGTCTCGAGATGAGAGCTGATTCCCTGGCTTAGGCTCAAGACGTATGCCAACTTTCCAGAAGCACCTCAGGAGGAGGCTTCTCAGCAATAGGTATGTGGGAGGGACTCCGAGTTTGCTGCCTCAAGAGGAATATACATCGAGAAGCCCTAACTTGAAAGGAGGCCAGATTTCCTTGCAGTAGCTTGAATACAGGATTGTCTTTCATCTCATAACATGAAGGGATGTCTGAATCCCCTGTGGAGACCTTAGAGAAAGCCCTAGATCACTGCATCATTTTGACGGAATGCCTCACATCCCGCTGACACCTCGAGAGGCACGCGGAGTTCATTGCTTCAAAAGGTGACGATGCCTGACTCCTCTTGAATACTTATAGGAATCCCAAAATCCCTGTGGCTACTGGAAAGGGTCCTTGGGTGCCCTGGCTCACCTCGAGAAGCGTCCCTTTTGCCCTGCCAAGCCTCGAAGAGATTGCTGAGGTGTCCCTCATTACTAGACAGGAGTCCTGACGTCACTGAAGAAACTCGTGTTTTGAAAGGCCATCCCCGCCGTAAGTCGAGAACATACCCCAGGTCCCCGCCGCAACTCGAGAAAAACCATGAGACTTCCCCCTAGAGGCGAGATGAGGCCCCATTCCCCTGCAGTGCATGCAGAGCTATTCTGTGATCCCATTCAAACAAGTCAGGAGCTTCGACTTGCTTAATGGATCTCGAGACAGTCCCCAAGAACACTGTCACGAGTCTAGACGGACCCTGAGGTCACCCCAGCAACGCAAAGCTGCTCCATGTGCCCCAAATCAACTCGAGATGAGGCCCGATTCCCCTGCATTGACTCCAGAGCCATTCCCCGTTCCCCATTCAACAAGACCGGTGGCTCGACTTCCTTCAGACAACTCCAGAGATGCCCCGAGAACACTGTCCCAAGTCTAGAGGAACACCAACTTCAGCACAGCAACTCGAGGAATGCTCCGTGTACCCCAAATCATTTCGAGATGAGAGCTGATTCCCTGGCTTAGGCTCAAGACGTATGCCAACTTTCCAGAAGCACCTCAGGAGGAGGCTTCTCAGCAATAGGTATGTGGGAGGGACTCCGAGTATGCTGCCTCAAGGGGAATATACAGCGAGAAGCCCTAACTTGAAAGGAATCGGGATTTCCAAGCAATAGATTGAATACAGGCTTGTCTTTCATCTCACAACTTGAAGGGATGTCTGAATCCTCTGTGGAGGCCTTAGAGAAAGCCCTAGGTCCCTGCCTCATTTTGACGGAATGCCTCACATCCCGCTGACACCTCGAGAGGAACGCGGAGTTCATTGCTTCAAAAGGTGACGATGCCTGACTCCTCTTGAATACTGATAGGAATCCCAAATTCCCTGTGGCTACTGGAAAGGGTCCTTGGGTGCCCTGCCTCACCTCGAGAAGCGTCCCTTTTGCCCTGCCAAGCCTCGAAGAGATTCCTGAGGTGTCCCTCGTTACTAGGCAGGAGTCCTGACGTCACTGAAGAAACTCGTGTTTTGAAGGGCCATCCCGGCCGTAAGTCGAGAACATACCCCAGGTCCCCGCCGCAACTCGAGAAAAACCATGAGACTCCCCCCTAGAGGCGAGATGAGGCCCCATTCCCCTGCAGTGCATGCAGAGCTATTCCGTGATCCCATTCAAACAAGTCAGGAGCTTCGACTTGCTTAATGGATCTCGAGACAGTCCCCAAGAACACTGTCACGAGTCTAGACGGACCCTGAGGTCACCCCAGCAACGAAAAGCTGCTCCATGTGCCCCAAATCAACTCGAGATGAGGCCCGATTCCCCTGCATTGACTCCAGAGCCATTCCCCGTTCCCCATTCAACAAGACCGGTGGCTCGACTTCCTTCAGGCAACTCCAGAGATGCCCAGAGAACACTTTCCCAAGTCTAGAGGAACACCAACTTCAGCACAGCAACTCGAGGAATGCTCCGTGTACCACAAATCGTCTCGAGATGAGAGCTGATTCCCTGGCTTAGGCTCAAGACGTATGCCAACTTTCCAGAAGCACCTCAGGAGGAGGCTTCTCTCAGCAATAGGTATGTGGGAGGGACCCCGAGTTTGCTGCCTCAAGGGGAATACACAGGGAGAAGCCCTAATGTGAACGGAGGCCAGATTTCCTTGCAGTGGGTTGAATACAGGCTCGTCTTTGATCTGAAAACATGAAGGGATGTCTGAATCCCCTGTGGAGACCTTAGAGGAAGCCCTAGGTCCCTGCCTCATTTTGACGGAATACCTCACATCCCCCTGAGACCTCGAGAGGCACGCAGAGTTCATTGCTTCAAAAGGTGACGATGCCTGACTCCTCTTGAATACTGATAGGAATCCCAAAATCCCTGTGGCTACTGGAAAGTGTCCTTGGGTGCCCTGCCTCACCTCGAGAAGCGTCCCTTTTGCCCTGCCAAGCCTCGAAGAGATTCCTGAGGTGTCCCTCGTTACTAGGCAGGAGTCCTGACGTCACTGAAGAAACTCGTGTTTTGAAGGGCCATCCCCGCCGTAAGTCGAGAACATACCCCAGGTCCCCGCCGCAACTCGAGAAAAACCATGAGACTTCCCCCTAGAGGCCAGATGAGGCCCCATTCCCCTGCAGTGCATGCAGAGCTATTCCGTGATCCCCTTCAAACAAGTCAGGAGCTTCGACTTGCTTAATGGATCTCGAGACAGTCCCCAAGAACACTGTCACCAGTCTAGACGGACCCTGAGGTCACCCAGCAATGCAAAGCAGCTCCATGTGCCCCAAATCAACTCGAGATGAGACTGGATTCCCCTGCATTGACTCCAGAGCCATTCCCCGTTCCCCATTCAACACGACCGGTGGCTCGACTTCCTTCAGGCAACTCCAGAGATGCCCCGAGAGCACTGTCCCAAGTCTAGAGGAACACCAACTTCAGCACAGCAACTCGAGGAATGCTCCGTGTACACCAAATCGTCTCGAGATGAGAGCTGATTCCCTGGCTTACGCTCAAGACGTATGCCAACTTTCCAGAAGCACCTCAGGAGGAGGCTTCTCAGCAATAGGTATGTGGGAGGGACTCCGAGTTTGCTGCCTCAAGAGGAATATACATCGATAAGCCCTAACTTGAAAGGAGGCCAGATTTCCTTGCAGTAGCTTGAATACAGGCTTGTCTTTCATCTCACAACATGAAGGGATGTCTGAATCCCCTTGGAGACCTTAGAGAAAGCCGTAGGTCCCTGCCTCATTTTGACGGAATGCCTCACATCCCGCTGACACCTCGAGAGGCACGCGGACTTCATTGCTTCAAAAGGTGATGATGCCTGACTCCTCTTGAATACTGATAGGAATCCCAAAATCCCTGTGGCTACTGGAAAGGGTCCTTGGGTGCCCTGCCTCACCTCGAGAAGCGTCCCTTTTGCCCTGCCAAGCCTCGAAGAGATTCCTGAGCTGTCCCTCGTTACTAGGCAGGAGTCCTGACGTCACTGAAGAAACTCGTGTTTTGAAGGGCCATCCCCGCCGTAAGTCGAGAACATACCCCAGGTCCCCGCCGCAACTCGAGAAAAACCATGAGACTTCCCCCTAGAGGCGAGATGAGGCCCCATTCCCCTGCAGTGCATGCAGAGCTATTCCGTGATCCCATTCAAACAAGTCAGGAGCTTCGACTTGCTTAATGGATCTCGAGACAGTCCCCAAGAACACTGTCACCAGTCTAGACGGACCCTGAGGTCACCCCAGCAACGCAAAGCTGCTCCATGTGCCCCAAATTAACTGGAGATGAGGCCCGATTCCCCTGCATTGACTCCAGAGCCATTCCCCGTTCCCCATTCAACAAGACCGGTGGCTCGACTTCCTTCAGGCAACTCCAGAGATGCCCAGAGAACACTTTCCCAAGTCTAGAGGAACACCAACTTCAGCAAAGCAACTCGAGGAATGCTCCGTGTACCCCAAATCATCTCGAGATGAGAGCTGATTCCCTGGCTTAGGCTCAAGACGTATGCCAACTTTCCAGAAGCACCTCAGGAGGAGGCTTCTCTCAGCAATAGGTATGTGGGAGGGACCCCGAGTTTGCTGCCTCAAGGGCAATATACAGCGAGAAGCCCTAACTTGAAAGGAGGCCGGATTTCCTTGCAGTGGCTTGAATACGGGCTCGTCTTTGATCTGACAACATGAAGGGATGTCTGAATCCCCTGTGGAGACCTTAGAGAAAGCCCTAGGTCCCTGCCTCATTTTGACGGAATGCCTCACATCCCGCTCACACCTCGAGAGGCACGCGGAGTTCATTGCTTCAAAAGGTGACGATGCTTGACTCCTCTTGAATACTGACAGGAATCCCAAAATCCCTGTGGCTACTGAAAAGGGTCCTTGGGTGCCCTGACTCACCTCGAGAAGCGTCCCTTTTGCCCTGCCAAGCCTCGAAGAGATTCCTGAGGTGTCCCTCGTTACTAGGCAGGAGTCCTGACGTCACTGGAGAAACTCGTGTTTTGAAGGGCCATCCCCGCCGTAAGTCGAGAACATACCCCAGGTCCCCGCCGCAACTCGAGAAAAACCATGAGACTTCCCCCTAGAGGCGAGATGAGGCCCCATTCCCCTGCAGTGCATGCAGAGCTATTCCGTGATCCCATTCAAACAAGTCAGGAGCTTCGACTTGCTTAATGGATCTCGAGACAGTCCCCAAGAACACTGTCACCAGTCTAGACGGACCCTGAGGTCACCCAGCAATGCAAAGCAGCTCCATGTGCCCCAAATCAACTCGAGATGAGGCCGGATTCCCCTGCATTGACTCCAGAGCCATTCCCTGTTCCCCATTCAACACGACCGGTGGCTCGACTTCCTTCAGGCAACTCCAGAGATGCCCCGAGAACACTGTCCCAAGTCTAGAGGAACACCAACTTCAGCAAAGCAACTCGAGGAATGCTCCGTGTACCCCAAATCGTCTCGAGATGAGAGCTGATTCCCTGGCTTAGGCTCAAGACGTATGCCAACTTTCCAGAAGCACCTCAGGAGGAGGCTTCTCAGCAATAGGTATGTGGGAGGGACTCCGAGTTTGCTGCCTCAAGAGGAATATACATCGAGAAGCCCTAACTTGAAAGGAGGCCAGATTTCCTTGCAGTAGCTTGAATACAGGATTGTCTTTCATCTCACAACATGAAGGGATGTCTGAGACCCCTGTGGAGACCTTAGAGAAAGCCCTAGATCCCTGCATCATTTTGACGGAATGCCTCACATCCCGCTGACACCTCGAGAGGCACGCGGAGTTCATTGCTTCAAAAGGTGACGATGCCTGACTCCTCTTGAATACTTATAGGAATCCCAAAATCGCTGTGGCTACTGGAAAGGGTCCTTGGGTGCCCTGCCTCACCTCGAGAAGCGTCCCTTTTGCCCTGCCAAGCCTCGAAGAGATTGCTGAGGTGTCCCTCATTACTAGACAGGAGTCCTGACGTCACTGAAGAAACTCGTGTTTTGAAGGGCCATCCCCGCCGTAAGTCGAGAACATACCCCAGGTCCCCGCCGCAACTCGAGAAAAACCATGAGACTTCCCCCTAGAGGCGAGATGAGGCCCCATTCCCCTGCAGTGCATGCAGAGCTATTCTGTGATCCCATTCAAACAAGTCAGGAGCTTCGACTTGCTTAATGGATCTCGAGACAGTCCCCAAGAACACTGTCACCAGTCTAGACGGACCCTGAGGTCACCCCATCAAAGCAAAGCAGCTCCATGTGCCCCAAATCAACACGAGATGAGGCCCGATTCCCCTGCATTGACTCCAGAGCCATTCCCCGTTCCCCGTTCAACACGACCGGTGGCTCGCCTTCCTTCAGGCAACTGCAGAGATGCCCCGAGAACACTGTCCCAAGTCTAGAGGAACACCAACTTCAGCACAGCAACTCGAGGAATGCTCCGTGTACCCCAAATCATCTCGAGATGAGAGCTGATTCCCTGGCTTAGGCTCAAGACGTATGCCAACTTTCCAGAAGCACCTCAGGAGGAGGCTTCTCAGCAATAGGTATGTGGGAGGGACTCCGAGTATGCTGCCTCAAGGGGAATATACAGCGAGAAGCCCTAACTTGAAAGGAGTCCGGATTTCCAATCAATAGATTGAATACAGGCTTGTCTTTCATCTCACAACTTGAAGGGATGTCTGAATCCCCTGTGGAGGCCTTAGAGAAAGCCCTAGGTCCCTGCCTCATTTTGACGGAATGCCTCACATCCCACTGACACCTCGAGAGGCACGCGGAGTTCATTGCTTCAAAAGGTGACGATGCCTGACTCCTCTTGAATACTGATAGGAATCCCAAATTCCCTGTGGCTACTGGAAAGGGTCCTTGGGTGCCCTGCCTCACCTCGAGAAGCGTCCCTTTTGCCCTGCCAAGCCTCGAAGAGATTCCTGAGGTGTCTCTCATTACTAGGCAGGAGTCCTGACGTCACTGAAGAAACTCGTGTTTTGAAGGGCCATCCCGGCCGTAAGTCGAGAACATACCCCAGGTCCCCGCCGCAGCTCGAGAAAAACCATGAGACTCCCCCCTAGAGGCGAGATGAGGCCCCATTCCCCTGCAGTGCATGCAGAGCTATTCCGTGATCCCATTCAAACAAGTCAGGAGTTTCGACTTGCTTAATGGATCTCGAGACAGTCCCCAAGAACACTGTAACCAGTCTAGACGGACCCTGAGGTCACCCCAGCAACGCAAAGCTGCTCCATGTGCCCCAAATCAACTCGAGATGAGGCCCGATTCCCCTGCATTGAATCCAGAGACATTCCCCGTTCCCCATTCAACACGACCGGTGGCTCGACTTCCTTCAGGCAACACCAGAGATGCCCCGAGAACACTCTCCCAAGTCTAGAGGAACCCCAACTTCAGCACAGCAACTCGAGGAATGCTCCGTGTACCCCAAATCATCTCGAGATGAGAGCTGATTCCCTGGCTTAGGCTCAAGACGTATGCCAACTTTCCAGAAGCACCTCAGGAGGAGGCTTCTCTCAGCAATAGGTATGTGGGAGGGACCCCGAGTTTGCTGCCTCAAGGGGAATACACAGGGAGAAGCCCTAATGTGAACGGAGGCCAGATTTCCTTGCAGTGGGTTGAATACAGGCTCGTCTTTGATCTGAAAACATGAAGGGATGTCTGAATCCCCTGTGGAGACCTTAGAGGAAGCCCTAGGTCCCTGCCTCATTTTGACGGAATACCTCACATCCCCCTGAGACCTCAAGAGGCACGCAGAGTTCATTGCTTCAAAAGGTGACGATGCCTGACTCCTCTTGAATACTGATAGGAATCCCAAAATCCCTGTGGCTACTGGAAAGTGTCCTTGGGTGCCCTGCCTCACCTCGAGAAGCGTCCCTTTTGCCCTGCCAAGCCTCGAAGAGATTCCTGAGGTGTCCCTCGTTACTAGGCAGGAGTCCTGACGTCACTGGAGAAACTCGTGTTTTGAAGGGCCATCCCCGCCGAAAGTCGAGAACATACCCCAGGTCCCCGCCGCAACTCGAGAAAAACCATGAGACTTCCCCCTAGAGGCCAGATGAGGCCCCATTCCCCTGCAGTGCATGCAGAGCTATTCCGTGATCCCATTCAAACAAGTCAGGAGCTTCGACTTGCTTAATGGATCTCGAGACAGTCCCCAAGAACACTGTCACCAGTCGAGACGGACCCTGAGGTCACCCAGCAATGCAAAGCAGCTCCATGTGCCCCAAATCAACTCGAGATGAGGCCGGATTCCCCTGCATTGACTCCAGAGCCATTCCCCGTTCCCCATTCAACACGACCGGTGGCTCGACTTCCTTCAGGCAACTCCAGAGATGCCCCGAGAGCACTGTCCCAAGTCTAGAGGAACACCAACTTCAGCACAGCAACTCGAGGAATGCTCCGTGTACCCCAAATCGTCTCGAGATGAGAGCTGATTCCCTGGCTTAGGCTCAAGACGTATGCCAACTTTCCAGAAGCACCTCAGGAGGAGGCTTCTCAGCAATAGGTATGTGGGAGGGACTCCGAGTTTGCTGCCTCAAGAGGAATATACATCGATAAGCCCTAACTTGAAAGGAGGCCAGATTTCCTTGCAGTAGCTTGAATACAGGCTTGTCTTTCATCTCACAACATGAAGGGATGTCTGAATCCCCTTGGAGACCTTAGAGAAAGCCGTAGGTCCCTGCCTCATTTTGACGGAATGCCTCACATCCCGCTGACACCTCGAGAGGCACGCGGAGTTCATTGCTTCAAAAGGTGACGATGCCTGACTCCTCTTGAATACTGATAGGAATCCCAAATTCCCTGTGGCTACTGGAAAGGGTCCTTGGGTGCCCTGCCTCACCTCGAGAAGCGTCCCTTTTGCCCTGCCAAGCCTCGAAGAGATTCCTGAGGTGTCCCTCGTTACTAGGCAGGAGTCCTGACGTCACTGAAGAAACTCGTGTTTTGAAGGGCCATCCCCGCCGTAAGTCGAGAACATACCCCAGGTCCCCGCCGCAACTCGAGAAAAACCATGAGACTCCCCCCTAGAGGCGAGATGAGGCCCCATTCCCCTGCAGTGCATGCAGAGCTATTCCGTGATCCCATTCAAACAAGTCAGGAGCTTCGACTTGCTTAATGGATCTCGAGACAGTCCCCAAGAACACTGTCACGAGTCTAGACGGACCCTGAGGTCACCCCAGCAACGCAAAGCTGCTCCATGTGCCCCAAATCAACTCGAGATGAGGCCCGATTCCCCTGCATTGACTCCAGAGCCATTCCCCGTTCCCCATTCAACAAGACCGGTGGCTCGACTTCCTTCAGGCAACTCCAGAGATGCCCAGAGAACACTTTCCCAAGTCTAGAGGAACACCAACTTCAGCACAGCAACTCGAGGAATGCTCCGTGTACCACAAATCGTCTCGAGATGAGAGCTGATTCCCTGGCTTAGGCTCAAGACGTATGCCAGCTTTCCAGAAGCACCTCAGGAGGAGGCTTCTCAGCAATAGGTATGTGGGAGGGACTCCGAGTTTGCTGCCTCAAGGGGAATATACAGCGAGAAGCCCTAACTTGAAAGGAGTCCGGATTTCCATGCAATAGATTGAATACAGGCTTGTCTTTCATCTCACAACTTGAAGGGATGTCTGAATCCCCTGTGGAGACCTTAGAGAAAGCCCTAGTTCCCTGCCTCATTTTGACGGAATGCCTCACATCCCGCTAACATCTCGAGAGGCACGCGGAGTTCATTGCTTCAAAAGGTGACGATGCCTGACTCCTCTTGAATACTGATAGGAATCCCAAAATCCCTGTGGCTACTGGAAAGGGTCCTTGGGTGCCCTGCCTCACCTCGAGAAGCGTCCCTTTTGCCCTGCCAAGCCTCGAAGAGATTCCTGAGGTGTCCCTCGTTACTAGGCAGGAGTCCTGACGTCACTGGAGAAACTCGTGTTTTGAAGGGCCATCCCCGCCGTAAGTCGAGAACATACCCCAGGTCCCCGCCGCAACTCGAGAAAAACCATGAGACTTCCCCCTAGAGGCGAGATGAGGCCCCATTCCCCTGCAGTGCATGCAGAGCTATTCCGTGATCCCATTCAAACAAGTCAGGAGCTTCGACTTGCTTAATGGATCTCGAGACAGTCCCCAAGAACACTGTCACCAGTCTAGACGGACCCTGAGGTCACCCCAGCAACGCAAAGCTGCTCCATGTGCCCCAAATCAACTCGAGATGAGGCCCGATTCCCCTGCATTGACTCCAGAGACATTCCCCGTTCCCCATTCAACACGACCGGTGGCTCGACTTCCTTCAGGCAACACCAGAGATGCCCCGAGAACACTGTCCCAAGTCTAGTGGAACACCAACTTCAGCACAGCAACTCGAGGAATGCTCCGTGTACCCCAAATCATCTCGAGATGAGAGCTGATTCCCTGGCTTAGGCTCAAGACGTATGCCAACTTTCCAGAAGCACCTCAGGAGGAGGCTTCTCTCAGCAATAGGTATGTGGGAGGGACCCCGAGTTTGCTGCCTCAAGGGGAATACACAGGGAGAAGCCCTAATGTGAACGGAGGCCAGATTTCCTTGCAGTGGGTTGAAAACAGGCTCGTCTTTGATCTGAAAACATGAAGGGATGTCTGAATCCCCTGTGGAGACCTTAGAGGAAGCCCTAGGTCCCTGCCTCATTTTGACGGAATACCTCACATCCCCCTGAGACCTCGAGAGGCACGCAGAGTTCATTGCTTCAAAAGGTGACGATGCCTGACTCCTCTTGAATACTGATAGGAATCCCAAAATCCCTGTGGCTACTGGAAAGTGTCCTTGGGTGCCCTGCCTCACCTCGAGAAGCGTCCCTTTTGCCCTGCCAAGCCTCGAAGAGATTCCTGAGGTGTCCCTCGTTACTAGGCAGGAGTCCTGACGTCACTGAAGAAACTCGTGTTTTGAAGGGCCATCCCCGCCGTAAGTCGAGAACATACCCCAGGTCCCCGCCGCAACTCGAGAAAAACCATGAGACTTCCCCCTAGAGGCCAGATGAGGCCCCATTCCCCTGCAGTGCATGCAGAGCTATTCCGTGATCCCCTTCAAACAAGTCAGGAGCTTCGACTTGCTTAATGGATCTCGAGACAGTCCCCAAGAACACTGTCACCAGTCTAGACGGACCCTGAGGTCACCCAGCAATGCAAAGCAGCTCCATGTGCCCCAAATCAACTCGAGATGAGGCCGGATTCCCCTGCATTGACTCCAGAGCCATTCCCCGTTCCCCATTCAACACGTCCGGTGGCTCGACTTCCTTCAGGCAACTCCAGAGATGCCCCGAGAGCACTGTCCCAAGTCTAGAGGAACACCAACTTCAGCACAGCAACTCGAGGAATGCTCCGTGTACCCCAAATCGTCTCGAGATGAGAGCTGATTCCCTGGCTTAGGCTCAAGACGTATGCCAACTTTCCAGAAGCACCTCAGGAGGAGGCTTCTCAGCAATAGGTATGTGGGAGGGACTCCGAGTTTGCTGCCTCAAGAGGAATATACATCGATAAGCCCTAACTTGAAAGGAGGCCAGATTTCCTTGCAGTAGCTTGAATACAGGCTTGTCTTTCATCTCACAACATGAAGGGATGTCTGAATCCCCTTGGAGACCTTAGAGAAAGCCGTAGGTCCCTGCCTCATTTTGACGGAATGCCTCACATCCCGCTGACACCTCGAGAGGCACGCGGAGTTCATTGCTTCAAAAGGTGACGATGCCTGACTCCTCTTGAATACTGATAGGAATCCCAAAATGCCTGTGGCTACTGGAAAGGGTCCTTGGGTGCCCTGCCTCACCTCGAGAAGCGTCCCTTTTGCCCTGCCAAGCCTCGAAGAGATTCCTGAGGTGTCCCTCGTTACTAGGCAGGAGTCCTGACGTCACTGGAGAAACTCGTGTTTTGAAGGGCCATCCCCGCCGTAAGTCGAGAACATACCCCAGGTCCCCGCCGCAACTCGAGAAAAACCATGAGACTTCCCCCTAGAGGCGAGATGAGGCCCCATTCCCCTGCAGTGCATGCAGAGCTATTCCGTGATCCCATTCAAACAAGTCAGGAGCTTCGACTTGCTTAATGGATCTCGAGACAGTCCCCAAGAACACTGTCACCAGTCTAGACGGACCCTGAGGTCACCCCAGCAACGCAAAGCTGCTCCATGTGCCCCAAATCAACTCGAGATGAGGCCCGATTCCCCTGCATTGACTCCAGAGCCATTCCCCGTTCCCCAGTCAACAAGACCGGTGGCTCGACTTCCTTCAGGCAACGCCAGAGATGCCCCGAGAACACTTTCCCAAGTCTAGAGGAACACCAGCTTCAGCAAAGCAACTCGAGGAATGCTCCGTGTACCCCAAATCGTCTCGAGATGAGAGCTGATTCCCTGGCTTAGGCTCAAGACGTATGCCAACTTTCCAGAAGCACCTCAGGAGGAGGCTTCTCTCAGCAATAGGTATGTGGGAGGGACCCCGAGTTTGCTACCTCAAGGGGAATATACAGCGAGAAGCCCTAACTTGAAAGGAGGCCGTATTTACTTGCAGTGGCTTGAATACAGGCTCGTCTTTGATCTGACAACATGAAGGGATGTCTGAATCCCCTGTGGAGACCTTAGAGAAAGCCCTAGGTCCCTGCCTCATTTTGACGGAATGCCTCACATCCCGCTGACACCTCGAGAGGCACGCGGAGTTCATTGCTTCAAAAGGTGACGATGCCTGACTCCTCTTGAATACTGATAGGAATCCCAAAATCCCTGTGGCTACTGGAAAGGGTCCTTGGTTGCCCTGCCTCACCTCGAGAAGCGTCCCTTTTGCCCTGCCAAGCCTCGAAGAGATTCCTGAGGTGTCCCTCGTTACTAGGCAGGAGTCCTGACGTCACTGAAGAAACTCGTGTTTTGAAGGGCCATCCCCGCCGTAAGTCGAGAACATACCCCAGGTCCCCGCCGCAACTCGAGAAAAACCATGAGACTTCCCCCTAGAGGCGAGATGAGGCCCCATTCCCCTGCAGTGCATGCAGAGCTATTCTGTGATCCCATTCAAACAAGTCAGGAGCTTCGACTTGCTTAATGGATCTCGAGACAGTCCCCAAGAACACTGTCACCAGTCTAGACGGACCCTGAGGTCACCCCATCAAAGCAAAGCAGCTCCATGTGCCCCAAATCAACACGAGATGAGGCCCGATTCCCCTGCATTGACTCCAGAGCCATTCCCCGTTCCCCGTTCAACACGACCGGTGGCTCGCCTTCCTTCAGGCAACTCCAGAGATGCCCCGAGAACACTGTCCCAAGTCTAGAGGAACACCAACTTCAGCACAGCAACTGGAAGAATGCTCCGTGTACCCCAAATCATCTCGAGATGAGAGCTGATTCCCTGGCTTAGGCTCAAGACGTATGCCAACTTTCCAGAAGCACCTCAGGAGGAGGCTTCTCAGCAGTAGGTATGTGGGAGGGACTCCGAGTATGCTGACTCAAGGGGAATATACAGCGAGAAGCCCTAACTTGAAAGGAGTCCGGATTTCCAAGCAATAGATTGAATACAGGCTTGTCTTTCATCTCACAACTTGAAGGGATGTCTGAAACCCCTGTGGAGGCCTTAGAGAAAGCCCTAGGTCCCTGCCTCATTTTGACGGAATGCCTCACATCCCGCTGACACCTCGAGAGGCACGCGGAGTTCATTGCTTCAAAAGGTGACGATGCCTGACTCCTCTTGAATACTGATAGGAATCCCAAATTCCCTGTGGCTACTGGAAAGGGTCCTTGGGTGCCCTGCCTCACCTCGAGAAGCGTCCCTTTTGCCCTGCCAAGCCTCGAAGAGATTCCTGAGGTGTCCCTCGTTACTAGGCAGGAGTCCTGACGTCACTGAAGAAACTCGTGTTTTGAAGGGCCATCCCGGCCGTAAGTCGAGAACATACCCCAGGACCCGCCGCAACTCGAGAAAAACCATGAGACTCCCCCCTAGAGGCGAGATGAGGCCCCATTCCCCTGCAGTGCATGCAGAGCTATTCCGTGATCCCATTCAAACAAGTCAGGAGCTTCGACTTGCTTAATGGATCTCGAGACAGTCCCCAAGAACACTGTCACGAGTCTAGACGGACCCTGAGGTCACCCCAGCAACGCAAAGCTGCTCCATGTGCCCCAAATCAACACGAGATGAGGCCCGATTCCCCTGCATTGACTCCAGAGCCATTCCCCGTTCCCCGTTCAACACGACCGGTGGCTCGCCTTCCTTCAGGCAACTCCAGAGATGCCCCGAGAACACTGTCCCAAGTCTAGAGGAACACCAACTTCAGCACAGCAACTGGAAGAATGCTCCGTGTACCCCAAATCATCTCGAGATGAGAGCTGATTCCCTGGCTTAGGCTCAAGACGTATGCCAACTTTCCAGAAGCACCTCAGGAGGAGGCTTCTCAGCAGTAGGTATGTGGGAGGGACCCCGAGTTTGCTACCTCAAGGGGAATATACAGCGAGAAGCCCTAACTTGAAAGGAGGCCGTATTTACTTGCAGTGGCTTGAATACAGGCTCGTCTTTGATCTGACAACATGAAGGGATGTCTGAATCCCCTGTGGAGACCTTAGAGAAAGCCCTAGGTCCCTGCCTCATTTTGACGGAATGCCTCACATCCCGCTGACACCTCGAGAGGCACGCGGAGTTCATTGCTTCAAAAGGTGACGATGCCTGACTCCTCTTGAATACTGATAGGAATCCCAAATTCCCTGTGGCTACTGGAAAGGGTCCTTGGGTGCCCTGCCTCACCTCGAGAAGCGTCCCTTTTGCCCTGCCAAGCCTCGAAGAGATTCCTGAGGTGTCCCTCGTTACTAGGCAGGAGTCCTGACGTCACTGAAGAAACTCGTGTTTTGAAGGGCCATCCCGGCCGTAAGTCGAGAACATACCCCAGGACCCGCCGCAACTCGAGAAAAACCATGAGACTCCCCCCTAGAGGCGAGATGAGGCCCCATTCCCCTGCAGTGCATGCAGAGCTATTCCGTGATCCCATTCAAACAAGTCAGGAGCTTCGACTTGCTTAATGGATCTCGAGACAGTCCCCAAGAACACTGTCACGAGTCTAGACGGACCCTGAGGTCACCCCAGCAACGCAAAGCTGCTCCATGTGCCCCAAATCAACACGAGATGAGGCCCGATTCCCCTGCATTGACTCCAGAGCCATTCCCCGTTCCCCGTTCAACACGACCGGTGGCTCGCCTTCCTTCAGGCAACTCCAGAGATGCCCCGAGAACACTGTCCCAAGTCTAGAGGAGCACCAACTTCAGCACAGCAACTGGAAGAATGCTCCGTGTACCCCAAATCATCTCGAGATGAGAGCTGATTCCCTGGCTTAGGCTCAAGACGTATGCCAACTTTCCAGAAGCACCTCAGGAGGAGGCTTCTCAGCAGTAGGTATGTGGGAGGGACCCCGAGTTTGCTACCTCAAGGGGAATATACAGCGAGAAGCCCTAACTTGAAAGGAGGCCGTATTTACTTGCAGTGGCTTGAATACAGGCTCGTCTTTGATCTGACAACATGAAGGGATGTCTGAATCCCCTGTGGAGACCTTAGAGAAAGCCCTAGGTCCCTGCCTCATTTTGACGGAATGCCTCACATCCCGCTGACACCTCGAGAGGCACGCGGAGTTCATTGCTTCAAAAGGTGACGATGCCTGACTCCTCTTGAATACTGATAGGAATCCCAAAATCCCTGTGGCTACTGGAAAGGGTCCTTGGGTGCCCTGCCTCACCTCGAGAAGCGTCCGTTTTGCCCTGCCAAGCCTCGAAGAGATTCCTGAGCTGTCCCTCGTTACTAGGCAGGAGTCCTGACGTCACTGAAGAAACTCGTGTTTTGAAGGGCCATCCCCGCCGTAAGTCGAGAACATACCCCAGGTCCCCGCCGCAACTCGAGAAAAACCATGAGACTTCCCCCTAGAGGCGAGATGAGGCCCCATTCCCCTGCAGTGCATGCAGAGCTATTCTGTGATCCCATTCAAACAAGTCAGGAGCTTCGACTTGCTTAATGGATCTCGAGACAGTCCCCAAGAACACTGTCACCAGTCTAGACGGACCCTGAGGTCACCCCATCAAAGCAAAGCAGCTCCATGTGCCCCAAATCAACACGAGATGAGGCCCGATTCCCCTGCATTGACTCCAGAGCCATTCCCCGTTCCCCGTTCAACACGACCGGTGGCTCGCCTTCCTTCAGGCAACTCCAGAGATGCCCCGAGAACACTGTCCCAAGTCTAGAGGAACACCAACTTCAGCACAGCAACTGGAAGAATCCTCCGTGTACCCCAAATCATCTCGAGATGAGAGCTGATTCCCTGGCTTAGGCTCAAGACGTATGCCAACTTTCCAGAAGCACCTCAGGAGGAGGCTTCTCAGCAGTAGGTATGTGGGAGGGACTCCGAGTATGCTGCGTCAAGGGGAATATACAGCGAGAAGCCCTAACTTGAAAGGAGTCCGGATTTCCAAGCAATAGATTGAATACAGGCTTGTCTTTCATCTCACAACTTGAAGGGATGTCTGAAACCCCTGTGGAGGCCTTAGAGAAAGCCCTAGGTCCCTGCCTCATTTTGACGGAATGCCTCACATCCCGCTGACACCTCGAGAGGCACGCGGAGTTCATTGCTTCAAAAGGTGACGATGCCTGACTCCTCTTGAATACTGATAGGAATCCCAAATTCCCTGTGGCTACTGGAAAGGGTCCTTGGGTGCCCTGCCTCACCTCGAGAAGCGTCCCTTTTGCCCTGCCAAGCCTCGAAGAGATTCCTGAGGTGTCCCTCGTTACTAGGCAGGAGTCCTGACGTCACTGAAGAAACTCGTGTTTTGAAGGGCCATCCCGGCCGTAAGTCGAGAACATACCCCAGGACCCGCCGCAACTCGAGAAAAACCATGAGACTCCCCCCTAGAGGCGAGATGAGGCCCCATTCCCCTGCAGTGCATGCAGAGCTATTCCGTGATCCCATTCAAACAAGTCAGGAGCTTCGACTTGCTTAATGGATCTCGAGACAGTCCCCAAGAACACTGTCACGAGTCTAGACGGACCCTGAGGTCACCCCAGCAACGCAAAGCTGCTCCATGTGCCCCAAATCAACACGAGATGAGGCCCGATTCCCCTGCATTGACCCCAGAGCCATTCCCCGTTCCCCGTTCAACACGACCGGTGGCTCGCCTTCCTTCAGGCAACTCCAGAGATGCCCCGAGAACACTGTCCCAAGTCTAGAGGAACACCAACTTCAGCACAGCAACTGGAAGAATGCTCCATGTACCCCAAATCATCTCGAGATGAGAGCTGATTCCCTGGCTTAGGCTCAAGACGTATGCCAACTTTCCAGAAGCACCTCAGGAGGAGGCTTCTCAGCAGTAGGTATGTGGGAGGGACTCCGAGTATGCTGCCTCAAGGGGAATATACAGCGAGAAGCCCTAACTTGAAAGGAGTCCGGATTTCCAAGCAATAGATTGAATACAGGCTTGTCTTTCATCTCACAACTTGAAGGGATGTCTGAAACCCCTGTGGAGGCCTTAGAGAAAGCCCTAGGTCCCTGCCTCATTTTGACGGAATGCCTCACATCCCGCTGACACCTCGAGAGGCACGCGGAGTTCATTGCTTCAAAAGGTGACGATGCCTGACTCCTCTTGAATACTGATAGGAATCCCAAATTCCCTGTGGCTACTGGAAAGGGTCCTTGGGTGCCCTGCCTCACCTCGAGAAGCGTCCATTTTGCCCTGCCAAGCCTCGAAGAGATTCCTGAGGTGTCCCTCGTTACTAGGCAGGAGTCCTGACGTCACTGAAGAAACTCGTGTTTTGAAGGGCCATCCCGGCCGTAAGTCGAGAACATACCCCAGGACCCGCCGCAACTCGAGAAAAACCATGAGACTCCCCCCTAGAGGCGAGATGAGGCCCCATTCCCCTGCAGTGCATGCAGAGCTATTCCGTGATCCCATTCAAACAAGTCAGGAGCTTCGACTTGCTTAATGGATCTCGAGACAGTCCCCAAGAACACTGTCACGAGTCTAGACGGACCCTGAGGTCACCCCAGCAACGCAAAGCTGCTCCATGTGCCCCAAATCAACTCGAGATGAGGCCCGATTCCCCTGCATTAACTCCAGAGCCATTCCCCGTTCCCCATTCAACAAGACCGGTGGCTCGACTTCCTTCAGGCAACTCCAGAGATGCCCAGAGAACACTTTCCCAAGTCTAGAGGAACACCAACTTCAGCACAGCAACTCGAGGAATGCTCCGTGTACCCCAAATCGTCTCGAGATGAGAGCTGATTCCCTGGCTTAGGCTCAAGACGTATGCCAACTTTCCAGAAGCACCTCAGGAGGAGGCTTCTCAGCAATAGGTATGTGGGCAGGACTCCGAGTTTGCTGCCTCAAGGGGCATATACAGCGAGAAGCCCTAACTTGAAAGGAGGCCAGATTTCCTTGCAGTGGCTTGAATACAGGCTCGTCTTTGATCTGACAACATGAAGGGATGTCTGAATCCCCTGTGGAGTCCTTAGAGGAAGCCCTAGGCCCCTGCCTCATTTTGACGGAATGCCTCACATCCCGCTGACACCTCGAGAGGCACGCGGAGTTCATTGCTTCAAAAGGTGACGATGCCTGACTCCTCTTGAATACTGATAGGAATCCCAAAATTCCTGTGGCTACTGGAAAGGGTCCTTGGGTGCCCTGGCTCACCTCGAGAAGCGTCCCTTTTGCCCTGCCAAGCCTCGAAGAGATTCCAGAGGTGTCCCTCGTTACTAGGCAGGAGTCCTGACGTCACTGAAGAAACTCGTGTTTTGAAGGGCCATCCCCGCCGTAAGTCGAGAACATACCCCAGGTCCCCGCCGCAACTCGAGAAAAACCATGAGACTTCCCCCTAGAGGCGAGATGAGGCCCCATTCCCCTGCAGTGCATGCAGAGCTATTCCGTGATCCCATTCAAACAAGTCAGGAGCTTCGACTTGCTTAATGGATCTCGAGACAGTCCCCAAGAACACTGTCACCAGTCTAGACGGACCCTGAGGTCACCCCAGCAACGAAAAGCTGCTCCATGTGCCCCAAATCAACTCGAGATGAGGCCCGATTCCCCTGCATTGACTCCAGAGCCATTCCCCGTTCCCCATTCAACAAGACCGGTGGCTCGACTTCCTTCAGGCAACTCCAGAGATGCCCAGAGAACACTTTCGCAAGTCTAGAGGAACACGAACTTCAGCACAGCAACTCGAGGAATGCTCCGTGTACCCCAAATCATCTCGAGATGAGAGCTGATTCCCTGGCTTAGGCTCAAGACGTATGCCAACTTTCCAGAAGCACCTCAGGAGGAGGCTTCTCTCAGCAATAGGTATGTGGGAGGGACCCCGAGTTTGCTGCCTCAAGGGGAATATACAGCGAGAAGCCCTAACTTGAAAGGAGGCCAGATTTCATTGCACTGGCTTGAATACAGGCTCGTCTTTGATCTGACAACATGAAGGGATGTCTGAATCCCCTGTGGAGACCTTAGAGAAAGCCCTAGGTCCCTGCCTCATTTTGACGGAATGCCTCACATCCCGCTGACACCTCGAGAGGCACGCGGAGTTCATTGCTTCAAAAGGTGACGATGCCTGACTCCTCTTGAATACTGATAGGAATCCCAAAATCCCTGTGGCTACTGGAAAGGGTCCTTGCGTGCCCTGCCTCACCTCGAGAAGCGTCCCTTTTGTCCGGCCAAGCCTCGAAGAGATTCCTGAGGTGTCCCTCGTTACTAGGCAGGAGTCCTGACGTCACTGGAGAAACTCGTGTTTTGAAGGGCCATCCCCGCCGAAAGTCGAGAACATACCCCAGGTCCCCGCCGCAACTCGAGAAAAACCGTGAGACTTCCCCCTAGAGGCGAGATGAGGCCCCATTCCCCTGCAGTGCATGCAGAGCTATTCCGTGATCCCATTCAAACAAGTCAGGAGCTTCGACTTGCTTAATGGATCTCGAGACAGTCCCCAAGAACACTGTCACCAGTCTAGACGGACCCTGAGGTCACCCCAGCAACGCATAGCAGCTCCATGTGCCCCAAATCAACTCGAGATGAGGCCCGATTCCCCTGCATTGACTCCAGAGCCATTCCCCGTTCCCCATTCAACACGACCGGTGGCTCGACTTCCTTCAGGCAACTCCAGAGATGCCCCGAGAACACTGTCCCAAGTCTAGAGGAACACCAACTTCAGCACAGCAACTCGAGGAATGCTCCGTGTACCCTAAATCGTCTCGAGATGAGAGCTGATTCCCTGGCTTAGGCTCAAGACGTATGCCAACTTTCCAGAAGCACCTCAGGAGGAGGCTTCTCAGCAATAGGTATGTGGGAGGGACTCCGAGTTTGCTGCCTCAAGAGGAATATACATCGAGAAGCCCTAACTTGAAAGGAGGCCAGATTTCCTTGCAGTAGCTTGAATACAGGCTTGTCTTTCATCTCACAACATGAAGGGATGTCTGAATCCCCTGTGGAGTCCTTAGAGAAAGCCCTAGGTCCCTGCCTCATTTTGACGGAATGCCTCACATCCCGCTCACACCTCGAGAGGCACGCGGAGTTCATTGCTTCAAAAGGTGACGATGCCTGACTCCTCTTGAATACTGATAGGAATCCCAAAATCCCTGTGACTACTGGAAAGGGTCCTTGGGTGCCCTGCCTCACCTCGAGAAGCGTCCCTTTTGCCCTGCCAAGCCTCGAAGAGATTCCTGAGGTGTCCCTCGTTACTAGGCAGGAGTCCTGACGTCACTGGAGAAACTCGTGTTTTGAAGGGCCATCCCCGCCGTAAGTCGAGAACATACCCCAGGTCCCCGACGCAACTCGAGAAAAACCATGAGACTTCCCCCTAGAGGCGAGATGAGGCCCCATTCCACTGCAGTGCATGCAGAGCTATTCCGTGATCCCATTCAAACAAGTCAGGAGCTTCGACTTGCTTAATGGATCTCGAGACAGTCCACAAGAACACTGTCACCAGTCTCGACGGACCCTGAGGTCACCCCAGCAACGCAAAGCTGCTTCATGTGCCCCAAATCAACTCGAGATGAGGCCCGATTCCCCTGCATTGACTCCAGAGCCATTCCCCGTTCCCCATTCAACACGACCGGTGGCTCGACTTCCTTCAGGCAACTCCAGAGATGCCCCGAGAACACTGTCCCAAGTCTAGAGGAACACCAACTTCAGCACAGCAACTCGAGGAATGTTCCGTGTACCCCAAATCGTCTCGAGATGAGAGCTGATTCCCTGGCTTAGGCTCAAGACGTATGCCAACCTTCCAGAAGCACCTCAGGAGGAGGCTTCTCTCAGCAATAGGTATGTGGGAGGGACTCCGAGTGTGCTGCCTCAAGAGGAATATACATCGAGAAGCCCTAACTTGAAAGGAGGCCAGATTTCCTTGCAGTAGCTTGAATACAGGCTTGTCTTTCATCTCACAACATGAAAGGATGTCTGAATCCCCTGTGGAGTCCTTAGAGAAAGCCCTAGGTCCCTGCCTCATTTTGACGGAATGCCTCACATCCCGCTGACACCTCGAGAGGCACGCGGAGTTCATTGCTTCAAAAGGTGACGATGCCTGACTCCTCTTGAATACTTATAGGAATCCCAAAATCCCTGTGGCTACTGGAAAGGGTCCTTGGGTGCCCTGGCTCACCTCGAGAAGCGTCCCTTTTGCCCTGCCAAGCCTCGAAGAGATTGCTGAGGTGTCCCTCATTACTAGACAGGAGTCCTGACGTCACTGAAGAAACTCGTGTTTTGAAGGGCCATCCCCGCCGTAAGTCGAGAACATACCCCAGGTCCCCGCCGCAACTCGAGACACACCATGAGACTTCCCCTAGAGGCGAGATGAGGCCCCATTCCCCTGCAGTGCATGCAGAGCTATTCTGTGATCCCATTCAAACAAGTCAGGAGCTTCGACTTGCTTAATGGATCTCGAGACAGTCCCCAAGAACACTGTCACCAGTCTAGACGGACCCTGAGGTCACCCCATCAAAGCAAAGCAGCTCCATGTGCCCTAAATCAACACGAGATGAGGCCCGATTCCCCTGCATTGACTCCAGAGCCATTCCCCGTTCCCCATTCAACAAGACCGGTGGCTCGACTTCCTTCAGACAACTCCAGAGATGCCCCGAGAACACTGTCCCAAGTCTAGAGGAACACCAACTTCAGCACAGCAACTCGAGGAATGCTCTTTGTACCCCAAATCATTTCGAGATGAGAGCTGATTCCCTGGCTTAGGCTCAAGACGTATGCCAACTTTCCAGAAGCACCTCAGGAGGAGGCTTCTCAGCAATAGGTATGTGGGAGGGACTCCGAGTATGCTGCCTCAAGGGGAATATACAGCGAGAAGCCCTAACTTGAAAGGAATCGGGATTTCCAAGCAATAGATTGAATACAGGCTTGTCTTTCATCTCACAACTTGAAGGGATGTCTGAATCCTCTGTGGAGGCCTTAGAGAAAGCCCTAGGTCCCTGCCTCATTTTGACGGAATGCCTCACATCCCGCTGACACCTCGAGAGGAACGCGGAGTTCATTGCTTCAAAAGGTGACGATGCCTGACTCCTCTTGAATACTGATAGGAATCCCAAATTCCCTGTGGCTACTGGAAAGGGTCCTTGGGTGCCCTGCCTCACCTCGAGAAGCGTCCCTTTTGCCCTGCCAAGCCTCGAAGAGATTCCTGAGGTGTCCCTCGTTACTAGGCAGGAGTCCTGACGTCACTGAAGAAACTCGTGTTTTGAAGGGCCATCCCGGCCGTAAGTCGAGAACATACCCCAGGTCCCCGCCGCAACTCGAGAAAAACCATGAGACTCCCCCCTAGAGGCGAGATGAGGCCCCATTCCCCTGCAGTGCATGCAGAGCTATTCCGTGATCCCATTCAAACAAGTCAGGAGCTTCGACTTGCTTAATGGATCTCGAGACAGTCCCCAAGAACACTGTCACGAGTCTAGACGGACCCTGAGGTCACCCCAGCAACGAAAAGCTGCTCCATGTGCCCCAAATCAACTCGAGATGAGGCCCGATTCCCCTGCATTGACTCCAGAGCCATTCCCCGTTCCCCATTCAACAAGACCGGTGGCTCGACTTCCTTCAGGCAACTCCAGAGATGCCCAGAGAACACTTTCCCAAGTCTAGAGGAACACCAACTTCAGCACAGCAACTCGAGGAATGCTCCGTGTACCACAAATCGTCTCGAGATGAGAGCTGATTCCCTGGCTTAGGCTCAAGACGTATGCCAACTTTCCAGAAGCACCTCAGGAGGAGGCTTCTCTCAGCAATAGGTATGTGGGAGGGACCCCGAGTTTGCTGCCTCAAGGGGAATACACAGGGAGAAGCCCTAATGTGAACGGAGGCCAGATTTCCTTGCAGTGGGTTGAATACAGGCTCGTCTTTGATCTGAAAACATGAAGGGATGTCTGAATCCCCTGTGGAGACCTTAGAGGAAGCCCTAGGTCCCTGCCTCATTTTGACGGAATACCTCACATCCCCCTGAGACCTCGAGAGGCACGCAGAGTTCATTGCTTCAAAAGGTGACGATGCCTGACTCCTCTTGAATACTGATAGGAATCCCAAAATCCCTGTGGCTACTGGAAAGTGTCCTTGGGTGCCCTGCCTCACCTCGAGAAGCGTCCCTTTTGCCCTGCCAAGCCTCGAAGAGATTCCTGAGGTGTCCCTCGTTACTAGGCAGGAGTCCTGACGTCACTGAAGAAACTCGTGTTTTGAAGGGCCATCCCCGCCGTAAGTCGAGAACATACCCCAGGTCCCCGCCGCAACTCGAGAAAAACCATGAGACTTCCCCCTAGAGGCCAGATGAGGCCCCATTCCCCTGCAGTGCATGCAGAGCTATTCCGTGATCCCCTTCAAACAAGTCAGGAGCTTCGACTTGCTTAATGGATCTCGAGACAGTCCCCAAGAACACTGTCACCAGTCTAGACGGACCCTGAGGTCACCCAGCAATGCAAAGCAGCTCCATGTGCCCCAAATCAACTCGAGATGAGACTGGATTCCCCTGCATTGACTCCAGAGCCATTCCCCGTTCCCCATTCAACACGACCGGTGGCTCGACTTCCTTCAGGCAACTCCAGAGATGCCCCGAGAGCACTGTCCCAAGTCTAGAGGAACACCAACTTCAGCACAGCAACTCGAGGAATGCTCCGTGTACACCAAATCGTCTCGAGATGAGAGCTGATTCCCTGGCTTACGCTCAAGACGTATGCCAACTTTCCAGAAGCACCTCAGGAGGAGGCTTCTCAGCAATAGGTATGTGGGAGGGACTCCGAGTTTGCTGCCTCAAGAGGAATATACATCGATAAGCCCTAACTTGAAAGGAGGCCAGATTTCCTTGCAGTAGCTTGAATACAGGCTTGTCTTTCATCTCACAACATGAAGGGATGTCTGAATCCCCTTGGAGACCTTAGAGAAAGCCGTAGGTCCCTGCCTCATTTTGACGGAATGCCTCACATCCCGCTGACACCTCGAGAGGCACGCGGACTTCATTGCTTCAAAAGGTGATGATGCCTGACTCCTCTTGAATACTGATAGGAATCCCAAAATCCCTGTGGCTACTGGAAAGGGTCCTTGGGTGCCCTGCCTCACCTCGAGAAGCGTCCCTTTTGCCCTGCCAAGCCTCGAAGAGATTCCTGAGCTGTCCCTCGTTACTAGGCAGGAGTCCTGACGTCACTGAAGAAACTCGTGTTTTGAAGGGCCATCCCCGCCGTAAGTCGAGAACATACCCCAGGTCCCCGCCGCAACTCGAGAAAAACCATGAGACTTCCCCCTAGAGGCGAGATGAGGCCCCATTCCCCTGCAGTGCATGCAGAGCTATTCCGTGATCCCATTCAAACAAGTCAGGAGCTTCGACTTGCTTAATGGATCTCGAGACAGTCCCCAAGAACACTGTCACCAGTCTAGACGGACCCTGAGGTCACCCCAGCAACGCAAAGCTGCTCCATGTGCCCCAAATTAACTGGAGATGAGGCCCGATTCCCCTGCATTGACTCCAGAGCCATTCCCCGTTCCCCATTCAACAAGACCGGTGGCTCGACTTCCTTCAGGCAACTCCAGAGATGCCCAGAGAACACTTTCCCAAGTCTAGAGGAACACCAACTTCAGCAAAGCAACTCGAGGAATGCTCCGTGTACCCCAAATCATCTCGAGATGAGAGCTGATTCCCTGGCTTAGGCTCAAGACGTATGCCAACTTTCCAGAAGCACCTCAGGAGGAGGCTTCTCTCAGCAATAGGTATGTGGGAGGGACCCCGAGTTTGCTGCCTCAAGGGCAATATACAGCGAGAAGCCCTAACTTGAAAGGAGGCCGGATTTCCTTGCAGTGGCTTGAATACGGGCTCGTCTTTGATCTGACAACATGAAGGGATGTCTGAATCCCCTGTGGAGACCTTAGAGAAAGCCCTAGGTCCCTGCCTCATTTTGACGGAATGCCTCACATCCCGCTCACACCTCGAGAGGCACGCGGAGTTCATTGCTTCAAAAGGTGACGATGCTTGACTCCTCTTGAATACTGACAGGAATCCCAAAATCCCTGTGGCTACTGAAAAGGGTCCTTGGGTGCCCTGACTCACCTCGAGAAGCGTCCCTTTTGCCCTGCCAAGCCTCGAAGAGATTCCTGAGGTGTCCCTCGTTACTAGACAGGAGTCCTGACGTCACTGGAGAAACTCGTGTTTTGAAGGGCCATCCCCGCCGTAAGTCGAGAACATACCCCAGGTCCCCGCCGCAACTCGAGAAAAACCATGAGACTTCCCCCTAGAGGCGAGATGAGGCCCCATTCCCCTGCAGTGCATGCAGAGCTATTCCGTGATCCCATTCAAACAAGTCAGGAGCTTCGACTTGCTTAATGGATCTCGAGACAGTCCCCAAGAACACTGTCACCAGTCTAGACGGACCCTGAGGTCACCCAGCAATGCAAAGCAGCTCCATGTGCCCCAAATCAACTCGAGATGAGGCCGGATTCCCCTGCATTGACTCCAGAGCCATTCCCTGTTCCCCATTCAACACGACCGGTGGCTCGACTTCCTTCAGGCAACTCCAGAGATGCCCCGAGAACACTGTCCCAAGTCTAGAGGAACACCAACTTCAGCAAAGCAACTCGAGGAATGCTCCGTGTACCCCAAATCGTCTCGAGATGAGAGCTGATTCCCTGGCTTAGGCTCAAGACGTATGCCAACTTTCCAGAAGCACCTCAGGAGGAGGCTTCTCAGCAATAGGTATGTGGGAGGGACTCCGAGTTTGCTGCCTCAAGAGGAATATACATCGAGAAGCCCTAACTTGAAAGGAGGCCAGATTTCCTTGCAGTAGCTTGAATACAGGATTGTCTTTCATCTCACAACATGAAGGGATGTCTGAGACCCCTGTGGAGACCTTAGAGAAAGCCCTAGATCCCTGCATCATTTTGACGGAATGCCTCACATCCCGCTGACACCTCGAGAGGCACGCGGAGTTCATTGCTTCAAAAGGTGACGATGCCTGACTCCTCTTGAATACTTATAGGAATCCCAAAATCGCTGTGGCTACTGGAAAGGGTCCTTGGGTGCCCTGCCTCACCTCGAGAAGCGTCCCTTTTGCCCTGCCAAGCCTCGAAGAGATTGCTGAGGTGTCCCTCATTACTAGACAGGAGTCCTGACGTCACTGAAGAAACTCGTGTTTTGAAGGGCCATCCCCGCCGTAAGTCGAGAACATACCCCAGGTCCCCGCCGCAACTCGAGAAAAACCATGAGACTTCCCCCTAGAGGCGAGATGAGGCCCCATTCCCCTGCAGTGCATGCAGAGCTATTCTGTGATCCCATTCAAACAAGTCAGGAGCTTCGACTTGCTTAATGGATCTCGAGACAGTCCCCAAGAACACTGTCACCAGTCTAGACGGACCCTGAGGTCACCCCATCAAAGCAAAGCAGCTCCATGTGCCCCAAATCAACACGAGATGAGGCCCGATTCCCCTGCATTGACTCCAGAGCCATTCCCCGTTCCCCGTTCAACACGACCGGTGGCTCGCCTTCCTTCAGGCAACTGCAGAGATGCCCCGAGAACACTGTCCCAAGTCTAGAGGAACACCAACTTCAGCACAGCAACTCGAGGAATGCTCCGTGTACCCCAAATCATCTCGAGATGAGAGCTGATTCCCTGGCTTAGGCTCAAGACGTATGCCAACTTTCCAGAAGCACCTCAGGAGGAGGCTTCTCAGCAATAGGTATGTGGGAGGGACTCCGAGTATGCTGCCTCAAGGGGAATATACAGCGAGAAGCCCTAACTTGAAAGGAGTCCGGATTTCCAATCAATAGATTGAATACAGGCTTGTCTTTCATCTCACAACTTGAAGGGATGTCTGAATCCCCTGTGGAGGCCTTAGAGAAAGCCCTAGGTCCCTGCCTCATTTTGACGGAATGCCTCACATCCCACTGACACCTCGAGAGGCACGCGGAGTTCATTGCTTCAAAAGGTGACGATGCCTGACTCCTCTTGAATACTGATAGGAATCCCAAATTCCCTGTGGCTACTGGAAAGGGTCCTTGGGTGCCCTGCCTCACCTCGAGAAGCGTCCCTTTTGCCCTGCCAAGCCTCGAAGAGATTCCTGAGGTGTCTCTCATTACTAGGCAGGAGTCCTGACGTCACTGAAGAAACTCGTGTTTTGAAGGGCCATCCCGGCCGTAAGTCGAGAACATACCCCAGGTCCCCGCCGCAACTCGAGAAAAACCATGAGACTCCCCCCTAGAGGCGAGATGAGGCCCCATTCCCCTGCAGTGCATGCAGAGCTATTCCGTGATCCCATTCAAACAAGTCAGGAGTTTCGACTTGCTTAATGGATCTCGAGACAGTCCCCAAGAACACTGTAACCAGTCTAGACGGACCCTGAGGTCACCCCAGCAACGCAAAGCTGCTCCATGTGCCCCAAATCAACTCGAGATGAGGCCCGATTCCCCTGCATTGAATCCAGAGACATTCCCCGTTCCCCATTCAACACGACCGGTGGCTCGACTTCCTTCAGGCAACACCAGAGATGCCCCGAGAACACTCTCCCAAGTCTAGAGGAACCCCAACTTCAGCACAGCAACTCGAGGAATGCTCCGTGTACCCCAAATCATCTCGAGATGAGAGCTGATTCCCTGGCTTAGGCTCAAGACGTATGCCAACTTTCCAGAAGCACCTCAGGAGGAGGCTTCTCTCAGCAATAGGTATGTGGGAGGGACCCCGAGTTTGCTGCCTCAAGGGGAATACACAGGGAGAAGCCCTAATGTGAACGGAGGCCAGATTTCCTTGCAGTGGGTTGAATACAGGCTCGTCTTTGATCTGAAAACATGAAGGGATGTCTGAATCCCCTGTGGAGACCTTAGAGGAAGCCCTAGGTCCCTGCCTCATTTTGACGGAATACCTCACATCCCCCTGAGACCTCAAGAGGCACGCAGAGTTCATTGCTTCAAAAGGTGACGATGCCTGACTCCTCTTGAATACTGATAGGAATCCCAAAATCCCTGTGGCTACTGGAAAGTGTCCTTGGGTGCCCTGCCTCACCTCGAGAAGCGTCCCTTTTGCCCTGCCAAGCCTCGAAGAGATTCCTGAGGTGTCCCTCGTTACTAGGCAGGAGTCCTGACGTCACTGGAAAAACTCGTGTTTTGAAGGGCCATCCCCGCCGAAAGTCGAGAACATACCCCAGGTCCCCGCCGCAACTCGAGAAAAACCATGAGACTTCCCCCTAGAGGCCAGATGAGGCCCCATTCCCCTGCAGTGCATGCAGAGCTATTCCGTGATCCCATTCAAACAAGTCAGGAGCTTCGACTTGCTTAATGGATCTCGAGACAGTCCCCAAGAACACTGTCACCAGTCGAGACGGACCCTGAGGTCACCCAGCAATGCAAAGCAGCTCCATGTGCCCCAAATCAACTCGAGATGAGGCCGGATTCCCCTGCATTGACTCCAGAGCCATTCCCCGTTCCCCATTCAACACGACCGGTGGCTCGACTTCCTTCAGGCAACTCCAGAGATGCCCCGAGAGCACTGTCCCAAGTCTAGAGGAACACCAACTTCAGCACAGCAACTCGAGGAATGCTCCGTGTACCCCAAATCGTCTCGAGATGAGAGCTGATTCCCTGGCTTAGGCTCAAGACGTATGCCAACTTTCCAGAAGCACCTCAGGAGGAGGCTTCTCAGCAATAGGTATGTGGGAGGGACTCCGAGTTTGCTGCCTCAAGAGGAATATACATCGATAAGCCCTAACTTGAAAGGAGGCCAGATTTCCTTGCAGTAGCTTGAATACAGGCTTGTCTTTCATCTCACAACATGAAGGGATGTCTGAATCCCCTTGGAGACCTTAGAGAAAGCCGTAGGTCCCTGCCTCATTTTGACGGAATGCCTCACATCCCGCTGACACCTCGAGAGGCACGCGGAGTTCATTGCTTCAAAAGGTGACGATGCCTGACTCCTCTTGAATACTGATAGGAATCCCAAATTCCCTGTGGCTACTGGAAAGGGTCCTTGGGTGCCCTGCCTCACCTCGAGAAGCGTCCCTTTTGCCCTGCCAAGCCTCGAAGAGATTCCTGAGGTGTCCCTCGTTACTAGGCAGGAGTCCTGACGTCACTGAAGAAACTCGTGTTTTGAAGGGCCATCCCCGCCGTAAGTCGAGAACATACCCCAGGTCCCCGCCGCAACTCGAGAAAAACCATGAGACTCCCCCCTAGAGGCGAGATGAGGCCCCATTCCCCTGCAGTGCATGCAGAGCTATTCCGTGATCCCATTCAAACAAGTCAGGAGCTTCGACTTGCTTAATGGATCTCGAGACAGTCCCCAAGAACACTGTCACGAGTCTAGACGGACCCTGAGGTCACCCCAGCAACGCAAAGCTGCTCCATGTGCCCCAAATCAACTCGAGATGAGGCCCGATTCCCCTGCATTGACTCCAGAGCCATTCCCCGTTCCCCATTCAACAAGACCGGTGGCTCGACTTCCTTCAGGCAACTCCAGAGATGCCCAGAGAACACTTTCCCAAGTCTAGAGGAACACCAACTTCAGCACAGCAACTCGAGGAATGCTCCGTGTACCACAAATCGTCTCGAGATGAGAGCTGATTCCCTGGCTTAGGCTCAAGACGTATGCCAGCTTTCCAGAAGCACCTCAGGAGGAGGCTTCTCAGCAATAGGTATGTGGGAGGGACTCCGAGTTTGCTGCCTCAAGGGGAATATACAGCGAGAAGCCCTAACTTGAAAGGAGTCCGGATTTCCATGCAATAGATTGAATACAGGCTTGTCTTTCATCTCACAACTTGAAGGGATGTCTGAATCCCCTGTGGAGACCTTAGAGAAAGCCCTAGTTCCCTGCCTCATTTTGACGGAATGCCTCACATCCCGCTAACATCTCGAGAGGCACGCGGAGTTCATTGCTTCAAAAGGTGACGATGCCTGACTCCTCTTGAATACTGATAGGAATCCCAAAATCCCTGTGGCTACTGGAAAGGGTCCTTGGGTGCCCTGCCTCACCTCGAGAAGCGTCCCTTTTGCCCTGCCAAGCCTCGAAGAGATTCCTGAGGTGTCCCTCGTTACTAGGCAGGAGTCCTGACGTCACTGGAGAAACTCGTGTTTTGAAGGGCCATCCCCGCCGTAAGTCGAGAACATACCCCAGGTCCCCGCCGCAACTCGAGAAAAACCATGAGACTTCCCCCTAGAGGCGAGATGAGGCCCCATTCCCCTGCAGTGCATGCAGAGCTATTCCGTGATCCCATTCAAACAAGTCAGGAGCTTCGACTTGCTTAATGGATCTCGAGACAGTCCCCAAGAACACTGTCACCAGTCTAGACGGACCCTGAGGTCACCCCAGCAACGCAAAGCTGCTCCATGTGCCCCAAATCAACTCGAGATGAGGCCCGATTCCCCTGCATTGACTCCAGAGACATTCCCCGTTCCCCATTCAACACGACCGGTGGCTCGACTTCCTTCAGGCAACACCAGAGATGCCCCGAGAACACTGTCCCAAGTCTAGTGGAACACCAACTTCAGCACAGCAACTCGAGGAATGCTCCGTGTACCCCAAATCATCTCGAGATGAGAGCTGATTCCCTGGCTTAGGCTCAAGACGTATGCCAACTTTCCAGAAGCACCTCAGGAGGAGGCTTCTCTCAGCAATAGGTATGTGGGAGGGACCCCGAGTTTGCTGCCTCAAGGGGAATACACAGGGAGAAGCCCTAATGTGAACGGAGGCCAGATTTCCTTGCAGTGGGTTGAAAACAGGCTCGTCTTTGATCTGAAAACATGAAGGGATGTCTGAATCCCCTGTGGAGACCTTAGAGGAAGCCCTAGGTCCCTGCCTCATTTTGACGGAATACCTCACATCCCCCTGAGACCTCGAGAGGCACGCAGAGTTCATTGCTTCAAAAGGTGACGATGCCTGACTCCTCTTGAATACTGATAGGAATCCCAAAATCCCTGTGGCTACTGGAAAGTGTCCTTGGGTGCCCTGCCTCACCTCGAGAAGCGTCCCTTTTGCCCTGCCAAGCCTCGAAGAGATTCCTGAGGTGTCCCTCGTTACTAGGCAGGAGTCCTGACGTCACTGAAGAAACTCGTGTTTTGAAGGGCCATCCCCGCCGTAAGTCGAGAACATACCCCAGGTCCCCGCCGCAACTCGAGAAAAACCATGAGACTTCCCCCTAGAGGCCAGATGAGGCCCCATTCCCCTGCAGTGCATGCAGAGCTATTCCGTGATCCCCTTCAAACAAGTCAGGAGCTTCGACTTGCTTAATGGATCTCGAGACAGTCCCCAAGAACACTGTCACCAGTCTAGACGGACCCTGAGGTCACCCAGCAATGCAAAGCAGCTCCATGTGCCCCAAATCAACTCGAGATGAGGCCGGATTCCCCTGCATTGACTCCAGAGCCATTCCCCGTTCCCCATTCAACACGTCCGGTGGCTCGACTTCCTTCAGGCAACTCCAGAGATGCCCCGAGAGCACTGTCCCAAGTCTAGAGGAACACCAACTTCAGCACAGCAACTCGAGGAATGCTCCGTGTACCCCAAATCGTCTCGAGATGAGAGCTGATTCCCTGGCTTAGGCTCAAGACGTATGCCAACTTTCCAGAAGCACCTCAGGAGGAGGCTTCTCAGCAATAGGTATGTGGGAGGGACTCCGAGTTTGCTGCCTCAAGAGGAATATACATCGATAAGCCCTAACTTGAAAGGAGGCCAGATTTCCTTGCAGTAGCTTGAATACAGGCTTGTCTTTCATCTCACAACATGAAGGGATGTCTGAATCCCCTTGGAGACCTTAGAGAAAGCCGTAGGTCCCTGCCTCATTTTGACGGAATGCCTCACATCCCGCTGACACCTCGAGAGGCACGCGGAGTTCATTGCTTCAAAAGGTGACGATGCCTGACTCCTCTTGAATACTGATAGGAATCCCAAAATGCCTGTGGCTACTGGAAAGGGTCCTTGGGTGCCCTGCCTCACCTCGAGAAGCGTCCCTTTTGCCCTGCCAAGCCTCGAAGAGATTCCTGAGGTGTCCCTCGTTACTAGGCAGGAGTCCTGACGTCACTGGAGAAACTCGTGTTTTGAAGGGCCATCCCCGCCGTAAGTCGAGAACATACCCCAGGTCCCCGCCGCAACTCGAGAAAAACCATGAGACTTCCCCCTAGAGGCGAGATGAGGCCCCATTCCCCTGCAGTGCATGCAGAGCTATTCCGTGATCCCATTCAAACAAGTCAGGAGCTTCGACTTGCTTAATGGATCTCGAGACAGTCCCCAAGAACACTGTCACCAGTCTAGACGGACCCTGAGGTCACCCCAGCAACGCAAAGCTGCTCCATGTGCCCCAAATCAACTCGAGATGAGGCCCGATTCCCCTGCATTGACTCCAGAGCCATTCCCCGTTCCCCAGTCAACAAGACCGGTGGCTCGACTTCCTTCAGGCAACGCCAGAGATGCCCCGAGAACACTTTCCCAAGTCTAGAGGAACACCAGCTTCAGCAAAGCAACTCGAGGAATGCTCCGTGTACCCCAAATCGTCTCGAGATGAGAGCTGATTCCCTGGCTTAGGCTCAAGACGTATGCCAACTTTCCAGAAGCACCTCAGGAGGAGGCTTCTCTCAGCAATAGGTATGTGGGAGGGACCCCGAGTTTGCTACCTCAAGGGGAATATACAGCGAGAAGCCCTAACTTGAAAGGAGGCCGTATTTACTTGCAGTGGCTTGAATACAGGCTCGTCTTTGATCTGACAACATGAAGGGATGTCTGAATCCCCTGTGGAGACCTTAGAGAAAGCCCTAGGTCCCTGCCTCATTTTGACGGAATGCCTCACATCCCGCTGACACCTCGAGAGGCACGCGGAGTTCATTGCTTCAAAAGGTGACGATGCCTGACTCCTCTTGAATACTGATAGGAATCCCAAAATCCCTGTGGCTACTGGAAAGGGTCCTTGGTTGCCCTGCCTCACCTCGAGAAGCGTCCCTTTTGCCCTGCCAAGCCTCGAAGAGATTCCTGAGGTGTCCCTCGTTACTAGGCAGGAGTCCTGACGTCACTGAAGAAACTCGTGTTTTGAAGGGCCATCCCCGCCGTAAGTCGAGAACATACCCCAGGTCCCCGCCGCAACTCGAGAAAAACCATGAGACTTCCCCCTAGAGGCGAGATGAGGCCCCATTCCCCTGCAGTGCATGCAGAGCTATTCTGTGATCCCATTCAAACAAGTCAGGAGCTTCGACTTGCTTAATGGATCTCGAGACAGTCCCCAAGAACACTGTCACCAGTCTAGACGGACCCTGAGGTCACCCCATCAAAGCAAAGCAGCTCCATGTGCCCCAAATCAACACGAGATGAGGCCCGATTCCCCTGCATTGACTCCAGAGCCATTCCCCGTTCCCCGTTCAACACGACCGGTGGCTCGCCTTCCTTCAGGCAACTCCAGAGATGCCCCGAGAACACTGTCCCATGTCTAGAGGAACACCAACTTCAGCACAGCAACTGGAAGAATGCTCCGTGTACCCCAAATCATCTCGAGATGAGAGCTGATTCCCTGGCTTAGGCTCAAGACGTATGCCAACTTTCCAGAAGCACCTCAGGAGGAGGCTTCTCAGCAGTAGGTATGTGGGAGGGACTCCGAGTATGCTGACTCAAGGGGAATATACAGCGAGAAGCCCTAACTTGAAAGGAGTCCGGATTTCCAAGCAATAGATTGAATACAGGCTTGTCTTTCATCTCACAACTTGAAGGGATGTCTGAAACCCCTGTGGAGGCCTTAGAGAAAGCCCTAGGTCCCTGCCTCATTTTGACGGAATGCCTCACATCCCGCTGACACCTCGAGAGGCACGCGGAGTTCATTGCTTCAAAAGGTGACGATGCCTGACTCCTCTTGAATACTGATAGGAATCCCAAATTCCCTGTGGCTACTGGAAAGGGTCCTTGGGTGCCCTGCCTCACCTCGAGAAGCGTCCCTTTTGCCCTGCCAAGCCTCGAAGAGATTCCTGAGGTGTCCCTCGTTACTAGGCAGGAGTCCTGACGTCACTGAAGAAACTCGTGTTTTGAAGGGCCATCCCGGCCGTAAGTCGAGAACATACCCCAGGACCCGCCGCAACTCGAGAAAAACCATGAGACTCCCCCCTAGAGGCGAGATGAGGCCCCATTCCCCTGCAGTGCATGCAGAGCTATTCCGTGATCCCATTCAAACAAGTCAGGAGCTTCGACTTGCTTAATGGATCTCGAGACAGTCCCCAAGAACACTGTCACGAGTCTAGACGGACCCTGAGGTCACCCCAGCAACGCAAAGCTGCTCCATGTGCCCCAAATCAACACGAGATGAGGCCCGATTCCCCTGCATTGACTCCAGAGCCATTCCCCGTTCCCCGTTCAACACGACCGGTGGCTCGCCTTCCTTCAGGCAACTCCAGAGATGCCCCGAGAACACTGTCCCAAGTCTAGAGGAACACCAACTTCAGCACAGCAACTGGAAGAATGCTCCGTGTACCCCAAATCATCTCGAGATGAGAGCTGATTCCCTGGCTTAGGCTCAAGACGTATGCCAACTTTCCAGAAGCACCTCAGGAGGAGGCTTCTCAGCAGTAGGTATGTGGGAGGGACCCCGAGTTTGCTACCTCAAGGGGAATATACAGCGAGAAGCCCTAACTTGAAAGGAGGCCGTATTTACTTGCAGTGGCTTGAATACAGGCTCGTCTTTGATCTGACAACATGAAGGGATGTCTGAATCCCCTGTGGAGACCTTAGAGAAAGCCCTAGGTCCCTGCCTCATTTTGACGGAATGCCTCACATCCCGCTGACACCTCGAGAGGCACGCGGAGTTCATTGCTTCAAAAGGTGACGATGCCTGACTCCTCTTGAATACTGATAGGAATCCCAAATTCCCTGTGGCTACTGGAAAGGGTCCTTGGGTGCCCTGCCTCACCTCGAGAAGCGTCCCTTTTGCCCTGCCAAGCCTCGAAGAGATTCCTGAGGTGTCCCTCGTTACTAGGCAGGAGTCCTGACGTCACTGAAGAAACTCGTGTTTTGAAGGGCCATCCCGGCCGTAAGTCGAGAACATACCCCAGGACCCGCCGCAACTCGAGAAAAACCATGAGACTCCCCCCTAGAGGCGAGATGAGGCCCCATTCCCCTGCAGTGCATGCAGAGCTATTCCGTGATCCCATTCAAACAAGTCAGGAGCTTCGACTTGCTTAATGGATCTCGAGACAGTCCCCAAGAACACTGTCACGAGTCTAGACGGACCCTGAGGTCACCCCAGCAACGCAAAGCTGCTCCATGTGCCCCAAATCAACACGAGATGAGGCCCGATTCCCCTGCATTGACTCCAGAGCCATTCCCCGTTCCCCGTTCAACACGACCGGTGGCTCGCCTTCCTTCAGGCAACTCCAGAGATGCCCCGAGAACACTGTCCCAAGTCTAGAGGAGCACCAACTTCAGCACAGCAACTGGAAGAATGCTCCGTGTACCCCAAATCATCTCGAGATGAGAGCTGATTCCCTGGCTTAGGCTCAAGACGTATGCCAACTTTCCAGAAGCACCTCAGGAGGAGGCTTCTCAGCAGTAGGTATGTGGGAGGGACCCCGAGTTTGCTACCTCAAGGGGAATATACAGCGAGAAGCCCTAACTTGAAAGGAGGCCGTATTTACTTGCAGTGGCTTGAATACAGGCTCGTCTTTGATCTGACAACATGAAGGGATGTCTGAATCCCCTGTGGAGACCTTAGAGAAAGCCCTAGGTCCCTGCCTCATTTTGACGGAATGCCTCACATCCCGCTGACACCTCGAGAGGCACGCGGAGTTCATTGCTTCAAAAGGTGACGATGCCTGACTCCTCTTGAATACTGATAGGAATCCCAAAATCCCTGTGGCTACTGGAAAGGGTCCTTGGGTGCCCTGCCTCACCTCGAGAAGCGTCCGTTTTGCCCTGCCAAGCCTCGAAGAGATTCCTGAGCTGTCCCTCGTTACTAGGCAGGAGTCCTGACGTCACTGAAGAAACTCGTGTTTTGAAGGGCCATCCCCGCCGTAAGTCGAGAACATACCCCAGGTCCCCGCCGCAACTCGAGAAAAACCATGAGACTTCCCCCTAGAGGCGAGATGAGGCCCCATTCCCCTGCAGTGCATGCAGAGCTATTCTGTGATCCCATTCAAACAAGTCAGGAGCTTCGACTTGCTTAATGGATCTCGAGACAGTCCCCAAGAACACTGTCACCAGTCTAGACGGACCCTGAGGTCACCCCATCAAAGCAAAGCAGCTCCATGTGCCCCAAATCAACACGAGATGAGGCCCGATTCCCCTGCATTGACTCCAGAGCCATTCCCCGTTCCCCGTTCAACACGACCGGTGGCTCGCCTTCCTTCAGGCAACTCCAGAGATGCCCCGAGAACACTGTCCCAAGTCTAGAGGAACACCAACTTCAGCACAGCAACTGGAAGAATCCTCCGTGTACCCCAAATCATCTCGAGATGAGAGCTGATTCCCTGGCTTAGGCTCAAGACGTATGCCAACTTTCCAGAAGCACCTCAGGAGGAGGCTTCTCAGCAGTAGGTATGTGGGAGGGACTCCGAGTATGCTGCGTCAAGGGGAATATACAGCGAGAAGCCCTAACTTGAAAGGAGTCCGGATTTCCAAGCAATAGATTGAATACAGGCTTGTCTTTCATCTCACAACTTGAAGGGATGTCTGAAACCCCTGTGGAGGCCTTAGAGAAAGCCCTAGGTCCCTGCCTCATTTTGACGGAATGCCTCACATCCCGCTGACACCTCGAGAGGCACGCGGAGTTCATTGCTTCAAAAGGTGACGATGCCTGACTCCTCTTGAATACTGATAGGAATCCCAAATTCCCTGTGGATACTGGAAAGGGTCCTTGGGTGCCCTGCCTCACCTCGAGAAGCGTCCCTTTTGCCCTGCCAAGCCTCGAAGAGATTCCTGAGGTGTCCCTCGTTACTAGGCAGGAGTCCTGACGTCACTGAAGAAACTCGTGTTTTGAAGGGCCATCCCGGCCGTAAGTCGAGAACATACCCCAGGACCCGCCGCAACTCGAGAAAAACCATGAGACTCCCCCCTAGAGGCGAGATGAGGCCCCATTCCCCTGCAGTGCATGCAGAGCTATTCCGTGATCCCATTCAAACAAGTCAGGAGCTTCGACTTGCTTAATGGATCTCGAGACAGTCCCCAAGAACACTGTCACGAGTCTAGACGGACCCTGAGGTCACCCCAGCAACGCAAAGCTGCTCCATGTGCCCCAAATCAACACGAGATGAGGCCCGATTCCCCTGCATTGACCCCAGAGCCATTCCCCGTTCCCCGTTCAACACGACCGGTGGCTCGCCTTCCTTCAGGCAACTCCAGAGATGCCCCGAGAACACTGTCCCAAGTCTAGAGGAACACCAACTTCAGCACAGCAACTGGAAGAATGCTCCGTGTACCCCAAATCATCTCGAGATGAGAGCTGATTCCCTGGCTTAGGCTCAAGACGTATGCCAACTTTCCAGAAGCACCTCAGGAGGAGGCTTCTCAGCAGTAGGTATGTGGGAGGGACTCCGAGTATGCTGCCTCAAGGGGAATATACAGCGAGAAGCCCTAACTTGAAAGGAGTCCGGATTTCCAAGCAATAGATTGAATACAGGCTTGTCTTTCATCTCACAACTTGAAGGGATGTCTGAAACCCCTGTGGAGGCCTTAGAGAAAGCCCTAGGTCCCTGCCTCATTTTGACGGAATGCCTCACATCCCGCTGACACCTCGAGAGGCACGCGGAGTTCATTGCTTCAAAAGGTGACGATGCCTGACTCCTCTTGAATACTGATAGGAATCCCAAATTCCCTGTGGCTACTGGAAAGGGTCCTTGGGTGCCCTGCCTCACCTCGAGAAGCGTCCATTTTGCCCTGCCAAGCCTCGAAGAGATTCCTGAGGTGTCCCTCGTTACTAGGCAGGAGTCCTGACGTCACTGAAGAAACTCGTGTTTTGAAGGGCCATCCCGGCCGTAAGTCGAGAACATACCCCAGGACCCGCCGCAACTCGAGAAAAACCATGAGACTCCCCCCTAGAGGCGAGATGAGGCCCCATTCCCCTGCAGTGCATGCAGAGCTATTCCGTGATCCCATTCAAACAAGTCAGGAGCTTCGACTTGCTTAATGGATCTCGAGACAGTCCCCAAGAACACTGTCACGAGTCTAGACGGACCCTGAGGTCACCCCAGCAACGCAAAGCTGCTCCATGTGCCCCAAATCAACTCGAGATGAGGCCCGATTCCCCTGCATTAACTCCAGAGCCATTCCCCGTTCCCCATTCAACAAGACCGGTGGCTCGACTTCCTTCAGGCAACTCCAGAGATGCCCAGAGAACACTTTCCCAAGTCTAGAGGAACACCAACTTCAGCACAGCAACTCGAGGAATGCTCCGTGTACCCCAAATCGTCTCGAGATGAGAGCTGATTCCCTGGCTTAGGCTCAAGACGTATGCCAACTTTCCAGAAGCACCTCAGGAGGAGGCTTCTCAGCAATAGGTATGTGGGCAGGACTCCGAGTTTGCTGCCTCAAGGGGCATATACAGCGAGAAGCCCTAACTTGAAAGGAGGCCAGATTTCCTTGCAGTGGCTTGAATACAGGCTCGTCTTTGATCTGACAACATGAAGGGATGTCTGAATCCCCTGTGGAGTCCTTAGAGGAAGCCCTAGGCCCCTGCCTCATTTTGACGGAATGCCTCACATCCCGCTGACACCTCGAGAGGCACGCGGAGTTCATTGCTTCAAAAGGTGACGATGCCTGACTCCTCTTGAATACTGATAGGAATCCCAAAATTCCTGTGGCTACTGGAAAGGGTCCTTGGGTGCCCTGGCTCACCTCGAGAAGCGTCCCTTTTGCCCTGCCAAGCCTCGAAGAGATTCCAGAGGTGTCCCTCGTTACTAGGCAGGAGTCCTGACGTCACTGAAGAAACTCGTGTTTTGAAGGGCCATCCCCGCCGTAAGTCGAGAACATACCCCAGGTCCCCGCCGCAACTCGAGAAAAACCATGAGACTTCCCCCTAGAGGCGAGATGAGGCCCCATTCCCCTGCAGTGCATGCAGAGCTATTCCGTGATCCCATTCAAACAAGTCAGGAGCTTCGACTTGCTTAATGGATCTCGAGACAGTCCCCAAGAACACTGTCACCAGTCTAGACGGACCCTGAGGTCACCCCAGCAACGAAAAGCTGCTCCATGTGCCCCAAATCAACTCGAGATGAGGCCCGATTCCCCTGCATTGACTCCAGAGCCATTCCCCGTTCCCCATTCAACAAGACCGGTGGCTCGACTTCCTTCAGGCAACTCCAGAGATGCCCAGAGAACACTTTCGCAAGTCTAGAGGAACACGAACTTCAGCACAGCAACTCGAGGAATGCTCCGTGTACCCCAAATCATCTCGAGATGAGAGCTGATTCCCTGGCTTAGGCTCAAGACGTATGCCAACTTTCCAGAAGCACCTCAGGAGGAGGCTTCTCTCAGCAATAGGTATGTGGGAGGGACCCCGAGTTTGCTGCCTCAAGGGGAATATACAGCGAGAAGCCCTAACTTGAAAGGAGGCCAGATTTCATTGCACTGGCTTGAATACAGGCTCGTCTTTGATCTGACAACATGAAGGGATGTCTGAATCCCCTGTGGAGACCTTAGAGAAAGCCCTAGGTCCCTGCCTCATTTTGACGGAATGCCTCACATCCCGCTGACACCTCCAGAGGCACGCGGAGTTCATTGCTTCAAAAGGTGACGATGCCTGACTCCTCTTGAATACTGATAGGAATCCCAAAATCCCTGTGGCTACTGGAAAGGGTCCTTGCGTGCCCTGCCTCACCTCGAGAAGCGTCCCTTTTGTCCGGCCAAGCCTCGAAGAGATTCCTGAGGTGTCCCTCGTTACTAGGCAGGAGTCCTGACGTCACTGGAGAAACTCGTGTTTTGAAGGGCCATCCCCGCCGAAAGTCGAGAACATACCCCAGGTCCCCGCCGCAACTCGAGAAAAACCGTGAGACTTCCCCCTAGAGGCGAGATGAGGCCCCATTCCCCTGCAGTGCATGCAGAGCTATTCTGTGATCCCATTCAAACAAGTCAGGAGCTTCGACTTGCTTAATGGATCTCGAGACAGTCCCCAAGAACACTGTCACCAGTCTAGACGGACCCTGAGGTCACCCCATCAAAGCAAAGCAGCTCCATGTGCCCCAAATCAACACGAGATGAGGCCCGATTCCCCTGCATTGACTCCAGAGCCATTCCCCGTTCCCCGTTCAACACGACCGGTGGCTCGCCTTCCTTCAGGCAACTGCAGAGATGCCCCGAGAACACTGTCCCAAGTCTAGAGGAACACCAACTTCAGCACAGCAACTCGAGGAATGTTCCGTGTACCCCAAATCGTCTCGAGATGAGAGCTGATTCCCTGGCTTAGGCTCAAGACGTATGCCAACCTTCCAGAAGCACCTCAGGAGGAGGCTTCTCTCAGCAATAGGTATGTGGGAGGGACTCCGAGTGTGCTGCCTCAAGAGGAATATACATCGAGAAGCCCTAACTTGAAAGGAGGCCAGATTTCCTTGCAGTAGCTTGAATACAGGCTTGTCTTTCATCTCACAACATGAAAGGATGTCTGAATCCCCTGTGGAGACGTTAGAGAAAGCCCTAGGTCCCTGCCTCATTTTGACGGAATGCCTCACATCCCGCTGACACCTCGAGAGGCACGCGGAGTTCATTGCTTCAAAAGGTGACGATGCCTGACTCCTCTTGAATACTTATAGGAATCCCAAAATCCCTGTGGCTACTGGAAAGGGTCCTTGGGTGCCCTGGCTCACCTCGAGAAGCGTCCCTTTTGCCCTGCCAAGCCTCGAAGAGATTGCTGAGGTGTCCCTCATTACTAGACAGGAGTCCTGACGTCACTGAAGAAACTCGTGTTTTGAAGGGCCATCCCCGCCGTAAGTCGAGAACATACCCCAGGTCCCCGCCGCAACTCGAGACACACCATGAGACTTCCCCTAGAGGCGAGATGAGGCCCCATTCCCCTGCAGTGCATGCAGAGCTATTCTGTGATCCCATTCAAACAAGTCAGGAGCTTCGACTTGCTTAATGGATCTCGAGACAGTCCCCAAGAACACTGTCACCAGTCTAGACGGACCCTGAGGTCACCCCATCAAAGCAAAGCAGCTCCATGTGCCCCAAATCAACACGAGATGAGGCCCGATTCCCCTGCATTGACTCCAGAGCCATTCCCCGTTCCCCGTTCAACACGACCGGTGGCTCGCCTTCCTTCAGGCAACTCCAGAGATGCCCCGAGAACACTGTCCCAAGTCTAGAGGAACACCAACTTCAGCACAGCAACTGGAGGAATGCTCCGTGTACCCCAAATCATCTCGAGATGAGAGCTGATTCCCTGGCTTAGGCTCAAGACGTATGCCAACTTTCCAGAAGCACCTCAGGAGGAGGCTTCTCAGCAGTAGGTATGTGGGAGGGACTCCGAGTATGCTGCCTCAAGGGGAATATACAGCGAGAAGCCCTAACTTGAAAGGAGTCCGGATTTCCAAGCAATAGATTGAATACAGGCTTGTCTTTCATCTCACAACTTGAAGGGATGTCTGAAACCCCTGTGGAGGCCTTAGAGAAAGCCCTAGGTCCCTGCCTCATTTTGACGGAATGCCTCACATCCCGCTGACACCTCGAGAGGCACGCGGAGTTCATTGCTTCAAAAGGTGACGATGCCTGACTCCTCTTGAATACTGATAGGAATCCCAAATTCCCTGTGGCTACTGAAAAGGGTCCTTGGGTGCCCTGCCTCACCTCGAGAAGCGTCCCTTTTGCCCTGCCAAGCCTCGAAGAGATTCCTGAGGTGTCCCTCGTTACTAGGCAGGAGTCCTGACGTCACTGAAGAAACTCGTGTTTTGAAGGGCCATCCCGGCCGTAAGTCGAGAACATACCCCAGGACCCGCCGCAACTCGAGAAAAACCATGAGACTCCCCCCTAGAGGCGAGATGAGGCCCCATTCCCCTGCAGTGCATGCAGAGCTATTCCGTGATCCCATTCAAACAAGTCAGGAGCTTCGACTTGCTTAATGGATCTCGAGACAGTCCCCAAGAACACTGTCACGAGTCTAGACGGACCCTGAGGTCACCCCAGCAACGCAAAGCTGCTCCATGTGCCCCAAATCAACTCGAGATGAGGCCCGATTCCCCTGCATTAACTCCAGAGCCATTCCCCGTTCCCCATTCAACAAGACCGGTGGCTCGACTTCCTTCAGGCAACTCCAGAGATGCCCAGAGAACACTTTCCCAAGTCTAGAGGAACACCAACTTCAGCACAGCAACTCGAGGAATGCTCCGTGTACCCCAAATCGTCTCGAGATGAGAGCTGATTCCCTGGCTTAGGCTCAAGACGTATGCCAACTTTCCAGAAGCACCTCAGGAGGAGGCTTCTCAGCAATAGGTATGTGGGCAGGACTCCGAGTTTGCTGCCTCAAGGGGCATATACAGCGAGAAGCCCTAACTTGAAAGGAGGCCAGATTTCCTTGCAGTGGCTTGAATACAGGCTCGTCTTTGATCTGACAACATGAAGGGATGTCTGAATCCCCTGTGGAGTCCTTAGAGGAAGCCCTAGGCCCCTGCCTCATTTTGACGGAATGCCTCACATCCCGCTGACACCTCGAGAGGCACGCGGAGTTCATTGCTTCAAAAGGTGACGATGCCTGACTCCTCTTGAATACTGATAGGAATCCCAAAATTCCTGTGGCTACTGGAAAGGGTCCTTGGGTGCCCTGGCTCACCTCGAGAAGCGTCCCTTTTGCCCTGCCAAGCCTCGAAGAGATTCCAGAGGTGTCCCTCGTTACTAGGCAGGAGTCCTGACGTCACTGAAGAAACTCGTGTTTTGAAGGGCCATCCCCGCCGTAAGTCGAGAACATACCCCAGGTCCCCGCCGCAACTCGAGAAAAACCATGAGACTTCCCCCTAGAGGCGAGATGAGGCCCCATTCCCCTGCAGTGCATGCAGAGCTATTCCGTGATCCCATTCAAACAAGTCAGGAGCTTCGACTTGCTTAATGGATCTCGAGACAGTCCCCAAGAACACTGTCACCAGTCTAGACGGACCCTGAGGTCACCCCAGCAACGAAAAGCTGCTCCATGTGCCCCAAATCAACTCGAGATGAGGCCCGATTCCCCTGCATTGACTCCAGAGCCATTCCCCGTTCCCCATTCAACAAGACCGGTGGCTCGACTTCCTTCAGGCAACTCCAGAGATGCCCAGAGAACACTTTCGCAAGTCTAGAGGAACACGAACTTCAGCACAGCAACTCGAGGAATGCTCCGTGTACCCCAAATCATCTCGAGATGAGAGCTGATTCCCTGGCTTAGGCTCAAGACGTATGCCAACTTTCCAGAAGCACCTCAGGAGGAGGCTTCTCTCAGCAATAGGTATGTGGGAGGGACCCCGAGTTTGCTGCCTCAAGGGGAATATACAGCGAGAAGCCCTAACTTGAAAGGAGGCCAGATTTCCTTGCACTGGCTTGAAACAGGCTCGTCTTTGATCTGACAACATGAAGGGATGTCTGAATCCCCTGTGGAGACCTTAGAGAAAGCCCTAGGTCCCTGCCTCATTTTGACGGAATGCCTCACATCCCGCTGACACCTCGAGAGGCACGCGGAGTTCATTGCTTCAAAAGGTGACGATGCCTGACTCCTCTTGAATACTGATAGGAATCCCAAAATCCCTGTGGCTACTGGAAAGGGTCCTTGCGTGCCCTGCCTCACCTCGAGAAGCGTCCCTTTTGTCCGGCCAAGCCTCGAAGAGATTCCTGAGGTGTCCCTCGTTACTAGGCAGGAGTCCTGACGTCACTGGAGAAACTCGTGTTTTGAAGGGCCATCCCCGCCGAAAGTCGAGAACATACCCCAGGTCCCCGCCGCAACTCGAGAAAAACCGTGAGACTTCCCCCTAGAGGCGAGATGAGGCCCCATTCCCCTGCAGTGCATGCAGAGCTATTCCGTGATCCCATTCAAACAAGTCAGGAGCTTCGACTTGCTTAATGGATCTCGAGACAGTCCCCAAGAACACTGTCACCAGTCTAGACGGACCCTGAGGTCACCCCAGCAACGCATAGCAGCTCCATGTGCCCCAAATCAACTCGAGATGAGGCCCGATTCCCCTGCATTGACTCCAGAGCCATTCCCCGTTCCCCATTCAACACGACCGTTGGCTCGACTTCCTTCAGGCAACTCCAGAGATGCCCCGAGAACACTGTCCCAAGTCTAGAGGAACACCAACTTCAGCACAGCAACTCGAGGAATGCTCCGTGTACCCTAAATCGTCTCGAGATGAGAGCTGATTCCCTGGCTTAGGCTCAAGACGTATGCCAACTTTCCAGAAGCACCTCAGGAGGAGGCTTCTCAGCAATAGGTATGTGGGAGGGACTCCGAGTTTGCTGCCTCAAGAGGAATATACATCGAGAAGCCCTAACTTGAAAGGAGGACAGATTTCCTTGCAGTAGCTTGAATACAGGCTTGTCTTTCATCTCACAACATGAAGGGATGTCTGAATCCCCTGTGGAGTCCTTAGAGAAAGCCCTAGGTCCCTGCCTCATTTTGACGGAATGCCTCACATCCCGCTCACACCTCGAGAGGCACGCGGAGTTCATTGCTTCAAAAGGTGACGATGCCTGACTCCTCTTGAATACTGATAGGAATCCCAAAATCCCTGTGACTACTGGAAAGGGTCCTTGTGTGCCCTGCCTCACCTCGAGAAGCGTCCCTTTTGCCCTGCCAAGCCTCGAAGAGATTCCTGAGGTGTCCCTCGTTACTAGGCAGGAGTCCTGACGTCACTGGAGAAACTCGTGTTTTGAAGGGCCATCCCCTCCGTAAGTCGAGAACATACCCCAGGTCCCCGACGCAACTCGAGAAAAACCATGAGACTTCCCCCTAGAGGCGAGATGAGGCCCCATTCCACTGCAGTGCATGCAGAGCTATTCCGTGATCCCATTCAAACAAGTCAGGAGCTTCGACTTGCTTAATGGATCTCGAGACAGTCCCCAAGAACACTGTCACCAGTCTAGACGGACCCTGAGGTCACCCCAGCAACGCAAAGCTGCTTCATGTGCCCCAAATCAACTCGAGATGAGGCCCGATTCCCCTGCATTGACTCCAGAGCCATTCCCCGTTCCCCATTCAACACGACCGGTGGCTCGACTTCCTTCAGGCAACTCCAGAGATGCCCCGAGAACACTGTCCCAAGTCTAGAGGAACACCAACTTCAGCACAGCAACTCGAGGAATGTTCCGTGTACCCCAAATCGTCTCGAGATGAGAGCTGATTCCCTGGCTTAGGCTCAAGACGTATGCCAACCTTCCAGAAGCACCTCAGGAGGAGGCTTCTCTCAGCAATAGGTATGTGGGAGGGACTCCGAGTGTGCTGCCTCAAGAGGAATATACATCGAGAAGCCCTAACTTGAAAGGAGGCCAGATTTCCTTGCAGTAGCTTGAATACAGGCTTGTCTTTCATCTCACAACATGAAGGGATGTCTGAATCCCCTGTGGAGACGTTAGAGAAAGCCCTAGGTCCCTGCCTCATTTTGACGGAATGCCTCACATCCCGCTGACACCTTGATAGGCACGCGGAGTTCATTGCTTCAAAAGGTGACGATGCCTGACTCCTCTTGAATACTTATAGGAATCCCAAAATCCCTGTGGCTACTGGAAAGGGTCCTTGGGTGCCCTGGCTCACCTCGAGAAGCGTCCCTTTTGCCCTGCCAAGCCTCGAAGAGATTGCTGAGGTGTCCCTCATTACTAGACAGGAGTCCTGACGTCACTGAAGAAACTCGTGTTTTGAAGGGCCATCCCCGCCGTAAGTCGAGAACATACCCCAGGTCCCCGCCGCAACTCGAGACACACCATGAGACTTCCCCTAGAGGCGAGATGAGGCCCCATTCCCCTGCAGTGCATGCAGAGCTATTCTGTGATCCCATTCAAACAAGTCAGGAGCTTCGACTTGCTTAATGGATCTCGAGACAGTCCCCAAGAACACTGTCACCAGTCTAGACGGACCCTGAGGTCACCCCATCAAAGCAAAGCAGCTCCATGTGCCCCAAATCAACACGAGATGAGGCCCGATTCCCCTGCATTGACTCCAGAGCCATTCCCCGTTCCCCGTTCAACACGACCGGTGGCTCGCCTTCCTTCAGGCAACTCCAGAGATGCCCCGAGAACACTGTCCCAAGTCTAGAGGAACACCAACTTCAGCACAGCAACTGGAGGAATGCTCCGTGTACCCCAAATCATCTCGAGATGAGAGCTGATTCCCTGGCTTAGGCTCAAGACGTATGCCAACTTTCCAGAAGCACCTCAGGAGGAGGCTTCTCAGCAGTAGGTATGTGGGAGGGACTCCGAGTATGCTGCCTCAAGGGGAATATACAGCGAGAAGCCCTAACTTGAAAGGAGTCCGGATTTCCAAGCAATAGATTGAATACAGGCTTGTCTTTCATCTCACAACTTGAAGGGATGTCTGAAACCCCTGTGGAGGCCTTAGAGAAAGCCCTAGGTCCCTGCCTCATTTTGACGGAATGCCTCACATCCCGCTGACACCTCGAGAGGCACGCGGAGTTCATTGCTTCAAAAGGTGACGATGCCTGACTCCTCTTGAATACTGATAGGAATCCCAAATTCCCTGTGGCTACTGAAAAGGGTCCTTGGGTGCCCTGCCTCACCTCGAGAAGCGTCCCTTTTGCCCTGCCAAGCCTCGAAGAGATTCCTGAGGTGTCCCTCGTTACTAGGCAGGAGTCCTGACGTCACTGAAGAAACTCGTGTTTTGAAGGGCCATCCCGGCCGTAAGTCGAGAACATACCCCAGGACCCGCCGCAACTCGAGAAAAACCATGAGACTCCCCCCTAGAGGCGAGATGAGGCCCCATTCCCCTGCAGTGCATGCAGAGCTATTCCGTGATCCCATTCAAACAAGTCAGGAGCTTCGACTTGCTTAATGGATCTCGAGACAGTCCCCAAGAACACTGTCACGAGTCTAGACGGACCCTGAGGTCACCCCAGCAACGCAAAGCTGCTCCATGTGCCCCAAATCAACTCGAGATGAGGCCCGATTCCCCTGCATTAACTCCAGAGCCATTCCCCGTTCCCCATTCAACAAGACCGGTGGCTCGACTTCCTTCAGGCAACTCCAGAGATGCCCAGAGAACACTTTCCCAAGTCTAGAGGAACACCAACTTCAGCACAGCAACTCGAGGAATGCTCCGTGTACCCCAAATCGTCTCGAGATGAGAGCTGATTCCCTGGCTTAGGCTCAAGACGTATGCCAACTTTCCAGAAGCACCTCAGGAGGAGGCTTCTCAGCAATAGGTATGTGGGCAGGACTCCGAGTTTGCTGCCTCAAGGGGCATATACAGCGAGAAGCCCTAACTTGAAAGGAGGCCAGATTTCCTTGCAGTGGCTTGAATACAGGCTCGTCTTTGATCTGACAACATGAAGGGATGTCTGAATCCCCTGTGGAGTCCTTAGAGGAAGCCCTAGGCCCCTGCCTCATTTTGACGGAATGCCTCACATCCCGCTGACACCTCGAGAGGCACGCGGAGTTCATTGCTTCAAAAGGTGACGATGCCTGACTCCTCTTGAATACTGATAGGAATCCCAAAATTCCTGTGGCTACTGGAAAGGGTCCTTGGGTGCCCTGGCTCACCTCGAGAAGCGTCCCTTTTGCCCTGCCAAGCCTCGAAGAGATTCCAGAGGTGTCCCTCGTTACTAGGCAGGAGTCCTGACGTCACTGAAGAAACTCGTGTTTTGAAGGGCCATCCCCGCCGTAAGTCGAGAACATACCCCAGGTCCCCGCCGCAACTCGAGAAAAACCATGAGACTTCCCCCTAGAGGCGAGATGAGGCCCCATTCCCCTGCAGTGCATGCAGAGCTATTCCGTGATCCCATTCAAACAAGTCAGGAGCTTCGACTTGCTTAATGGATCTCGAGACAGTCCCCAAGAACACTGTCACCAGTCTAGACGGACCCTGAGGTCACCCCAGCAACGAAAAGCTGCTCCATGTGCCCCAAATCAACTCGAGATGAGGCCCGATTCCCCTGCATTGACTCCAGAGCCATTCCCCGTTCCCCATTCAACAAGACCGGTGGCTCGACTTCCTTCAGGCAACTCCAGAGATGCCCAGAGAACACTTTCGCAAGTCTAGAGGAACACGAACTTCAGCACAGCAACTCGAGGAATGCTCCGTGTACCCCAAATCATCTCGAGATGAGAGCTGATTCCCTGGCTTAGGCTCAAGACGTATGCCAACTTTCCAGAAGCACCTCAGGAGGAGGCTTCTCTCAGCAATAGGTATGTGGGAGGGACCCCGAGTTTGCTGCCTCAAGGGGAATATACAGCGAGAAGCCCTAACTTGAAAGGAGGCCAGATTTCCTTGCACTGGCTTGAATACAGGCTCGTCTTTGATCTGACAACATGAAGGGATGTCTGAATCCCCTGTGGAGACCTTAGAGAAAGCCCTAGGTCCCTGCCTTATTTTGACGGAATGCCTCACATCCCGCTGACACCTCGAGAGGCACGCGGAGTTCATTGCTTCAAAAGGTGACGATGCCTGACTCCTCTTGAATACTGATAGGAATCCCAAAATCCCTGTGGCTACTGGAAAGGGTCCTTGGGTGCCCTGCCTCACCTCGAGAAGCGTCCCTTTTGTCCGGCCAAGCCTCGAAGAGATTCCTGAGGTGTCCCTCGTTACTAGGCAGGAGTCCTGACGTCACTGGAGAAACTCGTGTTTTGAAGGGCCATCCCCGCCGAAAGTCGAGAACATACCCCAGGTCCCCGCCGCAACTCGAGAAAAACCGTGAGACTTCCCCCTAGAGGCGAGATGAGGCCCCATTCCCCTGCAGTGCATGCAGAGCTATTCCGTGATCCCATTCAAACAAGTCAGGAGCTTCGACTTGCTTAATGGATCTCGAGACAGTCCCCAAGAACACTGTCACCAGTCTAGACGGACCCTGAGGTCACCCCAGCAACGCATAGCAGCTCCATGTGCCCCAAATCAACTCGAGATGAGGCCCGATTCCCCTGCATTGACTCCAGAGCCATTCCCCGTTCCCCATTCAACACGACCGGTGGCTCGACTTCCTTCAGGCAACTCCAGAGATGCCCCGAGAACACTGTCCCAAGTCTAGAGGAACACCAACTTCAGCACAGCAACTCGAGGAATGCTCCGTGTACCCTAAATCGTCTCGAGATGAGAGCTGATTCCCTGGCTTAGGCTCAAGACGTATGCCAACTTTCCAGAAGCACCTCAGGAGGAGGCTTCTCAGCAATAGGTATGTGGGAGGGACTCCGATTTTGCTGCCTCAAGAGGAATATACATCGAGAAGCCCTAACTTGAAAGGAGGCCAGATTTCCTTGCAGTAGCTTGAATACAGGCTTGTCTTTCATCTCACAACATGAAGGGATGTCTGAATCCCCTGTGGAGTCCTTAGAGAAAGCCCTAGGTCCCTGCCTCATTTTGACGGAATGCCTCACATCCCGCTCACACCTCGAGAGGCACGCGGAGTTCATTGCTTCAAAAGGTGACGATGCCTGACTCCTCTTGAATACTGATAGGAATCCCAAAATCCCTGTGACTACTGGAAAGGGTCCTTGGGTGCCCTGCCTCACCTCGAGAAGCGTCCCTTTTGCCCTGCCAAGCCTCGAAGAGATTCCTGAGGTGTCCCTCGTTACTAGGCAGGAGTCCTGACGTCACTGGAGAAACTCGTGTTTTGAAGGGCCATCCCCGCCGAAAGTCGAGAACATACCCCAGGTCCCCGCCGCAACTCGAGAAAAACCGTGAGACTTCCCCCTAGAGGCGAGATGAGGCCCCATTCCCCTGCAGTGCATGCAGAGCTATTCCGTGATCCCATTCAAACAAGTCAGGAGCTTCGACTTGCTTAATGGATCTCGAGACAGTCCACAAGAACACTGTCACCAGTCTAGACGGACCCTGAGGTCACCCCAGCAACGCATAGCAGCTCCATGTGCCCCAAATCAACTCGAGATGAGGCCCGATTCCCCTGCATTGACTCCAGAGCCATTCCCCGTTCCCCATTCAACACGACCGGTGGCTCGATTTCCTTCAGGCAACTCCAGAGATGCCCCGAGAACACTGTCCCAAGTCTAGAGGAACACCAACTTCAGCACAGCAACTCGAGGAATGTTCCGTGTACCCCAAATCGTCTCGAGATGAGAGCTGATTCCCTGGCTTAGGCTCAAGACGTATGCCAACCTTCCAGAAGCACCTCAGGAGGAGGCTTCTCTCAGCAATAGGTATGTGGGAGGGACTCCGAGTGTGCTGCCTCAAGAGGAATATACATCGAGAAGCCCTAACTTGAAAGGAGGCCAGATTTCCTTGCAGTAGCTTGAATACAGGCTTGTCTTTCATCTCACAACATGAAGGGATGTCTGAATCCCCTGTGGAGATGTTAGAGAAAGCCCTAGGTCCCTGCCTCATTTTGACGGAATGCCTCACATCCCGCTGACACCTCGAGAGGCACGCGGAGTTCATTGCTTCAAAAGGTGACCATGCCTGACTCCTCTTGAATACTGATAGGAATCCCAAAATCCCTGTGGCTACTGGAAAGTGTCCTTGCGTGCCCTGCCTCACCTCGAGAAGCGTCCCTTTTGCCCTGCCAAGCCTCGAAGAGATTCCTGAGGTGCCCCTCGTTACTAGGCAGGAGTTCTGACGTCACTGGAGAAACTCGTGTTTTGAAGGGCCATCCCCGCCGTAAGTCGAGAACATACCCCAGGTCCCCGCCGCAACTCGAGAAAAACCATGAGACTTCCCCCTAGAGGCGAGATGAGGCCCCATTCCCCTGCAGTGCATGCAGAGCTATTCCGTGATCCCATTCAAACAAGTCAGGAGCTTCGACTTGCTTAATGGATCTCGAGACAGTCCCCAAGAACACTGTCACCAGTCTAGATGGACCCTGAGGTCACCCCAGCAACGCAAAGCTGCTCCATGTGCCCCAAATCAACTCGAGATGAGGCCCGATTCCCCTGCATTGACTCCAGAGACATTCCCCGTTCCCCATTCAACACGACCGGTGGCTCGACTTCCTTCAGGCAACTCCAGAGATGCCCCGAGAACACTGTCCCAAGTCTAGAGGAACACCAACTTCAGCACAGCAACTCGAGGAATGCTCCGTGTACCCCAAATCATCTCGAGATGAGAGCTGATTCCCTGGCTTAGGCTCAAGACGTATGCCAACTTTCCAGAAGCACCTCAGGAGGAGGCTTCTCTCAGCAATAGGTATGTGGGAGGGACCCCGAGTTTGCTGCCTCAAGGGGAATACACAGGGAGAAGCCCTAATGTGAACGGAGGCCAGATTTCCTTGCAGTGGGTTGAATACAGGCTCGTCTTTGATCTGAAAACATGAAGGGATGTCTGAATCCCCTGTGGAGACCTTAGAGGAAACCCTAGGTCCCTGCCTCATTTTGACGGAATACCTCACATCCCCCTGAGACCTCGAGAGGCACGCAGAGTTCATTGCTTCAAAAGGTGACGATGCCTGACTCCTCTTGAATACTGATAGGAATCCCAAAATCCCTGTGGCTACTGGAAAGGGTCCTTGGGTGCCCTGCCTCACCTCGAGAAGCGTCCCTTTTGCCCTGCCAAGCCTCGAAGAGATTCCTGAGGTGTCCCTCGTTACTAGGCAGGAGTCCTGACGTCACTGAAGAAACTCGTGTTTTGAAGGGCCATCCCCGCCGTAAGTCGAGAACATACCCCAGGTCCCCGCCGCAACTCGAGAAAAACCATGAGACTTCCCCCTAGAGGCGAGATGAGGCCCCATTCCCCTGCAGTGCATGCAGAGCTATTCCGTGATCCCATTCAAACAAGTCAGGAGCTTCGACTTGCTTAATGGATCTCGAGACAGTCCCCAAGAACACTGTCACCAGTCTAGACGGACCCTGAGGTCACCCCAGCAACGCAAAGCTGCTCCATGTGCCCCAAATTAACTGGAGATGAGGCCCGATTCCCCTGCATTGACTCCAGAGCCATTCCCCGTTCCCCATTCAACAAGACCGGTGGCTCGACTTCCTTCAGGCAACTCCAGAGATGCCCAGAGAACACTTTCCCAAGTCTAGAGGAACACCAACTTCAGCAAAGCAACTCGAGGAATGCTCCGTGTACCCCAAATCATCTCGAGATGAGAGCTGATTCCCTGGCTTAGGATCAAGACGTATGCCAACTTTCCAGAAGCACCTCAGGAGGAGGCTTCTCTCAGCAATAGGTATGTGGGAGGGACCCCGAGTTTGCTGCCTCAAGGGCAATATACAGCGAGAAGCCCTAACTTGAAAGGAGGCCGGATTTCCTTGCAGTGGCTTGAATACAGGCTCGTCTTTGATCTGACAACATGAAGGGATGTCTGAATCCCCTGTGGAGACCTTAGAGAAAGCCCTAGGTCCCTGCCTCATTTTGACGGAATGGCTCACATGCCGCTGACACCTCGAGAGGCACGCGGAGTTCATTGCTTCAAAAGGTGACGATGCTTGACTCCTCTTGAATACTGATAGGAATCCCAAAATCCCTGTGGCTACTGAAAAGGGTCCTTGGGTGCCCTGACTCACCTCGAGAAGCGTCCCTTTTGCCCTGCCAAGCCTCGAAGAGATTCCTGAGGTGTCCCTCGTTACTAGGCAGGAGTCCTGTCGTCACTGGAGAAACTCGTGTTTTGAAGGGCCATCCCCGCCGTAAGTCGAGAACATACCCCAGGTCCCCGCCGCAACTCGAGAAAAACCGTGAGACTTCCCCCTAGAGGCGAGATGAGGCCCCATTCCCCTGCAGTGCATGCAGAGCTATTCCGTGATCCCATTCAAACAAGTCAGGAGCTTCGACTTGCTTAATGGATCTCGAGACAGTCCCCAAGAACACTGTCACCAGTCTAGACGGACCCTGAGGTCACCCAGCAATGCAAAGCAGCTCCATGCGCCCAAATCAACTCGAGATGAGGCCGGATTCCCCTGCATTGACTCCAGAGCCATTCCCTGTTCCCCATTCAACACGACCGGTGGCTCGACTTCCTTCAGGCAACTCCAGAGATGCCCCGAGAACACTGTCCCAAGTCTAGAGGAACACCAACTTCAGCAAAGCAACTCGAGGAATGCTCCGTGTACCCCAAATCGTCTCGAGATGAGAGCTGATTCCCTGGCTTAGGCTCAAGACGTATGCCAACTTTCCAGAAGCACCTCAGGAGGAGGCTTCTCAGCAATAGGTATGTGGGAGGGACTCCGAGGTTGCTGCCTCAAGAGGAATATACATCGAGAAGGCCTAACTTGAAAGGAGGCCAGATTTCCTTGCAGTAACTTGAATACAGGATTGTCTTTCATCTCACAACATGAAGGGATGTCTGAATCCCCTGTGGAGACCTTAGAGAAAGACCTAGATCCCTGCATCATTTTGACGGAATGCCTCACATCCCGCTGACACCTCGAGAGGCACGCGGAGTTCATTGCTTCAAAAGGTGACGATGCCTGACTCCTCTTGAATACTTATAGGAATCCCAAAATCCCTGTGGCTACTGGAAAGGGTCCTTGGGTGCCCTGGCTCACGTCGAGAAGCGTCCCTTTTGCCCTGCCAAGCCTCGAAGAGTTTGCTGAGGTGTCCCTCATTACTAGACAGGAGTCCTGACGTCACTGAAGAAACTCGTGTTTTGAAGGGCCATCCCCGCCGTAAGTCGAGAACATACCCCAGGTCCCCGCCGCAACTCGAGAAAAACCATGAGACTTCCCCCTAGAGGCGAGATGAGGCCCCATTCCCCTGCAGTGCATGCAGAGCTATTCTGTGATCCCATTCAAACAAGTCAGGAGCTTCGACTTGCTTAATGGATCTCGAGACAGTCCCCAAGAACACTGTCACCAGTCTAGACGGACCCTGAGGTCACCCCATCAAAGCAAAGCAGCTCCATGTGCCCCAAATCAACACGAGATGAGGCCCGATTCCCCTGCATTGACTCCAGAGCCATTCCCCGTTCCCCGTTCAACACGACCGGTGGCTCGCCTTCCTTCAGGCAACTGCAGAGATGCCCCGAGAACACTGTCCCAAGTCTAGAGGAACACCAACTTCAGCACAGCAACTCGAGGAATGCTCCGTGTACCCCAAATCATCTCGAGATGAGAGCTGATTCCCTGGCTTAGGCTCAAGACGTATGCCAACTTTCCAGAAGCACCTCAGGAGGAGGCTTCTCAGCAATAGGTATGTGGGAGGGACTCCGAGTATGCTGCCTCAAGGGGAATATACAGCGAGAAGCCCTAACTTGGAAGGAGGCCGGATTTCCTTGCAGTGGCTTGAATACAGGCTCGTCTTTGATCTGACAACATGAAGGGATGTCTGAATCCCCTGTGGAGACCTTAGAGAAAGCCCTAGGTCCCTGCCTCATTTTGACGGAATGCCTCACATCCCGCTGACACCTCGAGAAGCACGCGGAGTTCATTGCTTCAAAAGGTGACGATGCCTGACTCCTCTTGAATACTGATAGGAATCCCAAAATCCCTGTGGCTACTGAAAAGGGTCCTTGGGTGCCCTGACTCACCTCGAGAAGCGTCCCTTTTGCCCTGCCAAGCCTCGAAGAGATTCCTGAGGTGTCCCTCGTTACTAGGCAGGAGTCCTGACGTCACTGGAGAAACTCGTGTTTTGAAGGGCCATCCCCGCCGTAAGTCGAGAACATACCCCAGGTCCCCGCCGCAACTCGAGAAAAACCGTGAGACTTCCCCCTAGAGGCGAGATGAGGCCCCATTCCCCTGCAGTGCATGCAAAGCTATTCCGTGATCCCATTCAAACAAGTCAGGAGCTTCGACTTGCTTAATGGATCTCGAGACAGTCCCCAAGAACACTGTCACCAGTCTAGACGGACCCTGAGGTCACCCAGCAATGCAAAGCAGCTCCATGTGCCCCAAATCAACTCGAGATGAGGCCGGATTCCCCTGCATTGACTCCAGAGCCATTCCCTGTTCCCCATTCAACACGACCGGTGGCTCGACTTCCTTCAGGCAACTCCAGAGATGCCCCGAGAACACTGTCCCAAGTCTAGAGGAACACCAACTTCAGCAAAGCAACTCGAGGAATGCTCCGTGTACCCCAAATCGTCTCGAGATGAGAGCTGATTCCCTGGCTTAGGCTCAAGACGTAAGCCAACTTTCCAGAAGCACCTCAGGAGGAGGCTTCTCAGCAATAGGTATGTGGGAGGGACTCCGAGTTTGCTGCCTCAAGAGGAATATACATCGAGAAGCCCTAACTTGAAAGGAGGCCAGATTTCCTTGCAGTAGCTTGAATACAGGATTGTCTTTCATCTCACAACATGAAGGGATGTCTGAATCCCCTGTGGAGACCTTAGAGAAAGCCCTAGATCCCTGCATCATTTTGACGGAATGCCTCACATCCCGCTGACATCTCGAGAGGCACGCGGAGTTCATTGCTTCAAAAGGTGACGATGCCTGACTCCTCTTGAATACTTATAGGAATCCCAAAATCCCTGTGGCTACTGGAAAGGGTCCTTGCGTGCCCTGGCTCACCTCGAGAAGCGTCCCTTTTGCCCTGCCAAGCCTCGAAGAGATTGCTGAGGTGTCCCTCATTACTAGACAGGAGTCCTGAACGTCACTGAAGAAACTCATGTTTTGAAGGGCCATCCCCGCCGTAAGTCGAGAACATACCCCAGGTCCCCGCCGCAACTCGAGAAAAACCATGAGACTTCCCCCTAGAGGCGAGATGAGGCCCCATTCCCCTGCAGTGCATGCAGAGCTATTCTGTGATCCCATTCAAACAAGTCAGGAGCTTCGACTGGCTTAATGGATCTCGAGACAGTCCCCAAGAACACTGTCACCAGTCTAGACGGACCCTGAGGTCACCCCATCAAAGCAAAGCAGCTCCATGTGCCCCAAATCAACACGAGATGAGGCCGATTCCCCTGCATTGACTCCAGAGCCATTCCCCGTTCCCCGTTCAACACGACCGGTGGCTCGTCTTCCTTCAGGCAACTCCAGAGATGCCCCGAGAACACTGTCCCAAGTCTAGAGGAACACCAACTTCAGCACAGCAACTGGAGGAATGCTCCGTGTACCCCAAATCATCTCGAGATGAGAGCTGATTCCCTGGCTTAGGCTCAAGACGTATGCCAACTTTCCAGAAGCACCTCAGGAGGAGGCTTCTCAGCAGTAGTTATGTGGGAGGGACTCCGAGTATGCTGCCTCAAGGGGAATATACAGCGAGAAGCCCTAACTTGAAAGGAGTCCGGATTTCCAAGCAATAGATTGAATACAGGCTTGTCTTTCATCTCACAACTTGAAGGGATGTCTGAAACCCCTGTGGAGGCCTTAGAGAAAGCCCTCGGTCCCTGCCTCATTTTGACGGAATGCCTCACATCCCGCTGACACCTCGAGAGGCACGCGGAGTTCATTGCTTCAAAAGGTGACGATGCCTGACTCCTCTTGAATACTGATAGGAATCCCAAATTCCCTGTGGCTACTGGAAAGGGTCCTTGGGTGCCCTGCCTCACCTCGAGAAGCGTCCCTTTTGCCCTGCCAAGCCTCGAAGAGATTCCTGAGGTGTCCCTCGTTACTAGGCAGGAGTCCTGACGTCACTGAAGAAACTCGTGTTTTGAAGGGCCATCCCGGCCGTAAGTCGAGAACATACCCCAGGACCCGCCGCAACTCGAGAAAAACCATGAGACTCCCCCCTAGAGGCGAGATGAGGCCCCATTCCCCTGCAGTGCATGCAGAGCTATTCCGTGATCCCATTCAAACAAGTCAGGAGCTTCGACTTGCTTAATGGATCTCGAGACAGTCCCCAAGAACACTGTCACGAGTCTAGACGGACCCTGAGGTCACCCCAGCAACGCAAAGCTGCTCCATGTGCCCCAAATCAACTCGAGATGAGGCCCGATTCCCCTGCATTGACTCCAGAGCCATTCCCCGTTCCCCATTCAACAAGACCGGTGGCTCGACTTCCTTCAGGCAACTCCAGAGATGCCCAGAGAACACTTTCCCAAGTCTAGAGGAACACCAACTTCAGCACAGCAACTCGAGGAATGCTCCGTGTACCCCAAATCGTCTCGAGATGAGAGCTGATTCCCTGGCTTAGGCTCAAGACGTATGCCAACTTTCCAGAAGCACCTCAGGAGGAGGCTTCTCAGCAATAGGTATGTGGGAGGGACTCCGAGTTTGCTGCCTCAAGGGGAATATACAGCGAGAAGCGCTAACTTGAAAGGAGGCCGGATTTCCATGCAATAGATTGAATACAGGCTTGTCTTTCATCTCACAACTTGAAGGGATGTCTGAATCCCCTGTGGAGACCTTAGAGAAAGCCCTAGGTCCCTGCCTCATTTTGACGGAATGCCTCACATCCCGCTGACACCTCGAGAGGCACGCGGAGTTCATTGCTTCAAAAGGTGACGATGCCTGACTCCTCTTGAATACTGATAGGAATCCCAAAATCCCTGTGGCTACTGGAAAGGGTCCTTGGGTGCCCTGCCTCACCTCGAGAAGCGTCCCTTTTGCCCTGCCAAGCCTCGAAGAGATTCCTGAGGTGTCCCTCGTTACTAGGCAGGAGTCCTGACGTCACTGGAGAAACTCGTGTTTTGAAGGGCCATCCCCGCCGTAAGTCGAGAACATAACCCAGGTCCCCGCCGCAACACGAGAAAAACCATGAGACTTCCCCCTAGAGGCGAGATGAGGCCCCATTCCCCTGCAGTGCATGCAGAGCTATTCCGTGACCCCATTCAAACAAGTCAGGAGCTTCGACTTGCTTAATGGATCTCGAGACAGTCCCCAAGAACACTGTCACCAGTCTAGACGGACCCTGAGGTCACCCCAGCAACGCAAAGCTGCTCCATGTGCCCCAAATCAACTCGAGATGAGGCCCGATTCCCCTGCATTGACTCCAGAGCCATTCCCCGTTCCCCATTCAACACGACCGGTGGCTCGACTTCCTTCAGGCAACTCCAGAGATTCCCCGAGAACACTGTCCCAAGGCTAGAGGAACACCAACTTCAGCACAGCAACTCGAGGAATGCTCCGTGTACCCCAAATCATCTCGAGATGAGAGCTGATTCCCTGGCTTAGGCTCAAGACGTATGCCAACTTTCCAGAAGCATATCAGGAGGAGGCTTCTCTCAGCAATAGGTATGTGGGAGGGACCCCGAGTTTGCTGCCTCAAGGGGAATACACAGGGAGAAGCCCTAATGTGACTGAGGCCAGATTTCCTTACAGTGGGTTGAATACAGGCTCGTCTTTGAGCTGACAACATGAAGGGATGTCTGAATCCCCTGTGGAGAACTTAGAGGAAGTCCTAGGTCCCTGCCTCATTTTGACGGAATACCTCACATCCCCCTGACACCTCGAGAGGCACGCAGAGTTCATTGCTTCAAAAGGTGACGATGCCTGACTCCTCTTGAATACTTATAGGAATCCCAAAATCACTGTTTCTACTGGAAAGAGTCTTGGGTGCCCTGGCTCACCTCGAGAAGCGTCCCTTTTGCCCTGCCAAGCCTCGAAGAGATTCCTGAGGCGTCCCTCATTACTAGGCAGGAGTCCTGACGTCACTGAAGAAACTCGTGTTTTGAAAGGCCATCCCCGCCGTAAGTCGAGAACATACCCCAGGTCCCTGCCGCAACTCGAGAAAAACCATGAGACTTCCCCCTAGAGGCGAGATGAGGCCCCATTCCCCTGCAGTGCATGCAGAGCTATTCCGTGATCCCATTCAAACAAGTCAGGAGCTTCGACTTGCTTAATGGATCTCGAGACAGTCCCCAAGAACACTGTCACCAGTCTAGACGGACCCTGAGGTCACCCCAGCAACGCAAAGCTGCTCCATGTGCCCCAAATCAACTCGAGATGAGGCCCGATTCCCCTGCATTGACTCCAGAGCCATTCCCCGTTCCCCATTCAACACGACCGGTGGCTTGACTTCCTTCAGGCAACTCCAGATATGCCCCGAGAACACTGTCCCAAGTCTAGAGGAACACCAACTTCAGCACAGCAACTCGAGGAATGCTCCGTGTACCCCAAATTGTCTCGAGATGGGAGCTGATTCCCTGGATTAGGCTCAAGACGTATGCCAACTTTCCAGAAGCACCTCAGGAAGAGGCTTCTCTCAGCAATAGGTATGTGGAAGGGACCCCGAGTTTGCTGCCTAAGGGGAATATACAGCGAGAAGCCCTAACTTGAAAGGAGGCCGCATTTCCTTGCAGTGGCTTGAATACCGGCTCGTCTTTCATCTCACAACATGAAGGGATGTCTGAATCCCCTGTGGAGACCTTAGAGAAAGGCCTAGGTCCCTGCCTCATTTTGACGGAATGCCTCACATCCCGCTGACACCTCGAGAGGCACACGGAGTTCATTGCTTCAAAAGGTGACGATGCCTGACTCCTCTTGAATACTGATAGGAATCCCAAAATCCCTGTGGGTACGGGAAAGGGTCCTTGGTGCCTTGCCTCACCTCGAGAAGCGTCCCTTTTGCCCTGCCAAGCCTCGAAGAGATTCCTGAGGTGTCCCTCGTTACTAGACAGGAGTCCTGACGTCACTGAAGAAACTCGTGTTTTGAAGGGCCATCCCCGCCGTAAGTCGAGAACATACCCCAGTCCCCGCCTCAACTCGAGAAAAACCATGAGACTTCCCCCTTGAGGCGAGATGAGGCCACATCCCCCTGCAGTGCATGCAGAGCTATTCCGTGATCCCATTCAAACAAGTCAGGAGCTTCGACTTGCTTAATGGATCTCGAGACAGTCCCTAAGAACACTGTCACCAGTCTAGACGGACCCTGAGGTCACCCCAGCAACGCAAAGCAGCTCCATGTGCCCCAAATCAACTCGAGATGAGGCCCGATTCCCCTGCATTCACTCCAGAGCCATTCCCCGTTCCCCATTCAACACGACCGGTGGCTCGACTTCCTTCAGGCAACTCCAGAGATGCCCCGAGAACACTGTCCCAAGTCTAGAGGAACACCAACTTCAGCACAGCAACTCGAGGAATGCTCCGTGTAACCCAAATCGTCTCGAGATGAGAGCTGATTCCCTGGCTTAGGTTCAAGACGTATGCCAACTTTCCAGAAGCACTTCAGTAGGAGGCTTCTCTCACCAATAGTTATGTGGGAGGGACCCCGAGTTTGCTGCCTCAAGGGGAATTTACAGCGAGAAGCCCTAACTTGAAAGGAGGCCGGATTTCCTTGCAGTTCCTTGAATACAGGCTCGTCTTTCATCTCACAACATGAAGGGATGTCTGAATCCCCTGTGGAGACCTTAGAGAAAGCCCTAGGTCCCTGCCTAATTTTGACGGAATGCCTCACATCTCGCTGACACCTCGAGAGGCACGCGGAGTTCATTGCTTCAAAAGGTGACGATGCCTGACTCCTCTTGAATACTGATAGGAATCCCGAAATCCCTGTGGCTACGGGAAAGGGTCCTTGGGTGCCCTGCCTCACCTCGAGAAGCGTCCCTTTTGCCCTGCCAAGCCTCGAAGAGATTCCTGAGGTGTCCCTCGTTACTAGACAGGAGTCCTGACGTCACTGAAGAAACTCGTGTTTTGAAGGGCCATCCCCGCCGTAAGTCGAGAACATACCCCAGGTCCCCGCCGCAACTCGAGAAAAACCATGAGATTTCCCCCTAGAGGCGAGATGAGGCCCCATTCCCCTGCAGTGCATGCAGAGCTATTCCGTGATCCCATTCAAACAAGTCAGGAGCTTCGACTTGCTTAATGGATCTCGAGACAGTCCCCAAGAACACTGTCACCAGTCTAGACGGACCCTGAGGTCACCCCAGCAACGCAAAGCAGCTCCATGTGCCCCAAATCAACTCGAGATGAGGCCCGATTCCCCTTCATTGACTCCAGAGACATTCCCTGTTCCCCATTCAACACGACCGGTGGCTCGACTTCCTTCAGGCAACTCCAGAGATGCCCCGAGAACACGGTCCCAAGTCTAGAGGAACACCAACTTCAGCACAGCAACTCGAGGAATGCTCCGTGTAACCCAAATCGTCTCGAGATGAGAGATGATTCCCTGGCTTAGGCTCAAGACGTATGCCAACTTTCCAGAAGCACCTCAGGAGGAGGCTTCTCTCAGCAATAGGTATGTGGGAGGGACCCCGAGTTTGCTGCCTCAAGGGAAATATACAGCGAGAAGCCCTAACTTGAAAGGAGGCCGGATTTCCTTGCAGTGGCTTGAATACAGGCTCGTCTTTCATCTCACAACATGAAGGGATGTCTGAATCCCCTGTGGAGACCTTAGAGAAAGCCCTAGGTCCCTGCCTCATTTTGACGGAATGCCTCACATCCCGCTGACACCTCGAGAGGCACGCGGAGTTCATTGCTTCAAAAGGTGACGATGCCTGACTCCTCTTGAATACTGATAGGAATCCCAAAATCCCTGTGCTAGGGGAAAGGGTCCTTGGGTGCCCTGCCTCACCTCGAGAAGCGTCCCTTTTGCCCTGCCAAGCCTCTTAGAGATTCCTGAGGTGTCCCTCGTTACTAGACAGGAGTCCTGACGTCACTGAAGAAACTCGTGTTTTGAAGGGCCATCCCCGCCGTAAGTCGAGAACATACCCCAGGTCCCTGCCGCAACTCGAGAAAAACCATGAGACTTCCCCCTAGAGGCGAGATGAGGCCCCATTCCCCTGCAGTGCATGCAGAGCTATTCCGTGATCCCATTCAAACAAGTCAGGAGCTTCGACTTGCTTAATGGATCTCGAGACAGTCCCCAAGAACACTGTCACCAGTCTAGACGGACCCTGAGGTCACCCCAGCAACGCAAAGCAGCTCCATGTGCCCCAAATCAACTCGAGATGAGGCCCGATTCCCCTGCATTGATTCCAGAGCCATTCCCCGTTACCCATTCAACACGACCAGTGGATCGACTTCCTTCAGGCAACTCCAGAGATGCCCCGAGAACACTGTCCCAAGTCTAGAGGAACACCAACGTCAGCACAGCAACTCGAGGAATGCTCCGTGTACCCCAAATTGTCTCGAGATGAGAGCTGATTCCCTGGATTAGGCTCAAGACGTATGCCAACTTTCCAGAAGCACCTCAGGAGGAGGCTTCTCTCAGCAATAGGTATGTGGAAGGGACCCCGAGTTTGCTGCCTCAAGGGGAATATACAGCGAGAAGCCCTAACTTGAAAGGAGGCAGCATTTCCTTGCAGTGGCTTGAATACAGGCTCGTCTTTCATCTCACAACATGAAGGGATGTCTGAATCCCCTGTGGAGACCTTAGAGAAAGCCCTAGGTCCCTGCCTCATTTTGACGGAATGCCTCACATCCCACTGACACCTCGAGAGGCACGCAGAGTTCATTGCTTCAAAAGGTGACGATGCCTGACTCCTCTTGAATACTGATAGGAATCCCAAAATCGCTGTGGCTACTGGAAAGGGTCCTTGGGTACCCTGCCTCACCTCGAGAAGCGTCCCTTTTGCCCTACCAAGCCTCGTAGAGATTCCTGAGGTCTCCCTCGTTACAAGACAGGAGTCCTGACGTCACTGAAGAAACTCGTGTTTTGAAGGGCCATCCCCGCCGTAAGTCGAGAACATACCCCAGGTCCCCGCCGCCACTCGAGAAAAACAATGAGACTCCCCCCTAGAGGCGAGATGGGGCCCCATTCCCCTGCAGTGCATGCAGAGCTATTCCGTGATCCCATTCAAACAAGTCAGGAGCTTCGACTTGCTTAATGGATCTCGAGACAGTCCCCAAGAACACTGTCACCAGTCTAGACGGACCCTGAGGTCACCCCAGCAACGCAAAGCAGCTCCATGTGCCCCAAATCAACTCCAGATGAGGCCCGATTCCCCTGCATTGACTCCAGAGCCATTCCCCGTTCCCCATTCAACACGACCGGTGGCTCGACTTCCTTCAGGCAACTCCAGAGATGCCCCGAGAACACTGTCCCAAGTCTAGAGGAACACCAACTTCAGCACAGCAACTTGAGGAATGCTCCGTGTACCCCAAATCGTCTCGAGATGAGAGCTGATTCCCTGGCTTAGGCTCAAGACGTATGCCAACTTTCCAGAAGCACCTCAGGAGGAGGCTTCTCTCAGCAATAGTTATGTGGGAGGGACCCTGAGTTTGCTGCCTCAAGGGGAATATACAGCGAGAAGCCCTAACTTGAAAGGAGGCCGGATTTCCTTGCAGTGGCTTGAATACAGGCTCGTCTTTCATCTCACAACATGAAGGGATGTCTGAATCCCCTGTGGAGACCGTAGAGAAAGCCCTAGGTCCCTGCCTCATTTTGACGGAATGCCTCACGTCCCGCTGACACCTCGAGAGGCACGCGGAGTTCATTGCTTCAAAAGGTGACGATGCCTGACTACTCTTGAATACTGATAGGAATCCCAAAATCGCTGTGGCTACTGGAAAGGCTCCTTGGGTACCCTGCCTCACCTCGAGAAGCGTCCCTTTTGCCCTGCCAAGCCTCGTAGAGATTCCTGAAGTGTCCCTCTTTACTAGACAGGAGTCCTGATGTCACTGAAGAAAATCGTGTTTTGAAGGGCCATCCTGGCCGTAAGTCGAGAACATACCCCAGGTCCCCGCCGCAACTCGAGAAAAACCATGAGACTTCCCCCTAGAGGCGAGATGAGGCCCCATTCCCCTGCAGTGCATGCAGAGCTATTCCGTGATCCCATTCAAACAAGTCAGGAGTTTCGACTTGCTTAATGGATCTCGAGACAGTCCCCAAGAACACTGTCACCAGTCTAGACGGACCCTGAGGTCACCCCAGCAACGCAAAGCAGCTCCATGTGCCCCAAATCAACTCGAGATGAGGCCCGATTCCCCTGCATTGACTCCAGAGCCATTCCCCGTTCCCCATTCAACACGACCGGTGGCTCGACTTCCTTCAGGCAACTCCAGAGATGCCCCGAGAACACTGTCCCAAGTCTAGAGGAACACCAACTTCAGCACAGCAACTCGACGAATGCTTCGTGTAACCCAAATCGTCTCGAGATGGGAGCTGATTCCCTGGTCAAGGCTCAAGACGTATGCCAACTTTCCAGAAGCACCTCAGGAGGAGGCTTCTCTCAGCAATAAGTATGTGGGAGGGACCCCGAGTTTGTGCCTCAAGGGGAATATACAGCGAGAAGCCCTAACTTGAAAGGAGGCCGGATTTCCTTGCAGTTGCTTAAATACAGGTTCGTCTTTCATCTCACAACATGAAGGGATGTCTGAATCCACTGTGGAGACCTTAGAGAAAGCCCTAGGTCCCTGCCTCATTTTGACGGAATGCCTCACATCCCGCTGACACCTCGAGAGGCACGCGGAGTTCATTGCTTCAAAAGGTGACGATGCCTGACTCCTCTTGAATACTGATAGGAATCCCAAAATCCCTGTGGCTAGGGGAAAGGGTCCTTGGGTGCCCTGCCTCACCTCGAGAAGCGTCCCTTTTGCCCTGCCAAGCCTCTTAGAGATTCCTGAGGTGTCCCTCGTTACTAGACAGGAGTCCAGACGTCACTGAAGAAACTCGTGTTTTGAAGGGCCATCCCCGCCGTAAGTCGAGAACATACCCCAGGTCCCTGCCGCAACTCGAGAAAAACCATGAGACTTCCCCCTAGAGGCGAGATGAGGCCCCATTCCCCTGCAGTGCATGCAGAGCTATTCCGTGATCCCATTCAAACAAGTCAGGAGCTTCGACTTGCTTAATGGATCTCGAGACAGTCCCCAAGAACACTGTCACCAGTCTAGACGGACCCTGAGGTCACCCCAGCAACGCAAAGCAGCTCCATGTGCCCCAAATCAACTCGAGATTAGGCCCGATTCCCCTGCATTGATTCCAGAGCCATTCCCCGTTCCCCATTCAACACGACCGGTGGATCGACTTCCTTCAGGCAACTCCAGAGATGCCCCGAGAACACTGTCCCAAGTCTAGAGGAACACCAACGTCAGCACAGCAACTCGAGGAATGCTCCGTGTACCCCAAATTGTCTCGAGATGAGAGCTGATTCCCTGGATTAGGCTCAAGACGTATGCCAACTTTCCAGAAGCACCTCAGGAGGAGGCTTCTCTCAGCAATAGGTATGTGGAAGGGACCCCGAGTTTGCTGCCTCAAGGGGAATATACAGCGAGAAGCCCTAACTTGAAAGGAGGCAGCATTTCCTTGCAGTGGCTTGAATACAGGCTCGTCTTTCATCTCACAACATGAAGGGATGTCTGAATCCCCTGTGGAGACCTTAGAGAAAGCCCTAGGTCCCTGCCTCATTTTGACGGAATGCCTCACATCCCACTGACACCTCGAGAGGCACGCAGAGTTCATTGCTTCAAAAGGTGACGATGCCTGACTCCTCTTGAATACTGATAGGAATCCCAAAATCGCTGTGGCTACTGGAAAGGGTCCTTGGGTACCCTGCCTCACCTCGAGAAGCGTCCCTTTTGCCCTGCCAAGCCTCGTAGAGATTCCTGAGGTCTCCCTCGTTACAAGACAGGAGTCCTGACGTCACTGAAGAAACTCGTGTTTTGAAGGGCCATCCCCGCCGTAAGTCGAGAACATACCCCAGGTCCCCGCCGCCACTCGAGAAAAACCATGAGACTCCCCCCTAGAGGCGAGATGGGGCCCCATTCCCCTGCAGTGCATGCAGAGCTATTCCGTGATCCCATTCAAACAAGTCAGGAGCTTCTACTTGCTTAATGGATCTCGAGACAGTCCCCAAGAACACTGTCACCAGTCTAGACGGACCCTGAGGTCACCCCAGCAACGCAAAGCAGCTCCATGTGCCCCAAATCAACTCCAGATGAGGCCCGATTCCCCTGCATTGACTCCAGAGCCATTCCCCGTTCCCCATTCAACACGACCGGTGGCTCGACTTCCTTCAGGCAACTCCAGAGATGCCCCGAGAACACTGTCCCAAGTCTAGAGGAACACCAACTTCAGCACAGCAACTTGAGGAATGCTCCGTGTACCCCAAATCGTCTCGAGATGAGAGCTGATTCCCTGGCTTAGGCTCAAGACGTATGCCAACTTTCCAGAAGCACCTCAGGAGGAGGCTTCTCTCAGCAATAGTTATGTGGGAGGGACCCTGAGTTTGCTGCCTCAAGGGGAATATACAGCGAGAAGCCCTAACTTGAAAGGAGGCCGGATTTCCTTGCAGTGGCTTGAATACAGGCTCGTCTTTCATCTCACAACATGAAGGGATGTCTGAATCCCCTGTGGAGACCTTAGAGAAAGCCCTAGGTCCCTGCCTCATTTTGACGGAATGCCTCACGTCCCGCTGACACCTCGAGAGGCACGCGGAGTTCATTGCTTCAAAAGGTGACGATGCCTGACTCCTCTTGAATACTGATAGGAATCCCAAAATCCCTGTGGCTACGGGAAAGGGTCCTTGGGTGCCCTGCCTCACCTCGAGAAGCGTCCCTTTGGCCCTGCCAAGCCTCGAAGAGATTCCTGAGGTGTCCCTCGTTACTAGACACGAGTCCTGACGTCACTGAAGAAACTCGTGTTTTGAAGGGCCATCCCCGCAGTAAGTCGAGAACATACCCCAAGTCCACACCGCAACTCGAGAAAAACCATGAGACTTCCCCCTAGAGGCGAGATGAGGCCCCATTCCCCTGCAGTGCATGCAGAGCTATTCCGTGATCCCATTCAAACAAGTCAGGAGCTTCGACTTGCTTAATGGATCTCGAGACAGTCCCCAAGAACACTGTCACCAGTCTAGACGGACCCTGAGGTCACCCCAGCAACGCAAAGCAGCTCCATGTGCCCCAAATCAACTCGAGATGAGGCCCGATTCCCCTGCATTGACTCCAGAGCCATTCCCCGTTCCCCATTCAACACGACCGGTGGCTCGACTTCCTTCAGGCAACTCCAGAGATGCCCCGAGAACACTGTCCCAAGTCTAGAGGAACACCAACGTCAGCACAGCAACTCGAGGAATGCTCCGTGTAACCCAAATCGTCTCGAGATGAGAGCTGATTCCCTGGCTTAGGCTCAAGACGTATGCCAACTTTCCAGAAGCACCTCAGGAGGAGGCTTCTCTCACCAATAGTTATGTGGGAGGGACCCCGAGTTTGCTGCCTCAAGGGGAATATACAGCGAGAAGCCCTAACTTGAAAGGAGGCCGGATTTCCTTGCAGTGGCTTGAATACAGGCTCGTCTTTCATCTCACAACATGAAGGGATGTCTGAATCCCCTGTGGAGACCTTAGAGAAAGCCCTAGGTCCCTGCCTCATTTTGACGGAATGCCTCACATCTCGCTGACACCTCGAGAGGCACGCGGAGTTCATTGCTTCAAAAGGTGACGATGCCTGACTCCTCTTGAATACTGATAGGAATCCCAAAATCCCTGTGGCTACTGGAAAGGGTCCTTGGGTGCCCTGCCTCACCTCGAGAAGCGTCCCTTTTGCCCTGCCAAGCCTTGAAGAGATTCCTGAGGTGTCCCTCGTTACTAGACAGGAGTCCTGAGGTCACTGAACAAACTCGTGTTTTGAAGGGCCATCCCCGCCGTAAGTCGAGAACATACCCCAGGTCCCCGCCGCAACTCGAGAAAAACCATGAGACTTCCCCCTTGAGGCGAGATGAGGCCCCATTCCCCTTCAGTGCATGCAGAGCTATCCCGTGATCCCATTCAAACAAGTCAGGAGCTTCGACTTGCTTAGTGGATCTCGAGACAGTCCCCAAGAACACTGTCACCAGTCTAGACGGACCCTGAGGTCACCCCAGCAACGCAAAGCAGCTCCATGTGCCCCAAATCAACTCGAGATGAGGCCCGATTCCCCTGCATTCACTCCAGAGCCATTCCCCGTTCCCCATTCAACACGACCGATGGCTCGACTTCCTTCAGGCAACTCCAGAGATGCCCCGAGAACATTGTCCCAAGTCTAGAGGAACACCAACTTCAGCACAGCAACTCGAGGAATGCTCCGTGTAACCCAAATCGTCTCGAGATGAGAGCTGATTCCCTGGCTTAGGCTCAAGACGTATGCCAACTTTCCAGAAGCACCTCAGGAGGAGGCTTCTCTCACCAATAGTTAGGTGGGAGGGACCCCGAGTTTGCTGCCTCAAGGGGAATTTACAGCGAGAAGCCCTAACTTGAAAGGAGGCCGGATTTCCTTGTAGTGGCTTGAATACAGGCTCGTCTTTCATCTCACAACATGAAGGGATGTCTGAATCCCCTGTGGAGACCTTAGAGAAAGCCCTAGGTCCCTGCCTCATTTTGACGGAATGCCTCACATCTCGCTGACACCTCGAGAGGCACGCGGAGTTCATTGCTTCAAAAGGTGACGATGCCTGACTCCTCTTGAATACTGATAGGAATCCCAAAATCCCTGTGGCTACGGGAAAGGGTCCTTGGGTGCCCTGCCTCACCTCGAGAAGCGTCCCTTTTGCCCTGCCAAGCCTCGAAGAGATTCCTGAGGTGTCCCTCGTTACTAGACAGGAGTCCTGACGTCACTGAAGAAACTCGTGTTTTGAAGGGCCATCCCCGCCGTAAGTCGAGAACATACCCCAGGTCCCCGCCGCAACTCGAGAAAAACCATGAGATTTCCCCCTAGAGGCGAGATGAGGCCCCATTCCCCTGCAGTGCATGCAGAGCTATTCCGTGATCCCATTCAAACAAGTCAGGAGCTTCGACTTGCTTAATGGATCTCGAGACAGTCCCCAAGAACACTGTCACCCGTCTAGACGGACCCTGAGGTCACCCCAGCAACGCAAAGCAGCTCCATGTGCCCCAAATCAACTCGAGATGAGGCCCGATTCCCCTTCATTGACTCCAGAGACATTCCCTGTTCCCCATTCAACACGACCGGTGGCTCGACTTCCTTCAGGCAACTCCAGAGATGCCCCGAGAACACTGTCCCAAGTCTAGAGGAACACCAACTTCCGCACAGCAACTCGAGGAATGCTCCGTGTAACCCAAATCGTCTCGAGATGAGAGATGATTCCCTGGCTTAGGCTCAAGACGTATGCCAACTTTCCAGAAGCACCTCAGGAGGAGGCTTCTCTCAGCAATAGTTATGTGGGAGGCACCCCGAGTTTGCTGCCTCAAGGGGAATATACAGCGAGAAGCCCTAACTTGAAAGGAGGCCGGATTTCCTTGCAGTGGCTTGAATACAGGCTCGTCTTTCATCTCACAACATGAAGGGATGTCTGAATCCCCTGTGGAGACCTTAGAGAAAGCCTTAGGTCCCTGCCTCATTTTGACGGAATGCCTCTCGTCCCGCTGACACCTCGAGAGGCACGCGGAGTTCATTGCTTCAAAAGGTGACGATGCCTGACTCCTCTTGAATACTGATAGGAATCCCAAAATCCCTGTGGCTACTGGAAAGGGTCCTTGGGTGCCCTGCCTCACCTCGAGAAGCGTCCCTTTTGCCCTGCCAAGCATCGTTGAGATTCCTGAGGTGTTCCTCATTACTAGACAGGAGTCCTGACGTCACTGGAGAAACTCGTGTTTTGAAGGGCCATCCCCGCCGTAAGTCGAGAACATACCCCAGGTCCCCGCCGCAACTCGAGAAAAACCATGAGACTTCCCCCTAGAGGCGAGATGAGGCCCCATTCCCCTGCAGTGCATGCAGAGCTATTCCGTGATCCCATTCAAACAAGTCAGGAGCTTCGACTTGCTTAATGGATCTCGAGACAGTCCCCAAGAACACTGTCACCAGTCTAGATGGACCCTGAGGTCACCCCAGCAACGCAAAGCTGCTCCATGTGCCCCAAATCAACTCGAGATGAGGCCCGATTCCCCTGCATTGACTCCAGAGACATTCCCCGTTCCCCATTCAACACGACCGGTGGCTCGACTTCCTTCAGGCAACTCCAGAGATGCCCCGAGAACACTGTCCCAAGTCTAGAGGAACACCAACTTCAGCACAGCAACTCGAGGAATGCTCCGTGTACCCCAAATCATCTCGAGATGAGAGCTGATTCCCTGGCTTAGGCTCAAGACGTATGCCAACTTTCCAGAAGCACCTCAGGAGGAGGCTTCTCTCAGCAATAGGTATGTGGGAGGGACCCCGAGTTTGCTGCCTCAAGGGGAATACACAGGGAGAAGCCCTAATGTGAACGGAGGCCAGATTTCCTTGCAGTGGGTTGAATACAGGCTCGTCTTTGATCTGAAAACATGAAGGGATGTCTGAATCCCCTGTGGAGACCTTAGAGGAAACCCTAGGTCCCTGCCTCATTTTGACGGAATACCTCACATCCCCCTGAGACCTCGAGAGGCACGCAGAGTTCATTGCTTCAAAAGGTGACGATGCCTGACTCCTCTTGAATACTGATAGGAATCCCAAAATCCCTGTGGCTACTGGAAAGGGTCCTTGGGTGCCCTGCCTCACCTCGAGAAGCGTCCCTTTTGCCCTGCCAAGCCTCGAAGAGATTCCTGAGGTGTCCCTCGTTACTAGGCAGGAGTCCTGACGTCACTGAAGAAACTCGTGTTTTGAAGGGCCATCCCCGCCGTAAGTCGAGAACATACCCCAGGTCCCCGCCGCAACTCGAGAAAAACCATGAGACTTCCCCCTAGAGGCGAGATGAGGCCCCATTCCCCTGCAGTGCATGCAGAGCTATTCCGTGATCCCATTCAAACAAGTCAGGAGCTTCGACTTGCTTAATGGATCTCGAGACAGTCCCCAAGAACACTGTCACCAGTCTAGACGGACCCTGAGGTCACCCCAGCAACGCAAAGCTGCTCCATGTGCCCCAAATTAACTGGAGATGAGGCCCGATTCCCCTGCATTGACTCCAGAGCCATTCCCCGTTCCCCATTCAACAAGACCGGTGGCTCGACTTCCTTCAGGCAACTCCAGAGATGCCCAGAGAACACTTTCCCAAGTCTAGAGGAACACCAACTTCAGCAAAGCAACTCGAGGAATGCTCCGTGTACCCCAAATCATCTCGAGATGAGAGCTGATTCCCTGGCTTAGGATCAAGACGTATGCCAACTTTCCAGAAGCACCTCAGGAGGAGGCTTCTCTCAGCAATAGGTATGTGGGAGGGACCCCGAGTTTGCTGCCTCAAGGGCAATATACAGCGAGAAGCCCTAACTTGAAAGGAGGCCGGATTTCCTTGCAGTGGCTTGAATACAGGCTCGTCTTTGATCTGACAACATGAAGGGATGTCTGAATCCCCTGTGGAGACCTTAGAGAAAGCCCTAGGTCCCTGCCTCATTTTGACGGAATGGCTCACATGCCGCTGACACCTCGAGAGGCACGCGGAGTTCATTGCTTCAAAAGGTGACGATGCTTGACTCCTCTTGAATACTGATAGGAATCCCAAAATCCCTGTGGCTACTGAAAAGGGTCCTTGGGTGCCCTGACTCACCTCGAGAAGCGTCCCTTTTGCCCTGCCAAGCCTCGAAGAGATTCCTGAGGTGTCCCTCGTTACTAGGCAGGAGTCCTGTCGTCACTGGAGAAACTCGTGTTTTGAAGGGCCATCCCCGCCGTAAGTCGAGAACATACCCCAGGTCCCCGCCGCAACTCGAGAAAAACCATGAGACTTCCCCCTAGAGGCGAGATGAGGCCCCATTCCCCTGCAGTGCATGCAGAGCTATTCTGTGATCCCATTCAAACAAGTCAGGAGCTTCGACTTGCTTAATGGATCTCGAGACAGTCCCCAAGAACACTGTCACCAGTCTAGACGGACCCTGAGGTCACCCCATCAAAGCAAAGCAGCTCCATGTGCCCCAAATCAACACGAGATGAGGCCCGATTCCCCTGCATTGACTCCAGAGCCATTCCCCGTTCCCCGTTCAACACGACCGGTGGCTCGCCTTCCTTCAGGCAACTGCAGAGATGCCCCGAGAACACTGTCCCAAGTCTAGAGGAACACCAACTTCAGCACAGCAACTCGAGGAATGCTCCGTGTACCCCAAATCATCTCGAGATGAGAGCTGATTCCCTGGCTTAGGCTCAAGACGTATGCCAACTTTCCAGAAGCACCTCAGGAGGAGGCTTCTCAGCAATAGGTATGTGGGAGGGACTCCGAGTATGCTGCCTCAAGGGGAATATACAGCGAGAAGCCCTAACTTGAAAGGAGTCTGGATTTCCAAGCAATAGATTGAATACAGGCTTGTCTTTCATCTCACAAGTTGAAGGGATGTCTGAATCCCCTGTGGAGGCCTTAGAGAAAGCCCTAGGTCCCTGCCTCATTTTGACGGAATGCCTCACATCCCGCTGACACCTCGAGAGGCACGCGGAGTTCATTGCTTCAAAAGGTGACCATGCCTGACTCCTCTTGAATACTGATAGGAATCCCAAATTCCCTGTGGCTACTGGAAAGGGTCCTTGGGTGCCCTGCCTCACCTCGAGAAGCGTCCCTTTTGCCCTGCCAAGCCTCGAAGAGATTCCTGAGGTGTCCCTCGTTACTAGGCAGGAGTCCTGACGTCACTGAAGAAACTCGTGTTTTGAAGGGCCATCCTGGCCGTAAGTCGAGAACATACCCCAGGTCCCCGCCGCAACTCGAGAAAAACCATGAGACTCCCCCCTAGAGGCGAGATGAGGCCCCATTCCCCTGCAGTGCATGCAGAGCTATTCCGTGATCCCATTCAAACAAGTCAGGAGCTTCGACTTGCTTAATGGATCTCGAGACAGTCCCCAAGAACACTGTCACGAGTCTAGACGGACCCTGAGGTCACCCCAGCAACGCAAAGCTGCTCCATGTGCCCCAAATCAACTCGAGATGAGGCCCGATTCCCCTGCATTGAATCCAGAGCCATTCCCCGTTCCCCATTCAACAAGACCGGTGGCTCGACTTCCTTCAGGCAACTCCAGAGATGCCCAGAGAACACTTTCCCAAGTCTAGAGGAACACCAACTTCAGCACAGCAACTCGAGGAATGCTCCGTGTACCCCAAATCGTCTCGAGATGAGAGCTGATTCCCTGGCTTAGGCTCAAGACGTATGCCAACTTTCCAGAAGCACCTCAGGAGGAGGCTTCTCAGCAATAGGTATGTGGGAGGGACTCCGAGTTTGCTGCCTCAAGGGGAATATACAGCGAGAAGCCCTAACTTGAAAGGAGTCCGTATTTCCATGCAATAGATTGAATACAGGCTTGTCTTTCATCTCACAACTTGAAGGGATGTCTGAATCCCCTGTGGAGACCTTAGAGAAAGCCCTAGTTCCCTGCCTCATTTTGACGGAATGCCTCACATCCCGCTGACACCTAGAGAGGCACGCGGAGTTCATTGCTTCAAAGGGTGACGATGCCTGACTCCTCTTGAATACTGCTAGGAATCCCAAAATCCCTGTGGCTACTGGAAAGGGTCCTTGGGTGCCCTGCCTCACCTCGAGAAGCGTCCCTTTTGCCCTGCCAAGCCTCGAAGAGATTCCTGAGGTGTCCCTCGTTACTAGGCAGGAGTCCTGACGTCACTGAAGAAACTCGTGTTTTGAAGGGCCATCCCCGCCGTAAGTCGAGAACATACCCCAGGTCCCCGCCGCAACTCGAGAAAAACCATGAGACTTCCCCCTAGAGGCGAGATGAGGCCCCATTCCCCTGCAGTGCATGCAGAGCTATTCCGTGATCCCATTCAAACAAGTCAGGAGCTTCGACTTGCTTAATGGATCTCGAGACAGTCCTCAAGAACACTGTCACCAGTCTAGACGGACCCTGAGGTCACCCCAGCAACGCAAAGCTGCTCCATGTGCCACAAATCAACTCGAGATGAGGCCCGATTCCCCTGCATTGACTCCAGAGACATTCCCCGTTCCCCATTCAACACGACCGGTGGCTCGACTTCCTTCAGGCAACACCAGAGATGCCCCGAGAACACTCTCCCAAGTCTAGAGGAACACCAACTTCAGCACAGCAACTCGAGGAATGCTCCGTGTACCCCAAATCATCTCGAGATGAGAGCTGATTCCCTGGCTTAGGCTCAAGACGTATGCCAACTTTCCAGAAACACCTCAGGAGGAGGCTTCTCTCAGCAATAGGTATGTGGGAGGGACCCCGAGTTTGCTGCCTCAAGGGGAATACACAGGGAGAAGCCCTAATGTGAACGGAGGCCAGATTTCCTTGCAGTGGGTTGAATACAGGCTCGTCTTTGATCTGAAAACATGAAGGGATGTCTGAATCCCCTGTGGAGACCTTAGAGGAAACCCTAGGTCCCTGCCTCATTTTGACGGAATACCTCACATCCCCCTGAGACCTCGAGAGGCACGCAGAGTTCATTGCTTCAAAAGGTGACGATGCCTGACTCCTCTTGAATACTGATAGGAATCCCAAAATCCCTGTGGCTACTGGAAAGTGTCCTTGGGTGTCCTGCCTCACCTCGAGAAGCGTCCCTTTTGCCCTGCCAAGCCTCGAAGAGATTCCTGAGGTGTCCCTCGTTACTAGGCAGGAGTCCTGACGTCACTGAAGAAACTCGTGTTTTGAAGGGCCATCCCCGCCGTAAGTCGAGAACATACCCCAGGTCCCCGCCGCAACTCGAGAAAAACCATGAGACTTCCCCCTAGAGGCGAGATGAGGCCCCATTCCCCTGCAGTGCATGCAGAGCTATTCCGTGATCCCATTCAAACAAGTCAGGAGCTTCGACTTGCTTAATGGATCTCGAGACAGTCCCCAAGAACACTGTCACCAGTCTAGACGGACCCTGAGGTCACCCCAGCAAGGCAAAGCTGCTCCATGTGCCCCAAATTAACTGGAGATGAGGCCCGATTCCCCTGCATTGACTCCAGAGCCATTCCCCCTTCCTCATTCAACAAGACCGGTGGCTCGACTTCCTTCAGGCAACTCCAGAGATGCCCAGAGAACACTTTCCCAAGTCTAGAGGAACACCAACTTCAGCAAAGCAACTCGAGGAATGCTCCGTGTACCCCAAATCATCTCGAGATGAGAGCTGATTCCCTGGCTTAGGATCAAGACGTATGCCAACTTTCCAGAAGCACCTCAGGAGGAGGCTTCTCTCAGCAATAGGTATGTGGGAGGGACTCCGAGTTTGCTGCCTCAAGGGCAATATACAGCGAGAAGCCCTAACTTGGAAGGAGGCCGGATTTCCTTGCAGTGGCTTGAATACAGGCTCGTCTTTGATCTGACAACATGAAGGGATGTCTGAATCCCCTGTGGAGACCTTAGAGAAAGCCCTAGGTCCCTGCCTCATTTTGACGGAATGCCTCACATCCCGCTGACACCTCGAGAAGCACGCGGAGTTCATTGCTTCAAAAGGTGACGATGCCTGACTCCTCTTGAATACTGATAGGAATCCCAAAATCCCTGTGGCTACTGAAAAGGGTCCTTGGGTGCCCTGACTCACCTCGAGAAGCGTCCCTTTTGCCCTGCCAAGCCTCGAAGAGATTCCTGAGGTGTCCCTCGTTACTAGGCAGGAGTCCTGACGTCACTGGAGAAACTCGTGTTTTGAAGGGCCATCCCCGCCGTAAGTCGAGAACATACCCCAGGTCCCCGCCGCAACTCGAGAAAAACCGTGAGACTTCCCCCTAGAGGCGAGATGAGGCCCCATTCCCCTGCAGTGCATGCAAAGCTATTCCGTGATCCCATTCAAACAAGTCAGGAGCTTCGACTTGCTTAATGGATCTCGAGACAGTCCCCAAGAACACTGTCACCAGTCTAGACGGACCCTGAGGTCACCCAGCAATGCAAAGCAGCTCCATGTGCCCCAAATCAACTCGAGATGAGGCCGGATTCCCCTGCATTGACTCCAGAGCCATTCCCTGTTCCCCATTCAACACGACCGGTGGCTCGACTTCCTTCAGGCAACTCCAGAGATGCCCCGAGAACACTGTCCCAAGTCTAGAGGAACACCAACTTCAGCAAAGCAACTCGAGGAATGCTCCGTGTACCCCAAATCGTCTCGAGATGAGAGCTGATTCCCTGGCTTAGGCTCAAGACGTAAGCCAACTTTCCAGAAGCACCTCAGGAGGAGGCTTCTCAGCAATAGGTATGTGGGAGGGACTCCGAGTTTGCTGCCTCAAGAGGAATATACATCGAGAAGCCCTAACTTGAAAGGAGGCCAGATTTCCTTGCAGTAGCTTGAATACAGGATTGTCTTTCATCTCACAACATGAAGGGATGTCTGAATCCCCTGTGGAGACCTTAGAGAAAGCCCTAGATCCCTGCATCATTTTGACGGAATGCCTCACATCCCGCTGACATCTCGAGAGGCACGCGGAGTTCATTGCTTCAAAAGGTGACGATGCCTGACTCCTCTTGAATACTTATAGGAATCCCAAAATCCCTGTGGCTACTGGAAAGGGTCCTTGCGTGCCCTGGCTCACCTCGAGAAGCGTCCCTTTTGCCCTGCCAAGCCTCGAAGAGATTGCTGAGGTGTCCCTCATTACTAGACAGGAGTCCTGAACGTCACTGAAGAAACTCATGTTTTGAAGGGCCATCCCCGCCGTAAGTCGAGAACATACCCCAGGTCCCCGCCGCAACTCGAGAAAAACCATGAGACTTCCCCCTAGAGGCGAGATGAGGCCCCATTCCCCTGCAGTGCATGCAGAGCTATTCTGTGATCCCATTCAAACAAGTCAGGAGCTTCGACTGGCTTAATGGATCTCGAGACAGTCCCCAAGAACACTGTCACCAGTCTAGACGGACCCTGAGGTCACCCCATCAAAGCAAAGCAGCTCCATGTGCCCCAAATCAACACGAGATGAGGCCGATTCCCCTGCATTGACTCCAGAGCCATTCCCCGTTCCCCGTTCAACACGACCGGTGGCTCGTCTTCCTTCAGGCAACTCCAGAGATGCCCCGAGAACACTGTCCCAAGTCTAGAGGAACACCAACTTCAGCACAGCAACTGGAGGAATGCTCCGTGTACCCCAAATCATCTCGAGATGAGAGCTGATTCCCTGGCTTAGGCTCAAGACGTATGCCAACTTTCCAGAAGCACCTCAGGAGGAGGCTTCTCAGCAGTAGTTATGTGGGAGGGACTCCGAGTATGCTGCCTCAAGGGGAATATACAGCGAGAAGCCCTAACTTGAAAGGAGTCCGGATTTCCAAGCAATAGATTGAATACAGGCTTGTCTTTCATCTCACAACTTGAAGGGATGTCTGAAACCCCTGTGGAGGCCTTAGAGAAAGCCCTCGGTCCCTGCCTCATTTTGACGGAATGCCTCACATCCCGCTGACACCTCGAGAGGCACGCGGAGTTCATTGCTTCAAAAGGTGACGATGCCTGACTCCTCTTGAATACTGATAGGAATCCCAAATTCCCTGTGGCTACTGGAAAGGGTCCTTGGGTGCCCTGCCTCACCTCGAGAAGCGTCCCTTTTGCCCTGCCAAGCCTCGAAGAGATTCCTGAGGTGTCCCTCGTTACTAGGCAGGAGTCCTGACGTCACTGAAGAAACTCGTGTTTTGAAGGGCCATCCCGGCCGTAAGTCGAGAACATACCCCAGGACCCGCCGCAACTCGAGAAAAACCATGAGACTCCCCCCTAGAGGCGAGATGAGGCCCCATTCCCCTGCAGTGCATGCAGAGCTATTCCGTGATCCCATTCAAACAAGTCAGGAGCTTCGACTTGCTTAATGGATCTCGAGACAGTCCCCAAGAACACTGTCACGAGTCTAGACGGACCCTGAGGTCACCCCAGCAACGCAAAGCTGCTCCATGTGCCCCAAATCAACTCGAGATGAGGCCCGATTCCCCTGCATTGACTCCAGAGCCATTCCCCGTTCCCCATTCAACAAGACCGGTGGCTCGACTTCCTTCAGGCAACTCCAGAGATGCCCAGAGAACACTTTCCCAAGTCTAGAGGAACACCAACTTCAGCACAGCAACTCGAGGAATGCTCCGTGTACCCCAAATCGTCTCGAGATGAGAGCTGATTCCCTGGCTTAGGCTCAAGACGTATGCCAACTTTCCAGAAGCACCTCAGGAGGAGGCTTCTCAGCAATAGGTATGTGGGAGGGACTCCGAGTTTGCTGCCTCAAGGGGAATATACAGCGAGAAGCGCTAACTTGAAAGGAGGCCGGATTTCCATGCAATAGATTGAATACAGGCTTGTCTTTCATCTCACAACTTGAAGGGATGTCTGAATCCCCTGTGGAGACCTTAGAGAAAGCCCTAGGTCCCTGCCTCATTTTGACGGAATGCCTCACATCCCGCTGACACCTCGAGAGGCACGCGGAGTTCATTGCTTCAAAAGGTGACGATGCCTGACTCCTCTTGAATACTGATAGGAATCCCAAAATCCCTGTGGCTACTGGAAAGGGTCCTTGGGTGCCCTGCCTCACCTCGAGAAGCGTCCCTTTTGCCCTGCCAAGCCTCGAAGAGATTCCTGAGGTGTCCCTCGTTACTAGGCAGGAGTCCTGACGTCACTGGAGAAACTCGTGTTTTGAAGGGCCATCCCCGCCGTAAGTCGAGAACATAACCCAGGTCCCCGCCGCAACACGAGAAAAACCATGAGACTTCCCCCTAGAGGCGAGATGAGGCCCCATTCCCCTGCAGTGCATGCAGAGCTATTCCGTGACCCCATTCAAACAAGTCAGGAGCTTCGACTTGCTTAATGGATCTCGAGACAGTCCCCAAGAACACTGTCACCAGTCTAGACGGACCCTGAGGTCACCCCAGCAACGCAAAGCTGCTCCATGTGCCCCAAATCAACTCGAGATGAGGCCCGATTCCCCTGCATTGACTCCAGAGCCATTCCCCGTTCCCCATTCAACACGACCGGTGGCTCGACTTCCTTCAGGCAACTCCAGAGATTCCCCGAGAACACTGTCCCAAGGCTAGAGGAACACCAACTTCAGCACAGCAACTCGAGGAATGCTCCGTGTACCCCAAATCATCTCGAGATGAGAGCTGATTCCCTGGCTTAGGCTCAAGACGTATGCCAACTTTCCAGAAGCATATCAGGAGGAGGCTTCTCTCAGCAATAGGTATGTGGGAGGGACCCCGAGTTTGCTGCCTCAAGGGGAATACACAGGGAGAAGCCCTAATGTGACTGAGGCCAGATTTCCTTACAGTGGGTTGAATACAGGCTCGTCTTTGAGCTGACAACATGAAGGGATGTCTGAATCCCCTGTGGAGAACTTAGAGGAAGTCCTAGGTCCCTGCCTCATTTTGACGGAATACCTCACATCCCCCTGACACCTCGAGAGGCACGCAGAGTTCATTGCTTCAAAAGGTGACGATGCCTGACTCCTCTTGAATACTTATAGGAATCCCAAAATCACTGTTTCTACTGGAAAGAGTCTTGGGTGCCCTGGCTCACCTCGAGAAGCGTCCCTTTTGCCCTGCCAAGCCTCGAAGAGATTTCTGAGGCGTCCCTCATTACTAGGCAGGAGTCCTGACGTCACTGAAGAAACTCGTGTTTTGAAAGGCCATCCCCGCCGTAAGTCGAGAACATACCCCAGGTCCCTGCCGCAACTCGAGAAAAACCATGAGACTTCCCCCTAGAGGCGAGATGAGGCCCCATTCCCCTGCAGTGCATGCAGAGCTATTCCGTGATCCCATTCAAACAAGTCAGGAGCTTCGACTTGCTTAATGGATCTCGAGACAGTCCCCAAGAACACTGTCACCAGTCTAGACGGACCCTGAGGTCACCCCAGCAACGCAAAGCTGTTCCATGTGCCCCAAATCAACTCGAGATGAGGCCCGATTCCCCTGCATTGACTCCAGAGCCATTCCCCGTTCCCCATTCAACACGACCGGTGGCTTGACTTCCTTCAGGCAACTCCAGAGATGCCCCGAGAACACTGTCCCAAGTCTAGAGGAACACCAACTTCAGCACAGCAACTCGAGGAATGCTCCGTGTACCCCAAATTGTCTCGAGATGGGAGCTGATTCCCTGGATTAGGCTCAAGACGTATGCCAACTTTCCAGAAGCACCTCAGGAAGAGGCTTCTCTCAGCAATAGGTATGTGGAAGGGACCCCGAGTTTGCTGCCTAAGGGGAATATACAGCGAGAAGCCCTAACTTGAAAGGAGGCCGCATTTCCTTGCAGTGGCTTGAATACCGGCTCGTCTTTCATCTCACAACATGAAGGGATGTCTGAATCCCCTGTGGAGACCTTAGAGAAAGGCCTAGGTCCCTGCCTCATGTTGACGGAATGCCTCACATCCCGCTGACACCTCGAGAGGCACACGGAGTTCATTGCTTCAAAAGGTGACGATGCCTGACTCCTCTTGAATACTGATAGGAATCCCAAAATCCCTGTGGGTACGGGAAACGGTCCTTGGTGCCTTGCCTCACCTCGAGAAGCGTCCCTTTTGCACTGCCAAGCCTCGAAGAGATTCCTGAGGTGTCCCTCGTTACTAGACAGGAGTCCTGACGTCACTGAAGAAACTCGTGTTTTGAAGGGCCATCCCCGCCGTAAGTCGAGAACATACCCCAGGTCCCCGCCTCAACTCGAGAAAAACCATGAGACTTCCCCCTTGAGGCGAGATGAGGCCACATCCCCCTGCAGTGCATGCAGAGCTATTCCGTGATCCCATTCAAACAAGTCAGGAGCTTCGACTTGCTTAATGGATCTCGAGACAGTCCCTAAGAACACTGTCACCAGTCTAGACGGACCCTGAGGTCACCCCAGCAACGCAAAGCAGCTCCATGTGCCCCAAATCAACTCGAGATGAGGCCCGATTCCCCTGCATTGACTCCAGAGCCATTCCCCGTTCCCCATTCAACACGACCGGTGGCTCGACTTCCTTCAGGCAACTCCAGAGATGCCCCGAGAACACTGTCCCAAGTCTAGAGGAACACCAACTTCAGCACAGCAACTCGAGGAATGCTCCGTGTAACCCAAATCGTCTCGAGATGAGAGCTGATTCCCTGGCTTAGGTTCAAGACGTATGCCAACTTTCCAGAAGCACTTCAGTAGGAGGCTTCTCTCACCAATAGTTATGTGGGAGGGACCCCGAGTTTGCTGCCTCAAGGGGAATTTACAGCGAGAAGCCCTAACTTGAAAGGAGGCCGGATTTCCTTGCAGTTCCTTGAATACAGGCTCGTCTTTCATCTCACAACATGAAGGGATGTCTGAATCCCCTGTGGAGACCTTAGAGAAAGCCCTAGGTCCCTGCCTAATTTTGACGGAATGCCTCACATCTCGCTGACACCTCGAGAGGCACGCGGAGTTCATTGCTTCAAAAGGTGACGATGCCTGACTCCTCTTGAATACTGATAGGAATCCCGAAATCCCTGTGGCTACGGGAAAGGGTCCTTGGGTGCCCTGCCTCACCTCGAGAAGCGTCCCTTTTGCCCTGCCAAGCCTCGAAGAGATTCCTGAGGTGTCCCTCGTTACTAGACAGGAGTCCTGACGTCACTGAAGAAACTCGTGTTTTGAAGGGCCATCCCCGCCGTAAGTCGAGAACATACCCCAGGTCCCCGCCGCAACTCGAGAAAAACCATGAGATTTCCCCCTAGAGGCGAGATGAGGCCCCATTCCCCTGCAGTGCATGCAGAGCTATTCCGTGATCCCATTCAAACAAGTCAGGAGCTTCGACTTGCTTAATGGATCTCGAGACAGTCCCCAAGAACACTGTCACCAGTCTAGACGGACCCTGAGGTCACCCCAGCAACGCAAAGCAGCTCCATGTGCCCCAAATCAACTCGAGATGAGGCCCGATTCCCCTTCATTGACTCCAGAGACATTCCCTGTTCCCCATTCAACACGACCGGTGGCTCGACTTCCTTCAGGCAACTCCAGAGATGCCCCGAGAACACGGTCCCAAGTCTAGAGGAACACCAACTTCAGCACAGCAACTCGAGGAATGCTCCGTGTAACCCAAATCGTCTCGAGATGAGAGATGATTCCCTGGCTTAGGCTCAAGACGTATGCCAACTTTCCAGAAGCACCTCAGGAGGAGGCTTCTCTCAGCAATAGGTATGTGGGAGGGACCCCGAGTTTGCTGCCTCAAGGGAAATATACAGCGAGAAGCCCTAACTTGAAAGGAGGCCGGATTTCCTTGCAGTGGCTTGAATACAGGCTCGTCTTTCATCTCACAACATGAAGGGATGTCTGAATCCCCTGTGGAGACCTTAGAGAAAGCCCTAGGTCCCTGCCTCATTTTGACGGAATGCCTCACATCCCGCTGACACCTCGAGAGGCACGCGGAGTTCATTGCTTCAAAAGGTGACGATGCCTGACTCCTCTTGAATACTGATAGGAATCCCAAAATCCCTGTGCTAGGGGAAAGGGTCCTTGGGTGCCCTGCCTCACCTCGAGAAGCGTCCCTTTTGCCCTGCCAAGCCTCTTAGAGATTCCTGAGGTGTCCCTCGTTACTAGACAGGAGTCCTGACGTCACTGAAGAAACTCGTGTTTTGAAGGGCCATCCCCGCCGTAAGTCGAGAACATACCCCAGGTCCCTGCCGCAACTCGAGAAAAACCATGAGACTTCCCCCTAGAGGCGAGATGAGGCCCCATTCCCCTGCAGTGCATGCAGAGCTATTCCGTGATCCCATTCAAACAAGTCAGGAGCTTCGACTTGCTTAATGGATCTCGAGACAGTCCCCAAGAACACTGTCACCAGTCTAGACGGACCCTGAGGTCACCCCAGCAACGCAAAGCAGCTCCATGTGCCCCAAATCAACTCGAGATGAGGCCCGATTCCCCTGCATTGATTCCAGAGCCATTCCCCGTTACCCATTCAACACGACCAGTGGATCGACTTCCTTCAGGCAACTCCAGAGATGCCCCGAGAACACTGTCCCAAGTCTAGAGGAACACCAACGTCAGCACAGCAACTCGAGGAATGCTCCGTGTACCCCAAATTGTCTCGAGATGAGAGCTGATTCCCTGGATTAGGCTCAAGACGTATGCCAACTTTCCAGAAGCACCTCAGGAGGAGGCTTCTCTCAGCAATAGGTATGTGGAAGGGACCCCGAGTTTGCTGCCTCAAGGGGAATATACAGCGAGAAGCCCTAACTTGAAAGGAGGCAGCATTTCCTTGCAGTGGCTTGAATACAGGCTCGTCTTTCATCTCACAACATGAAGGGATGTCTGAATCCCCTGTGGAGACCTTAGAGAAAGCCCTAGGTCCCTGCCTCATTTTGACGGAATGCCTCACATCCCACTGACACCTCGAGAGGCACGCAGAGTTCATTGCTTCAAAAGGTGACGATGCCTGACTCCTCTTGAATACTGATAGGAATCCCAAAATCGCTGTGGCTACTGGAAAGGGTCCTTGGGTACCCTGCCTCACCTCGAGAAGCGTCCCTTTTGCCCTACCAAGCCTCGTAGAGATTCCTGAGGTCTCCCTCGTTACAAGACAGGAGTCCTGACGTCACTGAAGAAACTCGTGTTTTGAAGGGCCATCCCCGCCGTAAGTCGAGAACATACCCCAGGTCCCCGCCGCCACTCGAGAAAAACAATGAGACTCCCCCCTAGAGGCGAGATGGGGCCCCATTCCCCTGCAGTGCATGCAGAGCTATTCCGTGATCCCATTCAAACAAGTCAGGAGCTTCGACTTGCTTAATGGATCTCGAGACAGTCCCCAAGAACACTGTCACCAGTCTAGACGGACCCTGAGGTCACCCCAGCAACGCAAAGCAGCTCCATGTGCCCCAAATCAACTCCAGATGAGGCCCGATTCCCCTGCATTGACTCCAGAGCCATTCCCCGTTCCCCATTCAACACGACCGGTGGCTCGACTTCCTTCAGGCAACTCCAGAGATGCCCCGAGAACACTGTCCCAAGTCTAGAGGAACACCAACTTCAGCACAGCAACTTGAGGAATGCTCCGTGTACCCCAAATCGTCTCGAGATGAGAGCTGATTCCCTGGCTTAGGCTCAAGACGTATGCCAACTTTCCAGAAGCACCTCAGGAGGAGGCTTCTCTCAGCAATAGTTATGTGGGAGGGACCCCGAGTTTGCTGCCTCAAGGGGAATATACAGCGAGAAGCCCTAACTTGAAAGGAGGCCGGATTTCCTTGCAGTGGCTTGAATACAGGCTCGTCTTTCATCTCACAACATGAAGGGATGTCTGAATCCCCTGTGGAGACCTTAGAGAAAGCCCTAGGTCCCTGCCTCATTTTGACGGAATGCCTCACGTCCCGCTGACACCTCGAGAGGCACGCGGAGTTCATTGCTTCAAAAGGTGACGATGCCTGACTACTCTTGAATACTGATAGGAATCCCAAAATCGCTGTGGCTACTGGAAAGGCTCCTTGGGTACCCTGCCTCACCTCGAGAAGCGTCCCTTTTGCCCTGCCAAGCCTCGTAGAGATTCCTGAAGTGTCCCTCTTTACTAGACAGGAGTCCTGATGTCACTGAAGAAAATCGTGTTTTGAAGGGCCATCCCCGCCCTAAGTCGAGAACATACCCCAGGTCCCCGCCGCAACTCGAGAAAAACCATGAGACTTCCCCCTAGAGGCGAGATGAGGCCCCATTCCCCTGCAGTGCATGCAGAGCTATTCCGTGATCCCATTCAAACAAGTCAGGAGTTTCGACTTGCTTAATGGATCTCGAGACAGTCCCCAAGAACACTGTCACCAGTCTAGACGGACCCTGAGGTCACCCCAGCAACGCAAAGCAGCTCCATGTGCCCCAAATCAACTCGAGATGAGGCCCGATTCCCCTGCATTGACTCCAGAGCCATTCCCCGTTCCCCATTCAACACGACCGGTGGCTCGACTTCCTTCAGGCAACTCCAGAGATGCCCCGAGAACACTGTCCCAAGTCTAGAGGAACACCAACTTCAGCACAGCAACTCGACGAATGCTTCGTGTAACCCAAATCGTCTCGAGATGGGAGCTGATTCCCTGGTCAAGGCTCAAGACGTATGCCAACTTTCCAGAAGCACCTCAGGAGGAGGCTTCTCTCAGCAATAAGTATGTGGGAGGGACCCCGAGTTTGTGCCTCAAGGGGAATATACAGCGAGAAGCCCTAACTTGAAAGGAGGCCGGATTTCCTTGCAGTTGCTTAAATACAGGTTCGTCTTTCATCTCACAACATGAAGGGATGTCTGAATCCACTGTGGAGACCTTAGAGAAAGCCCTAGGTCCCTGCCTCATTTTGACGGAATGCCTCACATCCCGCTGACACCTCGAGAGGCACGCGGAGTTCATTGCTTCAAAAGGTGACGATGCCTGACTCCTCTTGAATACTGATAGGAATCCCAAAATCCCTGTGGCTAGGGGAAAGGGTCCTTGGGTGCCCTGCCTCACCTCGAGAAGCGTCCCTTTTGCCCTGCCAAGCCTCTTAGAGATTCCTGAGGTGTCCCTCGTTACTAGACAGGAGTCCAGACGTCACTGAAGAAACTCGTGTTTTGAAGGGCCATCCCCGCCGTAAGTCGAGAACATACCCCAGGTCCCTGCCGCAACTCGAGAAAAACCATGAGACTTCCCCCTAGAGGCGAGATGAGGCCCCATTCCCCTGCAGTGCATGCAGAGCTATTCCGTGATCCCATTCAAACAAGTCAGGAGCTTCGACTTGCTTAATGGATCTCGAGACAGTCCCCAAGAACACTGTCACCAGTCTAGACGGACCCTGAGGTCACCCCAGCAACGCAAAGCAGCTCCATGTGCCCCAAATCAACTCGAGATTAGGCCCGATTCCCCTGCATTGATTCCAGAGCCATTCCCCGTTCCCCATTCAACACGACCGGTGGATCGACTTCCTTCAGGCAACTCCAGAGATGCCCCGAGAACACTGTCCCAAGTCTAGAGGAACACCAACGTCAGCACAGCAACTCGAGGAATGCTCCGTGTACCCCAAATTGTCTCGAGATGAGAGCTGATTCCCTGGATTAGGCTCAAGACGTATGCCAACTTTCCAGAAGCACCTCAGGAGGAGGCTTCTCTCAGCAATAGGTATGTGGAAGGGACCCCGAGTTTGCTGCCTCAAGGGGAATATACAGCGAGAAGCCCTAACTTGAAAGGAGGCAGCATTTCCTTGCAGTGGCTTGAATACAGGCTCGTCTTTCATCTCACAACATGAAGGGATGTCTGAATCCCCTGTGGAGACCTTAGAGAAAGCCCTAGGTCCCTGCCTCATTTTGACGGAATGCCTCACATCCCACTGACACCTCGAGAGGCACGCAGAGTTCATTGCTTCAAAAGGTGACGATGCCTGACTCCTCTTGAATACTGATAGGAATCCCAAAATCGCTGTGGCTACTGGAAAGGGTCCTTGGGTACCCTGCCTCACCTCGAGAAGCGTCCCTTTTGCCCTGCCAAGCCTCGTAGAGATTCCTGAGGTGTCCCTCGTTACAAGACAGGGGTCCTGACGTCACTGAAGAAACTCGTGTTTTGAAGGGCCATCCCCGCCGTAAGTCGAGAACATACCCCAGGTCCCCGCCGCCACTCGAGAAAAACCATGAGACTCCCCCCTAGAGGCGAGATGGGGCCCCATTCCCCTGCAGTGCATGCAGAGCTATTCCGTGATCCCATTCAAACAAGTCAGGAGCTTCTACTTGCTTAATGGATCTCGAGACAGTCCCCAAGAACACTGTCACCAGTCTAGACGGACCCTGAGGTCACCCCAGCAACGCAAAGCAGCTCCATGTGCCCCAAATCAACTCCAGATGAGGCCCGATTCCCCTGCATTGACTCCAGAGCCATTCCCCGTTCCCCATTCAACACGACCGGTGGCTCGACTTCCTTCAGGCAACTCCAGAGATGCCCCGAGAACACTGTCCCAAGTCTAGAGGAACACCAACTTCAGCACAGCAACTTGAGGAATGCTCCGTGTACCCCAAATCGTCTCGAGATGAGAGCTGATTCCCTGGCTTAGGCTCAAGACGTATGCCAACTTTCCAGAAGCACCTCAGGAGGAGGCTTCTCTCAGCAATAGTTATGTGGGAGGGACCCTGAGTTTGCTGCCTCAAGGGGAATATACAGCGAGAAGCCCTAACTTGAAAGGAGGCCGGATTTCCTTGCAGTGGCTTGAATACAGGCTCGTCTTTCATCTCACAACATGAAGGGATGTCTGAATCCCCTGTGGAGACCTTAGAGAAAGCCCTAGGTCCCTGCCTCATTTTGACGGAATGCCTCACGTCCCGCTGACACCTCGAGAGGCACGCGGAGTTCATTGCTTCAAAAGGTGACGATGCCTGACTCCTCTTGAATACTGATAGGAATCCCAAAATCCCTGTGGCTACGGGAAAGGGTCCTTGGGTGCCCTGCCTCACCTCGAGAAGCGTCCCTTTGGCCCTGCCAAGCCTCGAAGAGATTCCTGAGGTGTCCCTCGTTACTAGACACGAGTCCTGACGTCACTGAAGAAACTCGTGTTTTGAAGGGCCATCCCCGCAGTAAGTCGAGAACATACCCCAAGTCCACACCGCAACTCGAGAAAAACCATGAGACTTCCCCCTAGAGGCGAGATGAGGCCCCATTCCCCTGCAGTGCATGCAGAGCTATTCCGTGATCCCATTCAAACAAGTCAGGAGCTTCGACTTGCTTAATGGATCTCGAGACAGTCCCCAAGAACACTGTCACCAGTCTAGACGGACCCTGAGGTCACCCCAGCAACGCAAAGCAGCTCCATGTGCCCCAAATCAACTCGAGATGAGGCCCGATTCCCCTGCATTGACTCCAGAGCCATTCCCCGTTCCCCATTCAACACGACCGGTGGCTCGACTTCCTTCAGGCAACTCCAGAGATGCCCCGAGAACACTGTCCCAAGTCTAGAGGAACACCAACGTCAGCACAGCAACTCGAGGAATGCTCCGTGTAACCCAAATCGTCTCGAGATGAGAGCTGATTCCCTGGCTTAGGCTCAAGACGTATGCCAACTTTCCAGAAGCACCTCAGGAGGAGGCTTCTCTCACCAATAGTTATGTGGGAGGGACCCCGAGTTTGCTGCCTCAAGGGGAATATACAGCGAGAAGCCCTAACTTGAAAGGAGGCCGGATTTCCTTGCAGTGGCTTGAATACAGGCTCGTCTTTCATCTCACAACATGAAGGGATGTCTGAATCCCCTGTGGAGACCTTAGAGAAAGCCCTAGGTCCCTGCCTCATTTTGACGGAATGCCTCACATCTCGCTGACACCTCGAGAGGCACGCGGAGTTCATTGCTTCAAAAGGTGACGATGCCTGACTCCTCTTGAATACTGATAGGAATCCCAAAATCCCTGTGGCTACTGGAAAGGGTCCTTGGGTGCCCTGCCTCACCTCGAGAAGCGTCCCTTTTGCCCTGCCAAGCCTTGAAGAGATTCCTGAGGTGTCCCTCGTTACTAGACAGGAGTCCTGAGGTCACTGAACAAACTCGTGTTTTGAAGGGCCATCCCCGCCGTAAGTCGAGAACATACCCCAGGTCCCCGCCGCAACTGGAGAAAAACCATGAGACTTCCCCCTTGAGGCGAGATGAGGCCCCATTCCCCTTCAGTGCATGCAGAGCTATCCCGTGATCCCATTCAAACAAGTCAGGAGCTTCGACTTGCTTAGTGGATCTCGAGACAGTCCCCAAGAACACTGTCACCAGTCTAGACGGACCCTGAGGTCACCCCAGCAACGCAAAGCAGCTCCATGTGCCCCAAATCAACTCGAGATGAGGCCCGATTCCCCTGCATTCACTCCAGAGCCATTCCCCGTTCCCCATTCAACACGACCGATGGCTCGACTTCCTTCAGGCAACTCCAGAGATGCCCCGAGAACATTGTCCCAAGTCTAGAGGAACACCAACTTCAGCACAGCAACTCGAGGAATGCTCCGTGTAACCCAAATCGTCTCGAGATGAGAGCTGATTCCCTGGCTTAGGCTCAAGACGTATGCCAACTTTCCAGAAGCACCTCAGTAGGAGGCTTCTCTCACCAATAGTTAGGTGGGAGGGACCCCGAGTTTGCTGCCTCAAGGGGAATTTACAGCGAGAAGCCCTAACTTGAAAGGAGGCCGGATTTCCTTGTAGTGGCTTGAATACAGGCTCGTCTTTCATCTCACAACATGAAGGGATGTCTGAATCCCCTGTGGAGACCTTAGAGAAAGCCCTAGGTCCCTGCCTCATTTTGACGGAATGCCTCACATCTCGCTGACACCTCGAGAGGCACGCGGAGTTCATTGCTTCAAAAGGTGACGATGCCTGACTCCTCTTGAATACTGATAGGAATCCCAAAATCCCTGTGGCTACGGGAAAGGGTCCTTGGGTGCCCTGCCTCACCTCGAGAAGCGTCCCTTTTGCCCTGCCAAGCCTCGAAGAGATTCCTGAGGTGTCCCTCGTTACTAGACAGGAGTCCTGACGTCACTGAAGAAACTCGTGTTTTGAAGGGCCATCCCCGCCGTAAGTCGAGAACATACCCCAGGTCCCCGCCGCAACTCGAGAAAAACCATGAGATTTCCCCCTAGAGGCGAGATGAGGCCCCATTCCCCTGCAGTGCATGCAGAGCTATTCCGTGATCCCATTCAAACAAGTCAGGAGCTTCGACTTGCTTAATGGATCTCGAGACAGTCCCCAAGAACACTGTCACCAGTCTAGACGGACCCTGAGGTCACCCCAGCAACGCAAAGCAGCTCCATGTGCCCCAAATCAACTCGAGATGAGGCCCGATTCCCCTTCATTGACTCCAGAGACATTCCCTGTTCCCCATTCAACACGACCGGTGGCTCGACTTCCTTCAGGCAACTCCAGAGATGCCCCGAGAACACTGTCCCAAGTCTAGAGGAACACCAACTTCCGCACAGCAACTCGAGGAATGCTCCGTGTAACCCAAATCGTCTCGAGATGAGAGATGATTCCCTGGCTTAGGCTCAAGACGTATGCCAACTTTCCAGAAGCACCTCAGGAGGAGGCTTCTCTCAGCAATAGTTATGTGGGAGGCACCCCGAGTTTGCTGCCTCAAGGGGAATATACAGCGAGAAGCCCTAACTTGAAAGGAGGCCGGATTTCCTTGCAGTGGCTTGAATACAGGCTCGTCTTTCATCTCACAACATGAAGGGATGTCTGAATCCCCTGTGGAGACCTTAGAGAAAGCCTTAGGTCCCTGCCTCATTTTGACGGAATGCCTCTCGTCCCGCTGACACCTCGAGAGGCACGCGGAGTTCATTGCTTCAAAAGGTGACGATGCCTGACTCCTCTTGAATACTGATAGGAATCCCAAAATCCCTGTGGCTACTGGAAAGGGTCCTTGGGTGCCCTGCCTCACCTCGAGAAGCGTCCCTTTTGCCCTGCCAAGCATCGTTGAGATTCCTGAGGTGTTCCTCATTACTAGACAGGAGTCCTGACGTCACTGAAGAAACTCGTGATTTGAAGGGCCATCCCCGCCGTAAGTCGAGAACATACACCAGGTCCCCGCCGCAACTCGAGAAAAACCATGAGACTTCCCCCTAGAGGCGAGATGAGGCCCCATTCCCCTGCAGTGCATGCAGAGCTATCCCGTGATCCCATTCAAACAAGTCAGGAGCTTCGACTTGCTTAATGGATCTCGAGACAGTCCCCAAGAACACTGTCACCAGTCTAGACGGACCCTGAGGTCACCCCAGCAACGGAAAGCAGCTCCATGTGCCCCAAATCAACTCGAGATGAGGCCCGATTCCCCTGCATTGACTCCAGAGCCATTCCCCGTTCCCCATTCAACACGACCGGTGGCTCGACTTCCTTCAGGCAACTCCAGAGATGCCCCGAGAACACTGTCCCAAGTCTAGAGGAACACCAACTTCAGCACAGCAACTCGAGGAATGCTCTGTGTACCCCAAATCGTCTCGAGATGAGAGCTGATTCCCTGGCTTAGGCTCAAGACTTATGCCAACTTTCCAGAAGCACCTCAGGAGGAGGCTTCTCTCAGCAATAGGTATGTGGGTGGGACCCGAGTTTGCTGCCTCAAGGGGATATACAGCGAGAAGCCCTAACTTGAAAGGAGGCCGGATTTCCTTGCAGTGGCTTGAATACAGGCTCGTCTTTCATCTCACAACAAGAAGGGATGTCTGAATCTCCTGTGGAGACCTTAGAGAAAGCCCTAGGTCCCTGCCTCATTTTGACGGAATGCCTCACATCCCGCTGACACCTCGAGAGGCACGCGGAGTTCATTGCTTCAAAAGGTGACGATGCCTGACTCCTCTTGAATACTGATAGGAATCCCAAAATCGCTGTGGCTACTTCAAAGGCTCCTTGGGTACCCTGCCTCACCTCGAGAAGCGTCCCTTTTGTCCTGCCAAGCCTCGTAGAGATTCCTGAAGTGTCCCTCGTTACTAGACAGGAGTCCTGATGTCACTGAAGATACTCGTGTTTTGAAGGGCCATCCCCGCCCTAAGTCGAGAACATACCCCAGGTCCCCAACGCAACTCGACAAAAACCATGAGACTTCCCCCTAGAGGCGAGATGAGGCCCCATTCCCCTGCAGTGCATGCAGAGCTATTCTGTGATCCCATTCAACAAGTCAGGAGTTTCGACTTGCTTAATGGATCTCGAGACAGTCCCCAAGAACACTGTCACCAGTCTAGACGGACCCTGAGGTCACCCCAGCAACGCAAAGCAGCTCCATGTGCCCCAAATCAACTCGAGATGAGGCCCGATTCCCCTGCATTGACTCCAGAGCCATTCCCCGTTCCCCATTCAACACGACCGGTAGCTCGACTTCCTTCAGGCAACTCCAGAGATGCCCCGAGAACACTGTCCCAAGTCTAGAGGAACACCAACTTCAGCACAGCAACTCGACGAATGCTTCGTGTAACCCAAATCGTCTCGAGATGGGAGCTGATTCCCTGGCCAAGGCTCAAGACGTATGCCAACTTTCCAGAAGCACCTCAGGAGGAGGCTTCTCTCAGCAATAAGTATGTGGGAGGTACCCCGAGTTTGTGCCTCAAGGGGAATATACAGCGAGAAGCCCTAACTTGAAAGGAGGCCGGATTTCCTTGCAGTGGCTTGAATACAGGCTCGTCTTTCATCTCACAACATGAAGGGATGTCTGAATCCCCTGTGGAGACCTTAGAGAAAGCCCTAGGTCCCTGCCTCATTTTGACGGAATGCCTCACATCCCGCTGACACCTCGAGAGGCACGCGGAGTTCATTGCTTCAAAGGTGACGATGCCTGACTCCTCTTGAATACTGATAGGAATCCCAAAATCGCTGTGGCTACTGGAAAGGGTCCTTGGGTACCCTGCCTCACCTCGAGAAGCGTCCCTTTTGCCCTGCCAAGCCTCGTAGAGATTCCTGAGGTGTCCCTCGTTACAAGACAGGAGTCCTGACGTCACTGAAGAAACTCGTGTTTTGAAGGGCCATCCCCGCCGTAAGTCGAGAACATACCCCAAGTCCACACCGCAACTCGAGAAAAACCGTGAGACTTCCCCCTAGAGGCGAGATGAGGCCCCATTCCCCTGCAGTGCATGCAGAGCTATTCCGTGATCCCATTCAAACAAGTCAGGAGCTTCGACTTGCTTAATGGATCTCGAGACAGTCCCCAAGAACACTGTCACCAGCCTAGACGGACCCTGAGGTCACCCCAGCAACGCAAAGCAGCTCCATGTGCCCCAAATCAACTCAAGATGAGGCCCGATTCCCCTGCATTGACTCCAGAGCCATTCCCCGTTCCCCATTCAACACGACCGGTGGCTCGACTTCCTTCAGGCAACTCCAGAGATGCCCCGAGAACACTGTCCCAAGTCTAGAGGAACACCAACTTCAGCACAGCAACTCGAGGAATGCTCCGTGTAACCCAAATCATCTCGAGATGAGAGATGATTCCCTGGCTTAGGCTCAAGACGTATGCCAACTTTCCAGAAGCACCTCAGGAGGAGGCTTCTCTCACCAATAGTTATGTGGGAGGAACCCCGAGTTTGCTGCCTCAAGGGGAATTTACAGCGAGAAGCCCTAACTTGAAAGGAGGCCGGATTTCCTTGCAGTGGCTTGAATACAGGCTCGTCTTTCATCTCACAACATGAAGGGATGTCTGAATCCCCTGTGGAGACCTTAGAGAAAGCCCTAGGTCCCTGCCTCATTTTGACGGAATGCCTCACATCTCGCTGACACCTCGAGAGGCACGCGGAGTTCATTGCTTCAAAAGGTGACGATGCCTGACTCCTCTTGAATACTGATAGGAATCCCGAAATCCCTGTGGCTACGGGAAAGGGTCCTTGGGTGCCCTGCCTCACCTCGAGAAGCGTCCCTTTTGCCTTGCCAAGCCTCGAAGAGATTCCTGAGGTGTCCCTCGTTGCTAGACAGGAGTCCTGACGTCACTGAAGAAACTCGTGTTTTGAAGGGCCATCCCCGCCGTAAGTCGAGAACATACCCCAGGTCCCCGCCGCAACTCGAGAAAAACCATGAGACTTCCCCCTTGAGGCGAGATGAGGCCCCATTCCCCTGCAGTGCATGCAGAGCTATCCCGTGATACCATTCAAACAAGTCAGGAGCTTCGACTTGCTTAGTGGATCTCGAGACAGTCCCCAAGAACCCTGTCACCAGTCTGGACGGACCCTGAGGTCACCCCAGCAACGCAAAGCAGCTCCATGTGCCCCAAATCAACTCGAGATGAGGCCCGATTCCCCTGCATTCACTCCAGAGCCATTCCCCATTCCCCATTCAACACGACCGGTGGCTCGACTTCCTTCAGGCAACTCCAGAGATGCCCCGAGAACACTGTCCCAAGTCTAGAGGAACACCAACTTCAGCACAGCAACTCGAGGAATGCTCCGTGTAACCCAAATCGTCTCGAGATGAGAGCTGATTCCCTGGCTTAGGCTCAAGACTTATGCCAACTTTCCAGAAGCACCTCAGTAGGAGGCTTCTCTCACCAATAGTTATGTGGGAGGGACCCCGAGTTTGCTGCCTCAAGGGGAATTTACAGCGAGAAGCCCTAACTTGAAAGGAGGCCGGATTTCCTTGCAGTGGCTTGAATACAGGCTCGTCTTTCATCTCACAACATGAAGGGATGTCTGAATCCCCTGTGGAGACCTTAGAGAAAGCCCTAGGTCCCTGCCTCATTTTGACGGAATGCCTCACATCTCGCTGACACCTCGAGAGGCACGCGGAGTTCATTGCTTCAAAAGGTGACGATGCCTGACTCCTCTTGAATACTGATAGGAATCCCGAAATCCCTGTGGCTACGGGAAAGGGTCCTTGGGTGCCCTGCCTCACCTCGAGAAGCGTCCCTTTTGCCCTGCCAAGCCTCGAAGAGATTCCTGAGGTGTCCCTCGTTACTAGACAGGAGTCCTGACGTCACTGAAGAAACTCGTGTTTTGAAGGGCCATCCCCGCCGTAAGTCGAGAACATACCCCAGGTCCCCGCCGCAACTCGAGAAAAACCATGAGATTTCCCCCTAGAGGCGAGATGAGGCCCCATTCCCCTGCAGTGCATGCAGAGCTATTCCGTGATCCCATTCAAACAAGTCAGGAGCTTCGACTTGCTTAATGGATCTCGAGACAGTCCCCAAGAACACTGTCACCAGTCTAGACGGACCCTGAGGTCACCCCAGCAACGCAAAGCAGCTCCATGTGCCCCAAATCAACTCGAGATGAGGCCCGATTCCCCTTCATTGACTCCAGAGACATTCCCTGTTCCCCATTCAACACGACCGGTGGCTCGACTTCCTTCAGGCAACTCCAGAGATGCCCCGAGAACACTGTCCCAAGTCTAGAGGAACACAAACTTCAGCACAGCAACTCGAGGAATGCTCCGTGTAACCCAAATCGTCTCGAGATGAGAGATGATTCCCTGGCTTAGGCTCAAGACGTATGCCAACTTTCCAGAAGCACCTCAGGAGGAGGCTTCTCTCAGCAATAGGTATGTGGGAGGGACCCCGAGTTTGCTGCCTCAAGGGAAATATACAGCGAGAAGCCCTAACTTGAAAGGAGGCCGGATTTCCTTGCAGTGGCTTGAATACAGGCTCGTCTTTCATCTCACAACATGAAGGGATGTCTGAATCCCCTGTGGAGACCTTAGAGAAAGCCTTAGGTCCCTGCCTCATTTTGACGGAATGCCTCTCGTCCCGCTGACACCTCGAGAGGCACGCGGAGTTCATTGCTTCAAAAGGTGACGATGCCTGACTCCTCTTGAATACTGATAGGAATCCCAAAATCCCTGTGGCTACTGGAAAGGGTCCTTGGGTGCCCTGCCTCACCTCGAGAAGCGTCCCTTTTGCCCTGCCAAGCACCGTTGAGATTCCTGAGGTGTTCCTCATTACTAGACAGGAGTCCTGACGTCACTGAAGAAACTCGTGTTTTGAAGGGCCATCCCCGCCGTAAGTCGAGAACATACACCAGGTCCCCGCCGCAACTCGAGAAAAACCATGAGACTTCCCCCTAGAGGCGAGATGAGGCCCCATTCCCCTGCAGTGCATGCAGAGCTATCCCGTGATCCCATTCAAACAAGTCAGGAGCTTCGACTTGCTTAATGGATCTCGAGACAGTCCCCAAGAACACTGTCACCAGTCTAGACGGACCCTGAGGTCACCCCAGCAACGGAAAGCAGCTCCATGTGCCCCAAATCAACTCGAGATGAGGCCCGATTCCCCTGCATTGACTCCAGAGCCATTCCCCGTTCCCCATTCAACACGACCGGTGGCTCGACTTCCTTCAGGCAACTCCAGAGATGCCCCGAGAACACTGTCCCAAGTCTAGAGGAACACCAACTTCAGCACAGCAACTCGAGGAATGCTCTGTGTACCCCAAATCGTCTCGAGATGAGAGCTGATTCCCTGGCTTAGGCTCAAGACTTATGCCAACTTTCCAGAAGCACCTCAGGAGGAGGCTTCTCTCAGCAATAGGTATGTGGGTGGGACCCGAGTTTGCTGCCTCAAGGGGATATACAGCGAGAAGCCCTAACTTGAAAGGAGGCCGGATTTCCTTGCAGTGGCTTGAATACAGGCTCGTCTTTCATCTCACAACAAGAAGGGATGTCTGAATCTCCTGTGGAGACCTTAGAGAAAGCCCTAGGTCCCTGCCTCATTTTGACGGAATGCCTCACATCCCGCTGAAACCTCGAGAGGCACGCGGAGTTCATTGCTTCAAAAGGTGACGATGCCTGACTCCTCTTGAATACTGAGAGGAATCCCAAAATCGCTGTGGCTACTTCAAAGGCTCCTTGGGTACCCTGCCTCACCTCGAGAAGCGTCCCTTTTGCCCTGCCAAGCCTCGTAGAGATTCCTGAAGTGTCCCTCGTTACTAGACAGGAGTCCTGATGTCACTGAAGATACTCGTGTTTTGAAGGGCCATCCCCGCCCTAAGTCGAGAACATACCCCAGGTCCCCAACGCAACTCGACAAAAACCATGAGACTTCCCCCTAGAGGCGAGATGAGGCCCCATTCCCCTGCAGTGCATGCAGAGCTATTCTGTGATCCCATTCAACAAGTCAGGAGTTTCGACTTGCTTAATGGATCTCGAGACAATCCCCAAGAACACTGTCACCAGTCTAGACGGACCCTGAGGTCACCCCAGCAACGCAAAGCAGCTCCATGTGCCCCAAATCAACTCGAGATGAGGCCCGATTCCCCTGCATTGACTCCAGAGCCATTCCCCGTTCCCCATTCAACACGACCGGTGGCTCGACTTCCTTCAGGCAACTCCAGAGATGCCCCGAGAACACTGTCCCAAGTCTAGAGGAACACCAACTTCAGCACAGCAACTCGACGAATGCTTCGTGTAACCCAAATCGTCTCGAGATGGGACCTGATTCCCTGGCCAAGGCTCAAGACGTATGCCAACTTTCCAGAAGCACCTCAGGAGGAGGCTTCTCTCAGCAATAAGTATGTGGGAGGTACCCCGAGTTTGTGCCTCAAGGGGAATATACAGCGAGAAGCCCTAACTTGAAAGGAGGCCGGATTTCCTTGCAGTGGCTTGAATACAGGCTCGTCTTTCATCTCACAACATGAAGGGATGTCTGAATCCCCTGTGGAGACCTTAGAGAAAGCCCTAGGTCCCTGCCTCATTTTGACGGAATGCCTCACATCCCGCTGACACCTCGAGAGGCACGCGGAGTTCATTGCTTCAAAGGTGACGATGCCTGACTCCTCTTGAATACTGATAGGAATCCCAAAATCGCTGTGGCTACTGGAAAGGGTCCTTGGGTACCCTGCCTCACCTCGAGAAGCGTCCCTTTTGCCCTGCCAAGCCTCGTAGAGATTCCTGAGGTGTCCCTCGTTACAAGACAGGAGTCCTGACGTCACTGAAGAAACTCGTGTTTTGAAGGGCCATCCCCGCCGTAAGTCGAGAACATACCCCAAGTCCACACCGCAACTCGAGAAAAACCGTGAGACTTCCCCCTAGAGGCGAGATGAGGCCCCATTCCCCTGCAGTGCATGCAGAGCTATTCCGTGATCCCATTCAAACAAGTCAGGAGCTTCGACTTGCTTAATGGATCTCGAGACAGTCCCCAAGAACACTGTCACCAGCCTAGACGGACCCTGAGGTCACCCCAGCAACGCAAAGCAGCTCCATGTGCCCCAAATCAACTCGAGATGAGGCCCGATTCCCCTGCATTGACTCCAGAGCCATTCCCCGTTCCCCATTCAACACGACCGGTGGCTCGACTTCCTTCAGGCAACTCCAGAGATGCCCCGAGAACACTGTCCCAAGTCTAGAGGAACACCAACTTCAGCACAGCAACTCGAGGAATGCTCCGTGTAACCCAAATCATCTCGAGATGAGAGCTGATTCCCTGGCTTAGGCTCAAGACGTATGCCAACTTTCCAGAAGCACCTCAGGAGGAGGCTTCTCTCACCAATAGTTATGTGGGAGGAACCCCGAGTTTGCTGCCTCAAGGGGAATTTACAGCGAGAAGCCCTAACTTGAAAGGAGGCCGGATTTCCTTGCAGTGGCTTGAATACAGGCTCGTCTTTCATCTCACAACATGAAGGGATGTCTGAATCCCCTGTGGAGACCTTAGAGAAAGCCCTAGGTCCCTGCCTCATTTTGACGGAATGCCTCACATCTCGCTGACACCTCGAGAGGCACGCGGAGTTCATTGCTTCAAAAGGTGACGATGCCTGACTCCTCTTGAATACTGATAGGAATCCCGAAATCCCTGTGGCTACGGGAAAGGGTCCTTGGGTGCCCTGCCTCACCTCGAGAAGCGTCCCTTTTGCCTTGCCAAGCCTCGAAGAGATTCCTGAGGTGTCCCTCGTTGCTAGACAGGAGTCCTGACGTCACTGAAGAAACTCGTGTTTTGAAGGGCCATCCCCGCCGTAAGTCGAGAACATACCCCAGGTCCCCGCCGCAACTCGAGAAAAACCATGAGACTTCCCCCTTGAGGCGAGATGAGGCCCCATTCCCCTGCAGTGCATGCAGAGCTATCCCGTGATCCCATTCAAACAAGTCAGGAGCTTCGACTTGCTTAGTGGATCTCGAGACAGTCCCCAAGAACCCTGTCACCCGTCTGGACGGACCCTGAGGTCACCCCAGCAACGCAAAGCAGCTCCATGTGCCCCAAATCAACTCGAGATGAGGCCCGATTCCCCTGCATTCACTCCAGAGCCATTCCCCATTCCCCATTCAACACGACCGGTGGCTCGACTTCCTTCAGGCAACTCCAGAGATGCCCCGAGAACACTGTCCCAAGTCTAGAGGAACACCAACTTCAGCACAGCAACTCGAGGAATGCTCCGTGTAACCCAAATCGTCTCGAGATGAGAGCTGATTCCCTGGCTTAGGCTCAAGACTTATGCCAACTTTCCAGAAGCACCTCAGTAGGAGGCTTCTCTCACCAATAGTTATGTGGGAGGGACCCCGAGTTTGCTGCCTCAAGGGGAATTTACAGCGAGAAGCCCTAACTTGAAAGGAGGCCGGATTTCCTTGCAGTGGCTTGAATACAGGCTCGTCTTTCATCTCACAACATGAAGGGATGACTGAATCCCCTGTGGAGACCTTAGAGAAAGCCCTAGGTCCCTGCCTCATTTTGACGGAATGCCTCACATCTCGCTGACACCTCGAGAGGCACGCGGAGTTCATTGCTTCAAAAGGTGACGATGCCTGACTCCTCTTGAATACTGATAGGAATCCCGAAATCCCTGTGGCTACGGGAAAGGGTCCTTGGGTGCCCTGCCTCACCTCGAGAAGCGTCCCTTTTGCCCTGCCAAGCCTCGAAGAGATTCCTGAGGTGTCCCTCGTTACTAGACAGGAGTCCTGACGTCACTGAAGAAACTCGTGTTTTGAAGGGCCATCCCCGACGTAAGTCGAGAACATACCCCAGGTCCCCGCCGCAACTCGAGAAAAACCATGAGATTTCCCCCTAGAGGCGAGATGAGGCCCCATTCCCCTGCAGTGCATGCAGAGCTATTCCGTGATCCCATTCAAACAAGTCAGGAGCTTCGACTTGCTTAATGGATCTCGAGACAGTCCCCAAGAACACTGTCACCAGTCTAGACGGACCCTGACGTCACCCCAGCAACGCAAAGCAGCTCCATGTGCCCCAAATCAACTCGAGATGAGGCCCGATTCCCCTTCATTGACTCCAGAGACATTCCCTGTTCCCCATTCAACACGACCGGTGGCTCGACTTCCTTCAGGCAACTCCAGAGATGCCCCGAGAACACTGTCCCAAGTCTAGAGGAACACCAACTTCAGCACAGCAACTCGAGGAATGCTCCGTGTAACCCAAATCGTCTCGAGATGAGAGATGATTCCCTGGCTTAGGCTCAAGACGTATGCCAACTTTCCAGAAGCACCTCAGGAGGAGGCTTCTCTCAGCAATAGGTATGTGGGAGGGACCCCGAGTTTGCTGCCTCAAGGGAAATATACAGCGAGAAGCCCTAACTTGAAAGGAGGCCGGATTTCCTTGCAGTGGCTTGAATACAGGCTCGTCTTTCATCTCACAACATGAAGGGATGTCTGAATCCCCTGTGGAGACCTTAGAGAAAGCCCTAGGTCCCTGCCTCATTTTGACGGAATGCCTCACATCCCGCTGACACCTCGAGAGGCACGCGGAGTTCATTGCTTCAAAAGGTGACGATGCCTGACTCCTCTTGAATACTGATAGGAATCCCAAAATCCCTGTGGCTAGGGGAAAGGGTCCTTGGGTGCCCTGCCTCACCTCGAGAAGCGTCCCTTTTGCCCTGCCAAGCCTCTTAGAGATTCCTGAGGTGTCCCTCGTTACTAGACAGGAGTCCTGACGTCACTGAAGAAACTCGTGTTTTGAAGGGCCATCCCCGCCGTAAGTCGAGAACATACCCCAGGTCCCTGCCGCAACTCGCGAAAAACCATGAGACTTCCCCCTAGAGGCGAGATGAGGCCCCATTCCCCTGCAGTGCATGCAGAGCTATTCCGTGATCCCATTCAAACAAGTCAGGAGCTTCGACTTGCTTAATGGATCTCGAGACAGTCCCCAAGAACACTGTCACCAGTCTAGACGGACCCTGAGGTCACCCCAGCAACGCAAAGCAGCTCCATGTGCCCCAAATCAACTCGAGATGAGGCCCGATTCCCCTGCATTCACTCCAGAGCCATTCCCCGTTCCCCATTCAACACGACCGGTGGCTCGACTTCCTTCAGGCAACTCCAGAGATGCCCCGAGAACACTGTCCCAAGTCTAGAGGAACACCAACTTCAGCACAGCAACTCGAGGAATGCTCCGTGTACCCCAAATTGTCTCGAGATGAGAGCTGATTCCCTGGATTAGGCTCAAGACGTATGCCAACTTTCCAGAAGCACCTCAGGAGGAGGCTTCTCTCAGCAATAGGTATGTGGAAGGGTCCCCGAGTTTGCTGCCTCAAGGGGAATATACAGCGAGAAGCCCTAACTTGAAAGGAGGCCGCATTTCCTTGCAGTGGCTTGAATACAGGCTCGTCTTTCATCTCACAACATGAAGGGATGTCTGAATCCCCTGTGGAGACCTTAGAGAAAGCCCTAGGTCCCTGCCTCATTTTGACGGAATGCCTCACATCCCGCTGACACCTCGAGAGGCACGCGGAGTTCATTGCTTCAAAAGGTGACGATGCCTGACTCCTCTTGAATACTGATAGGAATCCCAAAATCGCTGTGGCTACTGGAAAGGCTCCTTGGGTACCCTGCCTCACCTCGAGAAGCGTCCCTTTTGCCCTGCCAAGCCTGGAAGAGATTCCTGAAGTGTCCCTCTTTACTAGACAGGAGTCCTGATGTCACTGAAGAAAATCGTGTTTTGAAGGGCCATCCCCGCCCTAAGTCGAGAACATACCCCAGGTCTCCGCCGCAACTCGAGAAAAACCATGAGACTTCCCCCTATAGGCGAGATGAGGCCCCATTCCCCTGCAGTGCATGCAGAGCTATTCTGTGATCCCATTCAACAAGTCAGGAGTTTCGACTTGCTAATGGATCTCGAGACAGTCCCCAAGAACACTGTCACCAGTCTAGACGGACCCTGAGGTCACCCCAGCAACGCAAAGCAGCTCCATGTGCCCCAAATCAACTCGAGATGAGGCCCGATTCCCCTGCATTCACTCCAGAGCCATTCCCCGTTCCCCATTCAACACGACCGGTGGCTCGACTTCCTTCAGGCAACTCCAGAGATGCCCCGAGAACACTGTCCCAAGTCTAGAGGAACACCAACTTCAGCACAGCAACTCGAGGAATGCTCCGTGTAACCCAAATCGTCTCGAGATGAGAGCTGATTCCCTGGCTTAGGCTCAAGACGTATGCCAACTTTCCAGAAGCACCTCAGTAGGAGGCTTCTCTCACCAATAGTTATGTGGGAGGGACCCCGAGTTTGCTGCCTCAAGGGGAATTTACAGCGAGAAGCCCTAACTTGAAAGGAGGCCGGATTTCCTTGCAGTTCCTTGAATACAGGCTCGTCTTTCATCTCACAACATGAACGAATGTCTGAATCCCCTGTGGAGACCTTAGAGAAAGCCCTAGGTCCCTGCCTCATTTTGACGGAATGCCTCACATCTCGCTGACACCTCGAGAGGCACGCGGAGTTCATTGCTTCAAAAGGTGACGATGCCTGACTCCTCTTGAATACTGATAGGAATCCCGAAATCCCTGTGGCTACGGGAAAGGGTCCTTGGGTGCCCTGCCTCACCTCGAGAAGCGTCCCTTTTGCCCTGCCAAGCCTCGAAGAGATTCCTGAGGTGTCCCTCGTTACTAGACAGGAGTCCTGACGTCACTGAAGAAACTCGTGTTTTGAAGGGCCATCCCCGCCGTAAGTCGAGAACATACCCCAGGTCCCTGCCGCAACTCGAGAAAAACCATGAGACTTCCCCCTATAGGCGAGATGAGGCCCCATTCCCCTGCAGTGCATGCAGAGCTATTCCGTGATCCCATTCAAACAAGTCAGGAGCTTCGACTTGCTTAATGGATCTCGAGACAGTCCCCAAGAACACTGTCACCAGTCTAGACGGACCCTGAGGTCACCCCAGCAACGCAAAGCAGCTCCATGTGCCCCAAATCAACTCGAGATGAGGCCCGATTCCCCTGCATTGACTCCAGAGCCATTCCCCGTTCCCCATTCAACACGACCGGTGGCTCGACTTCCTTCAGGCAACTCCAGAGATGCCCCGAGAACACTGTCCCAAGTCTAGAGGAACACCAACTTCAGCACAGCAACTCGACGAATGCTTCGTGTAACCCAAATCGTCTCGAGATGGGAGCTGATTCCCTGGCCAAGGCTCAAGACGTATGCCAACTTTCCAGAAGCACCTCAGGAGGAGGCTTCTCTCAGCAATAAGTATGTGGGAGGGACCCCGAGTTTGTGCCTCAAGGGGAATATACAGCGAGAAGCCCTAACTTGAAAGGAGGCCGGATTTCCTTGCAGTTCCTTAAATACAGGTTCGTCTTTCATCTCACAACATGAAGGGATGTCTGAATCCCCTGTGGAGACCTTAGAGAAAGCCCTAGGTCCCAGCCTCATTTTGACGGAATGCCTCACATCCCGCTGACACCTCGAGAGGCACGCGGAGTTCATTGCTTCAAAAGGTGACGATGCCTGACTCCTCTTGAATACTGATAGGAATCCCAAAATCCCTGTGGCTAGGGGAAAGGGTCCTTGGGTGCCCTGCCTCACCTCGAGAAGCGTCCCTTTTGCCCTGCCAAGCCTCTTAGAGATTCCTGAGGTGTCCCTCGTTACTAGACAGGAGTCCTGACGTCACTGAAGAAACTCGTGTTTTGAAGGGCCATCCCCGCCGTAAGTCGAGAACATACCCCAGGTCCCTGCCGCAACTCGAGAAAAACCATGAGACTTCCCCCTAGAGGCGAGATGAGGCCCCATTCCCCTGCAGTGCATGCAGAGCTATTCCGTGATCCCATTCAAACAAGTCAGGAGCTTCGACTTGCTTAATGGATCTCGAGACAGTCCCCAAGAACACTGTCACCAGTCTAGACGGACCCTGAGGTCACCCCAGCAACGCAAAGCAGCTCCATGTGCCCCAAATCAACTCGAGATGAGGCCCGATTCCCCTGCATTGACTCCAGAGCCATTCCCCGTTCCCCATTCAACACGACCGGTGGCTCGACTTCCTTCAGGCAACTCCAGAGATGCCCCGAGAACACTGTCCCAAGTCTAGAGGAACACCAACTTCAGCACAGCAACTCGAGGAATGCTCCGTGTAACCCAAATCGTCTCGAGATGAGAGCTGATTCCCTGGCTTAGGCTCAAGACGTATGCCAACTTTCCAGAAGCACCTCAGGAGGAGGCTTCTCTCACCAATAGTTATGTGGGAGGGACCCCGAGTTTGCTGCCTCAAGGGGAATATACAGCGAGAAGCCCTAACTTGAAAGGAGGCCGGATTTCCTTGCAGTGGCTTGAATACAGGCTCGTCTTTCATCTCACAACATGAAGGGATGTCTGAATCCCCTGTGGAGACCTTAGAGAAAGCCCTAGGTCGCTGCCTCATTTTGACGGAATGCCTCACATCTCGCTGACACCTCGAGAGGCACGCGGAGTTCATTGCTTCAAAAGGTGACGATGCCTGACTCCTCTTGAATACTGATAGGAATCCCAAAATCCCTGTGGCTACTGGAAAGGGTCCTTGGGTGCCCTGCCTCACCTCGAGAAGCGTCCCTTTTGCCCTGCCAAGCCTTGAAGAGATTCCTGAGGTGTCCCTCGTTACTAGACAGGAGTCCTGAGGTCACTGAACAAACTCGTGTTTTGAAGGGCCATCCCCGCCGTAAGTCGAGAACATACCCCAGGTCCCCGCCGCAACTCGAGAAAAACCATGAGACTTCCCCCTTGAGGCGAGATGAGGCCCCATTCCCCTGCAGTGCATGCAGAGCTATCCCGTGATCCCACTCAAACAAGTCAGGAGCTTCGACTTGCTTAGTGGATCTCGAGACAGTCCCCAAGAACACTGTCACCAGTCTAGACGGACCCTGAGGTCACCCCAGCAACGCAAAGCAGCGCCATGTGCCCCAAATCAACTCGAGATGAGGCCCGATTCCCTTGCATTGACTCCAGAGCCATTCCCCGTTCCCCATTCAACACGACCGATGGCTCGACTTCCTTCAGGCAACTCCAGAGATGCCCCGAGAACATTGTCCCAAGTCTAGAGGAACACCAACTTCAGCACAGCAACTCGAGGAATGCTCCGTGTAACCCAAATCGTCTCGAGATGAGAGCTGATTCCCTGGCTTAGGCTCAAGACTTATGCCAACTTTCCAGAAGCACCTCAGGAGGAGGCTTCTCTCAGCAATAGGTATGTGGGTGGGACCCGAGTTTGCTGCCTCAAGGGGATATACAGCGAGAAGCCCTAACTTGAAAGGAGGCCGGATTTCCTTGCAGTGGCTTGAATACAGGCTCGTCTTTCATCTCACAACAAGAAGGGATGTCTGAATCTCCTGTGGAGACCTTAGAGAAAGCCCTAGGTCCCTGCCTCATTTTGACGGAATGCCTCACATCCCGCTGACACCTCGAGAGGCACGCGGAGTTCATTGCTTCAAAAGGTGACGATGCCTGACTCCTCTTGAATACTGATAGGAATCCCAAAATCGCTGTGGCTACTTCAAAGGCTCCTTGGGTACCCTGCCTCACCTCGAGAAGCGTCCCTTTTGCCCTGCCAAGCCTCGTAGAGATTCCTGAAGTGTCCCTCGTTACTAGACAGGAGTCCTGATGTCACTGAAGATACTCGTGTTTTGAAGGGCCATCCCCGCCCTAAGTCGAGAACATACCCCAGGTCCCCAACGCAACTCGACAAAAACCATGAGACTTCCCCCTAGAGGCGAGATGAGGCCCCATTCCCCTGCAGTGCATGCAGAGCTATTCTGTGATCCCATTCAACAAGTCAGGAGTTTCGACTTGCTTAATGGATCTCGAGACAGTCCCCAAGAACACTGTCACCAGTCTAGACGGACCCTGAGGTCACCCAGCAACGCAAAGCAGCTCCATGTGCCCCAAATCAACTCGAGATGAGGCCCGATTCCCCTGCATTGACTCCAGAGCCATTCCCCTTCCCCATTCAACACGACCGGTGGCTCGACTTCCTTCAGGCAACTCCAGAGATGCCCCGAGAACACTGTCCCAAGTCTAGAGGAACACCAACTTCAGCACAGCAACTCGACGAATGCTTCGTGTAACCCAAATCGTCTCGAGATGGGAGCTGATTCCCTGGCCAAGGCTCAAGACGTATGCCAACTTTCCAGAAGCACCTCAGGAGGAGGCTTCTCTCAGCAATAAGTATGTGGGAGGTACCCCGAGTTTGTGCCTCAAGGGGAATATACAGCGAGAAGCCCTAACTTGAAAGGAGGCCGCATTTCCTTGCAGTGGCTTGAATACAGGCTCGTCTTTCATCTCACAACATGAAGGGATGTCTGAATCCCCTGTGGAGACCTTAGAGAAAGCCCTAGGTCCCTGCCTCATTTTGACGGAATGCCTCACATCCCGCTGACACCTCGAGAGGCACGCGGAGTTCATTGCTTCAAAGGTGACGATGCCTGACTCCTCTTGAATACTGATAGGAATCCCAAAATCGCTGTGGCTACTGGAAAGGCTCCTTGGGTACCCTGCCTCACCTCGAGAAGCGTCCCTTTTGCCCTGCCAAGCCTGGAAGAGATTCCTGAAGTGTCCCTCTTTACTAGACAGGAGTCCTGATGTCACTGAAGAAACTCGAGTTTTGAAGGGCCATCCCCGCCCTAAGTCGAGAACATACCCCAGGTCCCCAACGCAACTCGAGAAAAACAATGAGACTTCCCCCTAGAGGCGAGATGAGGCCCCATTCCCCTGCAGTGCATGCACAGCTATTCTGTGATCCCATTCAACAAGTCAGGAGTTTCGACTTGCTTAATGGATCTCGAGACAGTCCCCAAGAACACTGTCACCAGTCTAGACGGACCCTGAGGTCACCCCAGCAACGCAAAGCAGCTCCATGTGCCCCAAATCAACTCGAGATGAGGCCCGATTTCCCTGCATTGACTCCAGAGCCATTCCCCGTTCCCCATTCAACACGACCGGTGGCTCGACTTCCTTCAGGCAACTCCAGAGATGCCCCGAGAACACTGTCCCAAGTCTAGAGGAACACCAACTTCAGCACAGCAACTCGAGGAATGCTCCGTGTAACCCAAATCATCTCGAGATGAGAGCTGATTCCCTGGCTTAGGCTCAAGACGTATGCCAACTTTCCAGAAGCACCTCAGGAGGAGGCTTCTCTCACCAATAGTTATGTGGGAGGAACCCCGAGTTTGCTGCCTCAAGGGGAATTTACAGCGAGAAGCCCTAACTTGAAAGGAGGCCGGATTTCCTTGCAGTGGCTTGAATACAGGGTCGTGTTTCATCTCACAACATGAAGGGATGTCTGAATCCCCTGTGGAGACCTTAGAGAAAGCCCTAGGTCCCTGCCTCATTTTGACGGAATGCCTCACATCTCGCTGACACTTCGAGAGGCACGCGGAGTTCATTGCTTCAAAAGGTGACGATGCCTGACTCCTCTTGAATACTGATAGGAATCCCGAAATCCCTGTGGCTACGGGAAAGGGTCCTTGGGTGCCCTGCCTCACCTCGAGAAGCGTCCATTTTGCCTTGCCAAGCCTCGAAGAGATTCCTGAGGTGTCCCTCGTTGCTAGACAGGAGTCCTGACGTCACTGAAGAAACTTGTGTTTTGAAGGGCCATCCCCGCCGTAAGTCGAGAACATAACCCAGGTACCCGCCGCAACTCGAGAAAAACCATGAGATTTCCCCCTAGAGGCGAGATGAGGCCCCATTCCCCTTCAGTGCATGCAGAGCTATTCCGTGATCCCATTCAAACAAGTCAGGAGCTTCGACTTGCTTAATGGATCTCGAGACAGTCCCCAAGAACACTGTCACCAGTCTAGACGGACCCTGAGGTCACCCCAGCAACGCAAAGCAGCTCCATGTGCCCCAAATCAACTCAAGATGAGGCCCGATTCCCCTGCATTGACTCCAGAGCCATTCCCCGTTCCCCATTCAACACGCCCGGTGGCTCGACTTCCTTCAGGCAACTCCAGAGATGCCCCGAGAACACTGTCCGAAGTCTAGAGGAACAACAACTTCAGCACAGCAACTCGAGGAATGCTCCGTGTACCCCCAATCGTCTCGAGATGAGAGCTGATTCCCTGGCTTAGGCTCAAGACGTATGCCAACTTTCCAGAAGCACCTCAGGAGGAGGCTTCTCTCAGCAATAGGTATGTGGAAGGGACCCCGAGTTTGCTGCCTCAAGGGGAATATACAGCGAGAAGCCCTAACTTGAAAGGAGGCCGGATTTCCTTGCAGTGGCTTGAATACAGGCTCGTCTTTCATCTCACAACATGAAGGGATGTCTGAATCCCCTGTGGAGACCTTAGAGAAGGCCCTAGGTCCCTGCCTCATTTTGACGGAATGCCTCACATCCCGCTGACACCTCGAGAGGCACGCGGAGTAAATTGCTTCAAAAGGTGACGATGCCTGACTCCTCTTGAATACTGATAGGAATCCCAAAATACCTGTGGCTACTGGAAAGGGTCCTTGGGTGCCCTGCCTCGCCTCGAGAAGCGTCCCTTTTGCCCTGCCAAGCCTTGAAGAGATTCCTGAGGTGTCCCTCGTTACTAGACAGGAGTCCTGAGGTCACTGAAGAAACTCGTGTTTTGAAGGGCCATCCCCGCCGTAAGTCGAGAACATACCCCAGGTCCCCGCCGCAACTCGAGAAAAACCCTGAGACTTCCCCCTTGAGGCGAGATGAGGCCCCATTCCCCTGCAGTGCATGCAGAGCTATCCCGTGATCCCATTCAAACAAGTCAGGAGATTAGACTTGCTTAATGGATCTCGAGACAGTCCCCAAGAACACTGTCACCAGTCTAGACGGACCCTGAGGTCACCCCAGCAACGCAAAGCAGCTCCATGTGCCCCAAATCAACTCGAGATGAGGCCCGATTCCCCTGCATTGACTCCAGAGACATTCCCCGTTCCCCATTCAACACGACCGGTGGCTCGACTTCCTTCAGGCAACTCCAGAGATGCCCCGAGAACACTGTCCCAAGTCTAGAGGAACACCAACTTCAGCACAGCAACTCGAGGAATGCTCCGTGTAACCCAAATCATCTCGAGATGGGAGCTGATTCCCTGGCTTAGGCTCAAGACGTATGCCAACTTTCCAGAAGCACCTCAGGAGGAGGCTTCTCTCAGCAATAGTTATGTGGGAGGAACCCCGAGTTTGCTGCCTCAAGGGGAATTTACAGCGAGAAGCCCTAACTTGAAAGGAGGCCGGATTTCCTTGCAGTGGCTTGAATACAGGCTCGTCTTTCATCTCACAACATGAAGGGATGTCTGAATCCCCTGTGGAGACCTTAGAGAAAGCCCTAGGTCCCTGCCTCATTTTGACGGAATGCCTCACATCTCGCTGACACCTCGAGAGGCACGCGGAGTTCATTGCTTCAAAAGGTGACGATGCCTGACTCCTCTTGAATACTGATAGGAATCCCGAAATCCCTGTGGCTACGGGAAAGGGTCCTTGGGTGCCCTGCCTCACCTCGAGAAGCGTCCCTTTTGCCTTGCCAAGCCTCGAAGAGATTCCTGAGGTGTCCCTCGTTGCTAGACAGGAGTCCTGACGTCACTGAAGAAACTCGTGTTTTGAAGGGCCATCCCCGCCCTAAGTCGAGAACATACCCCAGGTCCCCGCCGCAACTCGAGAAAAACCATGAGATTTCCCCCTAGAGGCGAGATGAGGCCCTTTCCCCTTCAGTGCATGCAGAGCTATTCCGTGATCCCATTCAAACAAGTCAGGAGCTTCGACTTGCTTAATGGATCTCGAGACAGTCCCCAAGAATACTGTCACCAGTCTAGACGGACCCTGAGGTCACCCCAGCAACGCAAAGCAGCTCCATGTGCCCCAAATCAACTCGAGATGAGGCCCGATTCCCATGCATTGATTCCAGAGCCATTCCCCGTTCCACATTCAACACGACCGGTGGCTCGACTTCCTTCAGGCAACTCCAGAGATGCCCCGAGAACACTGTCCCAAGTGTAGAGGAACAACAACTTCAGCAGAGCAACTCGAGGAATGCTCCGTGTACCCCCAATCGTCTCGAGATGAGAGCTGATTCCCTGGCTTAGGCTCAAGACGTATGCCAACTTTCCAGAAGCACCTCAGGAGGAGGCTTCTCTCAGCAATAGGTATGTGGAAGGGACCCCGAGTTTGCTGCCTCAAGGGGAATATACAGCGAGAAGCCCTAACTTGAAAGGAGGCCGGATTTCCTTGCAGTGGCTTGAATACAGGCTCGTCTTTCATCTCACAACATGAAGGGATGTCTGAATCCCCTGTGGAGACCTTAGAGAAGGCCCTAGGTCCCTGCCTCATTTTGACGGAATGCCTCACATCCCGCTGACACCTCGAGAGGCACGCGGAGTAAATTGCTTCAAAAGGTGACGATGCCTGACTCCCCTTGAATACTGATAGGAATCCCAAAATACCTGTGGCTACTGGAAAGGGTCCTTGGGTGCCCTGCCTCGCCTCGAGAAGCGTCCCTATTGCCCTGCCAAGCCTTGAAGAGATTCCTGAGGTGTCCCTCGTTACTAGACAGGAGTCCTGAGGTCACTGAAGAAACTCGTGTTTTGAAGGGCCATCCCCGCCGTAAGTCGAGAACATACCCCAGGTCCCCGCCGCAACTCGAGAAAAACCATGAGACTTCCCCCTTGAGGCGAGATGAGGCCCCATTCCCCTGCAGTGCATGCAGAGCTATCCCGTGATCCCATTCAAACAAGTCAGGAGCTTCGACTTGCTTAATGGATCTCGAGACAGTCCCCAAGAACACTGTCACCAGTCTAGACGGACCCTGAGGTCACCCCATCAACGCAAAGCAGCTCCATGTGCCCCAAATCAACTCGAGATGAGGCCCGATTCCCCTGCATTGACTCCAGAGCCATTCCCCGTTCCCCATTCAACACGACCGGTGGCTCGACTTCCTTCAGGCAACTCCAGAGATGCCCCGAGAACACTGTCCCAAGTCTAGAGGAACACCAACTTCAGCACAGCAACTCGGCGAATGCTTCGTGTAACCCAAATCGTCTCGAGATGGGAGCTGATTCCCTGGCCAAGGCTCAAGACGTATGCCAACTTTCCAGAAGCACCTCAGGAGGAGGCTTCTTTCAGCAATAAGTATGTGGGAGGGACCCCGAGTTTGTGCCTCAAGGGCAATATACAGCGAGAAGCCCTAACTTGAAAGGAGGCCGGATTTCCTTGCAGTGGCTTAAATACAGGTTCGTCTTTCATCTCACAACATGAAGGGATGTCTGAATCCCCTGTGGAGACCTTAGAGAAAGCCCTAGGTCCCTGCCTCATTTTGACGGAATGCCTCACATCCCGCTGACACTTCGAGAGGCACGCGGAGTTCATTGCTTCAAAAGGTGACGATGCCTGACTCCTCTTAAATAGTGATAGGAATCCCAAAATCCCTGTGGCTAGGGGAAAGGGTCCTTCGGTGCCCTGCCTCACCTCGAGAAGCGTCCCTTTTGCCCAGCCAAGCCTCTTAGAGATTCCTGAGGTGTCCCTCGTTACTAGACAGGAGTCCTGACGTCACTGAAGAAACTCGTGTTTTGAAGGGCCATCCCCGCCGTAAGTCGAGAACATACCCCAGGTCCCCGCCGCAACTCGAGAAAAACCATGAGACTTCCCCCTAGAGGCGAGATGAGGCCCCATCCCCTGCAGTGCATGCAGAGCTATTCCGTGATCCCATTCAAACAAGTCAGGAGCTTCGACTGGCTTAATGGATCTCGAGACAGTCCCCAAGAACACTGTCACCAGTCTAGACGGACCCTGAGGTCACCCCAGCAACGCAAAGCAGCTCCATGTGCCCCAAATCAACTCGAGATGAGGCCCGATTCCCCTGCATTGACTCCAGAGCCATTCCCCGTTCCCCATTCAACACGACCGGTGGCTCGACTTCCTTCAGGCAACTCCAGAGATGCCCCGAGAACACTGTCCCAAGTCTAGAGGAACACCAACTTCAGCACAGCAACTCGAGGAATGCTACGTGTACCCCAAATTGTCTCGAGATGAGAGCTGATTCCCTGGATTAGGCTCAAGACGTATGCCAACTTTCCAGAAGCACCTCAGGAGGAGGCTTCTCTCAGCAATAGGTATGTGGAAGGGACCCCGAGTTTGCTGCCTCAAGGGGAATATACAGCGAGAAGCCCTAACTTGAAAGGAGGCCGCATTTCCTTGCAGTGGCTTGAATACAGGCTCGTCTTTCATCTCACAACATGAAGGGATGTCTGAATCCCCTGTGGAGACCTTAGAGAAAGCCCTAGGTCCCTGCCTCATTTTGACGGAATGCCTCACATCCCGCTGACACCTCGAGAGGCACGCGGAGTTCATTGCTTCAAAAGGTGACGATGCCTGACTCCTCTTGAATACTGATAGGAATCCCAAAATCGCTGGGGCTACTGGAAAGGCTCCTTGGGTACCCTGCCTCACCTCGAGAAGCGTCCCTTTTGCCCTGCCAAGCCTCGTAGAGATTCCTGAAGTGTCCCTCTTTACTAGACAGGAGTCCTGATGTCACTGAAGAAACTCGTGTTTTGAAGGGCCATCCCCGCCCTAAGTCGAGAACATACCCCAGGTCCCTGCCGCAACTCGAGAAAAACCATGAGACTTCCCCCTAGAGGCGAGATGAGGCCCCATTCCCCTGCAGTGCATGCAGAGCTATTCTGTGATCCCATTCAACAAGTCAGGAGTTTCGACTTGCTTAATGGATCTCGAGACAGTCCCCAAGAACACTGTCACCAGTCTAGACGGACCCTGAGGTCACCCCAGCAACGCAAAGCAGCTCCATGTGCCCCAAATCAACTCGAGATGAGGCCCGATTCCCCTGCATTGACTCCAGAGCCATTCCCCGTTCCCCATTCAACACGACCGGTGGCTCGACTTCCTTCAGGCAACTCCAGAGATGCCCCGAGAACACTGTCCCAAGTCTAGAGGAACACCAACTTCAGCACAGCAACTCGAGGAATGCTCCGTGTACCCCAAATTGTCTCGAGATGAGAGCTGATTCCCTGGATTAGGCTCAAGACGTATGCCAACTTTCCAGAAGCACCTCAGGAGGAGGCTTCTCTCAGCAATAGGTATGTGGAAGGGACCCCGAGTTTGCTGCCTCAAGGGGAATATACAGCGAGAAGCCCTAACTTGAAAGGAGGCCGCATTTCCTTGCAGTGGCTTGAATACAGGCTCGTCTTTCATCTCACAACATGAAGGGATGTCTGAATCCCCTGTGGAGACCTTAGAGAAAGCCCTAGGTCCCTGCCTCATTTTGACGGAATGCCTCACATCCCACTGACACCTCGAGAGGCACGCAGAGTTCATTGCTTCAAAAGGTGACGATGCCTGACTCCTCTTGAATACTGATAGGAATCCCAAAATCGCTGTGGCTACTGGAAAGGGTCCTTGGGTACCCTGCCTCACCTAGAGAAGCGTCCCTTTTGCCCTGCCAAGCCTCGTAGAGATTCCTGAGGTGTCCCTCGTTACAAGACAGGAGTACTGACGTCACTGAAGAAACTCGTGTTTTGAAGGGCCATCCCCGCCGTAAGTCGAGAACATACCCCAAGTCCACACCGCAACTCGAGAAAAACCGTGAGACTTCCCCCTAGAGGCGAGATGAGGCCCCATTCCCCTGCAGTGCATGCAGAGCTATTCCTTGATCCCATTCAAACAAGTCAGGAGCTTCGACTTGCTTAATGGATCTCGAGACAGTCCCCAAGAACACTGTCACCAGTCTAGACGGACCCTGAGGTCACCCCAGCAACGCAAAGCAGCTCCATGTGCCCCAAATCAACTCGAGATGAGGCCCGATTCCCCTGCATTGACTCCAGAGCCATTCCCAGTTCCCCATTCAACACGACCGGTGGCTCGACTTCCTTCAGGCAACTCCAGAGATGCCCCGAGAACACTGTCCCAAGTCTAGAGGAACACCAACTTCAGCACAGCAACTCGAGGAATGCTCCGTGTAACCCAAATCATCTCGAGATGAGAGCTGATTCCCTGGCTTAGGCTCAAGACGTATGCCAACTTTCCAGAAGCACCTCAGGAGGAGGCTTCTCTCACCAATAGTTATGTGGGAGGAACCCCGAGTTTGCTGCCTCAAGGGGAATTTACAGCGAGAAGCCCAAACTTGAAAGGAGGCCGCATTTCCTTGCAGTGGCTTGAATACAGGCTCGTCTTTCATCTCACAACATGAAGGGATGTCTGAATCCCCTGTGGAGACCTTAGAGAAAGCCCTAGGTCCCTGCCTCATTTTGACGGAATGCCTCACATCTCGCTGACACCTCGAGAGGCACGCGGAGTTCATTGCTTCAAAAGGTGACGATGCCTGACTCCTCTTGAATACTGATAGGAATCCCGAAATCCCTGTGGGTACGGGAAAGGGTCCTTGGGTGCCCTGCCTCACCTCGAGAAGCGTCCCTTTTGCCTTGCCAAGCCTCGAAGAGATTCCTGAGGTGTCCCTCGTTGCTAGACAGGAGTCCTGATGTCACTGAAGAAACTCGTGTTTTGAAGGGCCATCCCCGCCGTAAGTCGAGAACATACCCCAGGTCCCCGCCGCAACTCGAGAAAAACCATGAGACTTCCCCCTAGAGGCGAGATGAGGCCCCATTCCCCTTCGGTGCATGCAGAGCTATTCCGTGATCCCATTCAAACAAGTCAGGAGCTTCGACTTGCTTAATGGATCTCGAGACAGTCCCCAAGAACACGGTCACCAGTCTAGACGGACCCTGAGGTCACCCCAGCAACGCAAAGCAGCTCCATGTGCCCCAAATCAACTCAAGATGAGGCCCGATTCCCCTGCATTGACTCCAGAGCCATTCCCCGTTCCCCATTCAACACGACCGGTGGCTCGACTTCCTTCAGGCAACTCCAGAGATGCCCCGAGAACACTGTCCCAAGTCTAGAGGAACAACAACTTCAGCACAGCAACTCGAGGAATGCTCCGTGTACCCCCAATCGTCTCGAGATGAGAGCTGATTCCCTGGCTTAGGCTCAAGACGTATGCCAACTTTCCAGAAGCACCTCAGGAGGAGGCTTCTCTCAGCAATAGGTATGTGGAAGGGACCCCGAGTTTGCTGCCTCAAGGGGAATATACAGTGAGAAGCCCTAACTTGAAAGGAGGCCGGATTTCCTTGCAGTGGCTTGAATACAGGCTCGTCTTTCATCTCACAACATGAAGGGATGTCTGAATCCCCTGCGGAGACCTTAGAGAAGGCCCTAGGTCCCTGCCTCATTTTGACGGAATGCCTCACATCCCGCTGACACCTCGAGAGGCACGCGGAGTAAATTGCTTCAAAAGGTGACGATGCCTGACTCCTCTTGAATACTGATAGGAATCCCAAAATACCTGTGGCTACTGGAAAGGGTCCTTGGGTGCCCTGCCTCGCCTCGAGAAGCGTCCCTTTTGCCCTGCCAAGCCTTGAAGAGATTCCTGAGGTGTCCCTCGTTACTAGACAGGAGTCCTGAGGTCACTGAAGAAACTCGTGTTTTGAAGGGCCATCCCCGCCGTAAGTCGAGAACATACCCCAGGTCCCCGCCGCAACTCGAGAAAAACCATGAGACTTCCCCCTTGAGGCGAGATGAGGCCCCATTCCCCTGCAGTGCATGCAGAGCTATCCCGTGATCCCATTCAAACAAGTCAGGAGCTTCGACTTGCTTAGTGGATCTCGAGACAGTCCCCAAGAACCCTGTCACCAGTCTGGACGGACCCTGAGGTCACCCCAGCAACGCAAAGCAGCTCCATGTGCCCCAAATCAACTCGAGATGAGGCCCGATTCCCCTGCATTGACTCCAGAGCCATTCCCCGTTCCACATTCAACACGACCGATGGCTCGACTTCCTTCAGGCAACTCCAGAGATGCCCCGAGAACACTGTCCCAAGTCTAGAGGAACACCAACTTCAGCACAGCAACTTGAGGAATGCTCCGTGTACCCCAAATCGTCTCGAGATGAGAGCTGATTCCCTGGCTTAGGCTCAAGACTTATGCCAACTTTCCAGAAGCACCTCAGTAGGAGGCTTCTCTCAGCAATAGGTATGTGGGAGGGACCCGAGTTTGCTGCCTCAAGGGGAATATACAGCGAGAAGCCCTAACATGAAAGGAGGCCGGATTTCCTTGCAGTGGCTTGAATACAGGCTCGTCTTTCATCTCACAACATGAAGGGATGTCTGAATCCCCTGTGGAGACCTTAGAGAAAGCCTTAGGTCCCTGCCTCATTTTGACAGAATGCCTCTCGTCCCGCTGACACCTCGAGAGGCACGCGGATTTCATTGCTTCAAAAGGTGACGATGCCTGACTCCTCTTGAATACTGATAGGAATCCCAAAATCCCTGTGGCTACTGGAAAGGGTCCTTGGGTGCCCTGCCTCACCTCGAGAAGCGTCCCTTTTGCCCTGCCAAGCCTCGAAGAGATTCCTGAGGTGTTCCTCATTACTAGACAGGAGTCCTGAGGTCACTGAAAAAACTCGTGTTTTGAAGGGCCATCCCCGCCGTAAGTCGAGAACATACCCCAGGTCCCCGCCTCAACTCGATAAAAACCATGAGACTTCCCCCTAGAGGCGAGATGAGGCCCCATTCCCCTGCAGTGCATGCAGAGCTATCCCGTGATCCCATTCAAACAAGTCAGGAGCTTCGACTTGCTTAATGGATCTCGAGACCGTCCCCAAGAACACTGTCACCAGTCTAGACGGACCCTGAGGTCACCGAAGCAACGGAAAGCAGCTCCATGTGCCCCAAATCAACTCGAGATGAGGCCCGATTCCCCTGCATTGACTCCAGAGCCATTCCCCGTTCCCCATTCAACACGACCGGTGGCTCGACTTCCTTCAGGCAACTCCAGAGATGCCCCGAGAACACTGTCCCAAGTCTAGAGGAATACCAACTTCAACACAGCAACTCGAGGAATGCTCTGTGTACCCCAAATCGTCTCGAGATGAGAGCTGATTCCCTGGCTTAGGCTCAAGACTTATGCCAACTTTCAAGAAGCACCTCAGGAGGAGGCTTCTCTCAGCAATAGGTATGTGGGTGGGACCCGAGTTTGCTGCCTCAAGGGGAATATACAGCGAGAAGCCCTAACTTGAAAGGAGGCCGAATTTCCTTGCAGTGGCTTGAATACAGGCTTGTCTTTCATCTCACAACATGAAGGGATGTCTGAATCCCCTGTGGAGACGTTAGAGAAAGCCCTAGGTCCCTGCCTCATTTTGACGGAATGCCTCACATCCCGCTGACACCTCGAGAGGCACGCGGAGTTCATTGCTTCAAAAGGTGACGATGCCTGACTCCTCTTGAATACTGATAGGAATCCCAAAATCGCTGTGGCTACTTGAAAGGCTCCTTGGGTACCCTGCCTCACGTCGAGAAGCGTCCCTTTTGCCCTGCCAAGCCTCGTAGAGATTCCTGAAGTGTCCCTCTTTACTAGACTGGAGTCCTGATGTCACTGAAGAAACTCGTGTTTTGAAGGGCCATCCCCACCCTAAGTCGAGAACATACCCCAGGTCCCCAACGCAACTCGAGAAAAACCATGAGACTTCCCCCTAGAGGCGAGATGAGGCCCCATTCCCCTGCAGTGCATGCAGAGCTATTCTGTGATCCCATTCAAACAAGTCAGGAGCTTCGACTTGCTTAATGGATCTCGAGACAGTCCCCAAGAACACTGTCACCAGTCTAGACGGACCCTGAGGTCACCCCATCAACGCAAAGCAGCTCCATGTGCCCCAAATCAACTCGAGATGAGGCCCGATTCCCCTGCATTGACTCCAGAGCCATTCCCCGTTCCCCATTCAACACGACCGGTGGCTCGACTTCCTTCAGGCAACTCCAGAGATGCCCCGAGAACACTGTCCCAAGTCTAGAGGAACACCAACTTCAGCACAGCAACTCGGCGAATGCTTCGTGTAACCCAAATCGTCTCGAGATGGGAGCTGATTCCCTGGCCAAGGCTCAAGACGTATGCCAACTTTCCAGAAGCACCTCAGGAGGAGGCTTCTTTCAGCAATAAGTATGTGGGAGGGACCCCGAGTTTGTGCCTCAAGGGCAATATACAGCGAGAAGCCCTAACTTGAAAGGAGGCCGGATTTCCTTGCAGTGGCTTAAATACAGGTTCGTCTTTCATCTCACAACATGAAGGGATGTCTGAATCCCCTGTGGAGACCTTAGAGAAAGCCCTAGGTCCCTGCCTCATTTTGACGGAATGCCTCACATCCCGCTGACACTTCGAGAGGCACGCGGAGTTCATTGCTTCAAAAGGTGACGATGCCTGACTCCTCTTAAATAGTGATAGGAATCCCAAAATCCCTGTGGCTAGGGGAAAGGGTCCTTCGGTGCCCTGCCTCACCTCGAGAAGCGTCCCTTTTGCCCAGCCAAGCCTCTTAGAGATTCCTGAGGTGTCCCTCGTTACTAGACAGGAGTCCTGACGTCACTGAAGAAACTCGTGTTTTGAAGGGCCATCCCCGCCGTAAGTCGAGAACATACCCCAGGTCCCCGCCGCAACTCGAGAAAAACCATGAGACTTCCCCCTAGAGGCGAGATGAGGCCCCATCCCCTGCAGTGCATGCAGAGCTATTCCGTGATCCCATTCAAACAAGTCAGGAGCTTCGACTGGCTTAATGGATCTCGAGACAGTCCCCAAGAACACTGTCACCAGTCTAGACGGACCCTGAGGTCACCCCAGCAACGCAAAGCAGCTCCATGTGCCCCAAATCAACTCGAGATGAGGCCCGATTCCCCTGCATTGACTCCAGAGCCATTCCCCGTTCCCCATTCAACACGACCGGTGGCTCGACTTCCTTCAGGCAACTCCAGAGATGCCCCGAGAACACTGTCCCAAGTCTAGAGGAACACCAACTTCAGCACAGCAACTCGAGGAATGCTCCGTGTACCCCAAATTGTCTCGAGATGAGAGCTGATTCCCTGGCTTAGGCTCAAGACGTATGCCAACTTTCCAGAAGCACCTCAGGAGGAGGCTTCTCTCAGCAATAGTTATGTGGGAGGGACCCCGAGTTTGCTGCCTCAAGGGGAATTTACAGCGAGAAGCCCTAACTTGAAAGGAGGCCGGATTTCCTTGCAGTGGCTTGAATACAGGCTCGTCTTTCATCTCACAACATGAAGGGATGTCTGAATCCCCTGTGGAGACCTTAGAGAAAGACCTAGGTCCCTGCCTCATTTTGACGGAATGCCTCACATCTCGCTGACACCTCGAGAGGCACGCGGAGTTCATTGCTTCAAAAGGTGACGATGCCTGACTCCTCTTGAATACTTATAGGAATCCCCAAATCCCTGTTGCTACTGGAAAGGGTCCTTGGGTGCCCTGGCTCACCTCGAGAAGCGTCCCTTTTGCCCAGCCAAGCCTCGAAGAGATTGCTGAAGTATCCCTCGTTACTAGACAGGAGTCCTGACGTCACTGAAGAAACTCGTGTTTTGAAGGGCCATCCCCGCCGTAAGTCGAGAACATACCCCAGGTCCCCGCCGCAACTCGAGAAAAACCATGAGATTTCCCCCTAGAGGCGAGATGAGGCCCTTTCCCCTTCAGTGCATGCAGAGCTATTCCGTGATCCCATTCAAACAAGTCAGGAGCTTCGACTTGCTTAATGGATCTCGAGACAGTCCCCAAGAACACTGTCACCAGTCTAGACGGACCCTGAGGTCACCCCAGCAACGCAAAGCAGCTCCATGTGCCCCAAATCAACTCGAGATGAGGCCCGATTCCCATGCATTGACTCCAGAGCCATTCCCCGTTCCCCATTCAACATGACCGGTGGCTCGACTTCCTTCAGGCAACTCCAGAGATGCCCCGAGAACACTGTCCCAAGTCTAGAGGAACACCAACTTCAGCACAGCAACTCGAGGAATGCTCTGTGTTCCTCAAATCGTCTCGAGATGAGAGCTGATTCCCTGGCTTAGGCTCAAGACTTATGCCAACTTTCCAGAAGCACCTCAGGAGGAGTCTTCTCTCAGCAATAGGTATGTGGGTGGGACCCGAGTGTGCTGCCTCAAGGGGAATATACAGCGAGAAGCCCTAACTTGAAAGGAGGCCGGATTTCCTTGCAGTGGCTTGAATACAGGCTCGTCTTTCATCTCACAACATGAAGGGATGTCTGAATCCCCTGTGGAGACCTTAGAGAAAGCCCTAGGTCCCTGCCTCATTTTGACGGAATGCCTCACATCCCGCTGACACCTCGAGAGGCACGCGGAGTTCATTGCTTCAAAAGTTGACGATGCCTGACTCCTCTTGAATACTGATAGGAATCCCAAAATCGCTGTGGCTACTGGAAAGGCTCCTTGGGTACCCTGCCTCACCTCGAGAAGCGTCCCTTTTGCCCTGCCAAGCCTCGTAGAGATTCCTGAAGTGTCCCTCTTTACTAGACAGGAGTCCTGATGTCACTGAAGAAACTCGTGTTTTGAAGGGCCATCCCCGCCCTAAGTCGAGAACATACCCCAGGTCCCCAACGCAACTCGAGAAAAACCATGAGACTTCCCCCTAGAGGCGAGATGAGGCCCCATTCCCCTGCAGTGCATGCAGAGCTATTCTGTGATCCCATTCAAACAAGTCAGGAGTTTCGACTTGCTTAATGGATCTCGAGACAGTCCCCAAGAACACTGTCCCCAGTCTAGACGGACCCTGAGGTCACCCCAGCAACGCAAAGCAGCTCCATGTGCCCGAAATCAACTCGAGATGAGGCCCGATTCCCCTGCATTGACTCCAGAGCCATTCCCCGTTCCCCATTCAACACGACCGGTGGCTCGACTTCCTTCAGGCAACTCCAGAGATGCCCCGAGAACACTGTCCCAAGTCTAGAGGAACACCAACTTCAGCACAGCAACTCGACGAATGCTTCGTGTAACCCAAATCGTCTCGAGATGGGAGCTGATTCCCTGGCCAAGGCTCAAGACGTATGCCAACTTTCCAGAAGCACCTCAGGAGGAGGCTTCTCTCAGCAATATGTATGTGGGAGGGACCCCGAGTTTGTGCCTCAAGGGCAATATACAGCGAGAAGCCCTAACTTGAAAGGAGGCCGGATTTCCTTGCAGTGGCTTAAATACAGGTTCGTCTTTCATCTCACAACATGAAGGGATGTCTGAATCCCCTGTGGAGTCCTTAGAGAAAGCCCTAGGTCCCTGCCTCATTTTGACGGAATGCCTCACATCCCGCTGACACCTCGAGAGGCACGCGGAGTTCATTGCTTCAAAAGGTGACGATGCCTGACTCCTCTTGAATACTGATAGGAAGCCCAAAATCCCTGTGGCTAGGGGAAAGGGTCCTTGGGTGCCCTGCCTCACCTCGAGAAGCGTCCCTTTTGCCCTGCCAAGCCTCGAAGAGATTCCTGAGGTGTCCCTCGTTACTAGACAGGAGTCCTGACGTCACTGAAGAAACTCGTGTTTTGAAGGGCCATCCCCGCCGTAAGTCGAGAACATACCCCAGGTCCCCGCCGCAACTCGAGAAAAACCATGAGACTTCCCCCTAGAGGCGAGATGAGGCCCCATTCCCCTGCAGTGCATGCAGAGCTATTCCGTGATCCCATTCAAACAAGTCAGGAGCTTCGACTTGCTTAATGGATCTCGAGACAGTCCCCAAGAACACTGTCACCAGTCTAGACGGACCCTGAGGTCATCCCAGCAATGCAAAGCAGCTCCTTGTGCCCCAAATCAACTCGAGATGAGGCCCGATTCCCCTGCATTGACTCCAGAGCCATTCCCCGTTCCCCATTCAACACGACCGGTGGCTCGACTTCCTTCAGGCAACTCCAGAGATGCCCCGAGAACACTGTCCCAAGTCTAGAGGAACACCAACTTCAGCACAGCAACTCGAGGAATGCTCCGTGTACCCCAAATTGTCTCGAGATGAGAGCTGATTCCCTGGATTAGGCTCAAGACGTATGCCAACTTTCCAGAAGCACCTCAGGAGGAGGCTTCTCTCAGCAATAGGTATGTGGAAGGGACCCCGAGTTTGCTGCCTCAAGGGGAATATACAGCGAGAAGCCCTAACTTGAAAGGAGGCCGCATTTCCTTGCTGTGGCTTGAATACAGGCTCGTCTTTCATCTCACAACATGAAGGGAGGTCTGAATCCCCTGTGGAGACCTTAGAGAAAGCCCTAGGTCCCTGCCTCATTTTGACGGAATGCCTCACATCCCACTGACACGTCGAGAGGCACGCGGAGTTCATTGCTTCAAAAGGTGACGATGCCTGACTCCTCTTGAATACTGATAGGAATCCCAAAATCGCTGTGGCTACTGGAAAGGCTCCTTGGGTACCCTGCCTCACCTCGAGAAGCGTCCCTTTTGCCCTGCCAAGCCTCGTAGAGATTCCTGAAGTGTCCCTCTTTACTAGACAGGAGTCCTGATGTCACTGAAGAAACTCGTGTTTTGAAGGGCCATCCCCGGCCTAAGTCGAGAACATACCCCAGGTCCCCAACGCAACTCGAGAAAAACCATGAGACTTCCCCCTAGAGGCGAGATGAGGCCCCATTCCCCTGCAGTGCATGCAGAGCTATTCTGTGATCCCATTCAAACAAGTCAGGAGTTTCGACTTGCTTAATGGATCTCGAGACAGTCCCCAAGAACACTGTCACCAGTCTAGACGGACCCTGAGGTCACCCCAGCAACGCAAAGCAGCTCCATGTGCCCCAAATCAACTCGAGATGAGGCCCGATTCCCCTGCATTGACTCCAGAGACATTCCCCGTTCCCCATTCAACACGACCGGTGGCTCGACTTCCTTCAGGCAACTCCAGAGATGCCCCGAGAACACTGTCCCAAGTCTAGAGGAACACCAACTTCAGCACAGCAACTCGACGAATGCTTCGTGTAACCCAAATCGTCTCGAGATGGGAGCTGATTCCCTGGCCAAGGCTCAAGACGTATGCCAACTTTCCAGAAGCACCTCAGGAGGAGGCTTCTCTCAGCAATATGTATGTGGGAGGGACCCCGAGTTTGTGCCTCAAGGGCAATATACAGCGAGAAGCCCTAACTTGAAAGGAGGCCGGATTTCCTTGCAGTGGCTTAAATACAGGTTCGTCTTTCATCTCACAACATGAAGGGATGTCTGAATCCCCTGTGGAGACCTTAGAGAAAGCCCTAGGTCCCTGCCTCATTTTGACGGAATGCCTCACATCCCGCTGACACCTCGAGAGGCACGCGGAGTTCATTGCTTCAAAAGGTGACGATGCCTGACTCCTCTTGAATACTGATAGGAAGCCCAAAATCCCTGTGGCTAGGGGAAAGGGTCCTTGGGTGCCCTGCCTCACCTCGAGAAGCGTACCTTTTGCCCTGCCAAGCCTCGAAGAGATTCCTGAGGTGTCCCTCGTTACTAGACAGGAGTCCTGACGTCACTGAAGAAACTCGTGTTTTGAAGGGCCATCCCCGCCGTAAGTCGAGAACATACCCCAGGTCCCCGCCGCAACTCGAGAAAAACCATGAGACTTCCCCCTAGAGGCGAGATGAGGCCCCATTCCCCTGCAGTGCATGCAGAGCTATTCCGTGATCCCATTCAAACAAGTCAGGAGCTTCGACTTGCTTAATGGATCTCGAGACAGTCCCCAAGAACACTGTCACCAGTCTAGACGGACCCTGAGGTCACCCCAGCAACGCAAAGCAGCTCCATGTGCCCCAAATCAACTCGAGATGAGGCCCGATTCCCCTGCATTGACTCCAGAGCCATTCCCCGTTCCCCATTCAAAACGACCGGTGGCTCGACTTCCTTCAGGCAACTCCAGAGATGCCCCGAGAACACTGTCCCAAGTCTAGAGGAACACCAACTTCAGCACAGCAACTCGAGGAATGCTCCGTGTAACCCAAATCATCTCGAGATGAGAGCTGATTCCCTGGCTTAGGCTCAAGACGTATGCCAACTTTCCAGAAGCACCACAGGAGGAGGCTTCTCTCAGCAATAGTTATGTGGGAGGGACCCCGAGTTTGCTGCCTCAAGGGGAATTTACAGCGAGAAGCCCTAACTTGAAAGGAGGCCGGATTTCCTTGCAGTGGCTTGAATACAGGCTCGTCTTTCATCTCACAACATGAAGGGATGTCTGAATCCCCTGTGGAGACCTTAGAGAAAGCCCTAGGTCCCTGCCTCATTTTGACGGAATGCCTCACATCTCGCTGACACCTCGAGAGGCACGCGGAGTTCATTGCTTCAAAAGGTGACGATGCCTGACTCCTCTTGAATACTGATAGGAATCCCGAAATCCCTGTGGCTACGGGAAAGGGTCCTTGGGTGCCCTGCCTCACCTCGAGAAGCGTCCCTTTTGCCTTGCCAAGCCTCGAAGAGATTCCTGAGGTGTCCCTCGTTGCTAGACAGGAGTCCTGACGTCACTGAAGAAACTCGTGTTTTGAAGGGCCATCCCCGCCGTAAGTCGAGAACATACCCCAGGTCCCCGCCGCAACTCGAGAAAAACCATGAGATTTCCCCCTAGAGGCGAGATGAGGCCCTTTCCCCTTCAGTGCATGCAGAGCTATTCCGTGATCCCATTCAAACAAGTCAGGAGCTTCGACTTGCTTAATGGATCTCGAGACAGTCCCCAAGAACACTGTCACCAGTCTAGACGGACCCTGAGGTCACCCCAGCAACGCGAAGCAGCTCCATGTGCCCCAAATCAACTCGAGATGAGGCCCGATTCCCATGCATTGACTCCAGAGCCATTCCCCGTTCCCCATTCAACACGACCGGTGGCTCGACTTCCTTCAGGCAACTCCAGAGATGCCCCGAGAACACTGTCCCAAGTCTAGAGGAACAACAACTTTAGCACAGCAACTCGAGGAATGCTCCGTGTACCCCCAATCGTCTCGAGATGAGAGCTGATTCCCTGGCTTAGGCTCAAGACGTATGCCAACTTTCCAGAAGCACCTCAGGAGGAGGCTTCTCTCAGCAATAGGTATGTGGAAGGGACCCCGAGTTTGCTGCCTCAAGGGGAATATACAGCGAGAAGCCCTAACTTGAAAGGAGGCCGGATTTCCTTGCAGTGGATTGAATACAGGCTCGTCTTTCATCTCACAACATGAATGGATGTCTGAATCCCCTGTGGACACCTTAGAGAAGGCCCTAGGTCCCTGCCTCATTTTGACGGAATGCCTCACATCCCGCTGACACCTCGAGAGGCACGCGGAGTTCATTGCTTCAAAAGGTGACGATGCCTGACTCCTCTTGAATACTGATAGGAATCCCAAAATACCTGTGGCTACTGGAAAGGGTCCTTGGGTTCCCTGCCTCACCTCGAGAAGCGTCCCTTTTGCCCTGCCAAGCCTTGAAGAGATTCCTGAGGTGTCCCTCGTTACTAGACAGGAGTCCTGAGGTCACTGAAGAAACTTGTGTTTTGAAGGGCCATCCCCGCCGTAAGTCGAGAACATACCCCAGGTCCCCGCCGCAACTCGAGAAAAACCATGAGACTTCCCCCTTGAGGCGAGATGAGGCCCCATTCCCCTGCAGTGCATGCAGAGCTATCCCGTGATCCCATTCAAACAAGTCAGGAGCTTCGACTTGCTTAGTGGATCTCGAGACAGTCCCCAAGAACACTGTCACCAGTCTAGACGGACCCTGAGGTCACCCCAGCAACGCAAAGCAGCGCCATGTGCCCCAAATCAACTCCAGATGAGGCCCGATTCCCCTGCATTGACTCCAGAGCCATTCCCCGTTCCCCATTCAACACGACCGGTGGCTCGACTTCCTTCAGGCAACTCCAGAGATGCCCCGAGAACACTGTCCCAAGTCTAGAGGAACACCAACTTCAGCACAGCAACTTGAGGAATGCTCCGTGTACCCCAAATCGTCTCGAGATGAGAGCTGATTCCCTGGCTTAGGCTCAAGACGTATGCCAACTTTCCAGAAGCACCACAGGAGGAGGCTTCTCCCAGCAATAGTTATGTGGGAGGGACCCCGAGTTTGCTGCCTCAAGGGGAATTTACAGCGAGAAGCCCTAACTTGAAAGGAGGCCGGATTTCCTTGCAGTGGCTTGAATACAGGCTCGTCTTTCATCTCACAACATGAAGGGATGTCTGAATCCCCTGTGGAGACCTTATAGAAAGCCCTAGGTCCCTGCCTCATTTTGACGGAATGCCTCACATCTCGCTGACACCTCGAGAGGCACGCGGAGTTCATTGCTTCAAAAGGTGACGATGCCTGACTCCTCTTGAATACTGATAGGAATCCCGAAATCCCTGTAGCTACGGGAAAGGGTCCTTGGGTGCCTTGCCTCACCTCGAGAAGCGCCCCTTTTGCCTTGCCAAGCCTCGAAGAGATTCCTGAGGTGTCCCTCGTTGCTAGACAGGAGTCCTGACGTCACTGAAGAAACTCGTGTTTTGAAGGGCCATCCCCGCCGTAAGTCGAGAACATACCCCAGGTCCCCGCCGCAACTCGAGAAAAACCATGAGATTTCCCCCTAGAGGCGAGATGAGGCCCTTTCCCCTTCAGTGCATGCAGAGCTATTCCGTGATCCCATTCAAACAAGTCAGGAGCTTCGACTTGCTTAATGGATCTCGAGACAGTCCCCAAGAACACTGTCACCAGTCTAGACGGACCCTGAGGTCACCCCAGCAACGCAAAGCAGCTCCATGTGCCCCAAATCAACTCGAGTTGAGGCCCGATTCCCATGCATTGACTCCAGAGCCATTCCCCGTTCCCCATTCAACACGACCGGTGGCTCGACTTCCTTCAGGCAACTCCAGAGACGCCCCGAGAACTGTCCCAAGTCTAGAGGAACAACAACTTCAGCACAGCAACTCGAGGAATGCTCGGTGTACCCCCAATCGTCTCGAGATGAGAGCTGATTCCCTGGCTTAGGCTCAAGACGTATGCCAACTTTCCAGAAGCACCTCAGGAGGAGGCTTCTCTCAGCAATAGGTATGTGGAAGGGACCCCGAGTTTGCTGCCTCAAGGGGAATATACAGCGAGAAGCCCTAACTTGAAAGGAGGCCGGATTTCCTTGCAGTGGCTTGAATACAGGCTCGTCTTTCATCTCACAACATGAATGGATGTCTGAATCCCCTGTGGACACCTTAGAGAAGGCCCTAGGTTCCTGCCTCATTTTGACGGAATGCCTCACATCCCGCTGACACCTCGAGAGGCACGCGGAGTAAATTGCTTCAAAAGGTGACGATGCCTGACTCCTCTTGAATACTGATAGGAATCCCAAAATACCTGTGGCTACTGGAAAGGGTCCTTGGGTGCCCTGCCTCACCTCGAGAAGCGTCCCTTTTGCCCTGCCAAGCCTTGAAGAGATTCCTGAGGTGTCCCTCGTTACTAGACAGGAGTCCTGAGGTCACTGAAGAAACTCGTGTTTTGAAGGGCCATCCCCGCCGTAAGTCGAGAACATACCCCAGGTCCCCACCGCAACTCGAGAAAAACCATGAGACTTCCCCCTTGAGGCGAGATGAGGCCCCATTCCCCTGCAGTGCATGCAGAGCTATCCCGTGATCCCATTCAAACAAGTCAGGAGCTTCGACTTGCTTAGTGGATCTCGAGACAGTCCCCAAGAACACTGTCACCAGTCTAGACGGACCCTGAGGTCACCCCAGCAACGCAAAGCAGCTCCATGTGCCCCAAATCAACTCGAGATGAGGCCCGATTCCCCTGCATTGACTCCAGAGACATTCCCCGTTCCCCATTCAACACGACCGATGGCTCGACTTCCTTCAGGCAACTCCAGAGATGCCCCGAGAACACTGTCCCAAGTCTAGAGGAACACCAACTTCAGCACAGCAACTTGAGGAATGCTCCGTGTACCCCAAATCGTCTCGAGATGAGAGCTGATTCCCTGGCTTAGGCTCAAGACTTATGCCAACTTTCCAGAAGCACCTCAGGAGGAGGCTTCTCTCAGCAATAGGTATGTGTGAGGGACCCGAGTTTGCTGCCTCAAGGGGAATATACAGCGATAAGCCCTAACTTGAAAGGAGGCCGGATTTCCTTGCAGTGGCTTGAATACAGGCTCGTCTTTCATCTCACAACATGAAGGGATGTCTGAATCCCCTGTGGAGACCTTAGAGAAAGCCTTAGGTCCCTGCCTCATTTTGACGGAATGCCTCTTGTCCCGCTGACACCTCGAGAGGCACGCGGAGTTCATTGCTTCAAAAGGTGACGATGCCTGACTCCTCTTGAATACTGATAGGAATCCCAAAATACCTGTGGCTACTGGAAAGGGTCCTTGGGTGCCCTGCCTCACCTCGAGAAGCGTCCCTTTTGCCCTGCCAAGCCTCGAAGAGATTCCTGAGGTGTCCCTCATTACTAGACAGGAGTCCTGACGTCACTGAAGAAAGTCGTGTTTTGAAGGGCCTTCCCCGCCTTAAGTCGGGAACATACCCCAGGTCCCCGCCTCAACTCGAGAAAAACCATGAGACTTCCCCCTAGAGGCGAGGTGAGGCCCCATTCCCCTGCAGTGCATGCAGAGCTATCCCGTGATCCCATTCAAACAAGTCAGGAGCTTCGACTTGCTTAATGGATCTCGAGACAGTCCCCAAGAACACTGTCACCAGTCTAGACGGACCCTGAGGTCACCGCAGCAACGCAAAGCAGCTCCATGTGCCCCAAATCAACTCGAGATGAGGCCCGATTCCCCTGCATTGACTCCAGAGCCATTCCCCGTTCCCCATTCAACACGACCGGTGGCTCAACTTCCTTCAGGCAACTCCAGAGATGCCCCGAGAACACTGTCCCAAGTCTAGAGGAACACCAACTTCAGCACAGCAACTCGAGGAATGCTCTGTGTACCCCAAATCGTCTCGAGAAGAGACGATTCCCTGGCTTAGGCTCAAGACGTATGCCAACTTTCCAGAAGCACCTCAGGAGGAGGCTTCTCTCAGTAATAGGTATGTGGGTGGGACCCGAGTTTGCTGCCTCAAGGGGAATATACAGCGAGAAGCCCTAACTTGAAAGGAGGCCGGATTTCGTTGCAGTGGCTTGAATACAGGCTCCTCTTTCATCTCACAACATGAAGGGATGTCTGAATCCCCTGTGGAGACCTTAGAGAAAGCCCTAGGTCCCTGCCTCATTTTGACGGAATGCCTCACATCCCGCTGACACCTCGAGAGGCACGCGGAGTTCATTGCTTCAAAAGGTGACGATGCCTGACTCCTCTTGAATACTGATAGGAATCCCAAAATCGCTGCGGCTACTGGAAAGGCTCCTTGGGTACCCTGCCTCACCTCCAGAAGCGTCCCTTTTGCCCTGCCAAGCCTCGTAGAGATTCCTGAAGTGTCCCTCTTAACTAGACAGGAGTCCTGATGTCACTGAAGAAACTCGTGTTTTGAAGGGCCATCCCCGCCCTAAGTCGAGAACATACCCCAGGTCCTCAACGCAACTCGAGAAAAACCATGAGACTTCCCCCTAGAGGCGAGATGAGGCCCCATTCCCCTGCAGTGCATGCAGAGCTATTCTGTGATCCCATTCAAACAAGTCAGGAGTTTCGACTTGCTTAATGGATCTCGAGACAGTCCCCAAGATCACTGTCACCAGTCTAGACGGACCCTGAGGTCACCCCAGCAACGCAAAGCAGCTCCATGTGCCCCAAATCAACTCGAGATGAGGCCCGATTGCCCTGCATTGACTCCAGAGCCATTCCCCGTTCCCCATTCAACACGACCGGTGGCTCGACTTCCTTCAGGCAACTCCAGAGATGCCCCGAGAACACTGTCCCAAGTCTAGAGGAACACCAACTTCAGCACAGCAACTCGACGAATGCTTCGTGTAAACCAAATCGTCTCGAGATGAGAGCTGATTCCCTGGCCAAGGCTCAAGACGTATGCCAACTTTCCAGAAGCACCTCAGGAGGAGGCTTCTCTCAGCAATAAGTATGTGGGAGGGACCCCGAGTTTGCTGCCTCAAGGGGAATTTACAGCGAGAAGCCCTAACTTGAAAGGAGGCCGGATTTCCTTGCAGTGGCTTGAATACAGGCTCGTCTTTCATCTCACAACATGAAGGGATGTCTGAATCCCCTGTGGAGACCTTAGAGAAAGCCCTAGGTCCCTGCCTCATTTTGACGGAATGCCTCTCGTCCCGCTGACACCTCGAGAGGCACGCGGAGTTCATTGCTTCAAAAGGTGACGATGACTGACTCCTCTTGAATACTGATAGGAATCCCAAAATCCCTGTGGCTACTGGAAAGGGTCCTTGGGTGCCCTGCCTCACCTCGAGAAGCGTCCCTTTTGCCCTGCCAAGCCTCGAAGAGATTCCTGAGGTGTTCCTCATTACTAGACAGGAGTCCTGACGTCACTGAAGAAACTCGTGTTTTGAAGGGCCATCCCCGCCGTAAGTCGAGAACATACCCCAGGTCCCCGCCTCAACTCGAGAAAAACCATGAGACTTCCCCCTAGAGGCGAGGTGAGGCCCCATTCCCCTGCAGTGCATGCAGAGCTATTCCGTGATCCCATTCAAACAAATCAGGAGCTTCGACTTGCTTAATGGATCTCGAGACAGTCCCCAAGAACACTGTCACCAGTCTAGGCGGACCCTGAGGTCACCGCAGCAAAGGAAAGCAGCTCCATGTGCCCCAAATCAACTCGAGATGAGGCCCGATTCCCCTGCATTGACTCCAGAGCCATTCCCCGTTCCCCATTCAACACGACCGGTGGCTCGACTTCCTTCAGGCAACTCCAGAGATGCCCCGAGAACACGGTCCCAAGTCTAGAGGAACACCAACTTCAGCACAGCAACTCGAGGAATGCTCTGTGTACCTCAAATCGTCTCGAGATGAGAGCTGATTCCCTGGCTTAGGCTCAAGACTTATGCCAACTTTCCAGAAGCACCTCAGGAGGAGGCTTCTCTCAGCAATAAGTATGTGGGAGGGACCCCGAGTTTGTGCCTCAAGGGCAATATACAGCGAGAAGCCCTAACTTGAAAGGAGGCCGGATTTCCTTGCAGTGGCTTGAATACAGGTTCGTCTTTCATCTCACCACATGAAGGGATGTCTGAATCCCCTGTGGAGACCTTAGAGAAAGCCCTAGGTCCCTGCCTCATTTTGACGGAATGCCTCACATCCCGCTGACACCTCGAGAGGCACGCGGAGTTCATTGCTTCAAAAGGTGACGATGCCTGACTCCTCTTGAATACTGATAGGAATCCCAAAATCGCTGTGGCTAGGGAAAAGGGTCCTTGGGTGCCCTGCCTCACCTCGAGAAGCGTCCCTTTTGCCCTGCCAAGCCTCTTAGAGATTCCTGAGGTGTCCCTCGTTACTAGACAGGAGTCCTGACGTCACTGAAGAAACTCGTGTTTTGAAGGGCCATCCCCGCCGTAAGTCGAGAACATACCCCAGGTCCGCCGCCACTCGAGAAAAACAATGAGACTCCCCCCTAGAGGCGAGATGGGGCCCCATTCCCCTGCAGTTCATGCAGAGCTATTCCATGATCCCATTCAAACAAGTCAGGAGCTTCGACTTGCTTAATGGATTTCGAGACAGTCCCCAAGAACACTGTCACCAGTCTAGACGGACCCTGAGGTCACCCCAGCAACGCAAAGCAGCTCCATGTGCCCCAAATCAACTCGAGATGAGGCCCGATTCCCCTGCATTGACTCCAGAGCCATTCCCCGTTCCCCATTCAACAAGACCGGTGGCTCGACTTCCTTCAGGCAACTCCAGAGATGCCCCGAGAACCCTGTCCCAAGTCTAGAGGAACACCAACTTCAGCACAGCAACTCGAGGAATGCTCCGTGTAACCCAAAACATCTCGAGATGAGAGCTGATTCCCTGGCTTAGGCTCAAGACCTATGCCAACTTTCCAGAAGCACCTCAGGAGGAGGCTTCTCTCACCAATAGTTATGTGGGAGGGACCCCGAGTTTGCTGCCTCAAGGGGAATTTACAGCGAGAAGCCCTAACTTGAAAGGAGGCCGGATTTCCTTGCAGTGGCTTGAATACAGGCTCGTCTTTCATCTCACAACATGAAGGGATGTCTGAATCCCCTGTGGAGACCTTAGAGAAAGCCCTAGGTCCCTGCCTCATTTTGACGGAATGCCTCTCATCTCACTGACACCTCGAGAGGCACGCGGAGTTCATTGCTTCAAAAGGTGACGATGCCTGACTCCTCTTGAATACTGATAGGAATCCCGAAATCCCTGTGGCTGCGGGAAAGGGTCCTTGGGTGCCCTGCCTCACCTCGAGAAGCGTCCCTTTTGCCCTGCCAAGCCTCGAAGAGATTACTGAGGTGTCCCTCGTTGCTAGACAGGAGTCCTGACGTCACTGAAGAAACTCGTGTTTTGAAGGGCCATCCCCGCCGTAAGTCGAGAACATACCCCAGGTCCCCGCCGCAACTCGAGAAAAACCATGAGATTTCCCCCTAGAGGTGAGATGAGGCCCCATTCCCCTTCAGTGCATGCAGAACTATTCCGTGATCCCATTCAAACAAGTCAGGAGCTTCGACTTGCTTAATGGATCTCGAGACAGTCCATAAGAACACTGTCACCAGTCTAGACGGACCCTGAGGTCACCCCAGCAACGCAAAGCAGCTCCATGTGCCCCAAATCAACTCGAGATGAGGCCCGATTCCCCTTCATTGACTCCAGAGACATTCCCCGTTCCCCATTCAACACGACCGGTGGCTCGACTTCCTTCAGGCAACTCCAGAGATGCCCCGAGAACACTGTCCCAAGTCTAGAGGAACACCAACTTCAGCACAGCAACTCGAGGAATGCTCCGTGTAACCCAAATCGTCTCGAGATGAGAGCTGATTCCCTGGCTTAGGCTCAAGACGTATGCCAACTTTCCAGAAGCACCTCAGGAGGAGGCTTCTCTCAGCAATAGTTATGTGGGAGGGACCCCGAGTTTGCTGCCTCAAGGGGAATATACAGCGAGAAGCCCTAACTTGAAAGGAGGCCGGATTTCCTTGCAGTGGCTTGAATACAGGCTCGTCTTTCATCTCACAACATGAAGGGATGTCTGAATCCCCTGTGGAGACGTTAGAGAAAGCCTTAGGTCCCTGCCTCATTTTGACGGAATGCCTCTCGTCCCGCTGACACCTCGAGAGGCACGCGGAGTTCATTGCTTCAAAAGGTGACGATGCCTGACTCCTCTTGAATACTGATAGGAATCCCAAAATCCCTGTGGCTACGGGAAAGGGTCCTTGGGTGCCCTGCCTCACCTCGAGAAGTGTCCCTTTTGCCCTGCCAAGCCTCGAAGAGATTCCTGAGGTGTCCCTCGTTACTAGACAGGAGTCCTGACGTCACTGAAGAAACTCGTGTTTTGAAGGTCCATCCTCGCCGTAAGTCGAGAACATACCCCAGGTCCCCGCCGCAACTCGAGAAAAACCATGAGACTTCCCCCTACAGGCGAGATGAGGCCCCATTCCCCTGCAGTGAATGCAGAGCTATTCCGTGATCCCATTCCAACAAGTCAGGAGCTTCGACTTGCTTAATGGATCTCGAGACAGTCCCCAAGAACACTGTCACCAGTCTAGACGGACCCTGAGGTCACCCCAGCAAAGCAAAGCAGCTCCATGTGCCCCAAATCAACTCGAGATGAGGCCCGATTCCCCTGCATTGACGCCAGAGCCATTCCCCGTTCCCCATTCAACACGACCGGTGGCTCGACTTCCTTCAGGCAACTCCAGAGATGCCCCGACAACAGTGTCCCAAGTCTAGAGGAACACCAACCTCAGCACAGCACTTGAGGAATGCTCCGTGTACCCCAAATCGTCTAGAGATGAGAGCTGATTCCCTGGCTTAGGCTCAAGACGTATGCCAACTTTCCAGAAGCACCTCAGGAGGAGGCTTCTCCCAGCAATAGGTATGTGGGAGGGACCCCGAGTTTGCTGCCTCAAGGGGAATATACAGCGAGAAGCCATAACTTGAAAGGAGGCCGGATTTCCTTGCAGTGGCTTGAATACAGGCTCATCTTTCATCTCACAACATGAAGGGATGTCTGAATCCCCTGTGGAGACCTTAGAGAAAGCCCTAGGTCCCTGCCTCATTTTGACGGAATGCCTCACATCCCGCTGACACCTCGAGAGGCACGCGGAGTTCATTGCTTCAAAAGGTGACGATGCCTGACTCCTCTTGAATACTGATAGGAATCCCAAAATCGCTGTGGCTAGGGGAAAGGGTCCTTGGGTGCCCTGCCTCACCTCGAGAAGCGTCCCTTTTGCCCTGCCAAGCCTCTTAGAGATTCCTGAGGTGTCCCTCGTTACTAGACAGGAGTCCTGACGTCACTGAAGAAACTCGTGTTTTGAAGGGCCATCCCCGCCGTAAGTCGAGAACATACCCCAGGTCCGCCGCCACTCGAGAAAAACAATGAGACTCCCCCCTAGAGGCGAGATGGGGCCCCATTCCCCTGCAGTGCATGCAGAGCTATTCCATGATCCCATTCAAACAAGTCAGGAGCTTCGACTTGCTTAATGGATTTCGAGACAGTCCCCAAGAACACTGTCACCAGTCTAGACGGACCCTGAGGTCACCCCAGCAACGCAAAGCAGCTCCATGTGCCCCAAATCAACTCGAGATGAGGCCCGATTCCCCTGCATTGACTCCAGAGCCATTCCCCGTTCCCCATTCAACAAGACCGGTGGCTCGACTTCCTTCAGGCAACTCCAGAGATGCCCCGAGAACCCTGTCCCAAGTCTAGAGGAACACAAACTTCAGCACAGCAACTCGAGGAATGCTCCGTGTAACCCAAAACATCTCGAGATGAGAGCTGATTCCCTGGCTTAGGCTCAAGACCTATGCCAACTTTCCAGAAGCACCTCAGGAGGAGGCTTCTCTCACCAATAGTTATGTGGGAGGGACCCCGAGTTTGCTGCCTCAAGGGGAATTTACAGCGAGAAGCCCTAACTTGAAAGGAGGCCGGATTTCCTTGCAGTGGCTTGAATACAGGCTCGTCTTTCATCTCACAACATGAAGGGATGTCTGAATCCCCTGTGGAGACCTTAGAGAAAGCCCTAGGTCCCTGCCTCATTTTGACGGAATGCCTCTCATCTCGCTGACACCTCGAGAGGCACGCGGAGTTCATTGCTTCAAAAGGTGACGATGCCTGACTCCTCTTGAATACTGATAGGAATCCCGAAATCCCTGTGGCTGCGGGAAAGGGTCCTTGGGTGCCCTGCCTCACCTCGAGAAGCGTCCCTTTTGCCCTGCCAAGCCTCTTAGAGATTCCTGAGGTGTCCCTCGTTACTAGACAGGAGTCCTGACGTCACTGAAGAAACTCGTGTTTTGAAGGGCCATCCCCGCCGTAAGTCGAGAACATACCCCAGGTCCCCGCCGCAACTCGAGAAAAACCATGAGATTTCCCCCTAGAGGTGAGATGAGGCCCCATTCCCCTTCAGTGCATGCAGAACTATTCCGTGATCCCATTCAAACAAGTCAGGAGCTTCGACTTGCTTAATGGATCTCGAGACAGTCCATAAGAACACTGTCACCAGTCTAGACGGACCCTGAGGTCACCCCAGCAACGCAAAGCAGCTCCATGTGCCCCAAATCAACTCGAGATGAGGCCCGATTCCCCTTCATTGACTCCAGAGACATTCCCCGTTCCCCATTCAACACGACCGGTGGCTCGACTTCCTTCAGGCAACTCCAGAGATGCCCCGAGAACACTGTCCCAAGTCTAGAGGAACACCAACTTCAGCACAGCAACTCGAGGAATGCTCCGTGTAACCCAAATCGTCTCGAGATGAGAGCTGATTCCCTGGCTTAGGCTCAAGACGTATGCCAACTTTCCAGAAGCACCTCAGGAGGAGGCTTCTCTCAGCAATAGTTATGTGGGAGGGACCCCGAGTTTGCTGCCTCAAGGGGAATATACAGCGAGAAGCCCTAACTTGAAAGGAGGCCGGATTTCCTTGCAGTGGCTTGAATACAGGCTCGTCTTTCATCTCACAACATGAAGGGATGTCTGAATCCCCTGTGGAGACGTTAGAGAAAGCCTTAGGTCCCTGCCTCATTTTGACGGAATGCCTCTCGTCCCGCTGACACCTCGAGAGGCACGCGGAGTTCATTGCTTCAAAAGGTGACGATGCCTGACTCCTCTTGAATACTGATAGGAATCCCAAAATCCCTGTGGCTACGGGAAAGGGTCCTTGGGTGCCCTGCCTCACCTCGAGAAGTGTCCCTTTTGCCCTGCCAAGCCTCGAAGAGATTCCTGAGGTGTCCCTCGTTACTAGACAGGAGTCCTGACGTCACTGAAGAAACTCGTGTTTTGAAGGTCCATCCCCGCCGTAAGTCGAGAACATACCCCAGGTCCCCGCCGCAACTCGAGAAAAACCATGAGACTTCCCCCTACAGGCGAGATGAGGCCCCATTCCCCTGCAGTGAATGCAGAGCTATTCCGTGATCCCATTCCAACAAGTCAGGAGCTTCGACTTGCTTAATGGATCTCGAGACAGTCCCCAAGAACACTGTCACCAGTCTAGACGGACCCTGAGGTCACCCCAGCAAAGCAAAGCAGCTCCATGTGCCCCAAATCAACTCGAGATGAGGCCCGATTCCCCTGCATTGACGCCAGAGCCATTCCCCGTTCCCCATTCAACACGACCGGTGGCTCGACTTCCTTCAGGCAACTCCAGAGATGCCCCGACAACAGTGTCCCAAGTCTAGAGGAACACCAACCTCAGCACAGCACTTGAGGAATGCTCCGTGTACCCCAAATCGTCTAGAGATGAGAGCTGATTCCCTGGCTTAGGCTCAAGACGTATGCCAACTTTCCAGAAGCACCTCAGGAGGAGGCTTCTCCCAGCAATAGGTATGTGGGAGGGACCCCGAGTTTGCTGCCTCAAGGGGAATATACAGCGAGAAGCCATAACTTGAAAGGAGGCCGGATTTCCTTGCAGTGGCTTGAATACAGGCTCGTCTTTCATCTCACAACATGAAGGGATGTCTGAATCCCCTGTGGAGACCTTAGAGAAAGCCCTAGGTCCCTGCCTCATTTTGACTGAATGCCTCACATCCCGCTGACACCTCGAGAGGCACGCGCAGTTCATTGCTTCAAAAGGTGACGATGCCTGACTCCTCTTGAATACTGATAGGAATCCCAAAATCGCTGTGGCTACTGGAAAGGGTCCTTGGGTGCCCTGCCTCACCTTGTGAAGCGTCCCTTTTGCCCTGCCAAGCCTCTTAGAGATTCCTGAGCTGTCCCTCATTACTAGACAGGAGTCCTGACGTCACTGAAGAAACTCGTGTTTTGAAGGGCCATCCCCGCCGTAAGTCGAGAACATACCCCAGGTCCCCGCCGCAACTCGAGAAAAACCATGAGACTTCCCCCTAGAGGCGAGATGAGGCCCCATTCCCCTGCAGTGCATGCAGAGCTATTCCGTGATCCCATTCAAACAAGTCAGGAGCTTCGACTTGCTTAATGGATCTCGAGACAGTCCCCAAGAACACTGTCACCAGTCTAGACGGCCCCTGAGGTCACCCAGGCAATGCAAATCAGCTCCATGTGCCCCAAATCAACTCGAGATGAGGCCCGATTCCCCTGCATTGACTCCAGAGCCATTCCCCGTTCCCCATTCAACACGACCGGTGGCTCAACTTCCTTCAGGCAACTCCAGAGATGCCCCGAGAACACTGTCCCAAGTCTAGAGGAACACCAACTTCAGCACAGCAACTCGAGGAATGCTCTGTGTACCCCAAATCGTCTCGAGAAGAGACGATTCCCTGGCTTAGGCTCAAGACGTATGCCAACTTTCCAGAAGCACCTCAGGAGGAGGCTTCTCTCAGTAATAGGTATGTGGGTGGGACCCGAGTTTGCTGCCTCAAGGGGAATATACAGCGAGAAGCCCTAACTTGAAAGGAGGCCGGATTTCGTTGCAGTGGCTTGAATACAGGCTCCTCTTTCATCTCACAACATGAAGGGATGTCTGAATCCCCTGTGGAGACCTTAGAGAAAGCCCTAGGTCCCTGCCTCATTTTGACGGAATGCCTCACATCCCGCTGACACCTCGAGAGGCACGCGGAGTTCATTGCTTCAAAAGGTGACGATGCCTGACTCCTCTTGAATACTGATAGGAATCCCAAAATCGCTGCGGCTACTGGAAAGGCTCCTTGGGTACCCTGCCTCACCTCCAGAAGCGTCCCTTTTGCCCTGCCAAGCCTCGTAGAGATTCCTGAAGTGTCCCTCTTAACTAGACAGGAGTCCTGATGTCACTGAAGAAACTCGTGTTTTGAAGGGCCATCCCCGCCCTAAGTCGAGAACATACCCCAGGTCCTCAACGCAACTCGAGAAAAACCATGAGACTTCCCCCTAGAGGCGAGATGAGGCCCCATTCCCCTGCAGTGCATGCAGAGCTATTCTGTGATCCCATTCAAACAAGTCAGGAGTTTCGACTTGCTTAATGGATCTCGAGACAGTCCCCAAGATCACTGTCACCAGTCTAGACGGACCCTGAGGTCACCCCAGCAACGCAAAGCAGCTCCATGTGCCCCAAATCAACTCGAGATGAGGCCCGATTGCCCTGCATTGACTCCAGAGCCATTCCCCGTTCCCCATTCAACACGACCGGTGGCTCGACTTCCTTCAGGCAACTCCAGAGATGCCCCGAGAACACTGTCCCAAGTCTAGAGGAACACCAACTTCAGCACAGCAACTCGACGAATGCTTCGTGTAAACCAAATCGTCTCGAGATGAGAGCTGATTCCCTGGCCAAGGCTCAAGACGTATGCCAACTTTCCAGAAGCACCTCAGGAGGAGGCTTCTCTCAGCAATAAGTATGTGGGAGGGACCCCGAGTTTGCTGCCTCAAGGGGAATTTACAGCGAGAAGCCCTAACTTGAAAGGAGGCCGGATTTCCTTGCAGTGGCTTGAATACAGGCTCGTCTTTCATCTCACAACATGAAGGGATGTCTGAATCCCCTGTGGAGACCTTAGAGAAAGCCCTAGGTCCCTGCCTCATTTTGACGGAATGCCTCTCGTCCCGCTGACACCTCGAGAGGCACGCGGAGTTCATTGCTTCAAAAGGTGACGATGACTGACTCCTCTTGAATACTGATAGGAATCCCAAAATCCCTGTGGCTACTGGAAAGGGTCCTTGGGTGCCCTGCCTCACCTCGAGAAGCGTCCCTTTTGCCCTGCCAAGCCTCGAAGAGATTCCTGAGGTGTTCCTCATTACTAGACAGGAGTCCTGACGTCACTGAAGAAACTCGTGTTTTGAAGGGCCATCCCCGCCGTAAGTCGAGAACATACCCCAGGTCCCCGCCTCAACTCGAGAAAAACCATGAGACTTCCCCCTAGAGGCGAGGTGAGGCCCCATTCCCCTGCAGTGCATGCAGAGCTATTCCGTGATCCCATTCAAACAAATCAGGAGCTTCGACTTGCTTAATGGATCTCGAGACAGTCCCCAAGAACACTGTCACCAGTCTAGGCGGACCCTGAGGTCACCGCAGCAAAGGAAAGCAGCTCCATGTGCCCCAAATCAACTCGAGATGAGGCCCGATTCCCCTGCATTGACTCCAGAGCCATTCCCCGTTCCCCATTCAACACGACCGGTGGCTCGACTTCCTTCAGGCAACTCCAGAGATGCCCCGAGAACACGGTCCCAAGTCTAGAGGAACACCAACTTCAGCACAGCAACTCGAGGAATGCTCTGTGTACCTCAAATCGTCTCGAGATGAGAGCTGATTCCCTGGCTTAGGCTCAAGACTTATGCCAACTTTCCAGAAGCACCTCAGGAGGAGGCTTCTCTCAGCAATAAGTATGTGGGAGGGACCCCGAGTTTGTGCCTCAAGGGCAATATACAGCGAGAAGCCCTAACTTGAAAGGAGGCCGGATTTCCTTGCAGTGGCTTGAATACAGGTTCGTCTTTCATCTCACCACATGAAGGGATGTCTGAATCCCCTGTGGAGACCTTAGAGAAAGCCCTAGGTCCCTGCCTCATTTTGACGGAATGCCTCACATCCCGCTGACACCTCGAGAGGCACGCGGAGTTCATTGCTTCAAAAGGTGACGATGCCTGACTCCTCTTGAATACTGATAGGAATCCCAAAATCGCTGTGGCTAGGGAAAAGGGTCCTTGGGTGCCCTGCCTCACCTCGAGAAGCGTCCCTTTTGCCCTGCCAAGCCTCTTAGAGATTCCTGAGGTGTCCCTCGTTACTAGACAGGAGTCCTGACGTCACTGAAGAAACTCGTGTTTTGAAGGGCCATCCCCGCCGTAAGTCGAGAACATACCCCAGGTCCGCCGCCACTCGAGAAAAACAATGAGACTCCCCCCTAGAGGCGAGATGGGGCCCCATTCCCCTGCAGTTCATGCAGAGCTATTCCATGATCCCATTCAAACAAGTCAGGAGCTTCGACTTGCTTAATGGATTTCGAGACAGTCCCCAAGAACACTGTCACCAGTCTAGACGGACCCTGAGGTCACCCCAGCAACGCAAAGCAGCTCCATGTGCCCCAAATCAACTCGAGATGAGGCCCGATTCCCCTGCATTGACTCCAGAGCCATTCCCCGTTCCCCATTCAACAAGACCGGTGGCTCGACTTCCTTCAGGCAACTCCAGAGATGCCCCGAGAACCCTGTCCCAAGTCTAGAGGAACACCAACTTCAGCACAGCAACTCGAGGAATGCTCCGTGTAACCCAAAACATCTCGAGATGAGAGCTGATTCCCTGGCTTAGGCTCAAGACCTATGCCAACTTTCCAGAAGCACCTCAGGAGGAGGCTTCTCTCACCAATAGTTATGTGGGAGGGACCCCGAGTTTGCTGCCTCAAGGGGAATTTACAGCGAGAAGCCCTAACTTGAAAGGAGGCCGGATTTCCTTGCAGTGGCTTGAATACAGGCTCGTCTTTCATCTCACAACATGAAGGGATGTCTGAATCCCCTGTGGAGACCTTAGAGAAAGCCCTAGGTCCCTGCCTCATTTTGACGGAATGCCTCTCATCTCACTGACACCTCGAGAGGCACGCGGAGTTCATTGCTTCAAAAGGTGACGATGCCTGACTCCTCTTGAATACTGATAGGAATCCCGAAATCCCTGTGGCTGCGGGAAAGGGTCCTTGGGTGCCCTGCCTCACCTCGAGAAGCGTCCCTTTTGCCCTGCCAAGCCTCGAAGAGATTACTGAGGTGTCCCTCGTTGCTAGACAGGAGTCCTGACGTCACTGAAGAAACTCGTGTTTTGAAGGGCCATCCCCGCCGTAAGTCGAGAACATACCCCAGGTCCCCGCCGCAACTCGAGAAAAACCATGAGATTTCCCCCTAGAGGTGAGATGAGGCCCCATTCCCCTTCAGTGCATGCAGAACTATTCCGTGATCCCATTCAAACAAGTCAGGAGCTTCGACTTGCTTAATGGATCTCGAGACAGTCCATAAGAACACTGTCACCAGTCTAGACGGACCCTGAGGTCACCCCAGCAACGCAAAGCAGCTCCATGTGCCCCAAATCAACTCGAGATGAGGCCCGATTCCCCTTCATTGACTCCAGAGACATTCCCCGTTCCCCATTCAACACGACCGGTGGCTCGACTTCCTTCAGGCAACTCCAGAGATGCCCCGAGAACACTGTCCCAAGTCTAGAGGAACACCAACTTCAGCACAGCAACTCGAGGAATGCTCCGTGTAACCCAAATCGTCTCGAGATGAGAGCTGATTCCCTGGCTTAGGCTCAAGACGTATGCCAACTTTCCAGAAGCACCTCAGGAGGAGGCTTCTCTCAGCAATAGTTATGTGGGAGGGACCCCGAGTTTGCTGCCTCAAGGGGAATATACAGCGAGAAGCCCTAACTTGAAAGGAGGCCGGATTTCCTTGCAGTGGCTTGAATACAGGCTCGTCTTTCATCTCACAACATGAAGGGATGTCTGAATCCCCTGTGGAGACGTTAGAGAAAGCCTTAGGTCCCTGCCTCATTTTGACGGAATGCCTCTCGTCCCGCTGACACCTCGAGAGGCACGCGGAGTTCATTGCTTCAAAAGGTGACGATGCCTGACTCCTCTTGAATACTGATAGGAATCCCAAAATCCCTGTGGCTACGGGAAAGGGTCCTTGGGTGCCCTGCCTCACCTCGAGAAGTGTCCCTTTTGCCCTGCCAAGCCTCGAAGAGATTCCTGAGGTGTCCCTCGTTACTAGACAGGAGTCCTGACGTCACTGAAGAAACTCGTGTTTTGAAGGTCCATCCTCGCCGTAAGTCGAGAACATACCCCAGGTCCCCGCCGCAACTCGAGAAAAACCATGAGACTTCCCCCTACAGGCGAGATGAGGCCCCATTCCCCTGCAGTGAATGCAGAGCTATTCCGTGATCCCATTCCAACAAGTCAGGAGCTTCGACTTGCTTAATGGATCTCGAGACAGTCCCCAAGAACACTGTCACCAGTCTAGACGGACCCTGAGGTCACCCCAGCAAAGCAAAGCAGCTCCATGTGCCCCAAATCAACTCGAGATGAGGCCCGATTCCCCTGCATTGACGCCAGAGCCATTCCCCGTTCCCCATTCAACACGACCGGTGGCTCGACTTCCTTCAGGCAACTCCAGAGATGCCCCGACAACAGTGTCCCAAGTCTAGAGGAACACCAACCTCAGCACAGCACTTGAGGAATGCTCCGTGTACCCCAAATCGTCTAGAGATGAGAGCTGATTCCCTGGCTTAGGCTCAAGACGTATGCCAACTTTCCAGAAGCACCTCAGGAGGAGGCTTCTCCCAGCAATAGGTATGTGGGAGGGACCCCGAGTTTGCTGCCTCAAGGGGAATATACAGCGAGAAGCCATAACTTGAAAGGAGGCCGGATTTCCTTGCAGTGGCTTGAATACAGGCTCATCTTTCATCTCACAACATGAAGGGATGTCTGAATCCCCTGTGGAGACCTTAGAGAAAGCCCTAGGTCCCTGCCTCATTTTGACGGAATGCCTCACATCCCGCTGACACCTCGAGAGGCACGCGGAGTTCATTGCTTCAAAAGGTGACGATGCCTGACTCCTCTTGAATACTGATAGGAATCCCAAAATCGCTGTGGCTAGGGGAAAGGGTCCTTGGGTGCCCTGCCTCACCTCGAGAAGCGTCCCTTTTGCCCTGCCAAGCCTCTTAGAGATTCCTGAGGTGTCCCTCGTTACTAGACAGGAGTCCTGACGTCACTGAAGAAACTCGTGTTTTGAAGGGCCATCCCCGCCGTAAGTCGAGAACATACCCCAGGTCCGCCGCCACTCGAGAAAAACAATGAGACTCCCCCCTAGAGGCGAGATGGGGCCCCATTCCCCTGCAGTGCATGCAGAGCTATTCCATGATCCCATTCAAACAAGTCAGGAGCTTCGACTTGCTTAATGGATTTCGAGACAGTCCCCAAGAACACTGTCACCAGTCTAGACGGACCCTGAGGTCACCCCAGCAACGCAAAGCAGCTCCATGTGCCCCAAATCAACTCGAGATGAGGCCCGATTCCCCTGCATTGACTCCAGAGCCATTCCCCGTTCCCCATTCAACAAGACCGGTGGCTCGACTTCCTTCAGGCAACTCCAGAGATGCCCCGAGAACCCTGTCCCAAGTCTAGAGGAACACCAACTTCAGCACAGCAACTCGAGGAATGCTCCGTGTAACCCAAAACATCTCGAGATGAGAGCTGATTCCCTGGCTTAGGCTCAAGACCTATGCCAACTTTCCAGAAGCACCTCAGGAGGAGGCTTCTCTCACCAATAGTTATGTGGGAGGGACCCCGAGTTTGCTGCCTCAAGGGGAATTTACAGCGAGAAGCCCTAACTTGAAAGGAGGCCGGATTTCCTTGCAGTGGCTTGAATACAGGCTCGTCTTTCATCTCACAACATGAAGGGATGTCTGAATCCCCTGTGGAGACCTTAGAGAAAGCCCTAGGTCCCTGCCTCATTTTGACGGAATGCCTCTCATCTCGCTGACACCTCGAGAGGCACGCGGAGTTCATTGCTTCAAAAGGTGACGATGCCTGACTCCTCTTGAATACTGATAGGAATCCCGAAATCCCTGTGGCTGCGGGAAAGGGTCCTTGGGTGCCCTGCCTCACCTCGAGAAGCGTCCCTTTTGCCCTGCCAAGCCTCTTAGAGATTCCTGAGGTGTCCCTCGTTACTAGACAGGAGTCCTGACGTCACTGAAGAAACTCGTGTTTTGAAGGGCCATCCCCGCCGTAAGTCGAGAACATACCCCAGGTCCCCGCCGCAACTCGAGAAAAACCATGAGATTTCCCCCTAGAGGTGAGATGAGGCCCCATTCCCCTTCAGTGCATGCAGAACTATTCCGTGATCCCATTCAAACAAGTCAGGAGCTTCGACTTGCTTAATGGATCTCGAGACAGTCCATAAGAACACTGTCACCAGTCTAGACGGACCCTGAGGTCACCCCAGCAACGCAAAGCAGCTCCATGTGCCCCAAATCAACTCGAGATGAGGCCCGATTCCCCTTCATTGACTCCAGAGACATTCCCCGTTCCCCATTCAACACGACCGGTGGCTCGACTTCCTTCAGGCAACTCCAGAGATGCCCCGAGAACACTGTCCCAAGTCTAGAGGAACACCAACTTCAGCACAGCAACTCGAGGAATGCTCCGTGTAACCCAAATCGTCTCGAGATGAGAGCTGATTCCCTGGCTTAGGCTCAAGACGTATGCCAACTTTCCAGAAGCACCTCAGGAGGAGGCTTCTCTCAGCAATAGTTATGTGGGAGGGACCCCGAGTTTGCTGCCTCAAGGGGAATATACAGCGAGAAGCCCTAACTTGAAAGGAGGCCGGATTTCCTTGCAGTGGCTTGAATACAGGCTCGTCTTTCATCTCACAACATGAAGGGATGTCTGAATCCCCTGTGGAGACGTTAGAGAAAGCCTTAGGTCCCTGCCTCATTTTGACGGAATGCCTCTCGTCCCGCTGACACCTCGAGAGGCACGCGGAGTTCATTGCTTCAAAAGGTGACGATGCCTGACTCCTCTTGAATACTGATAGGAATCCCAAAATCCCTGTGGCTACGGGAAAGGGTCCTTGGGTGCCCTGCCTCACCTCGAGAAGTGTCCCTTTTGCCCTGCCAAGCCTCGAAGAGATTCCTGAGGTGTCCCTCGTTACTAGACAGGAGTCCTGACGTCACTGAAGAAACTCGTGTTTTGAAGGTCCATCCCCGCCGTAAGTCGAGAACATACCCCAGGTCCCCGCCGCAACTCGAGAAAAACCATGAGACTTCCCCCTACAGGCGAGATGAGGCCCCATTCCCCTGCAGTGAATGCAGAGCTATTCCGTGATCCCATTCCAACAAGTCAGGAGCTTCGACTTGCTTAATGGATCTCGAGACAGTCCCCAAGAACACTGTCACCAGTCTAGACGGACCCTGAGGTCACCCCAGCAAAGCAAAGCAGCTCCATGTGCCCCAAATCAACTCGAGATGAGGCCCGATTCCCCTGCATTGACGCCAGAGCCATTCCCCGTTCCCCATTCAACACGACCGGTGGCTCGACTTCCTTCAGGCAACTCCAGAGATGCCCCGACAACAGTGTCCCAAGTCTAGAGGAACACCAACCTCAGCACAGCACTTGAGGAATGCTCCGTGTACCCCAAATCGTCTAGAGATGAGAGCTGATTCCCTGGCTTAGGCTCAAGACGTATGCCAACTTTCCAGAAGCACCTCAGGAGGAGGCTTCTCCCAGCAATAGGTATGTGGGAGGGACCCCGAGTTTGCTGCCTCAAGGGGAATATACAGCGAGAAGCCATAACTTGAAAGGAGGCCGGATTTCCTTGCAGTGGCTTGAATACAGGCTCGTCTTTCATCTCACAACATGAAGGGATGTCTGAATCCCCTGTGGAGACCTTAGAGAAAGCCCTAGGTCCCTGCCTCATTTTGACTGAATGCCTCACATCCCGCTGACACCTCGAGAGGCACGCGCAGTTCATTGCTTCAAAAGGTGACGATGCCTGACTCCTCTTGAATACTGATAGGAATCCCAAAATCGCTGTGGCTACTGGAAAGGGTCCTTGGGTGCCCTGCCTCACCTTGTGAAGCGTCCCTTTTGCCCTGCCAAGCCTCTTAGAGATTCCTGAGCTGTCCCTCATTACTAGACAGGAGTCCTGACGTCACTGAAGAAACTCGTGTTTTGAAGGGCCATCCCCGCCGTAAGTCGAGAACATACCCCAGGTCCCCGCCGCAACTCGAGAAAAACCATGAGACTTCCCCCTAGAGGCGAGATGAGGCCCCATTCCCCTGCAGTGCATGCAGAGCTATTCCGTGATCCCATTCAAACAAGTCAGGAGCTTCGACTTGCTTAATGGATCTCGAGACAGTCCCCAAGAACACTGTCACCAGTCTAGACGGACCCTGAGGTCACCCCAGCAACGCAAAGCAGCTCCATGTGCCCCAAATCAACTCCAGATGAGGCCCGATTCTCCTGTATTGACTCCAGAGCCATTCCCCGTTCCCCATTCAACACGACCGGTGGCTCGACTTCCTTCAGGCAACTCCAGAGATGCCCCGAGAACACTGTCCCAAGTCTAGAGGAACACCAACTTCAGCACAGCAACTTGAGGAATGCTTCGTGTACCCCAAATCGTCTCGAGATGAGAGCTGATTCCCTGGCTTAGGCTCAAGACGTATGCCAACTTTCCAGAAGCACCTCAGGAGGAGGCTTCTCTCAGCAATAGTTATGTGGGAGGGACCCCGAGTTTGCTGCCTCAAGGGGAATATACAGCGAGAAGCCCTAACTTGAAAGGAGGCCGGATTTCCTTGCAGTGGCTTGAATACAGGCTCGTCTTCATCTCACAACATGAAGGGATGTCTGAATCCCCTGTGGAGACCTTAGAGAAAGCCGTAGGTCCCTGCCTCATTTTGACGGAATGCCTCACGTCCCGCTGACACCTCGAGAGGCACGCGGAGTTCATTGCTTCAAAAGGTGACGATGCCTGACTCCTCTTGAATACTGATAGGAATCCCAAAATCCCTGTGGCTACGGGAAAGGGTCCTTGGGTGCCCTGCCTCACCTCGAGAAGCGTCCCTTTTGCCCTGCCAAGCCTCGAAGAGATTCCTGAGGTGTCCCTCGTTACTAGAAACGAGTCCTGACGTCACTGAAGAAACTCGTGTTTTGAAGGGCCATGCCCGCCGTAAGTCGAGAACATACCCCAAGTCCACACCGCAACTCGAGAAAAACCATGAGACTTCCCCCTAGAGGCGAGATGAGGCCCCTTCCCCTGCAGTGAATGCAGAGCTATTCCGTGATCCCATTCAAACAAATCAGGAGCTTCGACTTGCTTAATGGATCTCGAGACAGTCCCCAAGAACACTGTCACCAGTCTAGACGGACCCTGAGGTCACCCCAGCAACGCAAAGCAGCTCCATGTGCCCCAAATCAACTCGAGATGAGGCCCGATTCCCCTGCATTGACTCCAGAGCCATTCCCCGTTCCCCATTCAACACGACCGGTGGCTCGACTTCCTTCAGGCAACTCCAGAGATGCCCCGAGAACACTGTCCCAAGTCTAGAGGAACACCAACTTCAGCACACCAACTCGAGGAATGCACCGTGTAACCCAAAACATCTCGAGATGAGAGCTGATTCCCTGGCTTAGGCTCAAGACCTATGCCAACTTTCCAGAAGCACCTCAGGAGGAGGCTTCTCTCACCAATAGTTATGTGGGAGGGACCCCGAGTTTGCTGCCTCAAGGGGAATTTACAGCGAGAAGCCCTAACTTGAAAGGAGGCCGGATTTCCTTGCAGTGGCTTGAATACAGGCTCGTCTTTCATCTCACAACATGAAGGGATGTCTGAATCCCCTGTGGAGACCTTAGAGAAAGCCCTAGGTCCCTGCCTCATTTTGACGGAATGCCTCTCATCTCGCTGACACCTCGAGAGGCACGCGGAGTTCATTGCTTCAAAAGGTGACGATGCCTGACTCCTCTTGAATACTGATAGGAATCCCGAAATCCTGTGGCTGCGGGAAAGGGTCCTTGGGTGCCCTGCCTCACCTCGAGAAGCGTCCCTTTTGCCCTGCCAAGCCTCGAAGAGATTCCTGAGGTGTCCCTCGTTGCTAGACAGGAGTCCTGACGTCACTGAAGAAACTCGTGTTTTGAAGGGCCATCCCCGCCGTAAGTCGAGAACATACCCCAGGTCCCCGCCGCAACTCGAGAAAAACCATGAGATTTCCCCCTAGAGGTGAGATGAGGCCCCATTCCCCTTCAGTGCATGCAGAGCTATTCCGTGATCCCATTCAAACAAGTCAGGAGCTTCGACTTGCTTAATGGATCTCGAGACAGTCCATAAGAACACTGTCACCAGTCTAGACGGACCCTGAGGTCACCCCAGCAACGCAAAGCAGCTCCATGTGCCCCAAATCAACTCGAGATGAGGCCCGATTCCCCTTCATTGACTCCAGAGACATTCCCCGTTCCCCATTCAACACGACCGGTGGCTCGACTTCCTTCAGGCAACTCCAGAGATGCCCCGAGAACACTGTCCCAAGTCTAGAGGAACACCAACTTCAGCACAGCAACTCGAGGAATGCTCCGTGTAACCCAAATCGTCTCGAGATGAGAGCTGATTCCCTGGCTTAGGCTCAAGACGTATGCCAACTTTCCAGAAGCACCTCAGGAGGAGGCTTCTCTCAGCAATAGTTATGTGGGAGGGACCCCGAGTTTGCTGCCTCAAGGGGAATATACAGCGAGAAGCCCTAACTTGAAAGGAGGCCGGATTTCCTTGCAGTGGCTTGAATACAGGCTCGTCTTTCATCTCACAACATGAAGGGATGTCTGAATCCCCTGTGGAGACCTTAGAGAAAGCCTTAGGTCCCTGCCTCATTTTGACGGAATGCCTCACGTCCCGCTGACATCTCGAGAGGCACGCGGAGTTCATTGCTTCAAAAGGTGACGATGCCTGACTCCTCTTGAATACTGATAGGAATCCCAAAATCCCTGTGGCTACGGGAAAGGGTCCTTGGGTGCCCTGCCTCACGTCGAGAAGCGTCCCTTTTGCCCTGCCAAGCCTCGAAGAGATTCCTGAGGTGTCCCTCGTTACTAGACAGGAGTCCTGATATCACTGAAGAAACTCGTGTTTTGAAGGTCCATCCCCGCCGTAAGTCGAGAACATACCCCAGGTCCCCGCCGCAACTCGAGAAAAACCATGAGACTTCCCCCTAGAGGCGAGATGAGGCCCCATTCCCCTGCAGTGCATGCAGAGCTATTCCGTGATCCCATTCCAAAAAGTCAGGAGCTTCGACTTGCTTAATGGATCTCGAGACAGTCCCCAAGAACACTGTCACCAGTCTAGACGGACCCTGAGGTCACCCCAGCAAAGCAAAGCTGCTCCATGTGCCCCAAATCAACTCGAGATGAGGCCCGATTCCCCTGCATTGACGCCAGAGCCATTCCCCGTTCCCCATTCAACACGACCGGTGGCTCGACTTCCTTCAGGCAACTCCAGAGATGCCCCGAGAACACTGTCCCAAGTCTAGAGGAACACCAACTTCAGCACAGCAACTTGAGGAATGCTTCGTGTACCCCAAATCGTCTCGAGATGAGAGCTGATTCCCTGGCTTAGGCTCAAGACGTATGCCAACTTTCCAGAAGCACCTCAGGAGGAGGCTTCTCTCAGCAATAGTTATGTGGGAGGGACCCCGAGTTTGCTGCCTCAAGGGGAATATACAGCGAAAAGCCCTAACTTGAAAGGAGGCCGGATTTCCTTGCAGTGGCTTGAATACAGGCTCGTCTTTCATCTCACAACATGAAGGGATGTCTGAATCCCCTGTGGAGACCTTAGAGAAAGCCGTAGGTCCCTGCCTCATTTTGACGGAATGCCTCACGTCCCGCTGACACCTCGAGAGGCACGCGGAGTTCATTGCTTCAAAAGGTGACGATGCCTGACTCCTCTTGAATACTGATAGGAATCCCAAAATCCCTGTGGCTACGGGAAAGGGTCCTTGGGTGCCCTGCCTCACCTCGAGAAGCGTCCCTTTTGCCCTGCCAAGCCTCGAAGAGATTCCTGAGGTGTCCCTCGTTACTAGACACGAGTCCTGACGTCACTGAAGAAACTCGTGTTTTGAAGGGCCATCCCCGCCGTAAGTCGAGAACATACCCCAAGTCCACACCGCAACTCGAGAAAAACCATGAGACTTCCCCCTAGAGGCGAGATGAGGCCCCTTCCCCTGCAGTGAATGCAGAGCTATTCCGTGATCCCATTCAAACAAATCAGGAGCTTCGACTTGCTTAATGGATCTCGAGACAGTCCCCAAGAACACTGTCACCAGTCTAGACGGACCCTGAGGTCACCCCAGCAACGCAAAGCAGCTCCATGTGCCCCAAATCAACTCGAGATGAGGCCCGATTCCCCTGCATTGACTCCAGAGCCATTCCCCGTTCCCCATTCAACACGACCGGTGGCTCGACTTCCTTCAGGCAACTCCAGAGATGCCCCGAGAACACTGTCCCAAGTCTAGAGGAACACCAACTTCAGCACAGCAACTCGAGGAATGCTCCGTGTAACCCAAATCATCTCGAGATGAGAGCTGATTCCCTGGCTTAGGCTCAAGACGTATGCCAACTTTCCAGAAGCACCTCAGGAGGAGGCTTCTCTCACCAATAGTTATGTGGGAGGGACCCCGAGTTTGCTGCCTCAAGGGGAATTTACAGCGAGAAGCCCTAACTTGAAAGGAGGCCGGATTTCCTTGCAGTGGCTTGAATACAGGCTAGTCTTTCATCTCACAACATGAAGGGATGTCTGAATCCCCTGTGGAGACCTTAGAGAAAGCCCTAGGTCCCTGCCTCATTTTGACGGAATGCCTCTCATCTCGCTGACACCTCGAGAGGCACGCGGAGTTCATTGCTTCAAAAGGTGACGATGCCTGACTCCTCTTGAATACTGATAGGAATCCCGAAATCCCTGTGGCTGCGGGAAAGGGTCCTTGGGTGCCCTGCCTCACCTCGAGAAGCGTCCCTTTTGCCCTGCCAAGCCTCGAAGAGATTCCTGAGGTGTCCCTCGTTGCTAGACAGGAGTCCTGACGTCACTGAAGAAACTCGTGTTTTGAAGGTCCATCCCCGCCGTAAGTCGAGAACATACCCCAGGTCCCCGCCGCAACTCGAGAAAAACCATGAGATTTCCCCCTAGAGGTGAGATGAGGCCCCATTCCCCTTCAGTGCATGCAGAGCTATTCCGTGATCCCATTCAAACAAGTCAGGAGCTTCGACTTGCTTAATGGATCTCGAGACAGTCCATAAGAACACTGTCACCAGTCTAGACGGACCCTGAGGTCACCCCAGCAACGCAAAGCAGCTCCATGTGCCCCAAATCAACTCGAGATGAGGCCCGATTCCCCTTCATTGACTCCAGAGACATTCCCCGTTCCCCATTCAACACGACCGGTGGCTCGACTTCCTTCAGGCAACTCCAGAGATGCCCCGAGAACACTGTCCCAAGTCTAGAGGAACACCAACTTCAGCACAGCAACTCGAGGAATGCTCCGTGTAACCCAAATCGTCTCGAGATGAGAGCTGATTCCCTGGCTTAGGCTCAAGACGTATGCCAACTTTCCAGAAGCACCTCAGGAGGAGGCTTCTCTCAGCAATAGTTATGTGGGAGGGACCCCGAGTTTGCTGCCTCAAGGGGAATATACAGCGAGAAGCCCTAACTTGAAAGGAGGCCGGATTTCCTTGCAGTGGCTTGAATACAGGCTCGTCTTTCATCTCACAACATGAAGGGATGTCTGAATCCCCTGTGGAGACCTTAGAGAAAGCCTTAGGTCCCTGCCTCATTTTGACGGAATGCCTCACGTCCCGCTGACATCTCGAGAGGCACGCGGAGTTCATTGCTTCAAAAGGTGACGATGCCTGACTCCTCTTGAATACTGATAGGAATCCCAAAATCCCTGTGGCTACGGGAAAGGGTCCTTGGGTGCCCTGCCTCACGTCGAGAAGCGTCCCTTTTGCCCTGCCAAGCCTCGAAGAGATTCCTGAGGTGTCCCTCGTTACTAGACAGGAGTCCTGACATCACTGAAGAAACTCGTGTTTTGAAGGTCCATCCCCACCGTAAGTCGAGAACATACCCCAGGTCCCCGCCGCAACTCGAGAAAAACCATGAGACTTCCCCCTAGAGGCGAGATGAGGCCCCATTCCCCTGCAGTGAATGCAGAGCTATTCCGTGATCCCATTCCAACAAGTCAGGAGCTTCGACTTGCTTAATGGATCTCGAGACAGTCCCCAAGAACACTGTCACCAGTCTAGACGGACCCTGAGGTCACCCCAGCAAAGCAAAGCTGCTCCATGTGCCCCAAATCAACTCGAGATGAGGCCCGATTCCCCTGCATTGACGCCAGAGCCATTCCCCGTTCCCCATTCAACACGACCGGTGGCTCGACTTCCTTCAGGCAACTCCAGAGATGCCCCGAGAACACTGTCCCAAGTCTAGAGGAACACCAACTTCAGCACAGCAACTCGAGGAATGCTTCGTATACCCCAAATCGTCTCGAGATGAGAGCTGATTCCCTGGCTTAGGTTCAAGACGTATGCCAACTTTCCAGAAGCACCTCAGGAGGAGGCTTCTTTCAGCAATAGGTATGTGGGAGGGACCCCGAGTTTGCTGCCTCAAGGGGAATATACCGCGAGAAGCCCTAACATGAAAGGAGGCCGGATTTCTTTGCAGTGGCTTAAATACAGGCTCGTCTTTCATCTCACAACATGAAGGGATGTCTGAATCCCCTGTGGAGACCTTAGAGAAAGCCCTAGGTCCCTGCCTCATTTTGACGGAATGCCTCACATCCCGCTGACACCTCGAGAGGCACGCAGAGTTCATTGCTTCAAAAGGTGACGATGCCTGACTCCTCTTGAATACTGATAGGAATCCCAAAATCCCTGTGGCTACTGGAAAGGGTCCTTGGGTGCCCTGCCTCACCTCGAGAAGCGTCCCTTTTGCCCTGCCAAGTCTCGAAGAGATTCCTGAGGTGTCCCTCATTACTAGACAGGAGTCCTGACGTCACTGAAGAAACTCGTGTTTTGAAGGGCCATCCCCGCCGTAAGTCGAGAACATACCCCAGGTCCCCGCCTCAACTCGAGAAAAACCATGAGACTTCCCCCTAGAGGCGAGATGAGGCCCCATTCCCCTGCAGTGCATGCAGAGCTATCCCGTGATCCCATTCAAACAAGTCAGGAGCTTCGACTTGCTTAATGGATCTCGAGACAGTCCCCAAGAACACTGTCACCAGTCTAGACGGACCCTGAGGTCACCGCAGCAACGCAAAGCAGCTCCATGTGCCCAAATCAACTCGAGATGAGGCCCGATTCCCTTGCATTGACTCCAGAGCCATTCCCCGTTCCCCATTCAACACGACCGGTGGCTCGACTTCCTTCAGGCAACTCCAGAGATGCCCCGAGAACACTGTCCCAAGTCTAGAGGAACACCAACTTCAGCACAGCAACTCGAGGAATGCTCTGTGTACCCCAAATCGTCTCGAGATGAGAGCTGATTCCCTGGCTTAGGCTCAAGACTTATGCCAACTTTCCAGAAGCACCTCAGGAGGAGGCTTCTCTCAGCAATAGGTATGTGGGTGGGACCCGAGTTTGCTGCCTCAAGGGGAATATACAGCGAGAAGCCCTAACTTGAAAGGAGGCAGGATTTCCTTGCAGTGGCTTGAATACAGGCTCGTCTTTCATCTCACAACATGAAGGGATGTCTGAATCCCCTGTGGAGGCCTTAGAGAAAGCCCTAGGTCCCTGCCTCATTTTGACGGAATGCCTCACATCCCGCTGACACCTCGAGAGGCACGCGGAGTTCATTGCTTCAAAAGGTGACGATGCCTGACTCCTCTTGAATACTGATAGGAATCCCAAAATCCCTGTGGCTACGGGCAAGGGTCCTTGGGTGCCCTGCCTCACCTCGAGAAGCGTCCCTTTTGCCCTGCCAAGCCTCGAAGAGATTCCTGAGTTGTCCTTCGTTACTAGACAGGAGTCCTGAGGTCACTGAAGAAACTCGTGTTTTGAAGGGCCATCCCCGCCGTAAGTCGAGAACATACCCCAGGTCCCCGCCGCAACTCGAGAAAAACCATGAGATTTCCCCCTAGAGGTGAGATGAGGCCCCATTCCCCTTCAGTGCATGCAGAGCTATTCCGTGATCCCATTCAAACAAGTCAGGAGCTTCGACTTGCTTAATGGATCTCGAGACAGTCCATAAGAACACTGTCACCAGTCTAGACGGACCCTGAGGTCACCCCAGCAACGCAAAGCAGCTCCATGTGCCCCAAATCAACTCGAGATGAGGCCCGATTCCCCTTCATTGACTCCAGAGACATTCCCCGTTCCCCATTCAACACGACCGGTGGCTCGACTTCCTTCAGGCAACTCCAGAGATGCCCCGAGAACACTGTCCCAAGTCTAGAGGAACACCAACTTCAGCACAGCAACTCGAGGAATGCTCCGTGTAACCCAAATCGTCTCGAGATGAGAGCTGATTCCCTGGCTTAGGCTCAAGACGTATGCCAACTTTCCAGAAGCACCTCAGGAGGAGGCTTCTCTCAGCAATAGTTATGTGGGAGGGACCCCGAGTTTGCTGCCTCAAGGGGAATATACAGCGAGAAGCCCTAACTTGAAAGGAGGCCGGATTTCCTTGCAGTGGCTTGAATACAGGCTCGTCTTTCATCTCACAACATGAAGGGATGTCTGAATCCCCTGTGGAGACCTTAGAGAAAGCCTTAGGTCCCTGCCTCATTTTGACGGAATGCCTCACGTCCCGCTGACATCTCGAGAGGCACGCGGAGTTCATTGCTTCAAAAGGTGACGATGCCTGACTCCTCTTGAATACTGATAGGAATCCCAAAATCCCTGTGGCTACGGGAAAGGGTCCTTGGGTGCCCTGCCTCACGTCGAGAAGCGTCCCTTTTGCCCTGCCAAGCCTCGAAGAGATTCCTGAGGTGTCCCTCGTTACTAGACAGGAGTCCTGACATCACTGAAGAAACTCGTGTTTTGAAGGTCCATCCCCGCCGTAAGTCGAGAACATACCCCAGGTCCCCGCCGCAACTCGAGAAAAACCATGAGACTTCCCCCTAGAGGCGAGATGAGGCCCCATTCCCCTGCAGTGAATGCAGAGCTATTCCGTGATCCCATTCCAACAAGTCAGGAGCTTCGACTTGCTTAATGGATCTCGAGACAGTCCCCAAGAACACTGTCACCAGTCTAGACGGACCCTGAGGTCACCCCAGCAAAGCAAAGCTGCTCCATGTGCCCCAAATCAACTCGAGATGAGGCCCGATTCCCCTGCATTGACGCCAGAGCCATTCCCCGTTCCCCATTCAACACGACCGGTGGCTCGACTTCCTTCAGGCAACTCCAGAGATGCCCCGAGAACACTGTCCCAAGTCTAGAGGAACACCAACTTCAGCACAGCAACTCGAGGAATGCTTCGTATACCCCAAATCGTCTCGAGATGAGAGCTGATTCCCTGGCTTAGGTTCAAGACGTATGCCAACTTTCCAGAAGCACCTCAGGAGGAGGCTTCTTTCAGCAATAGGTATGTGGGAGGGACCCCGAGTTTGCTGCCTCAAGGGGAATATACCGCGAGAAGCCCTAACATGAAAGGAGGCCGGATTTCTTTGCAGTGGCTTAAATACAGGCTCGTCTTTCATCTCACAACATGAAGGGATGTCTGAATCCCCTGTGGAGACCTTAGAGAAAGCCCTAGGTCCCTGCCTCATTTTGACGGAATGCCTCACATCCCGCTGACACCTCGAGAGGCACGCAGAGTTCATTGCTTCAAAAGGTGACGATGCCTGACTCCTCTTGAATACTGATAGGAATCCCAAAATCCCTGTGGCTACTGGAAAGGGTCCTTGGGTGCCCTGCCTCACCTCGAGAAGCGTCCCTTTTGCCCTGCCAAGTCTCGAAGAGATTCCTGAGGTGTCCCTCATTACTAGACAGGAGTCCTGACGTCACTGAAGAAACTCGTGTTTTGAAGGGCCATCCCCGCCGTAAGTCGAGAACATACCCCAGGTCCCCGCCTCAACTCGAGAAAAACCATGAGACTTCCCCCTAGAGGCGAGATGAGGCCCCATTCCCCTGCAGTGCATGCAGAGCTATCCCGTGATCCCATTCAAACAAGTCAGGAGCTTCGACTTGCTTAATGGATCTCGAGACAGTCCCCAAGAACACTGTCACCAGTCTAGACGGACCCTGAGGTCACCGCAGCAACGCAAAGCAGCTCCATGTGCCCAAATCAACTCGAGATGAGGCCCGATTCCCTTGCATTGACTCCAGAGCCATTCCCCGTTCCCCATTCAACACGACCGGTGGCTCGACTTCCTTCAGGCAACTCCAGAGATGCCCCGAGAACACTGTCCCAAGTCTAGAGGAACACCAACTTCAGCACAGCAACTCGAGGAATGCTCTGTGTACCCCAAATCGTCTCGAGATGAGAGCTGATTCCCTGGCTTAGGCTCAAGACTTATGCCAACTTTCCAGAAGCACCTCAGGAGGAGGCTTCTCTCAGCAATAGGTATGTGGGTGGGACCCGAGTTTGCTGCCTCAAGGGGAATATACAGCGAGAAGCCCTAACTTGAAAGGAGGCAGGATTTCCTTGCAGTGGCTTGAATACAGGCTCTTCTTTCATCTCACAACATGAAGGGATGTCTGAATCCCCTGTGGAGGCCTTAGAGAAAGCCCTAGGCCCCTGCCTCATTTTGACGGAATGCCTCACATCCCGCTGACACCTCGAGAGGCACGCGGAGTTCATTGCTTCAAAAGGTGACGATGCCTGACTCCTCTTGAATACTGATAGGAATCCCAAAATCCCTGTGGCTACGGGCAAGGGTCCTTGGGTGCCCTGCCTCACCTCGAGAAGCGTCCCTTTTGCCCTGCCAAGCCTCGAAGAGATTCCTGAGTTGTCCTTCGTTACTAGACAGGAGTCCTGAGGTCACTGAAGAAACTCGTGTTTTGAAGGGCCATCCCCGCCGTAAGTCGAGAACATACCCCAGGTCCCCGCCGCAACTAGAGTAAAACCATGAGACTTCCCCCTAGAGGCGAGATGAGGCCCCATTCCCCTGTAGTGCATGCAGAGCTATTCCGTGATCCCATTCAAACAAGTCAGGAGCTTCAACTTGCTTAATGGATCTCGAGACAGTTCCCAAGAACACTGTCACCAGTCTAGACGGACCCTGAGGTCACCCCAGCAACGCAAAGCAGCTCCATGTGCCCCAAATCAACTCGAGATGAGGCCCGATTCCCCTGCATTGACTCCAGAGCCATTCCCCGTTCCCCATTCAACACGACCGGTGGCTCGACTTCCTTCAGGCAACTCCAGAGATGCCCCGAGAACACGGTCCCAAGTCTAGAGGAACACCAACTTCAGCACAGCAACTCGATGAATGCTTCGTGTACCACAAATCGTCTCGAGATGAGAGCTGATTCCCTGGCTTAGGCTCAAGACTTATGCCAACTTTCCAGAAGCACCTCAGGAGGAGGCTTCTCTCAGCAATAGGTATGTGGAAGGGACCCCGAGTTTGCTGCCTCCAGGGGAATATACAGCGAGAAGCCCTAACTTGAAAGGAGGCCGCATTTCCTTGCAGTGGCTTGAATACAGGCTCGTCTTTCATCTCACAACATGAAGGGATGTCTGAATCCCCTGTGGAGACCTTAGAGAAAGCCCTAGGTCCCTGCCTCATTTTGACGGAATGCCTCACATCCCGCTGACACCTCGAGAGGCACGCGGAGTTCATTGCTTCAAAAGGTGACGATGCCTGACTCCTCTTGAATACTGATAGGAATCTCAAAATCGCTGTGGCTACTGGAAAGGGTCCTTGGGTACCCTGCCTCACCTCGAGAAGCGTCCCTTTTGCTCTGCAAGCTTCGTAGAGATTCCTGAGGTGTCCCTCGTTACTAGACAGGAGTCCTGACGTCACTGAAGAAACTCGTGTTTTGAAGGGCCATCCCCGCCGTAAGTCGAGAACATACCCCAGGTCCCCGCCTCAACTCGAGAAAAACCATGAGACTTCCCCCTAGAGGCGAGATGAGGCCCCATTCCCGTGCAGTGCATGCAGAGCTATTCCGTGATCCCATTCAAACAAGTCAGGAGCTTCGACTTGCTTAGTGGATCTCGAGACAGTCCCCAAAAACACTGTCACCAGTCTAGACGGACCCTGAGGTCACCCCAGCAACGCAAAGCAGCTCCATGTGCCCCAAATCAACTCGAGATGAGGCCCGATTCCCCTGCATTGACTCCAGAGCCATTCCCCGTTCCCCATTCAACAAGACCGGTGGCTCGACTTCCTTCAGGCAACTCCAGAGATGCCCCGAGAACACTGTCCCAAGTCTAGAGGAACACCAACTTCAGCACAGCAACTTGAGGAATGCTCCGTGTACCCCAAATCGTCTCGAGATGAGAGCTGATTCCCTGGCTTAGGCTCAAGACGTATGCCAACTTTCCAGAAGCACCTCAGGAGGAGGCTTCTCTCAGAAATAGTTATGTGGGAGGGACCCCGAGTTTGCTGCCTCAAGGGGAATATACAGCGAGAAGCCCTAACTTGAAAGGAGGCCGGATTTCCTTGCAGTGGCTTGAATACAGGCTCGTCTTTCATCTCACAACATGAAGGGATGTCTGAATCCCCTGTGGAGACCTTAGAGAAAGCCCTAGGTCCCTGCCTCATTTTGACGGAATGCCTCACATCCCGCTGACACCTCGAGAGGCACGCTGAGTTCATTGCTTCAAAAGGTGACGATGCCTGACTCCTCTTGAATACTGATAGGAATCCCAAAATCCCTGTGGCTACGGGAAAGGGTCCTTGGGTGCCCTGCCTCACCTCGAGAAGCGTCCCTTTTGCCCTGCCAAGCCTCGACGAGATTCCTGAGGTGTCCCTTGTTACTAGACACGAGTCTTGACGTCACTGAAGAAACTCGTGTTTTGAAGGGCCATCCCCGCCATAAGTCGAGAACATACCCCAAGTCCACACCGCAACTCGAGAAAAACCATGAGACTTCCCACTAGAGGCGAGATGAGGCCCCATTCCCCTGCAGTGAATGCAGAACTATTCCGTGATCCCATTCAAACAAGTCAGGAGCTTCGACTTGCTTAATGGATCTCGAGACAGTCCCCAAGAACACTGTCACCAGTCTAGACGGACCCTGAGGTCACCCCAGCAACGCAAAGCAGCTCCATGTGCCCCAAATCAACTCGAGATGAGGCCCGATTCCCCTGCATTCACTCCAGAGCCATTCCCCGTTCCCCATTCAACACGACCGGTGGCTCGACTTCCTTCAGGCAACTCCAGAGATGCCCCGAGAACACTGTCCCAAGTCTAGAGGAACACCAACTTCAGCACAGCAACTCGAGGAATGCTCCGTGTAACCCAAATCATCTCGAGATGAGAGCTGATTCCCTGGCTTAGGCTCAAGACGTATGCCAACTTTCCAGAAGCACCTCAGGAGGAGGCTTCTCTCACCAATAGTTATGTGGGAGGGACCCCGAGTTTGCTGCCTCAAGGGGAATTTACAGCAAGAAGCCCTAACTTGAAAGGGGGCCGGATTTCCTTGCAGTGGCTTGAATACAGGCTCGTCTTTCATCTCACAACATGAAGGGATGTCTGAATCCCCTGTGGAGACCTTAGAGAAAGCCCTAGGTCCCTGCCTCATTTTGACGGAATGCCTCACATCCCGCTGACACCTCGAGAGGCACGTGGAGTTCATTGCTTCAAAAGGTGACGATGCCTGACTCCTCTTGAATACTGATAGGAATCCCGAAATCCCTGTGGCTACGGGAAAGGGTCCTTGGGTGCCCTGCCTCACCTTGAGAAGCGTCCCTTTTGCCTTGCCAAGCCTCGAAGAGATTCCTGAGGTGTCCCTCGTTGCTAGACAGGAGTCCTGACGTCACTGAAGAAACTCGTGTTTTGAAGGGCCATCCCCGCCGTAAGTCGAGAACATACCCCAGGTCCCCGCCGCAACTCGAGAAAAACCATGAGATTTCCCCCTAGAGGTGAGATGAGGCCCCATTCCCCTTCAGTGCATGCAGAGCTATTCCGTGATCCCATTCAAACAAGTCAGGCGCTTCGACTTGCTTAATGGATCTCGAGAGAGTCCCCAAGAACACTGTCACCAGTCTAGACGGACCCTGAGGTCACCCCAGCAACGCAAAGCAGCTCCATGTGCCCCAAATCAACTCGGGATGAGGCCCGATTCCCCTTCATTCACTCCAGAGACATTCCCCGTCCCCCATTCAACACGACCGGTGGCTCGACTTCCTTCAGTCAACTCCAGAGATGCCCCGAGAACACTGTCCCAAGTCTAGAGGAACACCAACTTCAGCACAGCAACTCGAGGAATGCTCCATGTAACCCAAATCGTCTCGAGATGAGAGCCGATTCCCTGGCTTAGGCTCAAGACGTATGCCAACTTTCCAGAAGCACCTCAGGAGGAGGCTTCTCTCAGCAATAGTTATGTGGGAGGGACCCCGAGTTTGCTGCCTCAAGGGGAATATACAGCGAGAAGCCCTAACTTGAAAGGAGGCCGGATTTCCTTGCAGTGGCTTGAATACAGGCTCTTCTTTCATCTCACAACAAGAAGGGATGTCTGAATCCCCTGTGGAGACCTTAGAGAAAGCCGTAGGTCCCTGCCTCATTTTGACGGAATGCCTCACGTCCCGCTGACACCTCGAGAGGCACGCGGAGTTCATTGCTTCAAAAGGTGACGATGCCTGACTCCTCTTGAATACTGATAGGAATCCCAAAATCCCTGTGGCTACGGGAAAGGGTCCTTGGGTGCCCTGCCTCACCTCGAGAAGCGTCCCTTTTGCCCTGCCAAGCCTCGAAGAGATTCCTGAGGTGTCCCTCGTTACTAGACACGAGTCCTGACGTCACTGAAGAAACTCGTGTTTTGAAGGGCCATCCCCGCCGTAAGTCGAGAACATACCCCAAGTCCACACCGCAACTCGAGAAAAACCATGAGACTTCCCCCTAGAGGCGAGATGAGGCCCCTTCACCTGCAGTGAATGCAGAGCTATTCCGTGATCCCATTCAAACAAATCAGGAGCTTCGACTTGCTTAATGGATCTCGAGACAGTCCCCAAGAACACTGTCACCAGTCTAGACGGACCCTGAGGTCACCCCAGCAACGCAAAGCAGCTCCATGTGCCCCAAATCAACTCGAGATGAGGCCCGATTCCCCTGCATTGACTCCAGAGCCATTCCCCGTTCCCCATTCAACACAACCGGTGGCTCGACTTCCTTCAGGCAACTCCAGAGATGCCCCGAGAACACTGTCCCAAGTCTAGAGGAACACCAACTTCAGCACAGCAACTCGAGGAATGCTCCGTGTAACCCAAATCATCTCGAGATGAGAGCTGATTCCCTGGCTTAGGCTCAAGACGTATGCCAACTTTCCAGAAGCACCTCAGGAGGAGGCTTCTCTCACCAATAGTTATGTGGGAGGGACCCCGAGTTTGCTGCCTCAAGGGGAATTTACAGCGAGAAGCCCTAACTTGAAAGGAGGCCGGATTTCCTTGCAGTGGCTTGAATACAGGCTCGTCTTTCATCTCACAACATGAAGGGATGTCTGAATCCCCTGTGGAGACCTTAGAGAAAGCCCTAGGTCCCTGCCTCATTTTGACGGAATGCCTCTCATCTCGCTGACACCTCGAGAGGCACGCGGAGTTCATTGCTTCAAAAGGTGACGATGCCTGACTCCTCTTGAATACTGATAGGAATCCCGAAATCCCTGTGGCTGCGGGAAAGGGTCCTTGGGTGCCCTGCCTCACCTCGAGAAGCGTCCCTTTTGCCCTGCCAAGCCTCGAAGAGATTCCTGAGGTGTCCCTCGTTGCTAGACAGGAGTCCTGACGTCACTGAAGAAACTCGTGTTTTGAAGGGCCATCCCCGCCGTAAGTCGAGAACATGCCCCAGGTCCCCGCCGCAACTCGAGAAAAACCATGAGACTTCCCCCTTGAGGCGAGATGAGGCCCCATTCCCCTGGAGTGCATGCAGAGCTATTCCGTGATCCCATTCAAACAAGTCAGGAGCTTCGACTTGCTTAATGGATCTCGAGACAGTCCCCAAGAACACTGTCACCAGTCTAGACGGACCCTGAGGTCACCCCAGCAACGCAAAGCAGCTCCATGTGCCCCAAATCAACTCGAGATGAGGCCCGATTCCCCTGCATTGAGTCCAGAGCCATTCATCGTTCCACATTCAACACGACCGGTGGCTCGACTTCCTTCAGGCAACTCCAGAGATGCCCCGAGAACACGGTCCCAAGTCTAGAGGAACACCAACTTCAGCACAGCAACTCGAGGAATGCTTCGTGTACCCCAAATCGTCTCGAGATGAGAGCTGATTCCCTGGCTTAGGCTCAAGACTTATGCCAACTTTCCAGAAGCACCTCAGGAGGAATCTTCTCTCAGCAATAGGTATGTGGAAGGGACCCCGAGTTTGCTGCCTCCAGGGGAATATACAGCGAGAAGCCCTAACTTGAACGGAGGCCGCATTTCCTTGCAGTGGCTTGAATACAGGCTCGTCTTTCATCTCACAACATGAAGGGATGTCTGAATCCCCTGTGGAGACCTTAGAGAAAGCCCTAGGTCCCTGCCTCATTTTGACGGAATGCCTCACATCCCGCTGACACCTCGAGAGGCACACGGAGTTCATTGCTTCAAAAGGTGACGATGCCTGACTCCTCTTGAATACTGATAGGAATCCCAAAATCGCTGTGGCTACTGGAAAGGGTCCTTGGGTGCCCTGCCTCACCTTGTGAAGCGTCCCTTTTGCCCTGCCAAGCCTCTTAGAGATTCCTGAGCTGTCCCTCATTACTAGACAGGAGTCCTGACGTCACTGAAGAAACTCGTGTTTTGAAGGGCCATCCCCGCCGTAAGTCGAGAACATACCCCAGGTCCCCGCCGCAACTCGAGAAAAACCATGAGACTTCCCCCTTGAGGCGAGATGAGGCCCCATTCCCTGCAGTGCATGCAGAGCTATTCCGTGATCCCATTCAAACAAGTCAGGAGCTTCGACTTGCTTAATGGATCTCGAGACAGTCCCCAAGAACACTGTCACCAGTCTAGACGGACCCTGAGGTCACCCCAGCAACGCAAAGCAGCTCCATGTGCCCTAAATCAACTCGAGATGCGGCCTGATTCCCCTGCATTGAGTCCAGAGCCATTCCCCGTTCCCCATTCAACACGACCGGTTGCTCGACTTCCTTCAGGCAACTCCAGAGATGCCCCGAGAACATGGTCCCAAGTCTAGAGGAACACCAACTTCAGCACAGCAACTCGAGGAATGCTTCGTGTACCCCAAATCGTCTCGAGATGAGAGCTGATTCCCTGGCTTAGGCTCAAGACGTATGCCAACTTTCCAGAAGCACCTCAGGAGGAGGCTTCTTTCAGCAATAGGTATGTGGGAGGGACCCCGAGTTTGCTGCCTCAAGGGGAATATACAGCGAGAAGCCATAACTTGAAAGGAGGCCGGATTTCCTTGCAGTGGCTTGAATACAGGCTCGTCTTTCATCTCACAACATGAAGGGATGTCTGAATCCCCTGTGGAGACCTTAGAGAAAGCCGTAGGTCCCTGCCTCATTTTGACGGAATGCCTCACGTCCCGCTGACACCTCGAGAGGCACGCGGAGTTCATTGCTTCAAAAGGTGACGATGCCTGACTCCTCTTGAATACTGATAAGAATCCCAAAATCCCTGTGGCTACGGGAAAGGGTCCTTGGGTGCCCTGCCTCACTTCGAGAAGCGTCCCTTTTGCCCTGCCAAGCCTCGAAGAGATTCCTGAGGTGTCCCTCGTTACTAGACAGGAGTCCTGACGTCACTGAAGAAACTCGTGTTTTGAAGGGCCATCCCCGCCGTAAGTCGAGAACATACTCCAGGTCCCCGCCGCAACTCGAGAAAAACCATGAGACTTCCCCCTTGAGGCGAGATGAGGTCCCATTCCCCTGCAGTGCATGCAGAGCTATTCCGTGATCCCATTCAAACAAGTCAGGAGCTTCGACTTGCTTAATGGATCTCGAGACAGTCCCCAAGAACACTGTCACCAGTCTCGACGGACCCTGAGGTCACCCCAGCAAAGCAAAGCAGCTCCATGTGCCCCAAATCAACTCGAGATGAGGTCCCATTCGCATGCATTGACGCCAGAGCCATTCCCCGTTCCCCATTCAACACGACCGGTGGCTCGACTTCCTTCAGGCAACTCCAGAGATGCCCAGACAACAGTGTCCCAAGTCTAGAGGAACACCAACCTCAGCACAGCACTTGAGGAATGCTCCGTGTACCACAAATCGTCTAGAGATGAGAGCTGATTCCCTGGCTTAGGCTGAAGACGTATGCCAACTTTCCAGAAGCACCTCAGGAGGAGGATTCTCTCAGCAATAGGTATGTGGGAGGGACCCCGAGTTTGCTGCCTCAAGGGGAATATACAGTGAGAAGCCATAACTTGAAAGGAGGCCGGATTTCCTTGTAGTGGCTTGAATACAGGCTCGTCTTTCATCTCACAACATGAAGGGATGTCTGAATCCCCTGTGGAGACCTTAGAGAAAGCCCTAGGTCCCTGCCTCATTTTGACGGAATGCCTCATATCCCGCTGACACCTCGAGAGGCACGCGGAGTTCATTGCTTCAAAAGGTGACGATGCCTGACTCCTCTTGAATACTGATAGGAATCCCAAAATCCCTGTGGCTACGGGAAAGGGTCCTTGGGTGCCCTGCCTCACCTCGAGAAGCGTCCCTTTTGCCCTGCCAAGCCTCGAAGAGATTCCTGAAGTGTCCCTCGTTACTAGACAGGAGTCCTGAGGTCACTGAAGAAACTCGTGTTTTGAAGGGCCATCCCCGCCGTAAGTCGAGAACATACCCCAAGTCCCCGACGCAACTAGAGTAAAACCATGAGACTTCCCCCTAGAGGCGAGATGAGGCCCCATTCCCCTGCAGTGCATGCAGAGCTATTCCGTGATCCCATTCAAACAAGTCAGGAGCTTCGACTTGCTTAATGGATCTCGAGACAGTCCCCAAGAACACTGTCACCAGTCTAGACGGACCCTGAGGTCACCCCAGCAACGCAAAGCAGCTCCATGTGCCCCAAATCAACTCGAGATGAGGCCCGATTCCCCTGCATTGACTCCAGAGCCATTCCCCGTTCCCCATTCAACACGACCGGTGGCTCGACTTCCTTCAGGCAACTCCAGAGATGCCCCGAGAACACGGTCCCAAGTCTAGAGGAACACCAACTTCAGCACAGCAACTCGAGGAATGCTTCGTGTACCCCAAATCGTCTCGAGATGAGAGCTGATTCCCTGGCTTAGGCTCAAGACTTATGCCAACTTTCCAGAAGCACCTCAGGAGGAGGCTTCTCTCAGAAATAGGTATGTGGAAGGGACCCCGAGTTTGCTGCCTCAAGGGGAATATACAGCGAGAAGCCCTAACTTGAAAGGAGGCCGCATTTCCTTGCAGTGGCTTGAATACAGGCTGGTCTTTCATCTCACAACATGAAGGGATGTCTGAATCCCCTGTGGAGACCTTAGAGAAAGCCCTAGGTCCCTGCCTCATTTTGACGGAATGCCTCACATCCCGCTGACACCTCGAGAGGCACGCGGAGTTCATTGCTTCAAAAGGTGACGATGCCTGACTCCTCTTGAATACTGATAGGAATCCCAAAATCCCTGTGGCTACTGGAAAGGGTCCTTGGGTGCCCTGCCTCACCTCGAGAAGCGTCCCTTTTGCCCTGCCAAGCCTCGAAGAGATTCCTGAGGTGTCCCTCATTACTAGACAGGAGTCCTGACGTCACTGAAGAAACTCGTGTTTTGAAGGGCCATCCCCGCCGTAAGTCGAGAACATACCCCAGGTCCCCGCGGCAACTCGAGAAAAACCATGAGACTTCCCCCTAGAGGCGAGATGAGGCCCCATTCCCTTGCAGTGCATGCAGAGCTATCCCATGATCCCATTCAAACAAGTCAGGAGCTTCGACTTGCTTAATGGATCTCGAGACAGTCCCGAAGAACACTGTCACCACTCTAGACGGACCCTGAGGTCACCCCAGCAACGCAAAGCAGCTCCATGTGCCCCAAATCAACTCGAGATGAGGCCCGATTCCCCTGCATTGACTCCAGAGCCATTCCCCGTTCCCCATTCAACACGACCGGTGGCTCGACTTCCTTCAGGCAACTCCAGAGATGCCCCGAGAACACTGTCCCAAGTCTAGAGGAACACCAACTTCAGCACAGCAACTCGAGGAATGCTCTGTGTACCTCAAATCGTCTCGAGATGAGAGCTGATTCCCTGGCTTAGGCTCAAGACTTATGCCAACTTTCCAGAAGCACCTCAGGATTAGGCTTCTCTCAGCAATAAGTATGTGGGAGGGACCCCGAGTTTGTGTCTCAAGGGCAATATACAGCGAGAAGCCCTAACTTGAAAGGAGGCCGGATTTCCTTGCAGTGGCTTGAATACAGGCTCGTCTTTCATCTCACAACATGAAGGGATGTCTGAATCCCCTGTGGAGACCTTAGAGAAAGCCCTAGGTCCCTGCCTCATTTTGACGGAATGCCTCACATCCCACTGACACCTCGAGAGGCACGCGGAGTTCATTGCTTCAAAAGGTGACGATGCCTGACTCCTCTTGAATACTGATAGGAATCCCAAAATCCCTGTGGCTACGGGAAAGGGTCCTTGGGTGCCCTGCCTCACCTCGAGAAGCGTCCCATTTGCCCTGCCAAGCCTCGAAGAGATTCCTGAGGTGTCCCTCGTTACTAGACAGGAGTCCTGACGTCACTGAAGAAACTCGTGTTTTGAAGGGCCATCCCCGCCGTAAGTCGAGAACATACCCCAGGTCCCCGCCGCAACTCGAGAAAAACCATGAGACTTCCCCCTTGAGGCGAGATGAGGCCCCATTCCCCTGCAGTGCATGCAGAGCTATCCCTTGATCCCATTCAAACAAGTCAGGAGCTTCGACTTGCTTAGTGGATCTCGAGACAGTCCCCAAGAACACTGTCACCAGTCTAGACGGACCCTGAGGTCACCCCAGCAACGCAAAGCAGCTCCATGAGCCCCAAATCAACTCGAGATGAGGCCCGATTCCCCTGCATTGACTCCAGAGCCATTCCCCCTTCCCCATTCAACACGACCGATGGCTCGACTTCCTTCAGGCAACTCCAGAGATGCCCCGAGAACACTGTCCCAAGTCTAGAGGAACACCAACTTCAGCACAGCAACTCGAGGAATGCTCCGTGTAACCCAAATCATCTCGAGATGAGAGCTGATTCCCTGGCTTAGGCTCAAGACCTATGCCAACTTTCCAGAAGCACCTCAGGAGGAGGCTTCTCTCACCAATAGTTATGTGGGAGGGACCCCGAGTTTGCTGCCTCAAGGGGAATTTACAGCGAGAAGCCCTAACTTGTAAGGAGGCCGGATTTCCTTGCAGTGGCTTGAATACAGGCTCGTCTTTCATCTCACAACATGAAGGGATGTCTGAATCCCCTGTGGAGACCTTAGAGAAAGCCCTAGGTCCCTGCCTCATTTTGACGGAATGCCTCTCATCTCGCTGACACCTCGAGAGGCACGCGGAGTTCATTGCTTCAAAAGGTGACGATGCCTGACTCCTCTTGAATACTGATAGGAATCCCGAAATCCTGTGGCTGCGGGAAAGGGTCCTTGGGTGCCTGCCTCACCTCGAGAAGCGTCCCTTTTGCCCTGCCAAGCCTCGAAGAGATTCCTGAGGTGTCCCTCGTTGCTAGACAGGAGTCCTGACGTCACTGAAGAAACTCGTGTTTTGAAGGGCCATCCCCGCCGTAAGTCGAGAACATACCCCAGGTCCCCGCCGCAACTCGAGAAAAACCATGAGATTTCCCCCTAGAGGTGAGATGAGGCCCCATTCCCCTTCAGTGCATGCAGAGCTATTCCGTGATCCCATTCAAACAAGTCAGGAGCTTCGACTTGCTTAATGGATCTCGAGACAGTCCATAAGAACACTGTCACCAGTCTAGACGGACCCTGAGGTCACCCCAGCAACGCAAAGCAGCTCCATGTGCCCCAAATCAACTCGAGATGAGGCCCGATTCCCCTTCATTGACTCCAGAGACATTCCCCGTTCCCCATTCAACACGACCGGTGGCTCGACTTCCTTCAGGCAACTCCAGAGATGCCCCGAGAACACTGTCCCAAGTCTAGAGGAACACCAACTTCAGCACAGCAACTCGAGGAATGCTCCGTGTAACCCAAATCGTCTCGAGATGAGAGCTGATTCCCTGGCTTAGGCTCAAGACGTATGCCAACTTTCCAGAAGCACCTCAGGAGGAGGCTTCTCCCAGCAATAGGTATGTGGGAGGGACCCCGAGTTTGCTGCCTCAAGGGGAATATACAGCGAGAAGCCATAACTTGAAAGGAGGCCGGATTTCCTTGCAGTGGCTTGAATACAGGCTCGTCTTTCATCTCACAACATGAAGGGATGTCTGAATCCCCTGTGGAGACCTTAGAGAAAGCCTTAGGTCCCTGCCTCATTTTGATGGAATGCCTCACGTCCCGCTGACATCTCGAGAGGCACGCGGAGTTCATTGCTTCAAAAGGTGACGATGCCTGACTCCTCTTGAATACTGATAGGAATCCCAAAATCCCTGTGGCTACGGGAAAGGGTCCTTGGGTGCCCTGCCTCACGTCGAGAAGCGTCCCTTTTGCCCTGCAAAGCCTCGAAGAGATTCCTGAGGTGTCCCTCGTTACTAGACAGGAGTCCTGACATCACTGAAGAAACTCGTGTTTTGAAGGTCCATCCCCGCCGTAAGTCGAGAACATACCCCAGGTCCCCGCCGCAACTCGAGAAAAACCATGAGACTTCCCCCTAGAGGCGAGATGAGGCCCCATTCCCCTGCAGTGAATGCAGAGCTATTCCGTGATCCCATTCCAACAAGTCAGGAGCTTCGACTTGCTTAATGGATCTCGAGACAGTCCCCAAGAACACTGTCACCAGTCTAGACGGACCCTGAGGTCACCCCAGCAAAGCAAAGCTGCTCCATGTGCCCCAAATCAACTCGAGATGAGGCCCGATTCCCCTGCATTGACGCCAGAGCCATTCCCCGTTCCCCATTCAACACGACCGGTGGCTCGACTTCCTTCAGGCAACTCCAGAGATGCCCCGAGAACACTGTCCCAAGTCTAGAGGAACACCAACTTCAGCACAGCAACTTGAGGAATGCTTCGTGTACCCCAAATCGTCTCGAGATGAGAGCTGATTCCCTGTCTTAGGCTCAAGACGTATGCCAACTTTCCAGAAGCACCTCAGGAGGAGGCTTCTCTCAGCAATAGTTATGTGGGAGGGACCCCGAGTTTGCTGCCTCAAGGGGAATATACAGCGAAAAGCCCTAACTTGAAAGGAGGCCGGATTTCCTTGCAGTGGCTTGAATACAGGCTCGTCTTTCATCTCACAACATGAAGGGATGTCTGAATCCCCTGTGGAGACCTTAGAGAAAGCCGTAGGTCCCTGCCTCATTTTGACGGAATGCCTCACGTCCCGCTGACACCTCGAGAGGCACGCGGAGTTCATTGCTTCAAAAGGTGACGATGCCTGACTCCTCTTGAATACTGATAGGAATCCCAAAATCCCTGTGGCTACGGGAAAGGGTCCTTGGGTGCCCTGCCTCACCTCGAGAAGCGTCCCTTTTGCCCTGCCAAGCCTCGAAGAGATTCCTGAGGTGTCCCTCGTTACTAGACACGAGTCCTGACGTCACTGAAGAAACTCGTGTTTTGAAGGGCCATCCCCGCCGTAAGTCGAGAACATACCCCAAGTCCACACCGCAACTCGAGAAAAACCATGAGACTTCCCCCTAGAGGCGAGATGAGGCCCCTTCACCTGCAGTGAATGCAGAGCTATTCCGTGATCCCATTCAAACAAATCAGGAGCTTCGACTTGCTTAATGGATCTCGAGACAGTCCCCAAGAACACTGTCACCAGTCTAGACGGACCCTGAGGTCACCCCAGCAACGCAAAGCAGCTCCATGTGCCCCAAATCAACTCGAGATGAGGCCCGATTCCCCTGCATTGACTCCAGAGCCATTCCCCGTTCCCCATTCAACACAACCGGTGGCTCGACTTCCTTCAGGCAACTCCAGAGATGCCCCGAGAACACTGTCCCAAGTCTAGAGGAACACCAACTTCAGCACAGCAACTCGAGGAATGCTCCGTGTAACCCAAATCATCTCGAGATGAGAGCTGATTCCCTGGCTTAGGCTCAAGACGTATGCCAACTTTCCAGAAGCACCTCAGGAGGAGGCTTCTCTCACCAATAGTTATGTGGGAGGGACCCCGAGTTTGCTGCCTCAAGGGGAATTTACAGCGAGAAGCCCTAACTTGAAAGGAGGCCGGATTTCCTTGCAGTGGCTTGAATACAGGCTAGTCTTTCATCTCACAACATGAAGGGATGTCTGAATCCCCTGTGGAGACCTTAGAGAAAGCCCTAGGTCCCTGCCTCATTTTGACGGAATGCCTCTCATCTCGCTGACACCTCGAGAGGCACGCGGAGTTCATTGCTTCAAAAGGTGACGATGCCTGACTCCTCTTGAATACTGATAGGAATCCTGAAATCCCTGTGGCTGCGGGAAAGGGTCCTTGGGTGCCCTGCCTCACCTCGAGAAGCGTCCCTTTTGCCCTGCCAAGCCTCGAAGAGATTCCTGAGGTGTCCCTCGTTGCTAGACAGGAGTCCTGACGTCACTGAAGAAACTCGTGTTTTGAAGGGCCATCCCCGCCGTAAGTCGAGAACATGCCCCAGGTCCCCGCCGCAACTCGAGAAAAACCATGAGACTTCCCCCTTGAGGCGAGATGAGGCCCCATTCCCCTGGAGTGCATGCAGAGCTATTCCGTGATCCCATTCAAACAAGTCAGGAGCTTCGACTTGCTTAATGGATCTCGAGACAGTCCCCAAGAACACTGTCACCAGTCTAGACGGACCCTGAGGTCACCCCAGCAACGCAAAGCAGCTCCATGTGCCCCAAATCAACTCGAGATGAGGCCCGATTCCCCTGCATTGAGTCCAGAGCCATTCATCGTTCCACATTCAACACGACCGGTGGCTCGACTTCCTTCAGGCAACTCCAGAGATGCCCCGAGAACACGGTCCCAAGTCTAGAGGAACACCAACTTCAGCACAGCAACTCGAGGAATGCTTCGTGTACCCCAAATCGTCTCGAGATGAGAGCTGATTCCCTGGCTTAGGCTCAAGACTTATGCCAACTTTCCAGAAGCACCTCAGGAGGAATCTTCTCTCAGCAATAGGTATGTGGAAGGGACCCCGAGTTTGCTGCCTCCAGGGGAATATACAGCGAGAAGCCCTAACTTGAACGGAGGCCGCATTTCCTTGCAGTGGCTTGAATACAGGCTCGTCTTTCATCTCACAACATGAAGGGATGTCTGAATCCCCTGTGGAGACCTTAGAGAAAGCCCTAGGTCCCTGCCTCATTTTGACGGAATGCCTCACATCCCGCTGACACCTCGAGAGGCACACGGAGTTCATTGCTTCAAAAGGTGACGATGCCTGACTCCTCTTGAATACTGATAGGAATCCCAAAATCGCTGTGGCTACTGGAAAGGGTCCTTGGGTGCCCTGCCTCACCTTGTGAAGCGTCCCTTTTGCCCTGCCAAGCCTCTTAGAGATTCCTGAGCTGTCCCTCATTACTAGACAGGAGTCCTGACGTCACTGAAGAAACTCGTGTTTTGAAGGGCCATCCCCGCCGTAAGTCGAGAACATACCCCAGGTCCCCGCCGCAACTCGAGAAAAACCATGAGACTTCCCCCTTGAGGCGAGATGAGGCCCCATTCCCTGCAGTGCATGCAGAGCTATTCCGTGATCCCATTCAAACAAGTCAGGAGCTTCGACTTGCTTAATGGATCTCGAGACAGTCCCCAAGAACACTGTCACCAGTCTAGACGGACCCTGAGGTCACCCCAGCAACGCAAAGCAGCTCCATGTGCCCTAAATCAACTCGAGATGCGGCCTGATTCCCCTGCATTGAGTCCAGAGCCATTCCCCGTTCCCCATTCAACACGACCGGTTGCTCGACTTCCTTCAGGCAACTCCAGAGATGCCCCGAGAACATGGTCCCAAGTCTAGAGGAACACCAACTTCAGCACAGCAACTCGAGGAATGCTTCGTGTACCCCAAATCGTCTCGAGATGAGAGCTGATTCCCTGGCTTAGGCTCAAGACGTATGCCAACTTTCCAGAAGCACCTCAGGAGGAGGCTTCTTTCAGCAATAGGTATGTGGGAGGGACCCCGAGTTTGCTGCCTCAAGGGGAATATACAGCGAGAAGCCATAACTTGAAAGGAGGCCGGATTTCCTTGCAGTGGCTTGAATACAGGCTCGTCTTTCATCTCACAACATGAAGGGATGTCTGAATCCCCTGTGGAGACCTTAGAGAAAGCCGTAGGTCCCTGCCTCATTTTGACGGAATGCCTCACGTCCCGCTGACACCTCGAGAGGCACGCGGAGTTCATTGCTTCAAAAGGTGACGATGCCTGACTCCTCTTGAATACTGATAGGAATCTCAAAATCGCTGTGGCTACTGGAAAGGGTCCTTGGGTACCCTGCCTCACCTCGAGAAGCGTCCCTTTTGCTCTGCAAGCTTCGTAGAGATTCCTGAGGTGTCCCTCGTTACTAGACAGGAGTCCTGACGTCACTGAAGAAACTCGTGTTTTGAAGGGCCATCCCCGCCGTAAGTCGAGAACATACCCCAGGTCCCCGCCGCAACTCGAGAAAAACCATGAGACTTCCCCCTTGAGGCGAGATGAGGCCCCATTCCCCTGCAGTGCATGCAGAGCTATCCCGTGATCCCATTCAAACAAGTCAGGAGCTTCGACTTGCTTAGTGGATCTCGAGACAGTCCCCAAGAACACTGTCACCAGTCTAGACGGACCCTGAGGTCACCCCAGCAACGCAAAGCAGCTCCATGAGCCCCAAATCAACTCGAGATGAGGCCCGATTCCCCTGCATTGACTCCAGAGCCATTCCCCCTTCCCCATTCAACACGACCGATGGCTCGACTTCCTTCAGGCAACTCCAGAGATGCCCCGAGAACACTGTCCCAAGTCTAGAGGAACACCAACTTCAGCACAGCAACTTGAGGAATGCTCCGTGTACCCCAAATCGTCTCGAGATGAGATCTGATTCCCTGGCTTAGGCTCAAGACTTATGCCAACTTTCCAGAAGCACCTCAGGAGGAGGCTTCTCTCAGCAATAAGTATGTGGGAGGGACCCTAGTTTGTGCCTCAAGGGCAATATACAGCGAGAAGCCCTAACTTGAAAGGAGGCCGGATTTCCTTGCAGTGGCTTGAATACAGGTTCGTCTTTCATCTCACCACATGAAGGGATGTCTGAATCCCCTGTGGAGACCTTAGAGAAAGCCCTAGGTCCCTGCCTCATTTTGACGGAATGCCTCACATCCCGTTGACACCTCGAGAGGCACGCGGAGTTCATTGCTTCAAAAGGTGACGATGCCTGACTCCTCTTGAATACTGATAGGAATCCCAAAATCCCTGTGGCTAGGGGAAAGGGTCCTTGGGTGCCCTGCCTCACCTCGAGAAGCGTCCCTTTTGCCCTGCCAAGCCTCTTAGAGATTCCTGAGGTGTCCATCGTTACTAGACAGGAGTCCTGACGTCACTGAAGAAACTCGTGTTTTGAAGGGCCATCCCCGCCGTAAGTCGAGAACATACCCCAGGTCCCCGCCACAACTCGAGAAAAACCATGAGACTTCCCCCTAGAGGCGAGATGAGGCCCCATTCCCCTGCAGTGCATGCAGAGCTATTCTGTGATCCCATTCAAACAAGTCAGGAGTTTCGACTTGCTTAATGGATCTCGACACAGTCCCCAAGAACACTGTCACCAGTCTAGACGGACCCTGAGGTCACCCCAGCAACGCAAAGCAGCTCCATGTGCCCCAAATCAACTCGAGATGAGGCCCGATTCCCCTGCATTGACTCCAGTGCCATTCCCCGTTCCCCATTCAACACGACCGGTGGCTCGACTTCCTTCAGGCAACTCCAGAGATGCCCCGAGAACACTGTCCCAAGTCTAGAGGAACACCAACTTCAGCACAGCAACTCGAGGAATGCTCCGTGTACCCCAAATTGTCTCGAGATGAGAGATGATTCCCTGGATTAGGCTCAAGACGTATGCCAACTTTCCATAAGCACCTCAGCAGGAGGCTTCTCTCAGCAATAGGTATGTGGAAGGGACCCCGAGTTTGCTGCCTCAAGGGGAATATACAGCGAGAAGCCCTAACTTGAAAGGAGGCCGCATTTCCTTGCAGTGGCTTGAATACAGGCTCGTCTTTCATCTCACAACATAAAGGGATGTCTGAATCCCCTGTGGAGACCTTAGAGAAAGCCCTAGGTCCCTGCCTCATTTTGACGGAATGCCTCACATCCCACTGACACCTCGAGAGTCACGCGGAGTTCATTGCTTCAAAAGGTGACGATGCATGACTCCTCTTGAATACTGATAGGAATCCCAAAATCGCTGTGGCTACTGGAAAGGGTCCTTGGGTACACTGCCTCACCTCGAGAAGCGTCCCTTTTGCCCTGCTAAGCCTCGTAGAGATTCCTGAGGTGTCCCTCGTTACTAGACAGGAGTCCTGAGGTCACTGAAGAAACTCGTGTTTTGAAGGGCCATCCCCGCCGTAAGTCGAGAACATACCCCAGGTCCCCGCCTCAACTCGAGAAAAACCATGAGACTTCCCCCTAGAGGCGAGATGAGGCCCCATTCCCCTGCAGTGCATGCAGAGCTATTCCGTGATCCCATTCAAACAAGTCAGGAGCTTCGACTTGCTTAATGGATCTCGAGACAGTCCCCAAGAACACTGTCACCAGTCTAGACGGACCCTGAGGTCACCGCAGCAACGCAAAGCAGCTCCATGTGCCCAAATCAACTCGAGATGAGGCCCGATTCCCTTGCATTGACTCCAGAGCCATTCCCCATTCCCCATTCAACACGACCGGTGGCTCGACTTCCTTCAGGCAACTCCAGAGATGCCCCGAGAACACTGTCCCAAGTCTAGAGGAACACCAACTTCAGCACAGCAACTCGAGGAATGCTCTGTGTACCCCAAATCGTCTCGAGATGAGAGCTGATTCCCTGGCTTAGGCTCAAGACTTATGCCAACTTTCCAGAAGCACCTCAGGAGGAGGCTTCTCTCAGCAATAGGTATGTGGGTGGGACCCGAGTTTGCTGCCTCAAGGGGAATATACAGCGAGAAGCCCTAACTTGAAAGGAGGCAGGATTTCCTTGCAGTGGCTTGAATACAGGCTCGTCTTTCATCTCACAACATGAAGGGATGTCTGAATCCCCTGTGGAGGCCTTAGAGAAAGCCCTAGGTCCCTGCCTCATTTTGACGGAATGCCTCACATCCCGCTGACACCTCGAGAGGCACGCGGAGTTCATTGCTTCAAAAGGTGACGATGCCTGACTCCTCTTGAATACTGATAGGAATCCCAAAATCCCTGTGGCTACGGGCAAGGGTCCTTGGGTGCCCTGCCTCACCTCGAGAAGCGTCCCTTTTGCCCTGCCAAGCCTCGAAGAGATTCCTGAGTTGTCCTTCGTTACTAGACAGGAGTCCTGAGGTCACTGAAGAAACTCGTGTTTTGAAGGGCCATCCCCGCCGTAAGTCGAGAACATACCCCAGGTCCCCGCCGCAACTAGAGTAAAACCATGAGACTTCCCCCTAGAGGCGAGATGAGGCCCCATTCCCTGTAGTGCATGCAGAGCTATTCCGTGATCCCATTCAAACAAGTCAGGAGCTTCAACTTGCTTAATGGATCTCGAGACAGTTCCCAAGAACACTGTCACCAGTCTAGACGGACCCTGAGGTCACCCCAGCAACGCAAAGCAGCTCCATGTGCCCCAAATCAACTCGAGATGAGGCCCGATTCCCCTGCATTGACTCCAGAGCCATTCCCCGTTCCCCATTCAACACGACCGGTGGCTCGACTTCCTTCAGGCAACTCCAGAGATGCCCCGAGAACACGGTCCCAAGTCTAGAGGAACACCAACTTCAGCACAGCAACTCGATGAATGCTTCGTGTACCACAAATCGTCTCGAGATGAGAGCTGATTCCCTGGCTTAGGCTCAAGACTTATGCCAACTTTCCAGAAGCACCTCAGGAGGAGGCTTCTCTCAGCAATAGGTATGTGGAAGGGACCCCGAGTTTGCTGCCTCAAGGGGAATATACAGCGAGAAGCCCTAACTTGAAAGGAGGCCGCATTTCCTTGCAGTGGCTTGAATACAGGCTCGTCTTTCATCTCACAACATGAAGGGATGTCTGAATCCCCTGTGGAGACCTTAGAGAAAGCCCTAGGTCCCTGCCTCATTTTGACGGAATGCCTCACATCCCGCTGACACCTCGAGAGGCACGCGGAGTTCATTGCTTCAAAAGGTGACGATGCCTGACTCCTCTTGAATACTGATAGGAATCTCAAAATCGCTGTGGCTACTGGAAAGGGTCCTTGGGTACCCTGCCTCACCTCGAGAAGCGTCCCTTTTGCTCTGCAAGCTTCGTAGAGATTCCTGAGGTGTCCCTCGTTACTAGACAGGAGTCCTGACGTCACTGAAGAAACTCGTGTTTTGAAGGGCCATCCCCGCCGTAAGTCGAGAACATACCCCAGGTCCCCGCCGCAACTCGAGAAAAACCATGAGACTTCCCCCTTGAGGCGAGATGAGGCCCCATTCCCCTGCAGTGCATGCAGAGCTATCCCGTGATCCCATTCAAACAAGTCAGGAGCTTCGACTTGCTTAGTGGATCTCGAGACAGTCCCCAAGAACACTGTCACCAGTCTAGACGGACCCTGAGGTCACCCCAGCAACGCAAAGCAGCTCCATGAGCCCCAAATCAACTCGAGATGAGGCCCGATTCCCCTGCATTGACTCCAGAGCCATTCCCCCTTCCCCATTCAACACGACCGATGGCTCGACTTCCTTCAGGCAACTCCAGAGATGCCCCGAGAACACTGTCCCAAGTCTAGAGGAACACCAACTTCAGCACAGCAACTTGAGGAATGCTCCGTGTACCCCAAATCGTCTCGAGATGAGATCTGGTTCCCTGGCTTAGGCTCAAGACTTATGCCAACTTTCCAGAAGCACCTCAGGAGGAGGCTTCTCTCAGCAATAAGTATGTGGGAGGGACCCTAGTTTGTGCCTCAAGGGCAATATACAGCGAGAAGCCCTAACTTGAAAGGAGGCCGGATTTCCTTGCAGTGGCTTAAATA